TGGTTTTAATAAGCTTTCTGTCAATGTCTACACAAATATTTATTTTGATGCAATGTTCTCGTTCTCGGTTCATCACATTCCTTCGGATCAATAGAACGAGAGATTTTCTTCATCTAAGTGAAAATTGATCTTCTTTTATGAAAGGTCATTCGGATTCGCAATTAAACACTTTCTTCAATTTTTGCAATTTCTTCAGTCTTGTTAACTTTGGACCAATAAAGCGTATGACCTTGGACGTGTCAGCGTTGGTGAAATCATACATCTTCTTATTGTTGCGCTGCCCAATGTGAGGGCCGATCAATGAACAAACTGACTTTATTCCCTGTTTTTTAACGAGTATGCGCCATCGTGCATAGATGCACCAACCATCAAATCCACCTTGAAGGGAAGCATTAAATATGTTTGATTTCATATCTTTATTTGTTGATGGCAGCGCATTTGATGTATGTTGAATTTAGTAATGTTCTAAGAATTCATTAGTTATTGCTCTGCCCGCTCATTTAGTGTACTTAAAATGACGTACTAGATATTCAGCATACTTATGTAATGCACATGCAGATTTAGAATTATATCACGACCATCACATTCCAGTGGATACTTTCGTTACCAATATTATTTATGTGTGTAGGTTTGAGATCATCTTTGGATTTTCTTTGGAATTTGATTCATTTCTATCGCAATCATGCGAAGCAGGTACTTGCATGGGGAGAATATTGGATTATATCCATGTGTTTCTTATATAATAGATACCGACTATACTTGGATACATTAGTAGATTAGACGTAAATAATATATTAAGTCCATCAGGGTTAGTTCTATGTGCCTACCGGGCCTCTTCTATCAAAGTTTTGTGGCAGGCATATCCCGGCTTGAAACTCCATGGGACATTAGTGTTAATTAATTACTCGACCTTTTCAGCTACATATGTGAATTTGTTACGAAATACATAATTACCAAATCATGGTGCTCACGTTCGACTTAAACTTGTGTGACTAGGTCTTACTGCTATAAATGGGATGGGAATGGGATGAAAGAAGTTTGTTTGACCCTGGCTATGTCTATGTATGTAAATTGTATCTTTGGCTGTGTAAAAATGATGATTGATGCTGGATGATGATGGATACTCTGGATTTTAAGATTGAACTTATTTATTATGTGAAACGACTGTCCAACTTAACCTTGCTTGTATTCTGATATCAGCAGTGACATACCGATCGCATATGCGTTTTGTGTTGTGACTCGTATTTTCGCTCTATAGCTATCTATCGCATTTTGCATATTTTGTTATTAGCATGTTTTAGATTTGGAATTGGCATGAGTTCTTTGGAATATTCCAGAAATCCGATTTTGCTGTTTCTCTGGTTTCATTTTTCAATGTTAACATTTCTGGAATACATCAACGACATTATTTATGTCAGAACGAACCAGTTGCTCGGGTCATTCTAACCATGTTAGTATTCAATCATACTTTTGAAGTTGTTAACACCTAGTACAAGCAAATGATGGCGAGATGGACTTTTTAATTTCCCACTTCATTTCCAAGTTGTTTTCCAAGATTTCGTTCTATTTGCTCTATGTAGGAATCAAATGTCTATTGACATTTTCATATTAAGATAACACGAAAATTATTGATATTGATCAAAACATACAACAATACTAGTAATCATCTCTATTCTCTCTGAAGCTATCATACCTGTTGGTGCACTGTTTCTACCCACACACTTCCCAGAAAACATTCTCAGATGGCGTTCTTCTTTTTAATCACAGAGATAAGTAGATGTATTTACATTACTATATACATAGTGGTCCAAGAAGCGGAACGATTGCTAAAATTGCAGAAAATCCTTTAAAAGTCACAAAATATATACAGCACACTAAATCACCGTGTAGGTAACGTTATCATTTCTATCAGTTTTCTCACCCAACGGTCACCTTTTTAAACTAATTAGTATAGCTTAACATTGCTGTATTACATAAGATGTGGTATTGACAGGGCTAGGTGAACCACCTGATCAGGATGGCCTACCAGCTCTGGGTCCAAAGAATTTAGATGAATGCAACGCTGCCCTTAGTGATGCTCCTAGTGAAATCAAATAAATACATGCAATTTTCAAAATTTCAAGAGCCCCTGCAGCAGAACTCCTCGTAAAAACCAATAAGGTTACAAACCCTGTACAGTGTACATCAATCACGAAAGTATTAAGAATTCTATGTGGCGCCTCATTTGGCTGGTGGCCTGACAAACTTGTTCAGACCGTATGATATGTAATGCATGCCATTCCAAGCAGTATTTGCCATTTGAAATGGTAAAATTGAGACAAAATGGCAGTCAATCTCTAGATAAAGAATGGGTGTCACATTTTGTGTAAGGTTTTAGATGTGAAAAACTTAATAACTTTCAGTTATCCAATCAAGAATATGGGAGGGGCCTCATTTCTGATAATAACCAATTCGGGTACAAAATGTTGATCGTGTTGCCAGATTTGATCCTCCAAAACAAACATATTATATGGACGTTTAGAAAAGTTTAAGATTGTTATCAAGATGCCTTGAAGGAAAATCAACAAACAACAAACTAAAAGAATAATTTCGAAACAAACACCTGAGTTTGAACCATGTCCAACATTGGCTTGTTAAATCTATAGGCATGATAAATGATACACTGCATCTATAAACTTAATGCACGGTTAAAAACAATGCTTGGTACAGGGTGTCCAAAAAAAACAGGACCGTAAGAAAGTTGAATAACTCGATCAATTTTGCATATTTTGCCTTGAACTTTGAGAATTATTTAGTTCATTCAATGTGAATTTTGTTCTGAGAGTTTGATGATAATCTGTTTATTGTGTCAAAAACTACAGTCCTTTACAAAACATGCTCAAAGTGGGCACTTCTCCTCTCTATGCGCAAACGAACCCTGCAAACAAAGTTGTTAATGACCCTTACCTATCCACATTAATGTGGATGGTAAATATTGGGGTAGTTATTGCCCTCTTAAGATTGTTAGGGGCCTGTCAGTAAACACATTGGTTTTGAGAAATCCTCAAAGATAAAAATTTGGGGGATTTAGATCAGGCGAATGAGCTGCCCATATGGTTTGCGTTCTGCAACTGATGAGCTGGCCACCAAAGCATTGCCTAAACCATTTCAGCATATCATTTGCAGTGTTGGGGTGGTATTGGCTTGTTGAAACCACTGCTTAATTATCTCCTTAGATGTCCATTCTGGTGCTTAGTGACCTCCAAAACTTGGTGAGAACTTACTGGTCCTAGTTCATGATGATAGCAAGTCCCCAGTCACCTTCGAACCAAAAGGGACTAATGATTCCATGTTTCCTCATTGCCACCCAGGGAGTGCATTGTTCAGAATGCAATGGATGCTGTAACACTTCATCAGGAGGATGTAAGCCCCAGTAGCAATTGTTCTTGGAACAAACTTGTCCATTCAGAAAGAAATGTGTGTAGGAGGATCATCAACAGCTTTGTTCGCCGGATTGAATTGTGCATAGAGATGAGATTTGCACATTTGGGGCATGTTTTGTAAGGAGCTGTAGTTTTTGACTCAATTGGTAGATTATTATCAAACTTTCACAACAAAATTCACATTGAATGAACTAAATAATTCTGAGATTTCAAGGCAAAATATGCAAAATTGATCGAGTTATTCAACTTTCTTACGGTCCTGTTTTTTTTTGGACACCCTGTATATCGGCATTTTAAAATTGAATTGATAGCTTATTCTTCGCTCTGTGTATATGAAATAAACTACATATATCATATTAACGATTTGTTCCGTTTTTGGAACAGCCTGTACGTATCACCAACCCATCTATGAATCATGTTCATTACTGCCATTTGTTGGAGATAGAGATCGATGTGCCATATAGTTGAGAACAATTCATACTTATACTTTGGCAGGTGTGAATCATAATGTCTATTCACCAACTGTCAAGATCTACTTTAATGCCAATGGTGTCATTTTTGTTGATTGCATGGAAAAATTAATATTTAGGTGCATAGTTATTAAGTATCAATACTAGAGAAAATCAGTTCAAAAGAAATTCCACTTTGATCGAAAAATGTTCAAATCTAACAGATTGTCTCCCTTTAAACTGTATTATTGCTGGTTATAATGACTCAAAACGTTTAACAACAATAGTTTGATACTGATATGGATAGCCTGACTAAGCAGCTTAGTAATGCATATAAGGATCGGAGTGATTACCAATGGCACAAACAACTCCTTTTAAAATAAAAAAGAAATTAAAAATCAAATATTCTTTGATAATTTTTTTACTGGTGTCTCTTTTGATGAGCAATGCTTTAAAATTGCAAATATACGATAACTTCCACTGTTAGTTCCTGTTATTCTAAAATTATCTCGTATTTTATTTATCACATATACGTTTGAGTTCAGCTGATTTACCTTACCAATATATCCACTTCTACTCGTTAGTGTTATGTTGTGAAAGTAGTTTTGTATCTCATTATAACGTCCTTAATATCCGGATCAACAAAAAACAAGTTGCAGAAGTTTTCACTAAAATGAATCTATTTGGGATTTTTATCCAAGTTACTCAAATTGATTTCCCAAATTTACCCAGTTGATCCCAACATATTGTATTTTAATGTGGTAAAATGACACCTGGCAAAATGGTACAAGACGTAAACAATCAACTCATATATAACCATAAATCATGTATTTTATATGTGATGTTATTGTTTATACATGTATACATAACGCGTGACACTTTAATAAAATTATACAATATACTATACAATACAATACAATATAATACAATACAATACAAAATAACCAGTATTACCATTAAGACTCTGACATATATTGTTGTTCTGTTGACAGCTATTTTCATTCAGTGTCTTATTCAGTTTCTTATTCGGATATCCATGAGGATTTTTTTCAATAATACGCACAATTACATCTCCAAAGTAAATGTATTTCAGCTTGTATTTTTAACAATTATACTCATGTATTTCCAGTACTGTTACTCTGCCATCTAGTCGGGTGCAATCCAGACGATTGCGGAACAGGTAAGGATGACATAGGTAACTCACCATTTATTATCAATTTCTAACATCACTGAACGTATTTATCTAAATATATATAGCACCTTATATATTAACATCAGTACCTTCCACTTGAATACATTGCAACTACACTCTTCCCCATCAGCTTGGAAATTAAGGTTTACAAAATGAAGTCCTTTGGGCTGTGTCTTTAAGCATTACTACTAACCAACTTGTTAGACAAAGCAAATAAAAAATTGATGTTCAATAATATACAGTGCTATATAAAAAGCTTAATGTTATGTATGTGAAACTATAGAATAACTGTTGCTAATTAGATGTTATACAAATCCGATATATTTCATTAAAAAAAACAAATCAATGTGCAAACGTGCAGTTGTTCTATAGTTGAGCATGGTGTATTATTATGTGAATTTCTATTAACCATATCTGCAATTGATTATCACGATTCCCAGGCTGTTCTTTGTTGGTGTTAACATCTTCCTGTATCTTGAAACCTCTGTTCCCTGCTTGAGGGGAAATTGGAATGACACATAACGTGATGTTGATCAATATAGGGGCGGTAAGGTAAGACAATGCCAAAATGTTTTGAAATGGCGTAGCTGTATGTACCTTCAGAAAATGTCTAAACAGAATGCAGCGACTTTGATAACTTGCTAAACTACTATACGCTGTGATAGATTTCTTAAAGTCAATAATGGTGTTAGTTTATTTTAGGCTAACTGTAGGTATGGCCACATATCTTATCTTGTTAATTAACGACATATCTTTCCAAAGTTAGGATCTCCTATAAGTGAATACTGCGAACATACATATAAAGTCTCCATGCGAACACATTTTTTCATCAATAACAACTGTCTAAGTAGCACTGGGATATTTAAATATAACCTCATATGCAGTTATCAGATAAATAAAATATAGCAAATATGTCATATTCCCTTCTAAAGTAAAATATATCCTTACAGAATTGATTTTATCAGAAGATGGAAGTGAGTATATAATATGAATATTTGTACTATTTTAATATGAATCGTTTATGTTATTTACACACTGAAAGCGAAACATTGAACCTACCTGAAAGTATTTGCTTACATACATGAAGTATGGGGGTAGACATAACGCCTACATTGTCTTCTTGCCTATCATCAAGAACGATAGTCAATAAATGGAGTGGATAGAAAAGTTACATTTCCATCCAAAAGTTTGGAAACCTATTTTCCTCATTGAACTACATTTTGATCAAAAACCGGTTACAATTCTTGTCTTATGAAGAATTATTACTAAATTGACCTAACTTTAAGTTTCTCGGAATTTTCTCGACTTTTTCCTTCATGTATTTACTTTGATGATCATTTGATTAAATCTTTACGTTATTTTCGCCGTGTACATGTCATTTTAATACGAAACAGTGTGTTTGCGACAAATAAGATAACACATTTGTTCATTCAGTCATTAAGCAAAAATTACTGCCATATAGTGCATTGAAGTGCCTACAAGTCTTATATATTTGATTGCTTCGTGAAACAAAGTTACATAGTATTAAGTATATTTCGAATAATAATTCTTCGCCTAGCTTACATGTTATTTCATTGAGATGTTTTTTGGAAAATCAAATTTGATTTTAAGGACCTTTAACGTTTTGTCTTGATAAAACCTATTCACTTCTTGTCAAAAATAATTAGCAAAGACTATTTTCTACAGAGCTATTGAGATTTCTGCAAGCACACCATTAACAATGGGACTACAAAACATCAATTGTATCAAATTTCGACAATTTGTGAGTGAAGAAACATTCAGGGAATACCTGAGAAAAAAATGAAGTCAATTAATGTGATCAAATTACTAAAATAAGTCTTCGTTGGTCTTTGAATAATAAGTTCAAACACGAGTACCATTGAACATGTAGTTCAATGAAAAAAGGTTTCCAAGCTTTTGTAGGGGAGGTAACATATAAGTCCTAAAGTGTTTGGAATTCAGTGTATTATATTCAGTATATTAATATATTTATCTAATTTCATGATCATCACCTTAAATTACATTTAACATAGTAACACCACAATATATAAAACCACTTAATAATTATTACGTACACTTTTAATATCCCTTAAAACTCAGTACCAGGGTACATTTACAGTGGTAACGGTGTCCTAGTACTGACCCGTTCCAATTTAATTTTATTGACGACCTTTATCAATAAGTTCAATTTTCAATAATCATTCGATTTAACTGTTTCTTTACTTCACATTTATACGATTAAAATTTTAAATGTACACTCCACACCATAAGTTTGGCAACCTTAGCTCCCCCATTGGAGTACGTGTTAAAGCCTCTTTACCTTTTTTACTTAACCTGCCAAGAAAACACTTATACTATTGATGGAAACGTAGTTTAACTTTATTTCCAATACCTCCAAATTTTCTCAATTTTTTTCCTCAATTACAATAGGTCGAAATTTGATGATAAATTTGATGAATTTTTGAAAATTGACACTCCCATGTTAACCAATGGGAAATGGTAGGTTTGCCGCAAATCATACAGAATATCCATCAATCCGAGTCCTTGCAAAAATACAAGTTAGGTAGGCAATTGAGATTGATACAATCCATCAGGTTCAATAAAGTTATAGGTCTTTAAAGTCAAAATTGTTTTTCAAAAATATCTCCTATTGAAATAACAAAGGAGGCGAAAAATGGTTTCCAAACATGACTTTGAAGCTCTGTAACTTTAGTATTCATCAAGTAAACTAAACACTAAGTGTACAAAAAAAAGTTAGACAATTCAAATTTCTATACAATTTTTTGTTGAATATTTTACTGAATAGATATCCTGATTTCTTATTTACCCCGAACACACCATTTCCCATTGGTTTACATGGGAATGACGATTTTCAAAAATTCATCAACTTTATCATCAATTTTCGACCTTTTCCAAGAGGAAAAAAATGGAAAAATTTGGAGGTATTGGTAATAAGGTCAAGCTACGTTTCCATCAATATTTTAACTTATTTCATCGCAGGTTAGTAAATAAAATTTAAACATAAAGAGGCTTTAACACGGAGTTCAATTGGGGAGCTAAGGTTGCCAAACTTATGGAGGAGAGTGTAAGTATTAAATAACCACTTGATATGCGTATCGTTTAATTGCGATGCATCCCTCGAGATTCATTCAATCAAGTTTATAGTATTTCTATTATTACGTAGCATGAAAAGTGTTGTTCACATATCTCATGCAGATTAACGATTCACCATGTTGTAATGTTCATTTTATATTCATCTTTTAAAAACTTTAAAAAATTGGCTATCCAGACTCTCCTTTGAATAGCTTGGCTTGTGGCTTGGCCTCCTAATGTTTGAATTCGAATAATATTAGGTCGGAAATTTATAGCTAATTTGGCAAATGCATACAGGCCTAAATACAGGATCCAATGGGGAAGTTGGGTTGCCAAACCTTTTGTGGGGAGTGTACGTGTTGCTGCTTTACTTTTTCACAACACTTTTTACTTTATCATTGCCATCTATCTTTCATTGTGATATAATTAACTAACTATATGTACTCGTAATTTACGTAAGCATTACATCAAACCAACTAACGATGTTTAACTATAACTCAATAATTTTATATTTGTGTTCTGGTATTTCCATAACATTTCCATTTTCTATATCTTTACCAGATTCTTTTCCATATTACACCATAGTGTTTATATTATAGCATACGCCGCCCAGGTTCCGATAGATTGTTATGATTGCTCAACATTTAACAACGGGGAAGACTACTGCGCCGACCCCTTCAACTACAGCCATCCAAATGTTAGAACTGTCCGCTGTACTGCAGCTTGTGCAAAATGGGTACGCACAACCAATATCCCAGGTAACTGATACGCCATACCTTTATATCTCATGGTGTTATCTGTAGCAGAATAGGATGTAGTTTAATTCAACACTCAAAATAATTATACATACAAAGATTACAATTCCACTTGTTCAGATTACAATTCCCCTTATTGTGTTAGCAGTTGCTGCACATGCTTGCTCATGAATGTATTGATATCCACTCGGGGGAAAATGATATCCTCCAAGGATGATTCTCCAAGGTGATTCTCTATGCATATGAATTCACTCTGAAATTATACGCGGATATGTTATGTACAGGGTGGTCAAAAAATGGAAACCCTGCATTTTTCTCATATCTTTATTTGGGAGGCCGGGTCGGTATTTAAGGTATCAGATTTTAGGGAGAAAATAGTAAATCTGCGGAATAATGTTAATTTTTTATTTATAGAATATCATTTTGTAAGGTGAATACATGCTTGTATATTTGCATATTGTGTGGCTAAACTTATTGTTTATGAATTTTAGTGTTGTTTATTATCTATAAGTACTCAAATGGGGTCTGTTAATGGAGACATTGGCATTTCTTTGCAAACAAGGTGTCAGTTTGATTGATCTCGATGCTTGGCCACCCAACAGCCCCGATGCTAATGTGTTTGATTGCCGTACATGGAGCCATCTCGAGGAAATGGTACAATCAAAAGCATCCAATAAACAGCATTGGTGAGCTGAAAAAGAATCCTAAACTGCTGAAATGAATTGCAACAGAAATCTCTCAATAAGGCTATTGATGGATTGAGCTACCACTTGAAGTTTATTGTCCATGCAGAAGGAAGGGGGTGGGGGTATATTAAGCAATTGTGAAAATTGTTTAAATAAATAAAGTGTAAAATTTTATAATACAACACTGAAATTCATAAACAATAAATTTAGTCACACAATGATGCAAATATCAATATCCAAGCATGTATTCACCTCACAAAATAATGATATTCTATAAATAAAAAATTAACATAATTCCGCAGATTTACTATTTTCTCCCTTAAATCTTATAAAAGTCTTATAAAACTTTACTATTGATTTCATGACATAGTGTTATATACCAAATTGTTTGAAATTGTATAACCTTTAAAATGATATGTAAGTCAATGTACCATATTTAATGTAACTATTTCTATCCTTATTTGAAGTTTGGTATTGGTTTATTGGCCCACTCTGTATGTATATTTCTTTTTTCCAGGGATAAACCACTACATAAGAACCTGCTCTTCCTTACTGAACATGCAGATGCCCGTCTCACTGGTGTGTATGCAAGAATCCAGACCAGGCCATGGTCACTTATGTTTCTGTAAGAAAGGAGAATGCAATAACTCTAATAGTGCGCGATACCAGTCATGGTTATTGCACGTCACGGTGCTGCTGAGTTCTCTCTGGGTGTTGTCCAATTGGACAGCGTCAAACATTCAAGAGGAAATATACACAATGTGGTGCAATACTAGGCCATGGACCATTTCTGGATTTACTTTACCATTCATATTTGTTGCAGGAATCATTTACCAGTTTACCATGTACGAGGTATACGGCTTCCCACAGCTTCTCAGGATATTTCATTATTTTATGACGACATAAGGAGTACGAGTCTGGATAGTGATGTACAGGTGGTGTCCTCTTTATGATATTCAAATGCACTCTGTATGCAAGAGCGCATTATCACATGATGACACGGTGCTTGCTGGGAATTCGAACCTTGCATGCTGCCTAATTGCGCTAATTGATCTATGCTTGGTTTTCTTTAACCAAAATAGATGATTTTATTGGATATAGTTGGCCCTATATTGAATGCAACTTCAAATAATTCAAGTCCACGTGAATCCATGGTAAGAAATCCAGTTGATTATTGGCAACCGTGACATTGCTTGATTATATGAAGTCCCAATCCGATACCTCCCATCATGTAGGAGTATTTCACGTATACGATAATGAAAAGGTCGACCCAACAAAGAAAGACGTGTCGATAAAAGATCATTTAAACCTAAAACATTTACAACGATCTTTTGGATGGACTGGTCGATATTTGGTAAGGTGTAAAGTACGTACCGTCTGCGTATTTTTTTCGCAAGGAATTAGTTGAACCGTAAATTGTTTATCCCTGTATGTGATGAAGAGAAGGATTTTATTTCACTAATTGCCCCTTACACTTCATGTGGATGTATTTCCATCATTTCCTATTGTCGACTTTGAAACGACAGAAATTATGGAAATATTATCCTAAATTTGGGCGAGGTCTGACAACTTCCAGACGATGCAATAAAATATTACTGTCAACACAGAATCAAAAGTTCAAATGATGGAAATGCTGTAATGTACTTTTTGATATTACCATTTCTAAATAAGCTTCTTGCTTAACTCATTTATCACTTTTTATGTACAAAGATTATTCGGATATATGCTGCACAAATCTGCTCTTCATAGCTGCAGGATACACTAGCGGATCCAGGGGAGGGATGCCCCCCCCCGTAGGTGGGCCCAGAAAAATGTTTGGGCCCTAAAAAATGTTTAGGTCCAAATATTTTGTAGGGCCTCAATTGGTGGGCCTTATTGGGTATTACTTGGCCTTTTTAGACCATTTAGGCCTAATTATCGAGAAAGGGGCCCACAATTCACGCAAGCATAATCTTTTTGATAAAGTTTAAATTTGCCCCCCACCCCCCTGTTAGCTTCTGGATCCGCCAGTGTAATATGCATAGATAGCTGCAGAATATGCATAGGCAGCTACTTGACATAATCATATATGTACTTAAATGGTGTGCAACCATCTTGATTTATTTTATCTTTAGTTTACATAAAAAAGAAAAGTAGCCAGCCGAGAATACAATGCTACATACATCTGGGTCGGATGGATCCATTTCACTGTTTTTTGGTGATTCAATATAACGCCATACATTGAGGCCTTGAATGATGTAAACTTGCTATAAACAATTAGCTATAGGTTATAGAATAATTGTTAGTTCTATCTGCTCATTATATGGATGTATATATTGCTAAAGCTATCATAAGGTGGCCTATTCCTGATGTATATAATGGTAATCTATATTTTGTTAAGTTTCTCACGTTGTTTACTAAGCAAGTTAATGTAACATTAAGAATATATATAGTTGCACGTTATTTAAAATATTTATTCATATCATGTAAAAATGTACATATGTTCTTAAATCCCTTTCATCACCAAGCGATATATAACTAATTAATTATAGTTTAGACTGTATTTTTGTATGCCCGCGGTGCTAGTGAATTGCGAAATATTTTCCTGCGTTTTCTCCCCAGGTATCACTAAAGAAAACAAAGAGCCCTGCAGTGCAAATTGCATGCTCAAGTGTTATCAATACAAATAGTTCATCCAAGCGCATTTACACTCGCATTTCATAATTATTATGAAAGACGTCATGGTTTATTGCGATCGACCTCCTGTGGTGCACTAGCAACTAGACGACCCTGTTGACACATGCGGTTCGCCGATAAGATTCACCCAACGTAATAAGCGGCGTAAGTGTGCTTGAATAGGCAATTTTTGTTGAAAACGTGTGAGCATGTAATTTGCAACGCAGGGGGTCATTGTTCTTTTCTTGATACCTACTGTACGTATTGGGAAAACTCGTTAAATATTATGCAATACACTTGCGCCGCGGGCAGTTCAAAAACGCAGTCTTAAAGTTTCTACAGCAAACTATTCAAAAATTCAATACAATTTCTATGTACTACTTCTACTTTATCATTTGAGTAAAAACAGAAAATGGAACGACAAATTGTATTATTATATCCGGTTGGTAAAAAACCAATAAAATATGCATTATATGATTTGTCTTTGAGACAGAAATGAATAAAAAATGTTTTCACATAAATATGCAAAAGTTATATTTAATTTGTTTTGTATGTGGATGTTCGCATTACAAGTTTCAGCCTATGATCAGAGGTTCAATGCCTGAAACAACACAAATGAGATTTAGCGATATCGGGTTACGTGCACTCACTAATGTTTGTATAATGTTTGGATATATAATTGTTTTTATATATCCGTCGCCTTTCATATTGAACACCTTGATAACTTACTGATTTTAGAATTTCATTTGATAAAGCGGTTGTGGGAGAGGTCATATTAAGTATCAGACAAATAATTAGAGTGTCCCATCATAGTTCATACTTATCTATAATGACCCTGGTTTTGACTTTTCATACATGTAAGTACTAAGGCTGTCATTCACACACGACAAAACACAAATAAAACATTTGTTAAAAGTGTATTGTTACCTGCAAATTAATTCTTGAAATAACCGATAAGAATGTCTTTGAGGGGTCACAAAGTACATCGCATCACATTCAGTTTCTCGTAGGATTCTCAACAAGGACCATGATTTTCAATACATTAATTATATTTACCTTAATGATTTATTTTCAAGGTAAGCAACATTTTGTTTTAACATCGATAGCCAGTGGTTGATAATGGTTAATTATAATCTGATATTGAATCAACTATTTTATGTTACATTTTACATTCCTTGGCAAGGAAGACAAGTACTTATTGAAAAATTGCGTGGCAGTAAAATGTCAAAATCTGTATCTATGGGCATTATCCTTTATTCATTATTGTTAATTAAAGTTGGTCACTTAAATAATAGACTGTTTGATTACATTGAATCTTCAGTTCAAAATTGAAACATATACTCATTTTTGAAGGTCAAAGGTCATCTAGAAAACGAAAGATTACGTCTTTAAAATCCATTTTATAGAAAACTTACTCATTTCAGCATTTTTCAAATTAAAAATCCTAGACCTTTTTGTGAAAGCATTATTTAGTCAAATTCATATTGTTATATTAGTTATATCCTTATTCCTGAAATGTCCCGCTTTCTAATGGTATATGAAACCATGGAAAAGCAGCGCCATTCTTTTGACTCCCGATTTCTCAACTGATAAGTGCTTTGGTGCGTTCAATGTAGATCACCCGAAAATGTATAAATATATTTTAGAGTCATCATGTCAAAACTGCCATTTCAAAACTGATCCATCGACGGATAAAGGTCACTACGAATCGCCTGGCTTTCCTAACAATTATGCTAAAGGTGGCGTTTGCTCCTGGAAAATCAGCGCGCCATCTGGTGCTGGTCAAGACAACAAGAGGATCAAGATTACAATAAATAAGTTAGACATCAAAAAAGGAGATGAGGTGATAATATGGGATGGCCCATCCTGCGATGACGATGACATACTCCCGTCTATTTCACTGAAGGAATATTCAAAAAGTATTCCTGGGACAGACATTGTATTTAGCATGGAGTTTGATGTTTGTGTGGAGTTAAAACGACCCTCCTCTTCTGACCGAGCGGCAGGAATATCATTTGATTGGGAGAGTATGTTCTTAAATATAGATACTACCCGTTTGAAATCGTGATTCCAACGACCTTTTCAAATTCTATTTCAATGTCGAGTATCAATATTTTGACTTTTCATCTATTGTTCTATTGTATTTCATCTATTGTATTGTTGATTAACTAATGCGAAAATCAAAATAGTTCATCTTGTTAATTTATAGCAATTCCTGGTTGTGGAGGTACTGTCTCAAAAACCACAGATATCTTGACTCCAAGATATCCTACATTTCCGTATGTACCAGAGCTCGAACCTTGTGATTGGTCATTCAAAATGGGAACAGGACAGAAAATGCTGTTCGAATTTCAAGAATTTAAGCTGAGGGGGCCTAGTTTATTCATTGATTGTGACATTGATTGGATGATTTTGAAAGGAATAGATGGATTCCAAAATAATCAAAAGTTATGTGGAGAAAGGAAAAATCTTGGGCCGTATAAAAGCACAGGCAATACAGCAGAGATGATTTTCAGAAGTCAATTAGATCTTATTGACCTTATTCCCAAAAAAGGATTTTGGATACGTGTTACAAGTAAGATACATTTCTTTTGAATGGAATTTCCTCAAAATTATAATACATATTACAATGTTTTTGTAATCACCTATTGTAGTATCAAAATACTACAATAGTCTCAAGGTCAAAAAAAGTTTAAAATGTGGTAACGTACATCTACTAGTTTATGACTGTTCCACACATGGATGACAGATAGTTTCCAATAGCTCATCATGTTTACTGAGAACGAAAGATGTTTGTCCACCATTTTGAATGATACTAACTGGAGTGAGGGCCATCAAGCTATGAAACAGGGGTTTATGAAGATCTATCACGGGAAGTCTGGCCATCTTGATGCAACAACACGGTGATGTTGCATCACGATACTGCCCGGTGATATTGTTATGGTCTCCATTTTTGTGACGGCGATTAGCGATCAGCAGGTGGCGGTTGGTGGTTGGCGATCGGCGTCTGTAACAAATTCTTACAACTTCCAATAACTTAAAAAATACTGTTTAGACTGACTTCAATTTTTTCAAAACCAACTTAAAGTTTTCTACAGTTCAAATCTGATGTTAGATTTAAGATTTGACCTTCAATGACCGTCTCAAGGTCAAAAAAAGTTTAAAATGTCATAAAGGTATTACAACTTGCTTCAAATTGATCCAAATCTTTTTTCAAAATCATCTACAAATTTTCGGAAGTTCAAATCTGACTTTAGATTTGAGATTTCACCTTCAAAAAGAGTCAAAATGATATTTTCAAACTTGCTTCAAATTGACAAATTTTTTCCCAAAATCATCTACACGATCTCAAAAGTTCAAATCTGACTATAGATTTGAGATTTGACCTTCAATTATTAAGGTCAAAAAGATTTGACCTTCAATGACCTTCTCAAGATTAAAAAATGTCAAAAATGTATTTTCTGAACTTGCTTCAAATTGTCCAATTTTTTTTCAAAATCATCTACAAGTTCTCAAAAGTTCAGATCTGACTCTAGAATTGAGATTTGACCTTTAAAAGGATTCATAATATATCGAGCAACTAGGTGGTGACATTTTGTCATGTTAATGCCTTGTTAAATCATTGTTTCAGGTTCAAGCTACTCACTTACTTACTATTCCTGGTATGACACTGTGTCTAGTCGAAACCCGTTGATTCAGTCCTGCACATGTTATGTACATGTTTTAATGTGTTGTTCATTTGCTTTCTAATCATATTGTTATAGACTGGTGTTGTTCATTTGCTTTCTAATCATATTGCTATAGACTGATGTTGTTCATTTGCTTTCTTATCATATTGCTATAGACTGGTGTTGTTCATTTGCTTTCTAATTATACTCTGTCAGACTGGTGTTGTTCATTTGCTTTCTAATTATATTCTGTCAGACTGGTGTTGTTCATTTGCTTCCTAATCATATTGTGTTAGACTGGTGTTGTTCATTTGCTTTCTAATCATATTGTTATAGACTGGTGTTGTTCATTTGCTTTCTAATCATATTGTGTCAGACTGATGTTGTTCATTTGCTTTCTAATCATATTGTTATAGACTGGTGTTGTTCATTTGCATTCTAATCATCCTATCGGACTGATGTTGTTCATTTGCTTTCTAATCATATTGTTATAGACTGACGTTGTTCATTTACTTTCTAATTGTATTGTGTTAGAATTATGTTCTTCATTTGCTTTCTAATCATATTGTTATAGACTGATGTTGTTCATTTGCTTTCTAATTATACTCTGTCAGACTGGTGTTGTTCATTTGCTTCCTAATTATATTCTGTCAGACTCGTGTTGTTCATTTGCTTTCTAATCATATTGTGTTAGACTGGTGTTGTTCATTTGCTTTCTAATCATATTGTTATAGACTGATGTTGTTCATTTGCCTTCTAATCATTCTGTCAGATTGATGTAATTCATTTGCTTCCTAATCATTCTGTCAGACTGATGTTGCTAATTTTGTTTCCAATCATATTGTTATAGACTGGTGTTGTTCATTTGCTTTATAATCATATTGTGTTAGACGGGTGTTGTTCATTTGCATTTTAATCATTCTGTTAGACTGGTGTTGTTCATTTGCTTTCTTATCATATTGTGTTAGACTGGTGTTGTTCAATTGCTTTCTAATCATGTTGTGCTAGACTATGTTGTTGATTTGCTTTCTAATTATATTGTGTTAGAATTATGTTTTTCATTTGCTTTCTAATCATATTGTGTTAGGTCTAGGTTGTTCGTCAGATGATTTCTACATCCCACACAGTATACATACGAACCCTGGAACGTTTTATGATACTGGGTACGTGGCTAAGGTGAGATGTAAAGAGGGGTACCAGTTTAACGATGATTACGATGAGACAACCTTAGAATGCCAAGCAGATCAAAAATGGAAGGGGACCATAAGAGTTTGCATGCGTATGACTTTTTATATCTACATTAAGCTTATAAAGACATAAGTAAATATTCTTAGTTACATCGATATTTGAGAAAAGGGAATTGCACATATATCAAGCAATTTTGTAAAACTATATACAGATTTGAACGTAAAACAATAATCCTGAAGACAGTACTTGCTTTTCTCTTTATATCAGCTAAACAATGTGGTGATGTCCCAAATGTATCAAATGGTAAAGTCAAAGCAACAAGTGGCAATGACGTTGGCTCAGTAGCCACCTATACGTGCGATATAGGCTACAATTTAGTGGGAGAAGCAACACGAACGTGTCAGCCTGATCAGACTTGGAGTGGCACTACTCCACAGTGTCAAGGAGGTAAACGATAAGATACTCTTTGAATTCCCATTTAAAGTCTCTTAGATTGTCATTTTGAAGTTCCCATGTCGGGCGATAGCCCCTTGAAGCTGTTTCTTAGTAGCAATCAGCAGGTCTATGTGTGCTTGTTGAGTCTCGATGGTGCTTAAAAAGAATTAAAGAAAATATTAATATAATTTGTCGAGTCTCGACGGTGCTTAAAAAGAATAAAAGAAAATATAATTTGTTGAGTCTCGACGGTGCTTAAAAAGAATAAAAGAAAATATTAAAATAATTTGTTGAGTCTCGACGGTGCTTAAAAAGAATAAAAGAAAATATGAATATAATTTAATCGCAGAAGAATCAAGAATCAAATGAATTGTTGCTTTTCCTTTCACCCAATTTGTATATCATGGGCTATTAAAGGATTGCATTGCCTTATTGAAGCTGATGTGTTTGGTGGAAACCATTTGTTGTTTTTCCTTTTACCAACGAGAAGCACAAAACCTCAAATTGGATTCGAACACCCTGATAATCTGCGCATTATAAGGGACAGTTTCGATTCCTATGAACTACAACACTGAGATACTGCTTATTGCCAAGCATACTTTTTAATAGGGGGTAAGACGGCGTGTGGCAATCCCGGAGCACCTGCTAATGGCGCTATTATTGGCAATAACTTTAACTTTGGACAGACGGTCAAATTTGTCTGTAATATTGGGTACGAGTTGGCTGGACAGGACAGTCTGACGTGTCAACAGGATGGCACCTGGAATGGGGACAGGCCTACCTGCACGCGTGAGTCGTATTGTACCCAAATACATCTGAATGTAAAATTACAAATAAAGTGGTTATGAACTGATAAGCTACTTGAAATATCCAATGATCCGTTTAGAGCTCTTTGAGTAACAGTTTCTATTGTAAGTATATCTTTGCCATTTGTATAATCCATTGTTTGGTTTTAGTGGTTCAATGTGATATCCAGGAAGTGTCAACTCCTCCATTAAACGGAAACGTCAGAGTAGATGGCTCAAAATTCGGTGATGTCGCCATCTATACATGTAATCCTGGTTATATATTGGTTGGAGATAATCGGATTTGCGACTCAGATGGCACATGGACAGGATCGACACCCCAATGCATTTCTGAAAGTGAGTCTAAATATGTATTTAATTATTTTGGTCTATACAAAATTATCATTTCAGTAATTAAAAACGGCATAATATTTTCTGAAAATACGAATCGTTTTGACAACCATGACCTGAAAAACAACAAAAACAAATGTATGTTAATAACTCTTTCTTTTATAATGGGCCTAGAGGTTTAATTTTGCCAAATATGACTTTAAACACATGATTGACTGAGTTATTAACATTTGTTTTGGTTACCTTTATTGGCTCACCCTGTATGTATATTTTGTTGTGTCAGTTATGAAATGAATGAGGGCATCGTTGACTGAAGGTGTTGTAGAAGATATGAATATCGCATTTATTTGTTCTTAGTCATTGGCACTGAATGTCCTATACCAACCACGAGGGCCTACTCCAGTGTGACTTACAATGGCCTGGTAATTGGAAGTATAGCGACCTACACATGTTTCTATGGTTATACTTTGGATGGTCTAGAGCAGAGAACTTGTTTACCCTCTGGAGAATGGTCAGGCTTGGCACCATTTTGTTCACGTGAGTTGTGCCATTTTGCATGTAATGATTCCCAGAATTTTATAGCAATCTGATTCGTCTTTGCCGCGGGATTTCTGCGACCTCGATCTAAAAAGGAATATCTTCACGATTGAGCCCAGCGAAAGAGTTAACATCACATATGAAGTTTTTACTTTTTTCCCATTTTTGCCAAAAAAGTCATAGTGATACAAATACTTCATCTTAAAATTCACCCCTTCAATACACGTCAGCATTGCATCCAGAAGTCGACTTCGGTCAAGTTTTTGATCGTCTGTTCATGCTTTACGATTAAAAAGATCATAAAATTGTCAGTTATTTCTTAATTACTGCCATAATATAAAGGAACATAATAGAGTGCAATTAAAACAGCTTGAACACGGCATCAAATTAAGACTCTCGGAAGCAAAACTTATGAAAGGGAGTGTAAATAGCCAGCTACCAGCTGAACTTGTCCAGTATTCCAATATTACTGCACAATGATTTTGGACATGTTGCATAAGAAGACTCGTGTTTTACATATCCAACCCCTTAAAGGGATACGAGCCCCTTAGAATAATCATATCTCCATTTTTAGTAATATCACTTTGGGCATGTTGCACAAGAAGACTCGTGCATACATATCCGACATTTTCATTATTATCATTATTAGATTGTCAAGTAAGATTAGTTTTTATTTGTTATTGGTCTTATGAAACAACACTGTGTGCCTCTCATTTCAATTGTGTGAAAGTTATATACTTAATTAATTTTAAATCGCAACATTAGAGAGGCCAATAATTGTATGTATCATCTGCTCTACTGATTTTGACGTATGTGTTACGATTTTAGGAAATGAAACTGCAACAAGGCCACCACCAAGGACTGGGGGCCAAACTGATGTTCAAAAAGGTACGGCTTAACTTAGAACACGCGGTACAACAATACATATTACGAAGGGATACAGACTGTTCAATATATTAAGGGGGTTGAAATTTTTACCAAGAATTTCTCCAAAATAACTAAAATATAAATGCTTAAAATTGCCGTTTATTTTCTATTAATATGCTTCAGCTAAAACAGTTGGCATAGTCGTCGGCGTTGTCATCCCAGTCGTTGTGCTTGTTTCTTTGACAGCTGGATTCCTGATATACAAGAGGAGGTGAGAGATATTACATGCCAAAGGTTCTATCTAGATCTCTGTTGAATTTCTTCAAATTACTATCAACAAGAATTTTTACGTATTTTGGGGTTATTTGTGTGAATGATCTGAATATTCTGTATTGTTTTCAGAAATAGTATACCTCCAAATCAACATGGAGTGGAAAACCCTACATATGACTCTCAACCGAAAACTTAAGCTAAACTACAATCACACACACTGTCGCAGATAAACAATATGGACGACTATATGTATTAGGCGTATATACATTACTAAATCGATAAACTACCCTGTCACCCATGCCTTTATCCACGCTTGTTCAATTGAGTTCGCTTGTTCAGTGATGTCAGAGTCTTGTTACCTTTCTGAATGTTTTACATGGGGTAATTTCACAAAATAAATACAATAAGAACACATGATTTGCCTTCGTTAACGAAATAAGAGAGACTTTCAAAATGTCATAGTAATACTACATACTATTAGTTAAGGATTACTTTGCCTTATAAATGATGAGTATGTGGCTGTAATACAGGTTTGGAATAAGATATCACCACCCTTGAATCTCCCCTTCCTTCTATATGGGTTCTCATTATTCGTGTTTGTCGATTCCCCTTATGTTATTGAGGTAAACATCGTAACATAGCATACTACGAAACTGAATATGACATATACAACTGTGGAATATGATAATGAGAACGCGTTACAGAAGTACGCATTCGAGTCGAATATGTCATACTCTACGTAATATGCCATATGCCGCATGTGAGTATCGCATATTCCGCAGCTAGGTGAGTGGCTTGTGTAACTGTATCGCAAATACCACACGACCATACATATATGGCATATTCCAGTTTTTATTGAACTGCGTAACAACTTATAAGTGTTTCACAAGGCTCCTCTTGGGTCATATAACCTAATACGGTCGAGGCGTGTATAGTGGATACTGCCCATCTTACTGATCGAGCTGTGAATAAATATTTTACACGTACAGCATGTTCAAACACTGTAATTCATAACATCCCAATCTGCATTTGAGCAAGAGGAGGGGTTACTAAAGTGAACGGACAACAATGATGATGAAAAACTTGTTTGAAGTTTGCAGTTGGATTACTTAAATCTCCAATCACTACTTCTAAATAAAATATAAACGTTACACGTTTAGTGCCTTTAAATTCTTCAAGGTATGGTTGTATTCAATATCTCCATTGTATTTTCTAAAGAAAGTTGAATTCGAATGATTAGACATTCATTGACAAATTATTTTCATGGTCTAATCGAATGTTTTTTGGATGAACCCTTCTCATTAAAAACTGAATAATTGATACTTGATGAATAAAATAGTAAGACACTTAAATGTCACACCTTGTTTGGGGACATAAAATAATGTGTTGTCAAATGACTTAAATGAATCAAGATACAAGATGGGTTAAACTTCAAACGGTATTTAATTAGGAATTAACATATCAAATGATCGTGAGCTTCTGAGGAAACATTCACAAATTGATTCATTCAAATATTTACCCTTAAAATAGAAAATTCAATCTTTAAGTTTCCACATATATCACTTGGAACGGAGAAGATAGGGACTGTACAAAGATCAAACAATTAGACAAAATGCAATACAAAATGTCGAGAATTCTTAGCAGTATAGTACTCAGCCTTGCAATTTTACAGAAAGTACTTTCACAAACCTTAGGTAAAGTATTTTTCTTTTTCAAATGTTTACAAATTGTATATTTTACATGAACATTATAAAGACATAACGAAAGTATACTTTCAATATATGTATACAGTAATATTAGCAACATAGTAGTAATTAATACTTTATAACGCATTTAATATGCCTCTTTCACAACAATAATTTATTTTAGAATGTAGAGGTGGTGAGTCAGACATTGTGTTTGTCATCGATTCATCTGGAAGTGTCGGTGATGCAAATTTTGACCAAGTAAGAAACTTTGTCAAATCAGTGGTGTCCAACTTGGATCTAGGACCAGATGCAATGCAAATAGGAGCATTGACATTCCATTATGGCTATACAGTACAGTTTCATTTGAACGATTACTCCTCAAAACAGACCATCTATAGCGCTATTGATCAAATACCTAACCCTGACCCAGGCTGGACGACTGCCACCAGGGAAGGAATTGAAGCACTCACGTCAACGATGTATACAGGTAATAAATGATTATAAGATCAAATATTGATATTGCTATATAAAAAACGTCAGGGCCCCCAATGTGAGGTCTTTGAAGTTAAAATTCAACCTTGTTCTACTCTATAAGATTATGAGCATTTCGTTTACAAAAATGTTGATTTAAGAGTTGCATTGAATTTCTGTTTTCGTTTAGTACAAAATGGTGACCGTCCTGGAGCGCCTAACATTGCTATTGTCATAACTGATGGTAAATCCAAGACTGGCGATCCAGTAGAAATGGCGACTATGGCTAAAGCAAGGGGAATAGAATTATTCGTCATCGGAATTAATACTACGGAGATAAACATCGAAGAAGTACCAATAGTTTTATATTCAGTTTTTTTTCACGTGCAAGATCAAAGAAGGGAAAAGTTGATAGAAACAATTTTGATTTATATGTTTTTGGATAGTCCGCCTAGTGTAATGTAAACTATATATAGTTATGTATAGTGTTCATAGATGTGAAAACAAACGAGTTCTACATACAATATTTCCGTATTACCATATTCTGATTTTTGTGATTTTAGATGCGTGCAATTGCAAGTGAACCGGTTGATGATTATGTATATCTTGTAAATGATTTCGAGGCCTTGACAGATATTACTGATGCGGTCACCAACAAAACATGCATAGATGTCCCTGGTATGCCAACGCATTTGTATTCTGGACGCATTGATTTTAAATTGGCGACAATGACGACACCACAACTCTTATAATCAACTGAAGATTCCTTTTAACATATGGCGATTGACCCCTTGTCGCATTGTTGGCCTAATATAATATTCACTGAATTGTACTTTTAGTTTGTGTTGGCAACAAAGCAGATGTTGTATTTCTACTTGATAGAGGAGATGGGATCGGCGAAGAGAACTTTGTTAAGATGAAACAATTCATTGAAGACATCGTTCGATCTCTGGAAATAGGCACAAATGCTAATCGAGTAGGAGTATTGACATTTGCAAGTGACACAAATGTTGAATTTTACATGAACACTTATGTCACCAAAAACGAAATTCTAAATGATATTAGAAATATAAGATACACTGGGGGTGCCACTGCTATCCCAGAGGCCCTGACTGCGCTAACACAGGATATGTTTGGTCCTGGCCGCGGGGGTAGAGCGTCAGCGAGGAAGTTCGGTGTGCTTATTACAGACGGACGATCAAGCACAGGGGATGTCACGGGGCCAGCGGATGCTGCAAAATCATCTGCAATTCAACTGTTCGCTGTTGGCATATTTGGTAGCAACAACATTGATTTTGATCAAATAAAAACGATTGCGAGTGATCCAGATTCTGCATTTGCTTTTTCTGTTGATGACTTCAACTTTCCAGAGGAAGTAATTGAGTCCATTTCGACTGGAACCTGTAATCAAATTGTCGGTGAGTGACAATATTCTACAATGCTAGAAAATAAGTTGTACACAATTTTAGTTTTTCATATTTTTGTAAGAAGCAAATTTGAATGATAAACCACAAATTCATATTTTTGTCCTTTACAGACTGCACAACAGGAAAACTAGACATCGTATTTATACTCGATTCTTCGGGCAGTATGACATCTGGAAACTTTTTACAGATGCTCGTCTTTGTTGAAGACATTGTCAACGATATCGATCTTGGCAATGTTCAAATAGGCGTCATCACATTCTCGACAGAGGCTCGTATATCCGTTCCCTTAAACAAAGCTAAAAGTAAAGCAGAGCTCCAGAGTTACATTATAGGTATCAAATATGACGGTGGTTCGACGCTGACTTACGATGCTCTAAAGATGGCGCGAGAGGTTATGTTCACACCAGAGTATGGAGACCGAGATGACGCGTCTGATTTGATTATCTTGATAACAGATGGCGCTGCAAAGGACAAAGATCCTCTTCCAGAGGCCCAATCTCTAAAATCGAATGGGGTTGTAATGTTTGTTGTCTATATTAAAACAGATGAATTGACCATTAACGAGATAAATGCTATTGCGAGCAGACCTACTGAGAAGTACGCTATTGTCGTTGACAGTTTTGATGAACTTTATACAGCTACCAATGACCTTATAGTTGGAGCATGTGGTATTGCCCGTAAGTAAATAGTTCAATGAAGTTTTTTTCTTGTTATCTAAACTGAACTTTAATTATTTTTCATTGTTATCAATTTATCTGGTTATGCGTATATCTATTATACCTTGTCAAATGTATGAGGATTCCTTTTATCGTTTATTTTATGAAAGGTCCAACAGTAAAACCCTTGACAACCCCGATATTAACAACCCAAAAGACAACTACAATACAACGAACGAATCCATCCCCAACATCAACCCGAGCAACGCAAGCACCAACTATGGATACAACGGGACAAGTAATCACCACCCCTCGTATCATAGAAACAGGTATCGATGCAACTAACTAAAATATATCATTAGTTTTGAACAATATCTGTACTGAAATGTGGTATTTTTACTAAACATGTTTATATAATTATACTGGTACAACTAAAATCTAAGGATTCTTATTTTTAGAATGTGACGGGGCGATAGTTGATATAGTCTTTGTCATAGACTCCAGTGGAAGTGTTGGCATAAACAACTTCCGACAAGTCTTAGTATTTGTGGGATCAATCGTTCAACAACTTGACATTGGAGACATTTTCACAAGAGTTGGCGTGATGACATTTGATTCCTTCCCAAGGGTACAGTGAGTATCAATAAATATTATTTGAAGGGCTTCGTCAACATTTTCAATTGATAAATGCTCAGAAATTATGAAAATATTGTATCGCATGATTAATAGCAATTCTATAAATAATTAGTTCAAAGGCAAAATGTTCAAGATACATTCGTATACATCTACCAACCTATCTAATAACGCTTTCTTTATAGATTCCATTTAAACGAATATACGACCAAAGCCTCGGTTAGGCTAGCAATCGATAACATTGGCTATGGAGCTGGTGGGACTGCAACTCGTGAAGCCCTTATTGAAGTACGTGATAGTATGTTCATTGCCAACAAAGGAGATAGACCAACAGTAAAGAACTACATGGTGTTTATTACGGATGGCAATTCTAAAACTGGTGATCCCGCACCAATAGCAAAACAATTAAAAGATGCAGGTGTAACCATCCTTGCAATTGCCATCGCATCTCCAGATTTAGATATACCAGCGGTACAAGCGTTGGCTAGTGAGCCGACACAAGAAAACAGCTTTATTGTTGACGATTTTTCAGCTCTTACTGGAGTCACCAATCGTATTGTGAGTGGGGCATGCACTCAAGTTGTTGGTATGTTCACATGTTCATTTCATCTGAATTATCGCACTTTGGAAGGGGGTATCTGAATGGGACAGCTTTGGTATTCTTTTATCCGCCCCCATCAAATATTTTTGTTTTCATCAGTCAAATAAAAGTGATTTCTCATTTCTCATCTTACCTCAAACTTGTTAAATGTTCCCTACATAGAAATATGAAATACATATATCATAAGTTCGTTTAAGTCGAGTGTTCACGCATCCCTTTTCAATTTTAGATTGCAGTTTTGGGTTCGTGGACTTGTCTTTCGTGATAGATGCCTCTTACTTTGTGGGTCACTTCAACTTCCTTCAGATTCTAGAATTCATCAAAGATATCGTAAGAAATATTGACATTGGCTCTGATAAATTTAGAGTTAGCATTGTAACTATATCTGATGATGCTCGTGTGGAAATATATTTGGAAAGTTTCTTTAACGCCAAGGCAATCATTGATGCTATCGATACAATAAGGTATGATCAAGGAGCGAGAAATTTGTCTGCAGCCTTGAAGAAAGTCAGAGAAGAGGTGTTCATTTCAGTCAATGGAGATCGACTTTTCGTGCCCAACGTTGCAATTGTTATTCTGTCTGGAAAAACAGCTAACACTGACATAAAAACGGAGGTCTTACTGACAAAGGCTAATGGAATCATCATGTTTGGTATTGGTATAGAATCCGCTAGTCTTGATATGTCAGAAATCAACACAATATCCAGTAATCCTAACCAAATATTTACATATGAAGTGTCATCAGCGTCGAGATTAAGAGATATAGCCAGTAGTCTTTCCGAGGGAGTATGTGGACCACAGGTGCAACAACTTGGTGAGTAATAGTAATAGTACCCTAATAAGTAAGACCACTTTAAACAAACTTCCAATACCAACGATATATTATATACAATTATAAAATTACTTTTTATTTGCGAAACAGTCCGGATAATTTTACTTGGGATTTCAATTGCAGAGTGCAGTAAAAGTAAAGCTGATATTATATTCATACTAGACGCCTCGGAGAGTGTAGGCCCACAAGACTTCATCAAAGTTCGAGAATTTGTGAGAGCAATAACACGTGAACTTGATGTAAGTCGAGACACCAATCGCATTGCTGCCATTTCTTTCTCAGATGGCGTCACGGAGCATTTCTTCTTGGATACATTTGATAATAAACAAGATGTACTTGACGCACTTCAGAATATATCTTACGTAGGGGGATCTACAAATACTCAAGCCGCCCTCGTAGCTTTACGCGAGGATATTGCTATACCGGAACGAGGTGACCGGGAGGAAATTCAAACAATTGGTATTTGTTTAACAGATGGTGCTTCAAAGGTTCGTGGTGTCCGTGAAGCTGCAACTGCAGTGAAAGATATGGGAGTTGCGCTGATCATGATCGGGGTGAACACAACATCGTTGAGCATTGATGAATTGAACGACATTGCGAGCAAACCAACAAAAGACTTTTCATATGTGATTGAAAGTTATTCAGAATTATTCAGCATTTCAAGTAAGATAACAGAGGCGGCTTGCTTCAATGTCATCGGTAAGTTAATTTATATCATATTTACGAAGAATCGACGTTCGACTTATCTTGACAATTGCCTGCAATATCAATGGTGTAATAATACTTCCCCCTGTTTATCAATCGATAAGAAAAAAAGAAAAATGAAATCGTTTCTATTATAGCATGTCTCGGGAGCAAAGTAGACATACTATTTGTTGTTGACGCCTCGAAAAGTATTAACCCAAACAACTTTGAGATAATTCGACAATTCATCCGAAACATCGTGAGAGAACTGCACATTTCAAAGGATGCTGCCCAAGTGGGTCTGGTCACCTTTCACAATACTGTTACTCATCAATGGGATTTGAATACATACCATGTCAAACCATATCTTCTGGCTGCTATAGACGAGATATCCTACAAAGGAGGGAGCACTGATACAGCAGGGGGTTTACGAGAGGCCGCGAGAATGCTTAAGGACCCCGCTCTGGGTAACAGAAATGATGCCCAGGACTTAATTGTGGTTATTACTGATGGTGAATCTAAGACCGATGACCCTGTCCCCATCGCTGACTCACTGAGGGTGGATCTAGATGCTATCATATTTGCAATTGGTATTGACGCCCCTTCTCTAAATCCTGTTGAACTGGATGCGATTGCAAGCTATCCACCCGAGGATTTTTCGTTTGTCGTAGATGACTTTAACAGTCTTACAAGTGTCACTTTCCAGATAGTCCAAGCATCATGTGGCAAGATACCTTCAAGTAAGTAAACTTTATTGATCTAAGAACTATCCAATATCTGCACGAATCAGCTGGACAAATGGACGGACATGATAAAATTTAGCCTTTTACATAAGCAAACTGTACCATTTGGTGAATTTATTGTCGTGTTTCAGTCGGTTGTATTCTTTCCTACCTTGTCTTCCTGGCATTCTTGAAAGTTGCATTATCAATATATAAGCACAAGTGCCAAAGGGAAAGGACCAAAAGTTGTAATGGAACTTAGCGAGAAAAAGCAAACTCTAAGAGCATACCAGTCAAGAAAAACAAACCCCATATAGCCCAAAACCATGATCTAACGTGAAAAGAAACAATGTCTAATACCCCCTTTCCCCCACCATTCAAGAACCAATATCACAATCCAAGACCAGAAGACCAAGGGACATTTCATTCATACTGAAGTCATTACAATACATGTTGAAGAAAATATTAGAAATTGATAGCCAGCAATTGATAGCCAATACTCATAACCTCAAAAATAGTTGTATATATAAGTACTCATACAAGATAGAACATTCAGTCTCAAATGATGTGGGATAGATAAAATCAAGTTAGTTATATTTCCCCAGGCCTATCTAATGTTTTCTGGCTATCTATTAATTTTCAGGAAGAATAACTACAACTGTGAAACCGCCCACAGAAATAACTGGACCCCAGACTACCACGATACCCGAAGGGCAAAGAACTACCACTAGAGGACTTCCACCAACCAGATCACCTCGTCCAACTGTTGGACCCCCAGGTCAGAAACCTACAACGACTATCACAACTACACCTCCAGCTACTGTCCCTCCCTCTACCACAACAACCCAAAGGCCAACTTTACGTATGTTTTCATAGATGGAAATATGAGCTTTCAAATTCAGTTTTATTCAGACAAAACTATCAATGTTAAGAATGAAATGTCCATGGCCAAATATGTTAGTACAATTATTAAAATAGTAGTATCTGACTAAATTTTTTATTTGCGTTCTAAATCATTAGACTCTATCCAATTTCAGCTGAAGAAAAGATCATCAACGCGGAACTTTGTTTTGTCATAGACACAACCTCCCAAACATTTGAAAATGAACAACTTGAATCTGTAAAGAACTTCATGATGGCAATGCTAGGTGGGCTTAAAATAAATTGGGATGGTCTTCAATGCGGCGTTACAGTGATATCCAACAAAGCAAGAGTAAACCTCTATCTTGATTCAAGTCAGGATGCTTATGGTCTTTTCAAAGAAATTGGCGATTTAAGATTGACATATGACAGCAAAGGTGTGAAACGCAGCGGAGGTACACTTGATTTGGGAATACAACAAATGCGTGAGGAGATATTTGCAGAGCAAAATGGATTGCGAGATGATTACAAAAAGTTTGGAATCGTTATATCCGATGGCAGTTCACTCTCAGGGAATTTAGCGCTGCAAGCAAATATGGCGAAGTATAGTGACAAAATAGAGATGTTTATGATGTATAAAAATAACACAAATCTGAATGCACAAGAGGTAAAGAGGCTCGAGGGCATAGCCACAGATGATGATCATTTTATCACGTTCAATAGCTACGAAGGTGAAATGCAGCAATATGCCAGATATATAATCGACATGATCGAGCAAAATACAGGTATTAGTGACAAAATATCATAAATATGTACATTATATAGAGCTATTTACTTGGATAAAGAAGATATTTCTAAGTTCTTTAAGAAACAAGTTGCCTACGTTCAACTTTATAAAAGAACCAAATAATTAAAAGTATTTGTAATTATGATTCAATTATGAATTTTTTAAAATACACATTGTGCATGACGCATTCTAAGCATTTTAAACTATAATTGTTACAACATTAATTTTTCTTATTTTGTGACGATCACGCCCCACTCCCTGTTTAGACCCATGTAACATTAATGCCCCTTACATTTTAGTTGTTACAACAGTAAGAACGACAACACCAGTCACCGCTTCTAACTCAGGCGTCACAGGTGTGAACACTGGTGGGAGCACAAATGTAAACACTAATGGAAATACTGATGGAGGAAATACTGGCAGGACAAGTGGAGGAATGATAACCACAACAACAACATCTACGATCGGTATCACAGAGAGTATGTACTGTTACTATAAAATACTAGTTAACTGCTCGCTATTTCCTTTGGGTTGTAATTTCATTGGCATGTCTTTGCAACTATTTGTTTTAAATTTTCTAAAAACAGGCTATCCCGACACCGTCATCGTGATTTCCTTGGAAGTCAATTTTAAATTGCTATTATAAATGACCACGTGATGAGACAGGTTTTAGAAATGTAAGTTCTGTTTTAGCTCCAAATGCTGAAAGTCAGATACTGGCTGAGACCCCTACTATAATTGGCATCATTGCGGCAGCATGTGTAATCGGGACCTTGATATTAGTAGGGTCAGTATGGGCAATATGTAGAAATAGGATGCGACAGAGCGAGAAGGAACGACGAATGATGAACGGCACTGAGTCCCTGTACTCCTACAGCAGCAGCAGGGGTCAGCCAACCCACAATCCGGCGTACATAGATGAAGATGTAAGCGTTTTCTATAATATGCGTTTAATGGTTGATATTTTGGCAAGTTTATCATATTATGCCAAGTTCAATGTTATATAGAAATCGACCTTAATGTAAATTACTTTTGTGATTAATTTTTCAAAGTTTTTATTATATTTCCAGCAGGACTACATAAAGCACGGAATACATGACCAGGAAGGGGTGACGGCGAATCCGATATAAAAGCCTGCTCCTTGAACAAATCATTTGGACGATCGTGAATGAGTTTTGAGTACTACATTAAAATGTAAAAAATAAGTCAAATCGATAGTTGGTGTTTATTTGCCTGTGTTAATGTGTCCTGTATACGTTTTTGTGTTAATCGCTAACAGATTAATGACATTACTGTGAACTGCAATGCTTTCAGTAGACAGGCATTCCTCGATTGATTTGCCTCTAAACTGATCATGAATAATGCTGTTTCGAAACCTGCTATGTATCGATAACTACATGAAGGAATTTAGTAATAGATGTACCAGTTATGGTAAATCATTTTTGACAGGTGCATTTCCCTAATGATTTTATTCTCATCAAAATAATACGTTTCCCTCTGAAAACTCAAAAAACGCAACAAGCAGTGATCTCGTAAAACCACAAAACGAGTGATGACTACATCAATTTCATTCAACGTACCATAAAGCCACGTCCCTCGTGGATGGTATGCCCCTCGAAATGGTATGTCATTCATTCACATGTGGTCATGGTTGGGCGGAAGATCATACATTTTGCACAGTGGGCCAAATTCGGCTCTGGACCAAGTTTCAGATATATATATTGCAAAAGTCAGTGCAAGGGCTAAGTGCTACAATTAAGTTCTCCTGATCTGAATTGTTGTGACTTTTTCTATTGAAGCTCATGAGCAGAGAGTTAACCATTCCTCCACCAGATTTTACAAAATTTTGGGAAAGAATTGCCAATGGGCTGCTTTTTCCGCCTTAAGCCACAGATGACTCAGAGCTGAGCCATGAATGACATGGAGAGATGTGCGCATCTTTGTGTGCAAAGAAGTGGCGGCATTTTGGAGGGGTATAGGATATATTCTTGTAAGAGTATGAGTATGAACACTAAAATACTGTCTATGCCACACATGCCACACCTTCTTCCAATTGCCCTTATGCCTCATGCACTGACTTTTGCAATGTTTTAAACTTGGTCCCGAGCTGATTTTGCCCCACTTTGCGAGAGCAATGATTATTTGGCCAACCATGAATCCATGTGAATGAATGACATATCGTAGCCAAGAGGGGAAATGTCACTTTGTGGTACATTAAATGAAAAGGATGCAGTCACCACTGTTTTTATATTTTCTTCCAATTCGAGCTAAACACCTAGAGAAGATGTATCTATCATTTATTCTCCCAAACTTAGAGTATGGAAGTATATTATTTGAAAAATCTACCAAGTATAATATTATGAAACTAGACCAAGTTCATTATAGAGCAGCATTATTAGTAAGTGGCTGCATTCATGGAACATCTACTGTAAAGGTTTTGAAATGTCTAAATTGGAATACCCTGTCTGAGCGGAGAAAGGAGAAACGTTTACGTTTAATGTATGATGTTAGACAGAAATTGGTTCCAACTTATGTCCAAACATTTTTTGATAGTTATCAAAATAAGCAACATAATATTAACTTAAGAAAATCAAGAAAATACAATATTCCAAAGTTAACTGCACGTTCACAAAAGTCACCAATAATAAATGCCATAGGAGAATGGGAAGCCATCCCAAATTATCTAAAAAGTGCACCATCAAGAGTCACTTTCAAAACCAATTTACGTAAATATTCAGGGACAATGAAGCATTTAACAACCACAAACCTGGATCTTACAAGAAAAGAAGAAATTTTACTGAATAGAACAAGATGTGATTTCATTTTTACTGGTCATCTTTTTCAACATAATTTTCAAGGTATTGACAGTCCCAAATGCATCTGTGGTTTTAAACAACAAACTACAAAGCATCTAATCTTCAAATGCCCTCTGTTGAATGTTATAAGAGAGAAACTTTGGGGGGAACTCAGGAACATGCCAGAAATGAACATTTTCTTTACAGGATGCTCTATAGAGCAAAAGCTGAATATCTTAATGTATGGCAGAGATGGAGTTAGTATAACATGCAATTCTTCAATATTGAAGCATTTTACATCCTTTTTGTGTGAATGCATTAATATAATTATATAGTTTTTAACACATTCCTGCCATGCATACATACATGTTGGTAGTCATTTTGTTGCTATTTTGTAAATTTGAATAAACTTTGTATTAACAGGGCCAATAATGCTGATTTCAGCCTCGGCCCTGTCATTTGTAGATAATTTTGTAAAGTAAAATAAAGAATCCATAAAAACTAACTAAACTTCCAATGGCACCTGGCCCCGTGGATTGACTCGCGATGTTTATTACTTGGTCCCAAGCTTATTTTGGCCTACTTTGCAAAAGGAATAAGTACTCGCCCAACCATGACCCAATGTCAATATATGACATACCATTAGAAAGAGGAGACACGTGGCCTTGTGGTACATTGAATGAAATCAATGCTGTTATTACTGGTTTTGTGGTTTTCTGAGATAACTATTGGTTTTTTTGATACGCACTATATCCACCCATATTAGCGACAGATGCCTGCAAACCTTACTTCGAGGAAAATAAAATATAACTTCATGCATGGTCAAAGATGTGACTGTCACGCCATTTGGCAAACCGTACCTGATCTTTTGTAGCGTTTTATAAATAAACTATTTTTATAATTGATATCATTGTTTATTTTTGTTGTATTTACAATTCATAATTGTACATTATTAATTTTACAAATTTTACATATACATAACATATACACCGTTGTCCATATACATGGAATATATTCCAATTTTCATTTTTGGTCTGATCAGGAAAAATTATAACGCTTTTGAAATTTAATGTCTAAGCAGAAGTGTCAAAGAGAAAGGACCGAAACTTGTAATGGCACTTTGCAAGAAAAAGCAAATTCCAAGTGTATACCAGTCTAATGAAAAGAAACAATGTCTAATACCCCCTTCTTCCGCCTCATTCAAAAACCAATATCACAATCCAAAACCTGAACACAGAGGGACCTTCCATTCATACTGAACTAACCACTGAAGCGCTGATGGAATATTCTGATATAAGAGCGTTTTATCGAGACTAATTATAGTTTACTACAATTGCTATCTAAACGGACTTTTTAAAACAATCGTTTTTGCTTACGTTCATATAATTAAAACTCGTGTAATTGTTATAGTTATCGAGAAAGTGTACTGTTTTTGAAAAAGATATTCCAGATATTGTGCAACAGTGTATGTAATCATGTATAAACGTTCATAGTAAACAAATAATTCAAATATATTTATAATGATCCTTCTGAATACAAATATTATATTATTTACATTTATTTCATTATATACTGAAAGACTCGGGTATAAAATCTAAAATCTGTAAAAGAAACTAGTCATTCTCTGTCACTTAATTGCAGAGAATCTACCATATCCATCTAGGCATCTACCTATTCTACGTCATATTAGACTCAACTCGGACCCTAGTTAAATCAAAAAAATAAATGTATCATAAAGTTGGACCTATTTAATGTATTCTCCGAACAAAGAACTTCAGAATTCAAACTTTTTTCTCCAATACAAAGGGAAAGTATATTTTGGATATCGAAGACCTGCGTTCGGAGTCTCCTTTGATGGAGTTATGTCACATCAGTTATTGGCACCAAAGTAATGTAGGAGTGGTATAAAAATAAAAATCTGTAGACACCACTTTCATCTACGGCTACACATATTTACAATAATGTGGTTTTTAAATCGGTGGAATACAGATATTGGATTTGAATATGGGGATGAGCAAAAAGCTTAACTAGTTGAAGCAATTCCTGAAATACTATAACTGAAATTGACACCGTTGAAGTTAGTTATATCATTTAAAGCTTAGGGCAGAATCAGATCTAGCAAGATCCGGATGAGTACTCTTGACAAAAATTGCTTCAATTTTAGAATATTTTTTGCTCATTCATTGTCATGGCTATTACTTTTAAAAACACCCAAAGTAGGCTATATAATTGTATTTGAGGAAATCTAAAGATACAAGATCTACAATAATACATTCATTTTTCAATTTTATGATTGCCGTTTCTAATATTTGAGAGAATTTAAGCAATTTTTCGCCATTTTGGCACTTGGTATCCTTTATAACTTCATCAATTTATAACACATCATTGATCTTGTGGGAGATTTTATATTTTGAGATTGTAAGGAATATATTAGTAGGTCAACTGTACATGTTACTTGTAATTTTGTCACTCCCAATGGATCTGATTCGTATTATAACCACCTTCATCGGATATCAAGGTGGTTCATTTAAATTAGTCCACGATTATAAATCATATGCGTTTTTGTTGTATTTCTCATTGTGCTTTACTTCTACTGAACTGATATTTCTTTTTATTTCATGGTCCATTCAGCATTACTAACTCACGAGACTTGTACCCTCGCCACTGTCCGCACTTTTTATACTAAACGAAGTCTTATATTGTATACGCGATGTAGAGCTAGCCCTTGAGCTTGGCCTTCCACTGATGATTGAACCGGTGGGTTTATCACTAATTAAGCTGGTGGGTTTATCACTGAGTGTGCTTGCACGTTTATCACCAATTGGACTGGTTGGTGCACTACTGAGTGAGCCATCGTTCTTGCCAGTAACGGCTATGGCAGCATAGGGATTTTCTTCTATATCCTTGGTTAGATCACTAGTTGTTCCCACCTGTTTGTAAACTCTTCCTCCTGGCGCAGTGAATTTATCTACAAAATACACATCTCCCCTTTGACCTTGTTCGTCTTCGCTTACATGTAGATAATAAATTGAAATCTAATTTGAAACAAGCAAAACATTAAGTTGATTTTTATAACGTAGAATAGAAGTATTACACGATTGATATTAACATTTAAATCAGTTGGATAACTTAACAATGGGCATGCACAGAAACCAGGGTATAATGATCTTCGTAGCACCTACTCATGTAAACAAACTATCATAAAAAACACTGAACCCCATATAATATTAAGGGGCAAAAAGGATGAGAAACAATACTTGCAAATCCCGTAAAACCCAAAAAGTGACAACATTTAGAAGAATTGGCAAACTCGATAATTTTATTAATTTTACGCCAGTTGTAATTTTCTGATGTTGTCACGATTTCAAGCACTGTAAAAGCATTATTTTAAGCATGGTTTAACTAGCATGAACCAGATCACTAAACTAAAGGTACAAGCTTCGTCTTTCTACAAAAAAGTTAAGCCGCCAAACGGTGAGAAGTGTGCACTACAAAGGCACAATTCAACCCGAATGTGTAAAGCTTAGGTGATTACAACATAAACTACTAAGAATACTACAATGCTAATAAAAGCAAATAAAAGATCTTTCTACATTGCTATTTTACTGGATTATCTTGTGTTGACAAGAACAAAAAAATAGAAGCAAAGCACGAACATTGATTTGCTTGATTGTTGATACATTATGTGAGAGTTTACATTGAATGTTAAAATGCAATATTGGTTTCCTGTAAAGTATAATCTCATTTTGATGACATATCTTGTCTCAAAACACAAATGGTTAATTTAATTTCTAACTACCATGGACATCAGTTTAACATGCAAACTCTCAAATAATGATCTACTCTATAAGTTTTAAAATAGTGATAACAGACATGCCTCGTATACCAGAAAAACATTTTAAGTACCTTTTACCAATAGTTTACCGTCGTGTCTGCATTAATACAAGCAAATACATTTTTAAATCATCCGTACATATTGAGATTGCATTTTTGTTTGTACATCAAAACTATGTTAAGTAAATGTTACAATAAAGAGAAAGACACACGGGCATTAGCTATACGATAGAAAAGGGAAATACATGTATTAGTAGATGAAATGAAGATTGTGTAATACTAGTTCCAAACTACAAACAGTATTACAATTATGTGTGTTAAATTGTGTTTTTGTGTTGCTGTGGCGTCATAATGACAAACAGTGATGGTGGTATTTTAGTGAAAACGAACATAATTAGATTTAGCAAATAGCTTTTAGTAAAGAACTGCAGTTCTATCTACGTGCAAGTATCCAAGATGGCGGTCAGATTGTGCAGTAGGCCTACCCGTAAATAAACTGCTCCCTCGTGCGCTTTCTGGGTCAATATCACCTTTGATTTGTGATTCCTAAAATATAATCAAGTTGAATTACAACAGAATAATTTGAGATAATCAAATGTTTCGCAACATAAGCATCTTGCCATAGCATTTTAAGCAGAATCAAAAGGCAATTAATTCGAACAATATTACAGCTCTTAACACTTGGTAAGGACACCAAGGAAATTAAAGAAACAACGCAAATATAGGATTAAGATAATCTGTTCAACAATACAAAGCTAATATCTACATATAGGTAGATCTAGGCTATGTACGGAAAGCTAGTAGAATGCCATAAATAACACATAACGAGACCAATATTTTATTTCAAAACAAGCAAAACAACAATAAATAAATAAGAAACATCACACTTCAGTCATTCAGCCAGGTATTGCTCCTCGAAATAAAGCCATATTCGACCTCTCTGATCTTAGTAAATAATCACCTCTTAGTAAACAATCACCTCTAATCATCTCTAGCCTTGATTAATGTGATGTTTGTAAATCTTGCATGGTATCGTATTATTAATGTGATACTTGTGATTTTAAACAACATATCATCTCACCTGATCCATTTCATCCTCTACTTCGGCATGCTGCATGTAATAAGGGTTTGCTATCTTCACACCTGCATATCTCTTGCCACCATCGAGAGACTGTTGCCCCTTACTACGGGCTTTAACTCTAGACCGACAGATGAAGTAGATGAGGCACATAATGATGAAGAATGCAAGTACACAACAGACTGCAATTATTGCAACCTTCTCGTCGTCACGGAGACCAACCTGGGGTGACGCTACAAAAACATGTATCAATGTTAAAAAATCGATTGATTTTGACTGCGTAATGTCATTTTTTCAACATTAGCACTAAAATAAATGCTTGAATTATCACACTCTGTATACGAGCATATTTGAACGGAAGATGGACAAGGAAAGACACACTTGGAAACATCATTTATTACGAGTAAGATATCTCGGTTTAAAGGTGTTTCTTGAACGAAGCATTTCAGAAACTCCATAGTAGCTCATTATATCGACTTACTTATAGGTTGTGTTCCGCATACTGCCTCAATAGCGTTGGCTTCTATGTCACCGAGCTGATCCGTACTATCAATCATAAAAGTATATTCGAGCCCTGCAATTTTCTCCAGATCCTCCTCAAGTACAATATTGTTCCTATCTAAGCCTATTGCTGTGACGGCAACCCCAGTATCACGCAGCGTGGCAGCAGGAGATTCGATATCACCTCTAGAAGATGTATCTCCAGCAATTATTATTGCAACCTTATTAGCATATGATCGACCTAAGTTGTTTGGTTTATACATATTGTCTCGTAACAGCGTTAATGCACCTATCATATCTGGCACTTGGCCCATCTTGGTGGGTATTGTTTGAAGTTGTTGGATAACATCTTGTTTGTTTGAAGAGAGATAAAATACTACTTCGGCAAATCCATGGAAGACAATTACACCAACTTGAGTATTTCCACTACTAATATCAAGTTCACTAATAACATTTTCTACATATGTTATGACTTTGTCAAAGTCATCTTGAGCAAGTGTTTGGTCAAGCGCAAACACTAAATCAACTGTTTTGTCTCTGCATCCTGGAACACAAAATCGAGAAAATGAAAAATAAAATAAGATAGTAAATACGTCATATAAGTAAATGGAAATAGGAGTATAGTACCCCCGTGGATAGTACCGTGGGAACTGGGCTCACATGGTGTTTGTGTACTAGTTTCCGAGACGAAATCCAACCAAAGTCGCAATTTAAATATTTACCAATAAGGAGACTAAGCATTTGTAGACTTTTTGTACCAAGAAACATACCTGAAAATTCCAGATTGATCCATGGACTGGTCGGACACATACTTTACCAAAAATGCCCCAAAACAAATGCAATTCAATACAATATTTACAATAAAAAATTGCCGATGTTTTCTACAAATCGATCATTATCTCATAACACTAATGTTACCAGTGACATGGGGTTATACAATACAAGATACCTGAAAGTATTTAAAAAGCTACTAAATCTAAAAAGTGAATTTCCCGATTAAAAATGGCGTCCATTTTGAAAAAAGGTGAGCTTTTGAACCAAGAGTTGACGGGAAAGTGAGTGATTGTGATAGCTGAACATGTAATAAACTAGAAAAACAGAAACTCCACGGAATAGCATATCTCCCCGAACAATACATATTTTGATAAAAGGCGGCCATCTTGAAAAATTCTTATCGAACAGAGCTCCCTTGTCTCCTTGGTATCAGTATGTAAAATATGAACCAAATCCTTCCACTGATATTTGAGTTATGGTGGCCATTTTGAAAAATGCCGGCCATCTTGAAAGTTTCTCCTCGAGCAGATCTTTTTTTTATCTTTTAGCATCAGCATATCAAATTTGAAACCGAATCCGTCCACTGGTATTTGATTTATCAAATGAACGTTTTTTAAGAAAAATGATGGCCATTTTGAAATTGAATCCATCCACTGTAACCTGAGTTATCAAAGATTACGTTTTTCAACGAAAATGGCAGCCATTTTGAAATTCAGCCCCTTTGTCCCAAGACAATAATCCCTAAAATTCTTTCTTGAGCAGAGGTCCTACACCCAAGAGGCATAAGCATGTACAATTTGAATCAAATCCGTTAATCGGCATTTGAGTTATCGCTCGGACACACTTAATTGTCGGACGGACGAAGAGATGGCTTCTCTGTATCCCTCTCGAACTTCGTTCAGTAGGGTAATAAGCATTTTGATGATGATCGTTGGTTGAGCATTCATGCAGGGAAAGTAAAAATTATTTTTATGATAGTGTGCTTTCTTAACCTGATTCATATGGTGGTGTAGTGGCGCCATCTATTGGATCCTTTATGACATTTGTTACATCATTCTTCATATCATCCAGTTTGTCGTAGCCACTGGCAGCAATTGCTTTGTCTGGTCCGGATGCGATCTTCTGCATTTCGAGCTCATTGGCGACTTGGTTCGGCGTAACAGTTACAACTGTAGCTCCTTGTTCTTTCAAATCATCAGCAGCTTCAGTGACGTCAGTATCGGATGGATTTCCTGATATCAGGACAGCAATTTGTTCCACACCTTCTCGACTTGTATCATTGTCAAGATTCTTGCGCTGTTCAAGGAGTTCTCTGGTTGCTACTAGCGCAGCAGCAGTATCAGTTGAACCTTGTCTATATGGAATATTCTCGATTCCATTTAAAACTTCTTGTTTTGTTTTGAGTTCAGTAAAGTTGAACATAACAACAGGCGTATCACTATAACTAATTACTGCTACTCTTGTTGCTGTTGGACCGATCTCCATATCATTAACGAGGGATTTTATCAACGCTTTCTGCTTCTCAAAGTCGCTGAATTCTGTGTTTGATGAGCTGTCTAGTATAAACACAACATCTGAAATAATATAATTCAAATAATTGCTAGAAATAATTATATAATAACTTTGCGTCAGTTGTTAAAGAATTGGCTTGGAAACTTTTGGTGATTAGGTTGGGAAACTCCCTTGGAGATTCCCAAGTGGCCATATGATCTTATCTCATTAATGTTTTAACATTGGTGCTTTCTACTGGGTAACCTTATTTGAACTGCTTATGGTAAACTAGGATTGTTCAATGCATAATGTATCACACTGCGATAACATGTATTATCAAAAATCGCCCACATTTTGACAATTACAGATCTTAAGATTATTAAACTACTTACTTTACAATCGCTCCTCATGATTAAAACGTTTCAAAACTTACTTTTCAGACCAGTATCAGTTTAACGGCAGATAAGTATCATGAAGCTTACCTTTTGGTTCGGTTGAAATCGGAATTTCCGTAGTTTGGAACACTGAAATATGTAAAATATACGATTTTAAAATCTTGTGTTCTAATACTTCAATTGGCAAAATGGAGGAATCAAGTAAAAAATTACATTCGAAATAGTTTTTGTTAAATTGTTTTGTATAATAATTTGGTTAACCAATTCATAAATCAAAATGTCAATGACAGATTGTTCTAGGCCTTGAGTATGATCTTGGTGATCACCAAATTAAGCCGTACTTTGGGGTTTGTAGGCGTCTTGTGAGTTATATATTGTGCAAGATCATAGCAGTACTATGTTATATTGCTTTGATGCAGAAATCATTAGCTCACCCTGAGTCCATCGCATGTCTGTTGGTTTCATGGCATCACCATTGGGTGCCCTGAGTGTGTAGTCAGTGACCTGGGTTTTCAGCCACAGGGCTGTCAAGGCATTAGACATAGATGGGTCTGATGGATCCTCCGATCTCCAAATAGTAAAGAACAAAAGAACACTCCCTGAAAGACAGTGATGCAGTTACTAAATTGTTAAACGATTGGGGATCTTCTGACATCCAGATAGTGAAAAACATCAGATAATTCCCCGAATAACAGTATTAACCCTCGGAGTGGTTTATGAATTGAAACACAATGGGGATCTTTTTATCTCCACACAGTGAAATCTAATTGTACAATTTTTGAAGTACTGTTATAAAATAATTTTCTTTATTCATGAAATATAGATCGAAGAGCAGGGGTTATATCGTCGAATACACCCCGCAAGGTTAGGCATAAATGTTTTCTGGTTCGAAAGCTTTTGTAAGGGGTGTACTCGACGATATTACCCCTGCTCTAAGGTCTATATTACGATTCAAACATGAAAACTCACCAAAATGTTTCGAATATTCATTATGGTCCGCCATTACTACGGACCGCCGTTATAACAACACACATTACTCGTATTACCAGGGGCATTGTTCGCGAATATACCCCGGGTGAAATGTTGACTTTGTTTACAGATTATAGAAGGCGTGAATACAGTCACGTTCGAATTATTTTTATATCATTGACGTGTACGTTTTTTTAGCTGCCATACCTGGTTCTGCATCGTTCATATCAATCAATGCTTTATTGACGCCAGTAGTCTCAGAAAGCTGGTTCTCCATATCCAGTAAGAATTGTGTTTTGTCTGGGGCAACTACCTTGTTGTAGTCAGCGTCAAGAGTCAATTTCACCTGGTAGCCTTGGGCATCTTCAACTACATTCACTGTAGAGAGACAATAACAGAATTTTTAACTATAAAAATGTGATTGCAAACGTACATGGACTGAACCAGTATTTTATAAATTATAACTTATTTTCAGAAAATGAGAATTGAATTGTGAAATACTGATATCAAATGAATGAACATGTATTTAATTGGTTTTTATGTTAATGATAGAGTTGTGCTTTTGTTTTATGTTTGGGTGTGACATGTCATTTCAGGTGAGGTTTTATTAACAGAGCTGTGTTAAGTGGAGTCGGGTTCACAACACACAATTATAGTAAATATTAATAAGTGACACTGAAGAATATATAAAACAATCTAAACATGTACAACTAAGTGAGAAATGTGCTTGTAAGTTTCGACAGAGTTATCTTAATACATACTCTTCTTGGCTGCAGGCAAAATAAAATGCAGATCATCACTACGAGGTATAGTGTATTCAAATCATCATTTGTTTTAATTCAATATATTGCAATTCATTTGCTACATGGGCTTTCATCTGTTGAAAGCCCATGTTTCTTATAAAAGAGTTTTCCGAAAACAATATCTAAAATAAAAAAGTTATTTCATATTTGCTTGTATTTAATAAGTTCGTGATTCTAGGCCCATGTAATTATAAATCTTTTGTCCATAGTCCCATCAAATCATCGAACTCACACGCAATATTGAGGTCCCATCGTGCTCTATTGATGGGCGTTTTGCTATATATTGCTTTGATGATAATTTTAGTGTTATTACCTATGTTGCAGTCTTGCCCAGTGAATTCTGCTGTGCATTCACAGTTATAACCAAACAAACTATTGGCTGAGTTAGTGCACGAACCGCCATTTTTGCAAGGTAGACTAGAGCAGTAATCTGGAAATCATGTTAGTTCGTCAATAAATGTTTGCTTCGTTGAGGAAATCCATCTATTAACACACTCATGAAACCAGTCAGATTTTCAACGCTTTTTAGAAAAAAAGATCAATAAAGCAAAGGAACTAAAAGACATTTGGGGATTATTGGTGTGTACTATAACACCAGCGTAATATTTCAGAGAGGATTGGTTTCATGGGTGAACTAAAGTTAAAAACGGTCACTCCACTTCGTGTTATCATTGTTAAAGTGCAATCTAAAAATGTAGATGTGCTATGTATTAGAAACGTTTTGCAAAACACAGGTTATATCTATTCATAGGTTATGGTTGGAGTAGATATTCAATTCGAAGTCTCGTTAAAGGTTTCTGCTGTGACCATACCTGGTGTTCCACATGCAAGACCAGCGATTGTTTTGGATATCAAGTCAAGTGCAGCATAGTTGGGCGCCAAGAACGCGTACCGGCTATCGGGATTGCTTGCCATGTTTTTCACTTCAGTCGGATTCAATTCTGCTGTAGTAATAGCCACAGTGATTATGACGATGCCGTCAGCTCTAGCCGACAGAGACGCTGGGACGGGGTCGCCAGTTTTAGCAGCACCGTCTGTGATAACAATGGCTACTTGAGAGACACCGGTCCTTGCCCCATTGGACTTAAGAAACATTTGATTCTTCATCAGATTGATGCCTGCTATTGTATCGGTAGATCCAGATACATAGGATATGTTTCCAATTTCTGATAGTATGGTTGTTTTATCAAAACTATCCCCAAGATAAAACCGTGGCAATGCGCCTGTTGAAAAAGTGACAGCTCCAACATGAGCAGCATTCTCCCCTATGTTAAGATCTTTCACAATGTTCTGCATGAACATAAGGAGATTCTTGTGATTGTCTTCACCAACACTTTCAGATGTGTCCAGCACAAACACAATGTCAATCGACCCATTTGAGCAATCTATAAGCATACATTGTTGACGTTCAGTATTATAAAATATTAAATATCTCCCCGACAAAAACTTTTTAAACATAATTTTACTAAGAATCTTTAGTCTAAAGTAATCGGCGCCAATTTCAAATGGGATAAACTTTTTATCCCTAGTTTTATGTAATGAGAGTCATTCGATAGTACTTATGAAAGTCAGTCTATACAATACAATCCATGTTTGTGATCAATGATCTTTACGTTGTAAATCTGTAATAACTCGGTAATGTAGAAAATGCTTACCTATTTCTTGAGTGCAAGCCACTTCATTAGCCACAGAGTCTGCTATCCCAGTAAGGGAGCCAAAATCAGTGACAGTTTTTACATATTTACTTTCTGGTTTACTTGCAATGTTCACCACCTCAGTTTGATCAAACTCCGTACTCTCCTTGATTGCGACAGCAAATATAATAGCACCCGTGCCCTTAATTGTCTCTGCAGCGGGTATTGGACTTCCAGATTTGGCATTTCCATCCGTTATTATCACAACTATATTCTGCGAGTCAGCCCTATCACCTCTAGATGGAACGAACATACTCATAACTTCTTCAAGTGCTTCTTTGGTGACAGTAGATCCGGAATTGTAAGGTATATCTCTGATATCATCCAATAGATCAGCCTTATTGTTATGTTTATTAAGGTCAAACATCACTTCCACCGTGGTATGGAAGATTAGAGCTCCCACTTGGATCAGATTAGGTCCGATATCAAGCTTGGATACGGTGTCGACGACAAACTGGATGGTCAGGTTAAAGTTCTCTTGGCCAACACTTCCAGAAGAGTCAATTACAAATATGATATCTGCTCTTCCATCCGTGCATACTACAACAGATAGCGCTTTAATAAAATATTTACGTTTTATGGAGTATTACAGGGCTTTCAATAAGTACTGATAAAAATGCTGTAACTTTTTAATTCTTCTATATTTCTGATTAACTTTTCTACTGTATATTGTTGAGTGTTGTACTGATGGACTGTGGGAGTTACAAGAATGTACTCTAACAGGAAGGTGGTACTGGATTGAGCCTAAGGTGGATCGTGATGGTTCTGGTCTGCACGAGAAAATGTCAAAATAAGCGACTTAAAATGTGAACATTATCATACATGATTTTATTATTTGATAGTTGGTAAATAAACAGTTGTACTAAGATACCTTTGCAACACCTATTTATCACATCAAACGAGCAGATTGTAAGGTGGAAATGACATCTAGGAGCAATTCATAAAAAATACAATTACACCACACAGCACTTTAAGATTGATCAGATGACATATGACATCATTGACAAATATACATCCCATGAACTCTGCAGAAATTATGTCATCAACGACATGGCTGCTGGACAGAATATAAATAATATTCACCATCAAATTAGAAGCAGCATCAAGTTCTATGTACCTTTTGGTAAATCAAAACAGGATACAATAAAGGCCATTCATGAAGCTCATGGGAAGGACACTATATCTACCCCTGGCATGTATCGGACGTTATGATATTTCAAAGAGCGAGAAAGTCAGTTGAAGATGAACCCAGACAGGGGTGACCAAAAGCTGTGACTTCCCATAGTCAGATTGATGCAATATAATAAATATTGAATGGATTCCTATCAGAAAAACTGCAGACATGACTGATTCAAGCGTTGGTCACGAAAACCATGTTATTCATAATGATTTAGAAATGATATTGATGTGAAACAAATTGACCGCGGTGCTTAAGCAATTGACTGAGGAGCAATATTCACATTTTAAGTCATTTTGAGACTTTTTTCGTGCAGACCTGATCCACCACTAACCACTTTTGGCTAAACCCAGCACCACCTTTCTGTTGGAGCAAATTCCTGTAAAGTTACAGCATTTTTATCAGTACTCATTGAACACCCTGTATATACTGTATACATTCCCTATTAATTAACTTTCCACTGAAACATGGACAGAAAAATAATGCCGAGTGAATGGGCGAGTAAAAAAAGAAACTAAAAAAGCAGGGAGTACAAAAACTAAAAAAAATGAACAATATGCTTTACAAATTATTGTAATGCCATGTTGCAAAAGATAGACTAACCTTACAATCATAAGACAGGTATTAAGAGAAGATTTTTCTAGAACTCAGATGAAACCGTCTACATGGTATTTTCTTACAACATGAACATGCTTTGACAGAATAACTTACCATCTGCTATAGAAGGTGGCGGTGTAGTAGGTTCTAATAAAAGAAAACAAGTAAAATATCACAATACCAAAATTACAACAACGATGTCAACATAACACATGCAAACAAAACATTACGGAGAACAAGAGTGTAAACGTGAGCTCATGACAACTTTCATTTCGGCGCATGCCATCATGCATCAATTATGCGTCAACTTGTAAAAGGTCTAGGGTATTGGAGAATAAACTCGGTACAGTGTCTACATAAAAAAATAGGCCGTACTATAACAAATGCCTTAAAACAAAAATTCACATAAAAGTGTTCTAAAAAATATCTAGCGAAATTGTTCCATCACCACATTTACCAGATAGATACGTATATATGCTTACAATTACGAATGCTCCAAACAAACATTAAGTTCAACAAACATTAAGTTCAATTATATGCATCCATATGAAAATACATCAAAATATGAATAACACAACTTACTCGTTACTCCACAAGTCCCGGCAATCAAGTCAACGATCGCGTTCAGAGCACTAAAGTCGTCCACGAACTGAGCATATATGTCACCAGGGTCGCTTGCAATGGCATTAACCTGAGCCTCACTTAGCTCTTGGGTTCGTATACCAATACAGAACAATGTAATTCCTTCCGCCTTTGCACGTTCGGCTTCGGGTACAGGATCACCAGTCTTTGCCGCCCCATCAGTGATTATAATGCCTAAGTTCTGCACACCTGGTCTATCGCCGTTGGTCACCGAAAACATGCCTCTCATTGCCTCAAGACCAGCAATAGTATCGGTCGACTTGCTCATATATGGAATATCACGTACAGCTTCCCTAAGGGCCATAACATCGTCGTATGTATTCAGTTGAAAATGAACTTCAGCGCCGGTTCCAAAACTGACTGCGCCAACTCTAACTTCATCTTGGCCTACTTTAAGTTCGGCAATGATGTCCTCGACGAATTCTTTCACTGTTTCGAAGTTGCCCGCACCAACACTTCCAGATGCATCAATGACAAAGACAATGTCAGCAAGATCACTGAGACATACTGAAATGTTCAGCAGGTACATTAACAAGGCATTAACATGACAAAATGTCACCACCTAGTTGGTCACAGTATTATAAGTATAATCTTAAGTCAGATTTGAATTTCTGAGAACTTGTAGATGATTTTGAAAAAATTGGTCAATCTGGAGCAAATTGAAAAAAGATCTTTTTGATCTTTTTTGACCTTGAGAAGGTCAAATCTCAAGTCAGATTTGCACTTTTGATAACTTGTAGATGATTTTGAATTGATTTCAATTTGAAGCAAGTTGAAAGAATACCTTTTTGACCTTTTTAACCCTTTTTGACCTTGAAAGGGTCATTGAAGGTGAACTCTTAAATATAAAGTCAGATTTGAACTTCTCAACCGCCTCCACAAAAAACGGACACCATAACAATATGTCACCACATTTTGGTGGTGACATAACAAGAACTGAACAAGAGATTTGTCAATCACAGTATGATTCAATTTGCAATTATACATTATCTAACATTTTCCACTATGGCTAGTACATAATTTTCTGTACATTTTCTTCATACCATTGTAAAGCCTGTCTCAACTGTTCATAACTGACAGGTTTGAAATAAATATTGACACATTGACAGAAATATGGTTATGCCAAAACCCGTCTAAAACATAATTTTCAGACGGTTTTTACACCTTGAACAGTTAAATTAAGAATTGGATTAAAGCATTTTCGCAACAAACACATTTTTAGTCACATATGATATACATTTGGAATGCATACGTTAAATATAATATGTATGATATATTCATGGGTGATTGGTCTGAAGGATATGACCTCAAATTGTATCATCATGTCAAGAATTATTAATCAGACTTTCAATCTATTAATTGTTATTGGATTGAAAACATTTAAAATAATACATTCCTCTAAACTAACAATTAAACTAACAATTTTTAAATTTCATATTCCACAAAATCCCCTTATCGAAAACAATGCTGTCAATTTATGGTAAATAAAAGGTTACACTCGAGCTTTTTATACCTCTGAATGTTTTGTAAGATAATACAGAAAAATAAAAAGAACAAATTGATCACCATGCACATTATTTCTTCACAGAGGGTGTATCTTTTGAGATATATTTTTAGTTTTAAAAACTCATGATGGGACAACCTTTAAAAAGTCATTATGAAACTTTTTAAATGGAGTTGTAAACAGAATTTCCCTTTGGTGAGAGTGTAGATGGTAACAACATTTGTGAAATAGATAGATACATATTTGTAAGTGGTTCTTACCAGGAGGAGTTGTAACTGGGGCGGGAGTTGTGGTTGTTGTTGTTGTGGCTATTGTTGTTGTAGTAGTTGATGTTGTCGTTGTTGTAGAAGGAGCCCCTTAAAAACATTTGGACCATGAACTAATGATACATAAAATCCTCCATTATACAAATAACATCAAACAAACTAAAAATATTTGTAAATGTACAAAGATTTATTGGCCTTCGAGGAAGGTACTTGATGAAAATTAAACACACATAGTAAAATAAATATGAACTTACCACATGAGCCACTTGCAATTTCGTCAACAATAGTATTAAGGGCATCAAAGTCGTCGACAAAGCGGGCATAAATGGAGTCAGGGTCACTAGCTATTCCATTAACCTGGTCCTCTTTGAGTTCGACTGTTCTGATACCAATACAAAACAAAATTATTCCATCATTCTTTGCAGCTGTTGCCTCTGGTATAGGATCTCCTGTTTTGGCTGCACCATCAGTAATGATTATGCCAATATTGGGTACATCTTGACGATCCCCCTTGGATCTTACAAACATTGTCCTCATTACAGATAATCCAGCAAGTGTGTCAGTTGATCCGGCTGCATATGGTATTAAATTGATAGCAGCTTTTACATCGTCTTTTGTTTTGTAATCTTTCAAATCGAAGTGAGTAGTAGCACCATCGGCAAAACTTAGTGCACCGATATTTACATTCTGATTACTGATATCTAATTCGTCAACTACTCCAATTATAAAGTTTAGAACCTTTCTGAAATTAGTGTTGCCAATACTTCCAGATGCATCAATGACGAAGACAATATCAGCCAAATTATCTATGCATTCTGAAAACAAAAGTAACAGCATACGTCAAGAAAGGTTAACCCGATTCGCCCTCTAAATAGATCAATGTAAACTTTGAACAGATGAATCATACTGTAGCTTGGGTAATCAATGAACTGTGTAACAATTATAACTACAGTATATTGATTAATAAGCATTTTACTCAATATTTTTATATATCCTTTTATATATAAGGCCAATTGTTTTTAGGCTTTGAGATGTACTTTATATAGGGTTGTATCATGCCACTGATGGTGCATGTTTACGTATCATTCCGATTGTTTTTAATTCTGGAATTCACTGGAGCAAAGGTACAAACGCCATTTATAAATTAATTGAGAATTTATTATTTGAAATAATGATGAAATAGTCAACATGCGTACTTACGACCTGATGTTGTTGTCTGAGGCTTTGTCGTCGTCGTCGTAGTTGTTGTTGTAGTAGTTGTGGATGAGGTTGTAACTAGAAATATATTAACGATTATTATCACAATGAAAACCGTGCGAGAAGACATTAAATAGCCAGTGGTATGCACTAACTATGCACAAAAACATGAACACATCTTGACGGGTGAATATTGCAAGATCATATTCAAGTTGGCTGTGCTGACTTTCTCTGGTTGACTTGAATAGATCTTCGTCTGGCTAAGACTTTTTGGATAATGTTATACAGTAGCTGTATATCTTATTCACGAGGACCAGCCGATAACAGGTTAAAATACAGGTGCATCAAATAGAGTTGAGCAGAATCAAAGATAAGTGTCTCATCATGTAAATTATTGCCCACACACGTACACAAAACGATTTGGAAAGTTTAAACGAATGTTAGACACTAGATTCAATAAAGTATCAAGACTGTTGTTCTCCATTTGTTGGTTTCATTTTCCTTATCGCGGCTTTACACAATTTGATTTTGCAAAATGTTACAAGAATAACAAGTAATACGTTGTGTGACTGGTGTTAAATTAAATATATAATCTGAGACATTGGTTTCTGCCTGTTAAGGATATAAATGGAAGGTAAACATCTATAGATTTAGTGATGCATCTGAAGAATATTTCTCAGATTGTCTATCTTTTGATCTGTTGATCTGTTCATTGCATTTTGAATTGCAAAATATACAATGCGTCAATTAACATTAATAAAAAATCTTTACCTGGTGATCCACATGTTCCAACTGTGATATCATCAACTATGGAATCAAATTCATCAAAGTTCTTTATAACACGAGTATATCTAGTATCAGGGTTGCTCGATATACTATTAATCTCCTCGATATTAAGTTCTTCAGTTTGAACACCTATGGTGTAAATGACAGCACCACTGGTTTTAGCGGCGGCAGCAGTTTCACGAGGATCCCCAGATTTCGATGCACCATCAGTTATAACAATTCCAATATCCTGTGCATCCAGTCTCCCCCCACTAGAAAACATTTCTATCATAAGCTGTAGGCCTTCTTTAGTATCGGTGGATCCAGCAGCATATGGTATTTCACTCACTGCTAAGTCTATATTAACTGTTGTATCATATTGTCCAAGATGAAATTCTACCTTTGCACCCGATGAGAATGTAAGAGCTCCTATTCGTATATTATCGGAATCAATTGTAAACCCAGAAATCACATTTCGGATGAATTCCAAAATTTTTCCAAAGTTAGCCTGAGTAATCGAGCCTGAGGCATCAATAACAAAGAGGATGTCCAACTGATCTGAGCTGCAATCTAAAAAACAGAAAACCATTCATTAGTTATTGATGAATTGAATCGTAGATTTACAGGGTTGTGTTTTTAGGATTGTCTCGAGTCATTTATTCTGGCAAACAGAAGTGAAACATTTTTAATCCATTTTGACTGTTATGTAAAATTTTATAATGTGCTTGCTTGTAATAAGTTAGATGCTATGATGATGAATATTGATTAATTCTTTAAACCAAAATAAGCATATAAAGTAGTATATCCTGTTGGCATTTGGTTTACCTATGGTTTGAATGCATGATTTCTCAGCAATGTTTTCTGCTATGGTTGATAAACCTGAGAAATCGTCAACAACTGATGCATAAATGTCTGTTGGTTCGCTAGCTATGCCATTTACTTCATCTATGTTAAGTTCCGCTGTTTTTATTCCAATAGCAAACATTACAACACCAGCAGCTTTAGCTGCGTTTGCTGCTGGTATCGGATTTCCAGTTTTTGCAGCTCCATCGGTAACCACTATAGCAATATCTGGAACGTTACTTCTATCACCATTTGCCTCTTGGAACATGTCACTCATTAGACTTTCTAGACCCTCTTTTGTGGCTGTGGAGCCTGCGTTATAAGGTAGGTTACGCAGAGCAGAAATAACATCTTCTCGATTTGTGTATCTATTCAAATGGAATATTACTTCAGCTTCATTATGGAATATAATTGCAGCCACTCTGGTCTGATTCGAACTGATGTCTAGTGTAAATGCTATATTCACGATGAAATCCCTAATGAATTTATAGTTTTCTTCTCCAACACTACCAGATGAATCAATCACAAAAACGACATCAGACGTCCCTCTACATGCTGCAAAATAGAAAGGTAAGAGAATATGAGGTACAAATATATGAGTATTCATCATAATATGACATCTGAAACTAAGATGCCTTTATCAATAAAATTGTAATAAACATATAAGAATAAAATTGTGCAGTTTAAACAGATTTATCTGGTGCAATAAATGTAGAATTGTTAAAATAAAAACACGAAATTATTCCATTATTATCCAATGAAGAATCAAAAAGCCAGAGTCGCGAATTCTATCTATTTACAAAACAGTCAAAGACACTCACATATTTCAGGTACTGTTGTTGTAGGTGCTGGGGTGGTGGTCGTAGTAGTGGTAGTTGTTGTACTTGTAGATGTTGTTGTTGCTGAAACAATTTACCAGACATTGATATAAAATCGTTGTAATTGACTATTTTGAATCGACTAACAATTATTCATCGTTTGTATTTCATTAGTACCTTTTCTTTTATAGTAGTCTCAATATAGAATGGCTGGTTTTCTCAATACCTTTTCATCAATATGAGTAATGCGAACCACATCGTAACATTCATTCGTTTGCTCTTTCAATTATTCCCTTTGTGCATTATTTTGCACTTGGCTAACGTTCTTTATGTTAAATAGATTCTTACTTGGTTCGCTACATGTAGATCTGCTCAATTCATCTGCGACAGTCTGGAGTCCATCAAAGTCGCTCACAATAACTACATATTTACTATCTGGGTTACTGGCAATACCATTTACTTCTTCTAGTTTCAGCTCTGCAGTTTGCACACCGATGCAGTAAATTATTATTCCATCGGCTTTTGCGGCACTTGCAAGTGGAACTGGGTCACCAGTTTTAGCAGCACCATCAGTTATGACAATGGCAACATCTTGTACGCCTTCTCGATTTCCACGAGTTGGTGAACTATATATTTCTCTCATCATCGATATACCTGCTATGGTGTCTGTTGACCCAGCTTCATAAGCTATTTCATTAATGGCAGCTATAACTGCTTCATTTGTGTTGTAGTCATTTAGATCAAATTTCAAGGAGGCACCATCAGAAAATGACAGAGCAGCAACTCGTATACCATCATCACCTATGTTCATGTCTGACACAACATCCTTCACAAAATTGAGAACCAGTACGTAATTGTCCTCACCAGTACTTCCAGAAGCATCAATGACAAACACGACATCAAGACGTCCATCAGCACAATCTTAAATTCAACAAAAATATTGTGTCAATGGTATTATTAATTAAATAGTCATAAAAGAAGTTTCAATCAACTAGTATGGTAAATGGATAAGAAACAAGTGAAATATTTACTATATGTTGTTGACATACCTATTGTTTGGATGCATGACTTCTCAGCAATGGTTTCTGCTATCGTTGATAAACCTGAGAAATCGTCAACAACTGACGCATAAATGTCTGTTGGTTCGCTAGCTATGCCATTTACTTCATCTATGTTAAGTTCCGCTGTTTTTATTCCAATAGCAAACATTACAACACCAGCAGCTTTAGCTGCGTTTGCTGCTGGTATCGGATTTCCAGTTTTTGCAGCTCCATCGGTAACCACTATAGCAATATCTGGAACGTTACTTCTATCACCATTTGCCTCTTGGAACATGTCACTCATTAGACTTTCTAGACCCTCTTTTGTGGCTGTGGAGCCTGCGTTATAAGGTAGGTTACGCAGAGCAGAAATAACATCTTCTCGATTTGTGTATCTATTCAAATGGAATATTACTTCAGCCTCATTATGGAATATAATTGCAGCCACTCTGGTCTGATTCGAACTGATGTCTAGTGTAAATGCTATATTCACGATGAAATCCCTAATGAATTTATAGTTTTCTTCTCCAACACTACCAGATGAATCAATCACAAAAACGACATCAGACGTCCCTCTACATGCTGCAAAATAGAAAGGTTAGAGAATATGAGGTACAAATATATGAGTATTCATCATAATATGACATCTGAAACTAAGATGCCTTTATCAATAAAATTGTAATAAACATATAAGAATAAAATTGTGCAGTTTAAACAGATTTATCTGGTGCAATGAATGTAGAATTGTTAAAATAAAAATACGAAAATATTCCATTATTATCCAATGAAGAATCAAAAAGCCAGCGTCGCCAATTCTATCTATTTACAAAACAGTCAAAGACACTCACATATTTCAGGTACTGTTGTTGTAGGTGCTGGGGTGGTGGTCGTAGTAGTGGTAGTTGTTGTACTTGTAGATGTTGTTGTTGCTGAAACAATTTACCATACATTGATATAAAATCGTTGTAATTGACTATTTTGAATCGACTAACAATTATTCATCATTTGTATTTCATTAGTACCTTTTCTTTTATAGTTGTCTCAATATAGAATTGCTGGTTTTCTCAATACCTTTTCATCAATATGAGTAATGCGAACCACATCATAACATTCATTGGTTTGCTATTTCAATTATTCCCTTTGTGCATTATTTTGCACTTGGCTAACAACAGGATCTTAAGAGGTTCTGGACAAATCATTTGATTCTGGACTTGTCATATTTTTTTTTCAACGAAATCACATCCAAGGGTTGAATTTTTATTAGCTATTTAGAGAGTGAGTCCTGCCTAGTATTAATTTCAATAAAAAAGTTAAAATAGAACCCTATTTGAGAGTCAATCTAATACTTACATTACATTGATAAATTAAGGCAAATCCTGAAATATTTTTAAAGTGCGTTTTTTAATGAAATATTATCCAGCAAGTATTTAAATGAAACGGTCTTATTTAAATACAAATCATAACATGATATTTTTCATGAAACATTTTTCAATGAAATTCAATTGAAGGGTCAAGATAAAACGAGCTAATTTAGGTGAAAACCCTTACATGATGATGTGTTTTGATAAATTCTTTCATAAAATTCCATCAAGGGGTGAAGATAAAATGATCGAATTTAAGTGATTTAAGGATCACGAGAATATGTTTTCTTTGATATTTTCTATGAAATCCCATCCAATGGTCAAGGTAAAATTTTGATTTTGATTTTGATTTGGTCACGTGTTCGAAAGATCCATATAAGGCCCATAGAACCATATAGGAACGTCATTTTGAATGTCACGTGATAGATCCATATAAGGCTTTTAGAACCATTTATGGAAAGATGAGGGAAGCCCCTGACACCTGTTTCACGATTTTTATGCACTTCATTATTGTACCGAAGTTTGCCGATTCGATTCGTCGTATTTGGGAATCCTGGTGACAATTTTATACTCCATTGGAGTATTTTTGACCTACTTCTTATGACGGAAATTCCCGAACCTTGTTCGGATTAATCCGGATTTTCTGACCTACCTTATCTACCGAGATTTCACGAGTTAACATTCGTCTCATTCCGGAATCCTGGTGACAATTTTATACTCCATTGGAGTATTTTTGATCTACTTTTTCTGGATTTTGCCCTACTTATTATATCTTGACAACAAGCAAATCAAAAAGTTCGACATGAACGGGTTTCGATCAACTAACCTAGACTATGGAAGCCAGGCACGCTAACCATTAGGCCAACGAGCTACCGATATGAAAGAACAAAAGTATTATATATTTATACCGAGCGTCAATTCAAAATGATCCTCACTTTTGTCTCCACTTAAATACGACTCGTCAGTTGTATCCAGAATAGAAGAACGCCTATGGCGCTAGTGAATAACCAAGTCCCAGGTGAGTGGTTCGTATCCCTCCGTGATATACTATTTTTGTTTTATTAAATACGACAGAAAGGAGCAAGGTGTAGGTTGAAAACAAGACGTTAGTTTGTTTCAAAACAGTGTGGAAACATTAATCTCTGATAATTTAAGGTTTTCCACTCCTGAAGGGCCTCTAGATCTATGAAATTCAATAATCCCCTCAGTAAAAATACGATTTCTCTGCAACCTGATGTCCAATCAAGATCATTCAAATATATATGTGTTCCTGACACGTTTGGGCGTCCGGGAATAAAATTGCTTGTGAAAACTATTTACAAAAGTGTTCCAGAGACCCTTATCTACTTGGCTAAGGTTTTATTTGAAGATACATTGCCTTATTAGCAGGTAGAGGGGCATACAGAACACAGAAGCAAATGCTATGTTGAAAATTTTCTATATTTCAATTTGAACCTGTGTTTACATGTCACGTAGGCCAGTGTTTTATATGGGGATTATATGTACTTTCCTTGTTTACATGAACGTAAATCATTACATGAAATCTGCATTCTTCTGGGTTTAATCTGGGTTTGTATTGTCTTATTGGGGCTTTTCGACTTTAAAACAAACCCTACCTAAATGGATTGTGTCTCGGGAACGTTTTTGTAAATAGTTATTATAAACAATTCTGAAAGAATATCACATATTTTTGTCTTCCCGATTTCAGTCATGAATTACGTCAATTTCTCGTGCAAACATTGGGTAGACATTGTCAGTGGCTTCACGAAAAAATAAGCAGCACTTTAGGCCACCTAAATACAACTCGTCAGTTGTATCCAGTTGGAATCCCAGCGTAATGTTTTTAATTATATGGTTGTGCTTTGATTTTACGCTGAAAACATTTATAACTACGTCAACTTTATATTAAAACATTTATTATCTTTTCAGTTGTATTAAAATGTAAAATATGATATATGTCAGCTTATTGCTTTCTGGAAAACAGTCAAGGTTTAAATTTGGTACAATGAATTGGACACTCATGTAAATCAACATGGTTATAACATTGAACTCAATGCAGTAAATTAGTTATTTCTATGAATCACAGCGGGATTGGTTTCATTATACCTCCTTACAATACCTCAATATCCGGTTACATGAGATAGTTCTGCGCATGCGCCAATCAGAGTTCTTGCTGACATGCAAGCCGAGTGGACGTCTATTTGTAGACTCCACAATTGATAGTGTTACTGGTGGTAGTATATCACAGTGCACATATATCACATACATATTTATATGTATTTATGGAATTTATGATCGGTACGTCTGAATTTCATGTACGATAAGAAAGTAGTGTTTTTATCATTACACATTCTGAACACCGGCCAAGTCTGGTTGTTTCAGAAAATAGTATTCACTGTTGTAGATCTGAGATCTCAACCTTCAATTTATATTGATAACGCTTCAAACCTGATCAGAGGTTATAGCGATTTGTTTTACATCTATTAACTTATTGAATACGCTTTTGAATAACTGTTCCTATAGGGATCAAGTGAGCGTTGTATTTAATACACGCTAATTAACTATAAACCAGGCCTTGGATTGGTTTAAAAGTTACGTTGCACACACTCCACTGTGTTTTCAGTCAAACGGTTCTTTTGTTAGCCAATTGCGATAAAGTAAAAGTGAATAATACGCGTGAGCACATGCTTACAATATCACTAGCCTACGTGCAAATAAGTTGTACAATATAGCTGCATGTTTTCGCATTCTGAACAGCTAAATATCAGTGCATTTACTAAACAGTACTAGCAAGTTACAGCTAAAATGACTTCACAAATGGTGAGAGATAAACCATTAGGGGCCAAGACCCCATCTGAATGTGAGAAAATGGATTTAGATGATTCCATCCTAGACGAAACTCCGTCTGTATCAGGTGTAAAAAAGAAAACGCCTCGAAAAACAATTCCTAGGAAATCAGGAAAGAACGATGATATTAAAAACATCACGGAGGCTATAACATCTAGTATTTCTTCAGGCATGAGTGACTTGACGGAAATGATGTCATCTTCATTGCAAGATTTAAAAGAAACCATTCAAAGTGGATACGAATATGACCAGTTTGATGATGATTCGTATAATGATAATGATCATGATGATTCTGATCAAACACCAGTGAAGAAAATGAAAACTGATATGCAAACGTGTATAGACAATGATACAGTATCCAGTGAAAATGAGGATACTTCCGACCTAATGAAACAGTTACAATCAAAGGTCAATAAATCAAATGAGGGTCAAGGACCACCATTAAACAAGGCTATGTCAAGCCTACTTAATGATCTAATACAGAATGTTTTGAAGGGAGACGAAGAAAGCCAAAAACTTGATGATTACAAAACCCCTTCGAATACCCCTCTTGTATGTGCTGCTAGGGGGAACGAACAAATATGGAGCCGCATCTCTAGTGAGGTCCGCTCGAGTGACATCAAAATGCAACAAGCTCTCAAGCCAATGATGTGTTCCATAGTGGCTACTTCTAGAGCCTTAGAGGTATTGGATTCACTGAAAACTGCAGTCGGAGGAAAGACGGATGAATTCCAAGATCAATTTGGCAATATGGCAAATTTGCTTTATGACAGCATCCAAATGATGTGTTTGTCGAACTACAAGTTTAACATGAGAAGGCGTGAGCTGATAAAACCAGACATTGCCCATAGTTTCAAACATCTCTGCGACAAAACCTCCCCTGTAACAACATTTTTATTTGGGGATGACATTACCAAGAGAGTCAAGGATATTTCAGAAATGAATAAGACCCAGATTAACTCAAGCGTCTTTAATCAGTCTCGAGGCAGTTATCGTGGCAGTTATCGAGGCCGAGGAAACCGTGGACGTGGCACACGTGGACGTGGACGAGGCCAGAATCATTTTTTAGGCCAAGGCCAGAATCGCAACTACAGTCAGCGGCAGGGTTACGCCCAAAACAAATCCTCTCGAGGAAAAGGAAGAGGCAACACGGCCCAGAACCAGGACAACAAACAGTCCAACAAGTAGCTGCAAATGATCATGAACCTAGTGAGGTAAGAGATTTTCTTAGATCTCAATTAAAACATTTCAAAGGTGGTAGATTGAAATACTTCTATTCAGAATGGGAGAAAATCACTTCAGATCAAACTATTTTGAATGCAATAGCTGGATATGATTTTGAATTTATCGATGTTAACGCTATCCCACGATCTGACCATCCACGACCAAAAATTCAAAAATTTCTCGAAAGAGGCATTTTAAAACCAGTTGAGCATTCAAAGATTGGCTATTTATCTTCAATTTTCCTCACACCTAAAAGTGATGGTACAAAAAGAACAATTCTGAATCTGAGAAATCTCAATGAACATGTGGAATATCAACATTTCAAAATGGAAAACTTTCAAAGTGTCATAAACATGATAACCGAAAATTGCTATATGAGTACCTTGGACGTAAAAGACGCGTACTATAGCGTACCTGTGTCTGAGACATCTCAGAAGTTCCTTCAGTTTGAGTGGAAAAATACCATATACCAATACACATGTTTAGCGCAGGGCTTGTCATCTGCACCGCGCATTTTTACTAAGATTATGAAGCCAGTTTTTGCAAAACTGAGAAATGAAGGTTTCATGTCTGTTTATTACATCGACGATTGTTGTTTGATTTCAGACTCATATGAGGAATGTAAACGCAACATTGCTACAACAATTGACCACCTACAGCATCTTGGTTTTATGCTACATCCTGAAAAATGTGATCTGATCCCAAAACAGGTAATCAAATTTCTTGGTTTCGAAATCAATTCTAACACCATGGAAGTGAAGTTACCAGAAACCAAAGCAGTCGCTATTCAATCGCTATGCATTGAGACGTTGCGTCGAAAAAACAAGATCTCTATAAGAGAGCTTGCAAAACTTATTGGAACATTGGTAGCTTCGTTTCCTGGTGTCAGGTATGGTCGGTTATATTACCGTCACATGGATAACAATAAATCGTTAGCTTTATCCCAAAACTGTGGGAATTTTGACACGAAGATCGCATTGAATCTTGATGCACAAAATGAAATCAGGTGGTGGATTCGTCATATTAAAAATGCCACTAACCCTATCTCTGTTATAGACCCACAGCATGTATTGCGATCAGATAGTAGCATGGCAGGATGGGGTGTGTTTGATGTGACAAATAATACCAGAACTGGTGGACGGTGGAACTACGTTGAGTCTAGACACCATATTAATTACCTGGAATTATTAGCAATATTTCTTGCACTCAAAACCTTTTGTAGGTCTGTTAGAAACAAACACGTGAGAGTCGAGACTGACAACACTACAGCTATGACATATGTCAACAACATGGGTGGCTCAAAATCTATTGACTGCAATATTCTAGCCAAACAAATATGGCAATGGTGTATTTTTCGTGACATTTGGCTGTCTTCATCTCACATTGCAGGTATTGAAAATGTCGAAGCTGATTCCGAGTCTCGCATTTTCCATGATGAGACTGAATGGATGCTTGATGAACAGGTTTTTGCAGATATTTGCAACATTGACATGTTTCCCAATCCAATTCTAGATTTGTTCGCATCAAGATTGAACAATCAGCTTGGGAAGTACGCATCTTGGAGACCAGATCCAGAAGCTGAATTCATTGATGCATTCTCAAAAACATGGAATAGTATGGTCACTTATTATGCTTTTCCGCCTTTCAGTATTCTGATGAGAGTGCTGAACAAAATTCAACACGACAGAGCCGACGTTCTCTTGATCTTGCCCCTCTGGCCCACTCAACCGTGGTGGCCAAAGATGTTGAACCTTTTAACCACACATCCAGTTGTGCTACCCCAAGAACGGAGGATCCTAAGCCTACCATACAATCCAGAGGCACAACATCCGTTGAGAAAACTGACATTAATTGCTTGTCACTTGTCAGGAATTCCCTCCAGAAACAAGGACTTTCTGTCCCAGTTACCGAAATCATCCTACAATCTTGGAGACCAAAATCACAGAAACAATACGAGGTTTATCTCAAGAAATGGATTTCGTTCTGTAATACGAGGGAAATTGATCCAGTTCAAGGAACTTTACAGTTAGGTTTGGAATTTTTAATGACATTATCAGTAGATAATCTAGGCTACAGTGCCATTAATACCGCTCGCAGTGCGCTCTCATCATGTATTAACTTTCCCAAAACAGAGACATCTTTTGGGCAACACCCTCTAGTGGTGAGGTTTATGAAAGGTATCTTTAATAAGAATCCCCCTTTACCCAGATATACGAAAACTTGGGATGTCAGTGTGGTTCTGAGACATTTGCAGAGTTATTTCCCAATAGAAAAAATAACATTGCTTGAATTAACGTTGAAACTTATCATGCTAATTGCGTTGGTATCTGCACAACGAGCACAAACATTACATCTATTGTCACTAAACAATCTCATAATTGAGAAGGACTGCTATGTGTTTACAATATATGACAATGTAAAACAATCAAAACCTGGAAAATCAAATCCAATTATCAAACTCCATACGTATGATGATCCAAGTCTCTGTGTTGTAGTAACGTTGAAAGAGTACATACAACGAACTGAAAAATTAAGGGCTGGTGAATCAAAATTGTTTGTTAGTACTATCAAGCCCCATAAAGCGGTGTCTAAAGATACAATAAGTCGTTGGCTTAAACTTGAACTTAGTAGAGCTGGTATTGATACAGACACTTTCAAAGGTCATAGCACTCGTAGTGCTGCAGTTTCTGCGGCTAGCAGATCTGACGTAAATGTGGACTTGATTTTGAAAACTGCCGGATGGAGCAGTGATTGTTGTTTCAGGAGGTTTTATAATAAACCTTTGGACATTGATAATGAAAAAACGTTTGGTAAAGCGGTCTTAAGCCTATAAAAATACATAAAATGTTTGAGTTTGCATTGACAAAACAATGTCAAAATTGTATTAAGTAGTTTATTAATAACAATATGCTTTGTTTGTTTATTGTACATAATTTGTCTGTTGTTTATCAGTCAGTTGACCTTGAAGGGAATTTATATTACTTAATTTCCCTTTTTGACCTATGTGCCCAGTTGGCTTTAAAATCTCATGTAACCGGATATTGAGGTATTGTAAGGAGGTATAATTGGAAATTAAACGAAACTTTTGAAAAAAGATGAAGTTTGATTGTAATTATACCGACTTACAATACAGCAATAAGGTTACATGCCCTCCCAGTGAGGCCCTACCCTGATCACTACCGTTATGGAGTAAAACATCTACAATATGTATAATCCAATTTTGTGTTTTACAATTGGTTTAATCTTTACAATGTAATCTATTGTTACAATTAACCTTTTACTCATGTATTATTTGTCAAGAAACATGAGTTGTACACCTGGGCACAGTAGGTCTTAGTTTTAAAGATCTGATTGGCGCATGCGCAGAACTATCTCATGTAACCTTATTGCTGTATTGTAAGTCGGTATAATTACAATCAAACTTCATCTTTTTTCAAAAGTTTCGTTTAATTTCCAATTTTATATGATTGCCAACTCTGGCGGTTTTTTTGTAAATGCTTTTGACCGCTGTAAATGTGAAACTGATACAGTATTATTCAATTGTTTTATGTCTTGGTCACATTTGCTCCGATTTTCACTACGGCGCCCGGCCGATTGAGTATTGTGTTCAGAAATGTATTCAATTTTGAACAAAATACTCGCAGCAAATGTGATCCAGGCATTACACAGCGGTATTTCGAACATACTATTGTTGCTTAACCACGACCTAGCCAATTTTAAAATCATACTCCTTATTTAAATCCAAGTAAACGATCAATGTCTAGGTATTTGGCGTTTGATGATACTATGGCCCTTGGCGAATTATGATTAGATGAACCGAGGTCAACATTAATGTTTCTTGTACAAGGTCATTACAAGGTCTAAGATAAATATTTAGGTATTTTACGTTTCAAGACCTTTGGACAAATTCGATTCAACGATGTATTAAAGTTAAAATGTATACAGAGATAAAATAGGTTATCTCCTATCGTTTCCTTGTGTATACGTTTATGTCTCTGCGTAATAACGCAGATGCGAGCAGGTAGTTACCAATCTCACCACAAGGTGGCTCGTTCGGGTCAGATAGCATGGCGGGTATGGTAGAAAGATCCCTTTAACTTAAAGTACATCTGTTTTCGTGGTTCAATTTTCATATCACCCTTAAAATGTATCTAATAGCAATGCAATTAAAATATGTCCAGTGAACGAAAATGCAATACAAGAATAGATATTTCACTTTTTGTGATTTTGTAACAATGGTGTTATTTTTTGTATATGTAACATGGTCATTTTCACATTTTATATTATTACTGTTCATATTAATCAATCCCTATTCATCTCAATATAACAGGTCCCTAAGTAGGTTGTTTGCAGTTTTACTCTTTTAATACCATGTTCACTTTTCACCTTGAGTTATTCAACTATGCAAACTGTGTCAGTTTTATATATCTATTGTTCCCCTATATGGTCTTTCTCACTCACATGTAGCTGAGTTTGCATTGGGTGTTGGCTTGTCAGTAGTTGCTGTAAGAGTTCATGTTGTACATTACAGAGCATTGTATTTTAAACATTGAAGTTTGAAATATACTATTTTATATATATTTTAATTTGAAGATCGAGTTATTTTATTGCCACCCACGGGCCTTCCACACGCCCATTTACATATAACGCTTTGAAACAACTTTAAAAAGTGAGCAATGTCAGTGTTGTGATAATAGAGAATTTTCGTTATAAGTTGTTTCAAAAACTTATACGTATACTTATAGTTTAAAGGGTCTTGTCGAACTAAAATCAATTCAAATTGATTTTCATAATCTGTACCAAGTGGGGCATAACTATTCCCGATATAGTCAAGCTTCATCATCAACTAGGGACTGCGAATACAATGTCCTTTGCTAGTGTTAATTATGAACACGATAAACTAAATTCTAGTTGACGGGTCCTTGTAGTGTACGATAAACAAGACCCTTTAAAGTGAATCACTACACGAACGAGTCGATCATTTCAAAGTTCTCATGAAATTATAAGGTCAATTTTTAAGTTTTTACGTATAAAAGGGCCTTTATACACAGATTATAAACTTACAGAGTTGGATCTCCGCATAGTATATGTGTGGACCTACTGACCAGAATGGCTTATTAAAATTAATCGGCTGAATAGGCATAGTATCCAATCAAATAGCTCGACTCATTCATTAGCTGAACTAATTCTCCCTTCGTTATTTCTACAAAGTGATTCAAAACGATCATCTACAAAAAATATATTTGAGAGTAGATAAATCTGTAAAACCCGTGTGCTATATCAGCCTATTTGATTCTAGAAAACACATATGATACAACTAAACATGCTTTACATCAAGGGGGTAAGGATGGTATGCCATTGGCCCTTTTTATTACCGTCCTAGGAGATATTTCCCGACGAATTAGGAAATTATGAAACACCTTGTTTATTGGGTTTATAAGTATAAGTATACGTATAAGTTTTTAAAAAACTTATAACGAAAATTCTCTAATAACGCCCCTCATACCTATTTATTACAGGTCGTGTAGACCATTGTTGCCTGATTTATAGCAAAAACATTGACTTTTGCATGTTGATGATGATGATGATGATGATGCGCCTTTTGTAATAGATCTCATATCTTAGAAGCGTATCAGTTCAAAAAAATACTAGAAGACCTTACATATTTTGCCATGCACTGCGCCTATTCATTTGGCAATTCAGTTGTAAATTTTATCTTGAAAAAAATAAATCTTCCAAATTTGTTGAGTTTTCTTGCAGAAATCGCCTACCCCCCCCCCCCCCCCCTCCATCCATTTTGTATGATCACAAGGCGTGATTTAAGCTGCTGATATTCTTCTTTAAACGAGTCGGATTTTCAAAATCTATAAGTTGGACTCCCTTTATAGAAGCTTTGAACTGAATTTGCACTGCTTAATGCTGAAATTATATTGTTTATCCATACATTTTAAGAAAAAATGTATAAAAAAAGATGTTAAAGCCAAATGTTGCCCTAAAAATTCAGAAAATGTGAAAAATTTCGAATTTTCTATGTACAGGCCTTGTTGCCCCTTTAAGAAGCTTAATATGTAAATTATCTAATCAAACACTTCGTCCACCATTTTGAAACACTAATCAATCCAATCTGTGCTAGGGATTCATAGGGCGAGCCAGTGGGATATTTCCAGGGTTCATACACACCTGGAAATGTCAGGGAAATTGACTTGATTTTCCAAGTGCTGGAAATGTCAGGTAATTTTAAAATTAGGTCAAAAGGGCCAAAGATGACCGGGAATTTTGAAACGGTAGACATGTCAGGGAAATGTCAGGGAAATTTGTATCAGTGTTGAAAAAATAATGTTCCAGAGATTAATGTTTCCAAACTGTTTTGAAACAAACTAACGTCTTGTTTTCAACCTACACCTTGCTCCTTTCTGTCGTATTTAATAAAACAAAAATAGTATATCACGGAGGGATACGAACCACTCACCTGGGACTTGGTTATTCACTAGCGCCATAGGCGTTCTACTATTCTGGATACAACTGACGAGTCGTATTTAAGTGGAGACAAAAGTGAGGATCATTTTGAATTGACGCTCGGTATAAATATATAATACTTTTGTTCTTTCATATCGGTAGCTCGTTGGCCTAATGGTTAGCGTGCCTGGCTTCCATAGTCTAGGTTAGTTGATCGAAACCCGTTCATGTCGAACTTTTTGATTTGCTTGTTGTCAAGATATAATAAGTAGGGCAAAATCCAGAAAAAGTAGATCAAAAATACTCCAATGGAGTATAAAATTGTCACCAGGATTCCGGAATGAGACGAATGTTAACTCGTGAAATCTCGGTAGATAAGGTAGGTCAGAAAATCCGGATTAATCCGAACAAGGTTCGGGAATTTCCGTCATAAGAAGTAGGTCAAAAATACTCCAATGGAGTATAAAATTGTCACCAGGATTCCGAAATACGACGAATCGAATCGGCAAACTTCGGTACAATAATGAAGTGCATAAAAATCGTGAAACAGGTGTCAGGGGCTTCCCTCATCTTTCCATAAATGGTTCTAAAAGCCTTATATGGATCTATCACGTGACATTCAAAATGACGTTCCTATATGGTTCTATGGGCCTTATATGGATCTTTCGAACACGTGACCAAATCAAAATCAAAATCAAAATTTTACCTTGACCATTGGATGGGATTTCATAGAAAATATCAAAGAAAACATATTCTCGTGATCCTTAAATCACTTAAATTCGATCATTTTATCTTCACCCCTTGATGGAATTTTATGAAAGAAGTTATGAAAACACATCATCATGTTAGGGTTTTCACCTAAATTAGCTCGTTTTATCTTGACCCTTCAATTGAATTTCATTGAAAAATGTTTCATGAAAAATATCATGTTATGATTTGTATTTAAATAAGACCGTTTCATTTAAATACTTGCTGGATAATATTTCATTAAAAAACGCACTTTAAAAATATTTCAGGATTTGCCTTAATTTATCAATGTAATGTAAGTATTAGATTGACTCTCAAATAGGGTTCTATTTTAACTTTTTTATTGAAATTAATACTAGGCAGGACTCACTCTCTAAATAGCTAATAAAAATTCAACCCTTGGATGTGATTTAGTTGAAAAAAAATATGACAAGTCCAGAATCAAATGATTTGTCCAGAACCTCTTAAGATCCTGTTTAACGTTCTTTATGTTAAATAGATTCTTACTTGGTTCGCTACATGTAGATCTGCTCAATTCATCTGCGACAGTCTGGAGTCCATCAAAGTCGCTCACAATAACTACATATTTACTATCTGGGTTACTGGCAATACCATTTACTTCTTCTAGTTTCAGCTCTGCAGTTTGCACACCGATGCAGTAAATTATTATTCCATCGGCTTTTGCGGCACTTGCAAGTGGAACTGGGTCACCAGTTTTAGCAGCACCATCAGTTATGACAATGGCAACATCTTGTACGCCTTCTCGATTTCCACGAGTTGGTGAACTATATATTTCTCTCATCGTCGATATACCTGCTATGGTGTCTGTTGACCCAGCTTCATAAGCTATTTCATTAATGGCAGCTATAACTGCTTCATTTGTGTTGTAGTCATTTAGATCAAATTTCAAGGAGGCACCATCAGAAAATGACAGAGCAGCAACTCGTATACCATCATCACCTATGTTCATGTCTGACACAACATCCTTCACAAAATTGAGAACCAGTACGTAATTGTCCTCACCAATACTTCCAGAAGCATCAATGACAAACACGACATCAAGACGTCCATCAGCACAATCTTAAATTCAACAAAAATATTGTGTCAATGGTATTATTAATTTAATAGTCATAAAAAAAGTTTCAATCAACTAGTATGGTAAATGGATAAGAAACAAGTGAAATATTTACTATACGTTGTTGACATACCTATTGTTTGGATGCAGGACTTCTCAGCAATGGTTTCTGCTATCGTTGATAAACCTGAGAAATCGTCAACAACTGACGCATAAATGTCTGTTGGTTCGCTAGCTATGCCATTTACTTCATCTATGTTAAGTTCCGCTGTTTTTATTCCAATAGCAAACATTACAACACCAGCAGCTTTAGCTGCGTTTGCTGCTGGTATCGGATTTCCAGTTTTTGCAGCTCCATCGGTAACCACTATAGCAATATCTGGAACGTTACTTCTATCACCATTTGCCTCTTGGAACATGTCACTCATTAGACTTTCTAGACCCTCTTTTGTGGCTGTGGAGCCTGCGTTATAAGGTAGGTTACGCAGAGCAGAAATAACATCTTCTCGATTTGTGTATCTATTCAAATGGAATATTACTTCAGCCTCATTATGGAATATAATTGCAGCCACTCTGGTCTGATTCGAACTGATGTCTAGTGTAAATGCTATATTCACGATGAAATCCCTAATGAATTTATAGTTTTCTTCTCCAACACTACCAGATGAATCAATCACAAAAACGACATCAGACGTCCCTCTACATGCTGCAAAATACAAAGGTTAGAGAATATGAGGTACAAATATATGAGTATTCATCATAATATGACATCTGAAACTAAGATGCCTTTATCAATAAAATTGTAATAAACATATAAGAATAAAATTGTGCAGTTTAAACAGATTTATCTGGTGCAATAAATGTAGAATTGTTAAAATAAAAATACGAAAATATTCCATTATTATCCAATGAAGAATCAAAAAGCCAGCGTCGCCAATTCTATCTATTTACAAAACAGTCAAAGACACTCACATATTTCAGGTACTGTTGTTGTAGGTGCTGGGGTGGTGGTCGTAGTAGTGGTAGTTGTTGTACTTGTAGATGTTGTTGTTGCTGAAACAATTTACCATACATTGATATAAAATCGTTGTAATTGACTATTTTGAATCGACTAACAATTATTCATCATTTGTATTTCATTAGTACCTTTTCTTTTATAGTTGTCTCAATATAGAATTGCTGGTTTTCTCAATACCTTTTCATCAATATGAGTAATGCGAACCACATCATAACATTCATTGGTTTGCTCTTTCAATTATTCCCTTTGTGCATTATTTTGCACTTGGCTAACGTTCTTTATGTTAGATAGATTCTTACTTGGTTCGCTACATGTAGATCTGCTCAATTCATCTGCGACAGTCTGGAGTCCATCAAAGTCGCTCACAATAACTACATATTTACTATCTGGGTTACTGGCAATACCATTTACTTCTTCTAGTTTCAGCTCTGCAGTTTGCACACCGATGCAGTAAATTATTATTCCATCGGCTTTTGCGGCACTTGCAAGTGGAACTGGGTCACCAGTTTTAGCAGCACCATCAGTTATGACAATGGCAACATCTTGTACGCCTTCTCGATTTCCACGAGTTGGTGAACTATATATTTCTCTCATCGTCGATATACCTGCTATGGTGTCTGTTGACCCAGCTTCATAAGCTATTTCATTAATGGCAGCTATAACTGCTTCATTTGTGTTGTAGTCATTTAGATCAAATTTCAAGGAGGCACCATCAGAAAATGACAGAGCAGCAACTCGTATACCATCATCACCTATGTTCATGTCTGACACAACATCCTTCACAAAATTGAGAACCAGTACGTAATTGTCCTCACCAATACTTCCAGAAGCATCAATGACAAACACGACATCAAGACGTCCATCAGCACAATCTTAAATTCAACAAAAATATTGTGTCAATGGTATTATTAATTTAATAGTCATAAAAGAAGTTTCAATCAACTAGTATGGTAAATGGATAAGAAACAAGTGAAATATTTACTATACGTTGTTGACATACCTATTGTTTGGATGCATGACTTCTCAGCAATGGTTTCTGCTATCGTTGATAAACCTGAGAAATCGTCAACAACTGACGCATAAATGTCTGTTGGTTCGCTAGCTATGCCATTTACTTCATCTATGTTAAGTTCCGCTGTTTTTATTCCAATAGCAAACATTACAACACCAGCAGCTTTAGCTGCGTTTGCTGCTGGTATCGGATTTCCAGTTTTTGCAGCTCCATCGGTAACCACTATAGCAATATCTGGAACGTTACTTCTATCACCATTTGCCTCTTGGAACATGTCACTCATTAGACTTTCTAGACCCTCTTTTGTGGCTGTGGAGCCTGCGTTATAAGGTAGGTTACGCAGAGCAGAAATAACATCTTCTCGATTTGTGTATCTATTCAAATGGAATATTACTTCAGCCTCATTATGGAATATAATTGCAGCCACTCTGGTCTGATTCGAACTGATGTCTAGTGTAAATGCTATATTCACGATGAAATCCCTAATGAATTTATAGTTTTCTTCTCCAACACTACCAGATGAATCAATCACAAAAACGACATCAGACGTCCCTCTACATGCTGCAAAATAGAAAGGTTAGAGAATATGAGGTACAAATATATGAGTATTCATCATAATATGACATCTGAAACTAAGATGCCTTTATCAATAAAATTGTAATAAACATATAAGAATAAAATTGTGCAGTTTAAACAGATTTATCTGGTGCAATAAATGTAGAATTGTTAAAATAAAAATACGAAAATATTCCATTATTATCCAATGAAGAATCAAAAAGCCAGCGTCGCCAATTCTATCTATTTACAAAACAGTCTAAGACACTCACATATTTCAGGTACTGTTGTTGTAGGTGCTGGGGTGGTGGTCGTAGTAGTGGTAGTTGTTGTACTTGTAGATGTTGTTGTTGCTGAAACAATTTACCATACATTGATATAAAATCGTTGTAATTGACTATTTTGAATCGACTAACAATTATTCATCATTTGTATTTCATTAGTACCTTTTCTTTTATAGTTGTCTCAATATAGAATTGCTGGTTTTCTCAATACCTTTTCATCAATATGAGTAATGCGAACCACATCATAACATTCATTGGTTTGCTCTTTCAATTATTCCCTTTGTGCATTATTTTGCACTTGGCTAACGTTCTTTATGTTAGATAGATTCTTACTTGGTTCGCTACATGTAGATCTGCTCAATTCATCTGCGACAGTCTGGAGTCCATCAAAGTCGCTCACAATAACTACATATTTACTATCTGGGTTACTGGCAATACCATTTACTTCTTCTAGTTTCAGCTCTGCAGTTTGCACACCGATGCAGTAAATTATTATTCCATCGGCTTTTGCGGCACTTGCAAGTGGAACTGGGTCACCAGTTTTAGCAGCACCATCAGTTATGACAATGGCAACATCTTGTACGCCTTCTCGATTTCCACGAGTTGGTGAACTATATATTTCTCTCATCGTCGATATACCTGCTATGGTGTCTGTTGACCCAGCTTCATAAGCTATTTCATTAATGGCAGCTATAACTGCTTCATTTGTGTTGTAGTCATTTAGATCAAATTTCAAGGAGGCACCATCAGAAAATGACAGAGCAGCAACTTGTATACCATCATCACCTATGTTCATGTCTGACACAACATCCTTCACAAAATTGAGAACCAGTACGTAATTGTCCTCACCAATACTTCCAGAAGCATCAATGACAAACACGACATCAAGACGTCCATCAGCACAATCTTAAATTCAACAAAAATATTGTGTCAATGGTATAATTAATTTAATAGTCATAAAAGAAGTTTCAATCAACTAGTATGGTAAATGGATAAGAAACAAGTGAAATATTTACTATACGTTGTTGACATACCTATTGTTTGGATGCAGGACTTCTCAGCAATGGTTTCTGCTATCGTTGATAAACCTGAGAAATCGTCAACAACTGACGCATAAATGTCTGTTGGTTCGCTAGCTATGCCATTTACTTCATCTATGTTAAGTTCCGCTGTTTTTATTCCAATAGCAAACATTACAACACCAGCAGCTTTAGCTGCGTTTGCTGCTGGTATCGGATTTCCAGTTTTTGCAGCTCCATCGGTAACCACTATAGCAATATCTGGAACGTTACTTCTATCACCATTTGCCTCTTGGAACATGTCACTCATTAGACTTTCTAGACCCTCTTTTGTGGCTGTGGAGCCTGCGTTATAAGGTAGGTTACGCAGAGCAGAAATAACATCTTCTCGATTTGTGTATCTATTCAAATGGAATATTACTTCAGCCTCATTATGGAATATAATTGCAGCCACTCTGGTCTGATTCGAACTGATGTCTAGTGTAAATGCTATATTCACGATGAAATCCCTAATGAATTTATAGTTTTCTTCTCCAACACTACCAGATGAATCAATCACAAAAACGACATCAGACGTCCCTCTACATGCTGCAAAATAGAAAGGTTAGAGAATATGAGGTACAAATATATGAGTATTCACCATAATATGACATCTGAAACTAAGATGCCTTTATCAATAAAATTGTAATAAACATATAAGAATAAAATTGTGCAGTTTAAACAGATTTATCTGGTGCAATAAATGTAGAATTGTTAAAATAAAAATACGAAAATATTCCATTATTATCCAATGAAGAATCAAAAAGCCAGCTTCGCCAATTCTATCCATTTACAAAACAGTCAAAGACACTCACATATTTCAGGCACTGTTGTTGTAGGTGCTGGGGTGGTGGTCGTAGTAGTGGTAGTTGTTGTACTTGTAGATGTTGTTGTTGCTGAAACAATTTACCATACATTGATATAAAATCGTTGTAATTGACTATTTTGAATCGAATAACAATTATTCATCATTTGTATTTCATTAGTACCTTTTCTTTTATAGTTGTCTCAATATAGAATTGCTGGTTTTCTCAATACCTTTTCATCAATATGAGTAATGCGAACCACATCATAACATTCATTGGTTTGCTCTTTCAATTATTCCCTTTGTGCATTATTTTGCACTTGGCTAACGTTCTTTATGTTAAATAGATTCTTACTTGGTTCGCTACATGTAGATCTGCTCAATTCATCTGCGACAGTCTGGAGTCCATCAAAGTCGCTCACAATAACTACATATTTACTATCTGGGTTACTGGCAATACCATTTACTTCTTCTAGTTTCAGCTCTGCAGTTTGCACACCGATGCAGTAAATTATTATTCCATCGGCTTTTGCGGCACTTGCAAGTGGAACTGGGTCACCAGTTTTAGCAGCACCATCAGTTATGACAATGGCAACATCTTGTACGCCTTCTCGATTTCCACGAGTTGGTGAACTATATATTTCTCTCATCGTCGATATACCTGCTATGGTGTCTGTTGACCCAGCTTCATAAGCTATTTCATTAATGGCAGCTATAACTGCTTCATTTGTGTTGTAGTCATTTAGATCAAATTTCAAGGAGGCACCATCAGAAAATGACAGAGCAGCAACTCGTATACCATCATCACCTATGTTCATGTCTGACACAACATCCTTCACAAAATTGAGAACCAGTACGTAATTGTCCTCACCAATACTTCCAGAAGCATCAATGACAAACACGACATCAAGACGTCCATCAGCACAATCTTAAATTCAACAAAAATATTGTGTCAATGGTATTATTAATTTAATAGTCATAAAAGAAGTTTCAATCAACTAGTATGGTAAATGGATAAGAAACAAGTGAAATATTTACTATACGTTGTTGACATACCTATTGTTTGGATGCATGACTTCTCAGCAATGGTTTCTGCTATCGTTGATAAACCTGAGAAATCGTCAACAACTGACGCATAAATGTCTGTTGGTTCGCTAGCTATGCCATTTACTTCATCTATGTTAAGTTCCGCTGTTTTTATTCCAATAGCAAACATTACAACACCAGCAGCTTTAGCTGTGTTTGCTGCTGGTATCGGATTTCCAGTTTTTGCAGCTCCATCGGTAACCACTATAGCAATATCTGGAACGTTACTTCTATCACCATTTGCCTCTTGGAACATGTCACTCATTAGACTTTCTAGACCCTCTTTTGTGGCTGTGGAGCCTGCGTTATAAGGTAGGTTACGCAGAGCAGAAATAACATCTTCTCGATTTGTGTATCTATTCAAATGGAATATTACTTCAGCCTCATTATGGAATATAATTGCAGCCACTCTGGTCTGATTCGAACTGATGTCTAGTGTAAATGCTATATTCACGATGAAATCCCTAATGAATTTATAGTTTTCTTCTCCAACACTACCAGATGAATCAATCACAAAAACGACATCAGACGTCCCTCTACATGCTGCAAAATAGAAAGGTTAGAGAATATGAGGTACAAATATATGAGTATTCATCATAATATGACATCTGAAACTAAGATGCCTTTATCAATAAAATTGTAATAAACATATAAGAATAAAATTGTGCAGTTTAAACAGATTTATCTGGTGCAATAAATGTAGAATTGTTAAAATAAAAATACGAAAATATTCCATTATTATCCAATGAAGAATCAAAAAGCCAGCGTCGCCAATTCTATCTATTTACAAAACAGTCAAAGACACTCACATATTTCAGGTACTGTTGTTGTAGGTGCTGGGGTGGTGGTCGTAGTAGTGGTAGTTGTTGTACTTGTAGATGTTGTTGTTGCTGAAACAATTTACCATACATTGATATAAAATCGTTGTAATTGACTATTTTGAATCGACTAACAATTATTCATCATTTGTATTTCATTAGTACCTTTTCTTTTATAGTTGTCGCAATATAGAATTGCTGGTTTTCTCAATACCTTTTCATCAATATGAGTAATGCGAACCACATCATAACATTCATTGGTTTGCTCTTTCAATTATTCCCTTTGTGCATTATTTTGCACTTGGCTAACGTTCTTTATGTTAAATAGATTCTTACTTGGTTCGCTACATGTAGATCTGCTCAATTCATCTGCGACAGTCTGGAGTCCATCAAAGTCGCTCACAATAACTACATATTTACTATCTGGGTTACTGGCAATACCATTTACTTCTTCTAGTTTCAGCTCTGCAGTTTGCACACCGATGCAGTAAATTATTATTCCATCGGCTTTTGCGGCACTTGCAAGTGGAACTGGGTCACCAGTTTTAGCAGCACCATCAGTTATGACAATGGCAACATCTTGTACGCCTTCTCGATTTCCACGAGTTGGTGAACTATATATTTCTCTCATCGTCGATATACCTGCTATGGTGTCTGTTGACCCAGCTTCATAAGCTATTTCATTAATGGCAGCTATAACTGCTTCATTTGTGTTGTAGTCATTTAGATCAAATTTCAAGGAGGCACCATCAGAAAATGACAGAGCAGCAACTCGTATACCATCATCACCTATGTTCATGTCTGACACAACATCCTTCACAAAATTGAGAACCAGTACGTAATTGTCCTCACCAATACTTCCAGAAGCATCAATGACAAACACGACATCAAGACGTCCATCAGCACAATCTTAAATTCAACAAAAATATTGTGTCAATGGTATTATTAATTTAATAGTCATAAAAGAAGTTTCAATCAAACTAGTATGGTAAATGGATAAGAAACAAGTGAAATATTTACTATACGTTGTTGACATACCTATTGTTTGGATGCAGGACTTCTCAGCAATGGTTTCTGCTATCGTTGATAAACCTGAGAAATCGTCAACAACTGACGCATAAATGTCTGTTGGTTCGCTAGCTATGCCATTTACTTCATCTATGTTAAGTTCCGCTGTTTTTATTCCAATAGCAAACATTACAACACCAGCAGCTTTAGCTGCGTTTGCTGCTGGTATCGGATTTCCAGTTTTTGCAGCTCCATCGGTAACCACTATAGCAATATCTGGAACGTTACTTCTATCACCATTTGCCTCTTGGAACATGTCACTCATTAGACTTTCTAGACCCTCTTTTGTGGCTGTGGAGCCTGCGTTATAAGGTAGGTTACGCAGAGCAGAAATAACATCTTCTCGATTTGTGTATCTATTCAAATGGAATATTACTTCAGCCTCATTATGGAATATAATTGCAGCCACTCTGGTCTGATTCGAACTGATGTCTAGTGTAAATGCTATATTCACGATGAAATCCCTAATGAATTTATAGTTTTCTTCTCCAACACTACCAGATGAATCAATCACAAAAACGACATCAGACGTCCCTCTACATGCTGCAAAATAGAAAGGTTAGAGAATATGAGGTACAAATATATGAGTATTCATCATAATATGACATCTGAAACTAAGATGCCTTTATCAATAAAATTGTAATAAACATATAAGAATAAAATTGTGCAGTTTAAACAGATTTATCTGGTGCAATAAATGTAGAATTGTTAAAATAAAAATACGAAAATATTCCATTATTATCCAATGAAGAATCAAAAAGCCAGCGTCGCCAATTCTATCTATTTACAAAACAGTCAAAGACACTCACATATTTCAGGTACTGTTGTTGTAGGTGCTGGGGTGGTGGTCGTAGTAGTGGTAGTTGTTGTACTTGTAGATGTTGTTGTTGCTGAAACAATTTACCATACATTGATATAAAATCGTTGTAATTGACTATTTTGAATCGACTAACAATTATTCATCATTTGTATTTCATTAGTACCTTTTCTTTTATAGTTGTCTCAATATAGAATTGCTGGTTTTCTCAATACCTTTTCATCAATATGAGTAATGCGAACCACATCATAACATTCATTGGTTTGCTCTTTCAATTATTCCCTTTGTGCATTATTTTGCACTTGGCTAACGTTCTTTATGTTAGATAGATTCTTACTTGGTTCGCTACATGTAGATCTGCTCAATTCATCTGCGACAGTCTGGAGTCCATCAAAGTCGCTCACAATAACTACATATTTACTATCTGGGTTACTGGCAATACCATTTACTTCTTCTAGTTTCAGCTCTGCAGTTTGCACACCGATGCAGTAAATTATTATTCCATCGGCTTTTGCGGCACTTGCAAGTGGAACTGGGTCACCAGTTTTAGCAGCACCATCTGTTATGACAATGGCAACATCTTGTACGCCTTCTCGATTTCCATGAGTTGGTGAACTATATATTTCTCTCATCGTCGATATACCTGCTATGGTGTCTGTTGACCCAGCTTCATAAGCTATTTCATTAATGGCAGCTATAACTGCTTCATTTGTGTTGTAGTCATTTAGATCAAATTTCAAGGAGGCACCATCAGAAAATGACAGAGCAGCAACTCGTATACCATCATCACCTATGTTCATGTCTGACACAACATCCTTCACAAAATTGAGAACCAGTACGTAATTGTCCTCACCAATACTTCCAGAAGCATCAATGACAAACACGACATCAAGACGTCCATCAGCACAATCTTAAATTCAACAAAAATATTGTGTCAATGGTATTATTAATTTAATAGTCATAAAAGAAGTTTCAATCAACTAGTATGGTAAATGGATAAGAAACAAGTGAAATATTTACTATACGTTGTTGACATACCTATTGTTTGGATGCATGACTTCTCAGCAATGGTTTCTGCTATCGTTGATAAACCTGAGAAATCGTCAACAACTGACGCATAAATGTCTGTTGGTTCGCTAGCTATGCCATTTACTTCATCTATGTTAAGTTCCGCTGTCTTTATTCCAATAGCAAACATTACAACACCAGCAGCTTTAGCTGCGTTTGCTGCTGGTATCGGATTTCCAGTTTTTGCAGCTCCATCGGTAACCACTATAGCAATATCTGGAACGTTACTTCTATCACCATTTGCCTCTTGGAACATGTCACTCATTAGACTTTCTAGACCCTCTTTTGTGGCTGTGGAGCCTGCGTTATAAGGTAGGTTACGCAGAGCAGAAATAACATCTTCTCGATTTGTGTATCTATTCAAATGGAATATTACTTCAGCCTCATTATGGAATATAATTGCAGCCACTCTGGTCTGATTCGAACTGATGTCTAGTGTAAATGCTATATTCACGATGAAATCCCTAATGAATTTATAGTTTTCTTCTCCAACACTACCAGATGAATCAATCACAAAAACGACATCAGACGTCCCTCTACATGCTTCAAAATAGAAAGGTTAGCGAATATGAGGTACAAATATATGAGTATTCATCATAATATGACATCTGAAACTAAGATGCCTTTATCAATAAAATTGTAATAAACATATAAGAATAAAATTGTGCAGTTTAAACAGATTTATCTGGTGCAATAAATGTAGAATTGTTAAAATAAAAATACGAAAATATTCCATTATTATCCAATGAAGAATCAAAAAGCCAGCGTCGCCAATTCTATCTATTTACAAAACAGTCAAAGACACTCACATATTTCAGGTACTGTTGTTGTAGGTGCTGGGGTGGTGGTCGTAGTAGTGGTAGTTGTTGTACTTGTAGATGTTGTTGTTGCTGAAACAATTTACCATACATTGATATAAAATCGTTGTAATTGACTATTTTGAATCGACTAACAATTATTCATCATTTGTATTTCATTAGTACCTTTTCTTTTATAGTTGTCTCAATATAGAATTGCTGGTTTTCTCAATACCTTTTCATCAATATGAGTAATGCGAACCACATCATAACATTCATTGGTTTGCTCTTTCAATTATTCCCTTTGTGCATTATTTTGCACTTGGCTAACGTTCTTTATGTTAAATAGATTCTTACTTGGTTCGCTACATGTAGATCTGCTCAATTCATCTGCGACAGTCTGGAGTCCATCAAAGTCGCTCACAATAACTACATATTTACTATCTGGGTTACTGGCAATACCATTTACTTCTTCTAGTTTCAGCTCTGCAGTTTGCACACCGATGCAGTAAATTATTATTCCATCGGCTTTTGCGGCACTTGCAAGTGGAACTGGGTCACCAGTTTTAGCAGCACCATCAGTTATGACAATGGCAACATCTTGTACGCCTTCTCGATTTCCACGAGTTGGTGAACTATATATTTCTCTCATCGTCGATATACCTGCTATGGTGTCTGTTGACCCAGCTTCATAAGCTATTTCATTAATGGCAGCTATAACTGCTTCATTTGTGTTGTAGTCATTTAGATCAAATTTCAAGGAGGCACCATCAGAAAATGACAGAGCAGCAACTCGTATACCATCATCACCTATGTTCATGTCTGACACAACATCCTTCACAAAATTGAGAACCAGTACGTAATTGTCCTCACCAATACTTCCAGAAGCATCAATGACAAACACGACATCAAGACGTCCATCAGCACAATCTTAAATTCAACAAAAATATTGTGTCAATGGTATTATTAATTTAATAGTCATAAAAGAAGTTTCAATCAACTAGTATGGTAAATGGATAAGAAACAAGTGAAATATTTACTATACGCTGTTGACATACCTATTGTTTGGATGCATGACTTCTCAGCAATGGTTTCTGCTATCGTTGATAAACCTGAGAAATCGTCAACAACTGACGCATAAATGTCTGTTGGTTCGCTAGCTATGCCATTTACTTCATCTATGTTAAGTTCCGCTGTTTTTATTCCAATAGCAAACATTACAACACCAGCAGCTTTAGCTGCGTTTGCTGCTGGTATCGGATTTCCAGTTTTTGCAGCTCCATCGGTAACCACTATAGCAATATCTGGAACGTTACTTCTATCACCATTTGCCTCTTGGAACATGTCATTCATTAGACTTTCTAGACCCTCTTTTGTGGCTGTGGAGCCTGCGTTATAAGGTAGGTTACGCAGAGCAGAAATAACATCTTCTCGATTTGTGTATCTATTCAAATGGAATATTACTTCAGCCTCATTATGGAATATAATTGCAGCCACTCTGGTCTGATTCGAACTGATGTCTAGTGTAAATGCTATATTCACGATGAAATCCCTAATGAATTTATAGTTTTCTTCTCCAACACTACCAGATGAATCAATCACAAAAACGACATCAGACGTCCCTCTACATGCTGCAAAATAGAAAGGTTAGCGAATATGAGGTACAAATATATGAGTATTCATCATAATATGACATCTGAAACTAAGATGCCTTTATCAATAAAATTGTAATAAACATATAAGAATAAAATTGTGCAGTTTAAACAGATTTATCTGGTGCAATAAATGTAGAATTGTTAAAATAAAAATACGAAAATATTCCATTATTATCCAATGAAGAATCAAAAAGCCAGCGTCGCCAATTCTATCTATTTACAAAACAGTCAAAGACACTCACATATTTCAGGTACTGTTGTTGTAGGTGCTGGGGTGGTGGTCGTAGTAGTGGTAGTTGTTGTACTTGTAGATGTTGTTGTTGCTGAAACAATTTACCATACATTGATATAAAATCGTTGTAATTGACTATTTTGAATCGACTAACAATTATTCATCATTTGTATTTCATTAGTACCTTTTCTTTTATAGTTGTCTCAATATAGAATTGCTGGTTTTCTCAATACCTTTTCATCAATATAAGTAATGCGAACCACATCATAACATTCATTGGTTTGCTCTTTCAATTATTCCCTTTGTGCATTATTTTGCACTTGGCTAACGTTCTTTATGTTAAATAGATTCTTACTTGGTTCGCTACATGTAGATCTGCTCAATTCATCTGCGACAGTCTGGAGTCCATCAAAGTCGCTCACAATAACTACATATTTACTATCTGGGTTACTGGCAATACCATTTACTTCTTCTAGTTTCAGCTCTGCAGTTTGCACACCGATGCAGTAAATTATTATTCCATCGGCTTTTGCGGCACTTGCAAGTGGAACTGGGTCACCAGTTTTAGCAGCACCATCAGTTATGACAATGGCAACATCTTGTACGCCTTCTCGATTTCCACGAGTTGGTGAACTATATATTTCTCTCATCGTCGATATACCTGCTATGGTGTCTGTTGACCCAGCTTCATAAGCTATTTCATTAATGGCAGCTATAACTGCTTCATTTGTGTTGTAGTCATTTAGATCAAATTTCAAGGAGGCACCATCAGAAAATGACAGAGCAGCAACTCGTATACCATCATCACCTATGTTCATGTCTGACACAACATCCTTCACAAAATTGAGAACCAGTACGTAATTGTCCTCACCAATACTTCCAGAAGCATCAATGACAAACACGACATCAAGACGTCCATCAGCACAATCTTAAATTCAACAAAAATATTGTGTCAATGGTATTATTAATTTAATAGTCATAAAAGAAGTTTCAATCAACTAGTATGGTAAATGGATAAGAAACAAGTGAAATATTTACTATACGTTGTTGACATACCTATTGTTTGGATGCAGGACTTCTCAGCAATGGTTTCTGCTATCGTTGATAAACCTGAGAAATCGTCAACAACTGACGCATAAATGTCTGTTGGTTCGCTAGCTATGCCATTTACTTCATCTATGTTAAGTTCCGCTGTTTTTATTCCAATAGCAAACATTACAACACCAGCAGCTTTAGCTGCGTTTGCTGCTGGTATCGGATTTCCAGTTTTTGCAGCTCCATCGGTAACCACTATAGCAATATCTGGAACGTTACTTCTATCACCATTTGCCTCTTGGAACATGTCACTCATTAGACTTTCTAGACCCTCTTTTGTGGCTGTGGAGCCTGCGTTATAAGGTAGGTTACGCAGAGCAGAAATAACATCTTCTCGATTTGTGTATCTATTCAAATGGAATATTACTTCAGCCTCATTATGGAATATAATTGCAGCCACTCTGGTCTGATTCGAACTGATGTCTAGTGTAAATGCTATATTCACGATGAAATCCCTAATGAATTTATAGTTTTCTTCTCCAACACTACCAGATGAATCAATCACAAAAACGACATCAGACGTCCCTCTACATGCTGCAAAATAGAAAGGTTAGAGAATATGAGGTACAAATATATGAGTATTCATCATAATATGACATCTGAAACTAAGATGCCTTTATCAATAAAATTGTAATAAACATATAAGAATAAAATTGTGCAGTTTAAACAGATTTATCTGGTGCAATAAATGTAGAATTGTTAAAATAAAAATACGAAAATATTCCATTATTATCCAATGAAGAATCAAAAAGCCAGCTTCGCCAATTCTATCTATTTACAAAACAGTCAAAGACACTCACATATTTCAGGTACTGTTGTTGTAGGTGCTGGGGTGGTGGTCGTAGTAGTGGTAGTTGTTGTACTTGTAGATGTTGTTGTTGCTGAAACAATTTACCATACATTGATATAAAATCGTTGTAATTGACTATTTTGAATCGACTAACAATTATTCATCATTTGTATTTCATTAGTACCTTTTCTTTTATAGTTGTCTCAATATAGAATTGCTGGTTTTCTCAATACCTTTTCATCAATATGAGTAATGCGAACCACATCATAACATTCATTGGTTTGCTCTTTCAATTATTCCCTTTGTGCATTATTTTGCACTTGGCTAACGTTCTTTATGTTAAATAGATTCTTACTTGGTTCGCTACATGTAGATCTGCTCAATTCATCTGCGACAGTCTGGAGTCCATCAAAGTCGCTCACAATAACTACATATTTACTATCTGGGTTACTGGCAATACCATTTACTTCTTCTAGTTTCAGCTCTGCAGTTTGCACACCGATGCAGTAAATTATTATTCCATCGGCTTTTGCGGCACTTGCAAGTGGAACTGGGTCACCAGTTTTAGCAGCACCATCAGTTATGACAATGGCAACATCTTGTACGCCTTCTCGATTTCCACGATTTGGTGAACTATATATTTCTCTCATCGTCGATATACCTGCTATGGTGTCTGTTGACCCAGCTTCATAAGCTATTTCATTAATGGCAGCTATAACTGCTTCATTTGTGTTGTAGTCATTTAGATCAAATTTCAAGGAGGCACCATCAGAAAATGACAGAGCAGCAACTCGTATACCATCATCACCTATGTTCATGTCTGACACAACATCCTTCACAAAATTGAGAACCAGTACGTAATTGTCCTCACCAATACTTCCAGAAGCATCAATGACAAACACGACATCAAGACGTCCATCAGCACAATCTTAAATTCAACAAAAATATTGTGTCAATGGTATTATTAATTTAATAGTCATAAAAGAAGTTTCAATCAACTAGTATGGTAAATGGATAAGAAACAAGTGAAATATTTACTATATGTTGTTGACATACCTATTGTTTGGATGCATGACTTCTCAGCAATGGTTTCTGCTATCGTTGATAAACCTGAGAAATCGTCAACAACTGACGCATAAATGTCTGTTGGTTCGCTAGCTATGCCATTTACTTCATCTATGTTAAGTTCCGCTGTTTTTATTCCAATAGCAAACATTACAACACCAGCAGCTTTAGCTGCGTTTGCTGCTGGTATCGGATTTCCAGTTTTTGCAGCTCCATCGGTAACCACTATAGCAATATCTGGAACGTTACTTCTATCACCATTTGCCTCTTGGAACATGTCACTCATTAGACTTTCTAGACCCTCTTTTGTGGCTGTGGAGCCTGCGTTATAAGGTAGGTTACGCAGAGCAGAAATAACATCTTCTCGATTTGTGTATCTATTCAAATGGAATATTACTTCAGCCTCATTATGGAATATAATTGCAGCCACTCTGGTCTGATTCGAACTGATGTCTAGTGTAAATGCTATATTCACGATGAAATCCCTAATGAATTTATAGTTTTCTTCTCCAACACTACCAGATGAATCAATCACAAAAACGACATCAGACGTCCCTCTACATGCTGCAAAATAGAAAGGTTAGAGAATATGAGGTACAAATATATGAGTATTCATCATAATATGACATCTGAAACTAAGATGCCTTTATCAATAAAATTGTAATAAACATATAAGAATAAAATTGTGCAGTTTAAACAGATTTATCTGGTGCAATAAATGTAGAATTGTTAAAATAAAAATACGAAAATATTCCATTATTATCCAATGAAGAATCAAAAAGCCAGCGTCGCCAATTCTATCTATTTACAAAACAGTCAAAGACACTCACATATTTCAGGTACTGTTGTTGTAGGTGCTGGGGTGGTGGTCGTAGTAGTGGTAGTTGTTGTACTTGTAGATGTTGTTGTTGCTGAAACAATTTACCATACATTGATATAAAATCGTTGTAATTGACTATTTTGAATCGACTAACAATTATTCATCATTTGTATTTCATTAGTACCTTTTCTTTTATAGTTGTCTCAATATAGAATTGCTGGTTTTCTCAATACCTTTTCATCAATATGAGTAATGCGAACCACATCATAACATTCATTGGTTTGCTCTTTCAATTATTCCCTTTGTGCATTATTTTGCACTTGGCTAACGTTCTTTATGTTAAATAGATTCTTACTTGGTTCGCTACATGTAGATCTGCTCAATTCATCTGCGACAGTCTGGAGTCCATCAAAGTCGCTCACAATAACTACATATTTACTATCTGGGTTACTGGCAATACCATTTACTTCTTCTAGTTTCAGCTCTGCAGTTTGCACACCGATGCAGTAAATTATTATTCCATCGGCTTTTGCGGCACTTGCAAGTGGAACTGGGTCACCAGTTTTAGCAGCACCATCAGTTATGACAATGGCAACATCTTGTACGCCTTCTCGATTTCCACGAGTTGGTGAACTATATATTTCTCTCATCGTCGATATACCTGCTATGGTGTCTGTTGACCCAGCTTCATAAGCTATTTCATTAATGGCAGCTATAACTGCTTCATTTGTGTTGTAGTCATTTAGATCAAATTTCAAGGAGGCACCATCAGAAAATGACAGAGCAGCAACTCGTATACCATCATCACCTATGTTCATGTCTGACACAACATCCTTCACAAAATTGAGAACCAGTACGTAATTGTCCTCACCAATACTTCCAGAAGCATCAATGACAAACACGACATCAAGACGTCCATCAGCACAATCTTAAATTCAACAAAAATATTGTGTCAATGGTATTATTAATTTAATAGTCATAAAAGAAGTTTCAATCAACTAGTATGGTAAATGGATAAGAAACAAGTGAAATATTTACTATATGTTGTTGACATACCTATTGTTTGGATGCATGACTTCTCAGCAATGGTTTCTGCTATCGTTGATAAACCTGAGAAATCATCAACAACTGACGCATAAATGTCTGTTGGTTCGCTAGCTATGCCATTTACTTCATCTATGTTAAGTTCCGCTGTTTTTATTCCAATAGCAAACATTACAACACCAGCAGCTTTAGCTGCGTTTGCTGCTGGTATCGGATTTCCAGTTTTTGCAGCTCCATCGGTAACCACTATAGCAATATCTGAAACGTTACTTCTATCACCATTTGCCTCTTGGAACATGTCACTCATTAGACTTTCTAGACCCTCTTTTGTGGCTGTGGAGCCTGCGTTATAAGGTAGGTTACGCAGAGCAGAAATAACATCTTCTCGATTTGTGTATCTATTCAAATGGAATATTACTTCAGCCTCATTATGGAATATAATTGCAGCCACTCTGGTCTGATTCGAACTGATGTCTAGTGTAAATGCTATATTCACGATGAAATCCCTAATGAATTTATAGTTTTCTTCTCCAACACTACCAGATGAATCAATCACAAAAACGACATCAGACGTCCCAATACATGCTGCAAAATAGAAAGGTTAGAGAATATGAGGTACAAATATATGAGTATTCATCATAATATGACATCTGAAACTAAGATGCCTTTATCAATAAAATTGTAATAAACATATAAGAATAAAATTGTGCAGTTTAAACAGATTTATCTGGTGCAATAAATGTAGAATTGTTAAAATAAAAATACGAAAATATTCCATTATTATCCAATGAAGAATCAAAAAGCCAGCGTCGCCAATTCTATCTATTTACAAAACAGTCAAAGACACTCACATATTTCAGGTACTGTTGTTGTAGGTGCTGGGGTGGTGGTCGTAGTAGTGGTAGTTGTTGTACTTGTAGATGTTGTTGTTGCTGAAACAATTTACCATACATTGATATAAAATCGTTGTAATTGACTATTTTGAATCGACTAACAATTATTCATCATTTGTATTTCATTAGTACCTTTTCTTTTATAGTTGTCTCAATATAGAATTGCTGGTTTTCTCAATACCTTTTCATCAATATGAGTAATGCGAACCACATCATAACATTCATTGGTTTGCTCTTTCAATTATTCCCTTTGTGCATTATTTTGCACTTGGCTAACGTTCTTTATGTTAGATAGATTCTTACTTGGTTCGCTACATGTAGATCTGCTCAATTCATCTGCGACAGTCTGGAGTCCATCAAAGTCGCTCACAATAACTACATATTTACTATCTGGGTTACTGGCAATACCATTTACTTCTTCTAGTTTCAGCTCTGCAGTTTGCACACCGATGCAGTAAATTATTATTCCATCGGCTTTTGCGGCACTTGCAAGTGGAACTGGGTCACCAGTTTTAGCAGCACCATCAGTTATGACAATGGCAACATCTTGTACGCCTTCTCGATTTCCACGAGTTGGTGAACTATATATTTCTCTCATCGTCGATATACCTGCTATGGTGTCTGTTGACCCAGCTTCATAAGCTATTTCATTAATGGCAGCTATAACTGCTTCATTTGTGTTGTAGTCATTTAGATCAAATTTCAAGGAGGCACCATCAGAAAATGACAGAGCAGCAACTCGTATACCATCATCACCTATGTTCATGTCTGACACAACATCCTTCACAAAATTGAGAACCAGTACGTAATTGTCCTCACCAATACTTCCAGAAGCATCAATGACAAACACGACATCAAGACGTCCATCAGCACAATCTTAAATTCAACAAAAATATTGTGTCAATGGTATTATTAATTTAATAGTCATAAAAGAAGTTTCAATCAACTAGTATGGTAAATGGATAAGAAACAAGTGAAATATTTACTATACGTTGTTGACATACCTATTGTTTGGATGCATGACTTCTCAGCAATGGTTTCTGCTATCGTTGATAAACCTGAGAAATCGTCAACAACTGACGCATAAATGTCTGTTGGTTCGCTAGCTATGCCATTTACTTCATCTATGTTAAGTTCCGCTGTTTTTATTCCAATAGCAAACATTACAACACCAGCAGCTTTAGCTGCGTTTGCTGCTGGTATCGGATTTCCAGTTTTTGCAGCTCCATCGGTAACCACTATAGCAATATCTGGAACGTTACTTCTATCACCATTTGCCTCTTGGAACATGTCACTCATTAGACTTTCTAGACCCTCTTTTGTGGCTGTGGAGCCTGCGTTATAAGGTAGGTTACGCAGAGCAGAAATAACATCTTCTCGATTTGTGTATCTATTCAAATGGAATATTACTTCAGCCTCATTATGGAATATAATTGCAGCCACTCTGGTCTGATTCGAACTGATGTCTAGTGTAAATGCTATATTCACAATGAAATCCCTAATGAATTTATAGTTTTCTTCTCCAACACTACCAGATGAATCAATCACAAAAACGACATCAGACGTCCCTCTACATGCTGCAAAAATAATTATTCATCATAATATGACATTTGAATCAAAATGGCTCCATTAATAAAATTGTAATTAACATATAAGAAAAAAACTTTGCAATAAATGTAGAAATTTAAATAGAAACACGAAATTATTCCATAATTATCCAATGAAGAATGAAAAAAGCCAGCGTCGCCAATTCTATCTATTTACAAAACAGTCAAAGACACTTACATATTTCAGGTACTGTTGTTGTAGGTGCTGGTGTGGTAGTCGTTGTACTAGTTGTCGTTGTAGATTCTGTTGTCGCTAAAAGTATTTTCCAAACAATTAATGTGAATTCATTTTGAAAGTATTGTTATCTTATATATTACTGCTCATATACTGGTATACAGGTCAAAAAAAAATTTAATTTGTTAATTGAACACAAACCTTTAATTTTCCTCTAAAATGCAGCAAAATGTTACTGAGCACTGTTCCGTCACTTATCTCTCTGATGTAAAGTTTATAGGAGCAGACCACAAAGTTAATGCATTAAACCAGTCAATATTTGATATGACCCCCTTTTTCTTAAATATACACTTGTCAATTTCGCAGCTGCTTTTTCAAGTATTCTTTATTTCAAAGCTTTAATGAACATGTCGATTGCTATACATTGATATTTTGTTGACATGAGGTATTAGCGTATATGGTTTACTGGAAAACTGTTGTGTTATTGTCAACTTAAGAATACCCAAAATCATTGTTTTTATTTAAGAGTAGGAAAGAAAGAATATGTCAGAGGTGAGTGATTGAACTGAACTGAACTGAAATACAGCTACTAAACTGACACAATCATTGTTTCCACTTTTCAGTAGAGGGGAAACGGACCAGTTATTTACAAGGCTTTATTAAAGACCATCTCTAAGCACATATTATATATCATTTGTGTTCCGAGAAACTCCCTTTATGATATTGATATACATATATTGATACATTCAATGAATATTGTTTATATTAGAACAAGAAAGGGAGTGTTCATTTACCGGTCAAAACAGACTGCCCTAGCCGCTTTCTGGAGAATATTCAATTAGTAATATATCCAACAATAGCCATCAAAATATGCTTGATACCCATTAATTTGGGTAAAAAAATGTTGAATATGTAAGTAGTTTGTTCACGCTGAGTTTTTTAATCAAGATGGCTTTGACAAAATCAAACGAACAGCCAAGTGAATGAATCATTTCAAAACTGAGTCCCAGGCTTCAACTTGTAATTCAGGAGAAAATGGGTCATATCTAACATTCTCTAGTTTAATGCATTAACTTTGATGTTTGCACCTATAAACTTTACATCAGATAAATAAGTGATTGTACAATACTCAGTAAAATGTTGGTGCATTTTAGAGAAAAAACGTCGATTTGAGTTCAATTATCAAATGTTCCTACTTTTTGGACCACCCTGTATATAATAATAATGTGCGTTTCAGTATTTAGCAATATTTAAACAATACAATTGAAGGTCAACCCATTGATTTATCTAAGTCAATACGTCTGACCAAGTAGAGGCGTTAACATTGAGTCAAGCACCACTGACAATTACAATGCGTCAATAACGATATTTGATTTGCATTGATGAGCGTTTATATAATATCAAGCAGTTAAATAATATAACGACGGTTTCTTTGAGAGAGGAAATCCGTAGAATTTATGATTGTCTCCATTACATGTGGATTTTTCGCTATTTCAATAAATTGCCATCTCCCTTTTCCTGATGCAATATGTTTCTATTTTTTATAATAAACATTTATATTACTACATTTGCATTACTTCATAATACCATGAATCCATACACCAAATATTTACCACAATTTGAGACCCAAATCCCATGGGACATTTACTTATGCTTTGACTGAAAACTTATGATTTTCACCATTTTTTATATTTCATTTCATTATTACCCTATTGAAAGGTGACAAATACAGTAGTTTGGAGAAATTTAGGAACTACATGCACATATACTGGTTAATCTCATTGTTTGCACCGTATATGACTTGCAATTGGTAACAATCATGAGTATTACATTTTATCTTAAATTAACCGGCATGACATTGGATACCCTACTTCGTGAATTGATTGTAATAGACCTTTATTGCTATGTATGCTCCTCCTATCACATTCCCTGTATATATTCAGGACATGTAGCATTTGTAATAAGAAGAGATGACTCGATAGACTCGAATGCCTTAAAGATTTGGAACCATTTGTTGGTTTCAGTACATCACAAGACTTTGTTTGGATTAGTGTGAGATATCATATTCTTTCTCGCAACTCGCAACTCTGGGCAAGGTCAAATATCAAATCTGATTCTCTTCGGAGAAATGATTTTTTGATCGGTCAATGTATCAAGGGCATGGTCTCTCTATTTGGACAAGTAAGTCTGTACCAAATCTTCAAGGGATTTGAGCTTCTGCTGAGAGCTTTGTCATTTCTTAATTGAACATTTTCATGCCCTGAACGTATACAATAAAGAAGATAGGAAGAGCAATAAGAAACACTTATGGATTCTGTATGTTCAGAATTCTTAATGGCTTTCTGGGAGTCCCATGTTATTTCTTGAACGCATAACTCATTCCATACTTCGTCAACATCTTTCAATTTTGCACTGAGAACATATATGTACCTAGATTATTATGTGAAGGTACATATTCTTCTATAATGTATGAAAATTCAGAAAATTCAGTGACCTACTTTTCAAAATACAATAAACGCAGGTCACTTAATTTTCCCCTTTTTCCTGAATGTTTAATGAACACAAAGGTATGTTTATGCACTTTTGTGCATCTGAATGGAATGAGTTATGTGTTCCTAAAAATAACAAAGGGCTCCAATTAGGAAGACATTAAAACTGAAAATAAGGAACTACCTTAAAGTACTATATATCACCACCCTCCACAAGTCTATGGTTGAAGCATGGTATGTAAATTTCCCATGGAATTCAGGTCTAAAGATTTGGTACATATTTTATGTGTTGGTTCCTAGTATTCAGAACAAGCATAGTATGTCAATATTAACAGAGATGTTGATCTATTGAAAATAGGAGAAATTCACAGAAAATCACGAACTTTAGGTTGAAGCAAGGGTAAATTTCCAACGGGATTTGGGTGTCAGAATTTGGTGCATATTTGGTGTTTCAGTTCCTAGTATTGAGTCCTCCAAAAATGTTTATTATAAAAAATATAAACATATAATACCCTGAAAATGAAGAGGGCATTTTATCAAAAATAGCGAAAAATGATGAAATATCACACTTTTTCAGTCGAAGCGTGGGTAAATTTCCCATGGGATTTGGGTCTCACAATTAGGTGTGTAGGTTTTTTAGGTCACAGTAAGTCAAATGAGGAAGATAATCCGAAACAACGTTGGTTTCGCCCTATTTTGGACCACCCTATTGTTCATTCAAGTTATGTACTCCTCCCTTTTAAGAGGATAGGACGGAGCGTAGCGTCCTGAATGAACTCGTCACTACTATCACCTAGTGTCCAGATTCGCCGATAATTGGTTTCATAATCTCCGATCAAACTCATTAAATATTTCTAATTCCAGCTTGCCAGACAATAGAACCAACCAATACTGGTCGACTAGCGTAGGATTATCAAACCCGAGTGGGTATGTATCTAGTTGAAAGCCCATGGTCAAATCTCGAACCTCTACCGACTAATTTAATTGAATTGTGCAAACCGTTTCTTTAATCGCAAATTATGTTAAAATTACTTTCGAACGCATGGCGTGGCAGACTCCATAAAACATCCCAAATGTATGAGTAAAAGTATATGTTTATGTATATGATTTAATTAGCGGTTATGTCACTATCGTGGCATATATGCCCGAGGTCTCAGTGATATATGGCCCGACCTTGGGAGGGACATTGATCTCTGAGAACCGAGGGCATATGTGCCACGATAGTGACATAAACGATTTATAACATACCTATGATGATGTAGACTGGTCAGAGAGAACCGTTTTCTTATAGAATTGACAGACAAATGGTTAGAAAATGATTGAAATGAGTTTAGAAAATTTGCTCGTGCAGTTTTATCTTCGATTGATTGGTTATGACGTCAGCCCCTTGACCAATCAGAAAGTTAGCGGGCGCGGGCTTTTCAAAACTTATATTGGCCCGCTATCTTGTGAACACTTTGCACTATACATCATCATAGGTATGTTATAAGTTAACAATATTATACCATAGGTTGCTTTCAAGTCTTACACTAACAAGTGCTTTCTCTGACATCAAACTGACAGACTGAGGGTAGGTATTAGCAGAGACATTAGGTAGCAATAACATGAGAACATTTTCTGAAACTTCTGAAAATTATTTCAAACGTACATCTCGCGAATTAAGTGTTTGTGAAATGATGCCAGTTTTACTTACTTTCTGCACCACATGTATCACCAGACAAAGTTGACACTATGGTAGATAATCCTCTAAAGCTGTCAACAAGTACTACATACGTGCTATCTGGGTTACTTGCTATTCCATTCACCTCATTTATGTCCAGCTCATTAGTCCGTATCCCAACACAGAATATAATGATACCCTCATTTTTGGCAGAATTAGCAGTCGGAACTGGATCCCCTGTCTTTGATGCACCATCTGTGATAACAATGGCAACTGGTACGGCATCGTTACGTTTATCTCGTTTAAACATTGTTATCATCAGTTCAAGACCAGCGATAGTGTCTGTTGACTGAGCAAGATGTGGTATGTTTTGAATTGCTTGTTTTAATCGGCTTGTGTTTTTGTAATCAGTTAATCCAAATATTTCTTGAGCACCACTAGAGAAGACACATACCCCAACTCTGGCTTTATTCTCTCCAATGTCCAGCGTGTCTGTTACTGCCTCGATGAAGTTTATGACCTCCTCATAGTTCGTATCATTAATACTTCCAGATGAATCAACAACAAAGATGACATCTATTTGACTATTGATACAATCTGAAAGGGGCAAAATTATGGTGGATGAGATCAAAACCAAACATTTAAGCACTATATAGTATTCGACATAGTACTTGAGTTTAGGTTTTAGGAAGAGAATAACAGTTTTTACACATTTAAATAAATAACTCTTTATCATCCCACAAATGTTTAATGCATAGTGATCTTGAATATACTTAATTTGGTACAAACATTATTTCCTGAAATCATTCAAGGTTGAAAAAATATTGAATAATTAAATTGAAAAAGTTCAAAATATTGCATTCCACTACTTAATTTTTTCCATCTTTTTCAATTTCAAAATGTATTAATTCACTTCCTATCAATCGTTGACGATGGGGTTTATTCCAAAGACTCTCTGATGGCAGAAGGAAAATATTTTTGGATAATCAAGAACCAGGATTACTGATAAGAATTTCGGTTAATTCTGTTCAACATAATGTTTTACGGAATGAATACATTCTCTCAATTCATTCATCATCAATTAGGTGTATTAGAATATGTAATGAAAATGCACATGTCATAGATTTCGATAAGTTTCAGAAGAGATTCATAATCATAGATAAAAAGTTAAGTTTATATAATATTCAAAATCATTTTTGGTTGCGTTGACTAAAGCTTGAGTTGACTTAAGCTTGAGATGTCTTAGCTTGCATTCGCGAATGCAACTTTCGGCTGTTGGTTACCGGATTAAACCAACTATTTTATTGGCAACCCATGTGAATATGAATAGAACCATCCACTATTTCATTCATATCTAAATCATAATCTAAGTCATAAAATAGTAGGTTAATCCGGTTGCCGACAGCCGAAAGTTGCATTCGCGAATATAAGCTTAAATTCATACACACAGCGTGGAGCAAATAGAGACATTACTTAATATATTATATTGATCTCTCACATGAAGACATTTTCCAGGAATAAGCTTACCTATCACTTGAATGCATGTCTCCTCTTGTAAAGCTGTAGAGATAGTAGAGAGTGATTCAAAATCGTCCACAATGTAATAGAATCTTGAAACTGGTTCACTTGCAATTTGTTGTAATTCAACTTCATCTAACTCAGCAGTTTGGATACCAATTGCATATATGAGAATGCCTAAGTCTTTCACAACCTGTGCACTTGGGACTGGATCCCCCGTTTTAGCTGCACCATCTGTAATTACTAGAGCAATACCCTGAACATCACCGGATCTACCACCATTTTCAACTTTAAACATATCAGGGATTTTTTGCATAGCTTCAAGTGTAGCAGTGCTGCCGCCCACGTAAGCAATACTATTAACAGCATTAACTGTGCTGGCCGCGGATACGGTTTCATTGAAATAAAACTGAACTTTCACGTCACTGTTGAATGTAATGGCTGCAACACGGACACTATCCATCCCAATGTCCAAGTCCTGTACAACACTTGTAACAAACTGGAGGGTCAGATCGAAGTTTGTTTTGGTGACACTTCCAGACGAGTCAATGACAAATAATATATCTGTTTTGGCACCTTGGCACACTGAAATTACATACCATCTTAAGTTAATGAAATCGAGAATTTTAAGTAGATACACGATAAAATATACTACATAATTTTAACACTTATGAACCGATACTTCAAAACCAGTCAACCAACATCGTTTGTTGTGCCTCATTATATTCAGAACACTTATCAACCAAAGTTTATATATTTTCAAAATATGTAGTAAGTGCATTTACCTGTGGAGTTTGACTGTGACGAAACCTCTCTCATTCCGCAAAAAACAAGACACAGCCATACGACAGCAGAGAACACCCCCATGTTGTCTGGAAAAAACAGTTACATCATTTTAGAAGAGAGTTATGGGGTTTTTGAAGATCCTGTTGAAAACGAAGGTGGTTAAATCGATCTTGTACTTTTCAATAGGTCCATTAAAGATCGCCCAAAATAAATCAGTGTAGGTTATCATCCTTGTTAAACCAAAGACAAACTTTTGAGATCGAATCATCAATCGGTAGAAGTCAATACCATTCTATGTTAACATTTTTTACTTGATCCTCCAACGTAAATTAAGAAAATGTGTTCACAAGATTTTTAACTTCATGTCATGATATGCATTTACATGAAACACCATTTTAAAAGGAAAAAATGTAATGAGTCACAACAGATTATTCAGTAACCTGATTATAACTATCCAAATATAATGTTTAGTTATAGTTTTCAATCGGCCCTAGGCGTATCTCTAAATAGACGGAATCATCATAGAATTCGGAGAAGATGAATTAAAGGGTAAAACTGGTTCGCATTTTAATGCGTATAACTTTTGAAGATGTGTTTAAAATGTCAACCTGTTTGTGATGCTACTTCTGATGCAACATTGTCTCTTTTGAATCGAGATTTTCAGTCATCTTCACATTACAATAAATAATTTGACTGGGAAAAGTTTATAAATATGCATTGGTTTTTGAATAAAGTTGTATGATAAAGTAAACGACATGGAACAATGCTACGCAGAGTATTCTCAATATGTATATGATCGATGTTGTTTAAAATACTATTTAACGATTTTACAATTTTTGCCTCAACTGTATGGTATTTTTGTACAAAAATAGGTCAGTCGGATATTGAATAATAAGCTTCCCAGGAACATTTCAAAATATTTTGCCAATTTGTTTAATGAGGTGTCAATTTATGATTCCTTGTCATACTCCTTGTAATATGAATATATTGATAGTATAGCTTGCATTGGTTATATATTTAGAAGACATTGGGTGATTGTTATATTTACAAATTTTTGACACCATACATCATGATATCTCTGGCTATACCTCCAAAATCTTCCCTCCACTTAGAGTTCCTGCTAAATACATATTATAGTCAGTAGAACGCGTGTATTAATAATTTAATCCATCATCATATCGACTTGATTAAGCTGTGATTAAATATATCACCGCGATTTTATTGCATTTTATAGCACATTGAAAGGGAGATCGATTTCAACCTGTTATGCGTCTATATTATCTGAGATTCACTTTGATTTGTCAATAAAGCATTTCTATCCGATTATTTCATAATATTAGTTACTAGTGACTATTTCTTCAAACCTAGAGTGCTAAATATTGTTCAGCGAGAAGTGCCCTTAACATTAATCCATATTGGGATGCAAAGAAAGAAACTATAAGCATGCATGAAATATTCATCAGCAATATAAAGGGAATTATTTATTAAAACTGTACTATAGAATAATGTATGCTTTATCGATCCTCTTCATGCATTCCTTCATCCACTCTACTTGAAGAAAGTGCGATATCGTCTATTAATGTTTTAAGAATATTTGTTTGCAAACGATGAAGTAGGCGTATAGTCACTTCATAAAAATGAACAGCATGGCAGCACGAAGGTCTATTCTACTCTTTCTTTCCACACCAATAGTTAAGGTTTCACAGCACAACCCAAGGCTAGAATTATGTTTGAAGTGGAATTTCGAATGAATTGTATACTGTGAACATAAGGGTCACAGATTAAAACAAAGATTGCATAAATATACCTGTTTGATGGGTTTTTCGTATAATATAGTGATAGATCACTTACCTAGTCTCTTTTTCTTTCCTTTACTTATATCAATGTCAACTTGATCCCGTATACATTGTTATAGTCTCCCAGAGTTCAGCGTCGCGCAATCCATGTGTTAGTCGCGAAACAATTTAGCTTAAATATTCACTCCTTTGAGGAAGATGAACCTATAAATAAACGAACTGTCATGTATCATGTGAACTTGGGTGTATCATTATTGAACGTGAGATTTACATTTTCGTCGAACTATTCATTTGGCATTTGGACCATCCTATATTTCACAATGAAGGCCTGCTCTTTACCAGTTTACGCCAACATGCATCTTAAGTCAAATTTTGTTTACCAACGTTCACATTTTTGTTTGTACGCCCTATTCAGCTGAAACTATAATAACCGGTTCTGAAGAGTCATCAACCACTATAACACTAATAATTCTTATGTGTGCATTTAACTTATCGGATTTATCCAACGGAAAACTATTCTTAGTTTGCTGTTTTATTATGCTTATTTTCATCCCTTTTGATTATGCTATCACCCAGCGATTGATTTGTATTTGCACGCTTTTGTATTGATTTATTTGCATTCTAATACACACAGGGCTTTATGCAGGTCATTCCACCCTCGATGTACCTACCTATAAGAAAATGTTGATGAATTATTAAAGGAATATCCTGGAAAGCGGGCTTAATATGTCTTGTTGGCTACACGTTGAATAATATAAATGCGGGTATAATTAGTTAGCGTTCGTGGTTACATTCATCATTATCTTAACAAATACAAATAAATTCATGTAATATAACAATTAAAACAAAACTGAATATGTTCAAACATATGACTGCAGATGGAAAGATGTCTTGAAAAGCTTACATCTTCATCTTAGAAAATTAAAGTCAGTCTGTGTTATATAGTCCCCTCCCCATTGGTTCATATGGTGAAGTGATTAAAACTCATCCTATTCATCTTATACTCAATAATGATCAATGAGAGCCATATAGAAAGGACCATAATCCAGGGGAACATTATTTCTTCAACATTGAGTCTTTTTTGCAATGGAATGATGAGGTAAACATTGTAAGCTACAGGAAGGCTACCTTCACATTTCGTATGTTTCTTTATGGATTAATTTTCCTCTTATAAGTTTTTTGTAAATAGTCTATAAACTTTGTTATATTCTTAAAACAAAGCAATATATTTGGTCCATCTACGTTGTTTCAAATATTTTAGCATTGTCCAAGTCGGTATTATCTTTTATTTAACTTGGTTTTCAATTAATATATACAGTGAAAAGAAAATTTGAAAAAGTAAAGACACCGACTTGGGCAAGGCTGCAAATATTTCTGTACCAATAGTTTATGTGAGAACTGAACTTGAAAATATGTTCTTTGAACCACATCTCTAGGTCTACACTTGCGAATCAATTTCTCTTTTATTTCAACTCATTTCTCAACACAATTAAAATAGACAAGGATGTATGCATTGGTTTAAGGTATTGCTTATTGGGATGTTACAGCTAAAACTCTGTTTTAAATGAATTCGAAATATGTGGAGCATAAATTCCTTCGAAACAAATTTTTGAATTAAAAAAGTTCCATATCCCACATTTTGACAACATTGATAATGCACTTCAATGTACGCCAAAGTGGTTAAAACTTTACACTGGGACTTTAATTAAATATTAAGACGTATTATTGTTACGTTTTGAATGGCATTATCGAACACATCATCTTGTTTCTTCAGATTTCCAGCATTCACATTATCCTGAACTGCCATTTCATCATCAATGCATGGAGGTTTTGCAGTGTCCTAGTGCAGATGTACATGTAGTTATGAAAATTAATGTATATGGAGAAGGTCTACATCATTGTGAGAGATCCCACCCTAAAACATTCTTTGCAAGGCAGAGATGGTCTGTTTTCTGTTATGCTATATAAGGCAGTGACCCCCACCCTTTAAAACATACTTTGGTGTTACTGGTGTTGGTGCACTTCCCATCATCAGAAATGTGCCTGGCTATAACTCTCAGCTCACTAGGTGCATTGCTCTCTATGGGTCCTGCCTGTTTGTAACGTTTCTTTAGATCCCTTGGTTCCTTAGGTCTTTAATATTTTTTGCCTTCTACTAATTAAATATGTGGTTTTAAATGGCATTTTTCTTCTCTAAATCTGTTTGATGCAATTGAGTATATGATGATTGTCATGGCTTGTATCTTCTTTTCAACTGGTCCACTTTGAGATGACTCCAGAATTGTATCCAAGTCATTATCCAGATTACTCCATTCCTCTTTCTTTGTAGCATTTGGCCATTTAATCCTCTGGAGTCTCTCTTCTTTAGCTTTGACAGTCTCATTCGTCTTTGGAACTTGAAAGTTCCTGGCACTGTGGTTTTTGTCCTAGCCTGGTCCCTCCGTCGTCTTACCAGGATCAGATGACCCTGAGCGCTGTTTCACTCCCGAGTGAACCGCGACTTGCCTTTATGAATCTTAAGTCCCCTGTCATTCTAACACTCTTAGTTATAATAGACGATAAACGAGGGAGCTTTATTTCGGAGCCATGCGGCATACCGATGTGAAAGAAATGATGATCCCCGGGGATTTTGATCCCCTTTCTTAACGGCCCTTAGTGGCCCTGATTGTGTATAAGATAATGAGGGAAAGAATTGTATTTAGGCCACCATATAAATCAATGGAGAGTAGGACCATAATTTGATAGGACCTTCTACCATTTTACACCATCCTTCTTCAAAGGACTTCATTTATGCTTAAATTCATATGGTATGGAAAGAAGTGAAATACCCTTGGACCAAGGATGCTTTTTTTGATCGAAGATCGTGTTTCATGTTTAACATTCACAATGGTATATTCGAAAAAATAATCAATTAATATTTGTGTTCCCCAGTTCAGCTTGTTACGAAGAGTTGCCTGCATTTTCAAACAAAGACATGGGAGGGGTGGCCTCATGTGGATATTAAAAAACTCTAGTTCAAGTGACTTGAATTTGATGGCTACTCTGTGTGAATCGTCAATACGGCTTCGTGCAACCAAAACTTACCTGAACTTAATCTGATTAACCTTTGCAAATTGTATTTACTATTTACCCCAGATTATAATCGATATTAGTTTATACATAAGTGAGGCTTTTTATATCTATCAGATACAGCAATACAGCAGGATATTGGAATTGTATGAAATAGCGGCCATTATAAGTCGTAATGGAAATCACAGACATCATCATTCTACCTGATCCGGTAATGTAATAATGTAGTACATTCATTGATCGTCACCCACCTCATCATACAGACTGCACCCACCTCATCGTGTTGACTTCATTATCCCACCTCACCTAGCATTGTACTATATCCAATGATCTACACCCACCTCATCATACAGACCTCATCAAACTTCATCATCCTACCTAACCCAGCATTGTACTTCATCCATTGATCTGCACCCACATCATCATACAAGTCTCATTAACCTACATAACCCAGCATTGTACTACATCCATTGATCTGCACCCACATCATCATACAGGTCTCATTAACCTACATAACCAAGCATTGTACTACATCCATTGATCTGCACCCACATCATCATACAGGTCTCATTAACCTACATAACCAAGCATTGTACTTCATCCATTGATCTGCACCCACCTCATGATATAGACTTCATTATCCTACATAACCCAGTTTTGTACTACATCCATTGATCTGCACCCACATTATCATACAGGCCTCATTAACCTACACATATCCAGCATTGTACTACACCCATTAATCTGCACCCAAATCATCATACAGGTTTCATTAACCTACACAACCCAGCATTGTACTACATCCATTGATCTGCACCCACATCATCATACAGGTCTCATTAACCTACATAACCAAGCATTGTACTACATCCATTGATCTGCACCCACATCATCATACAGGTCTCATTAACCTACATAACCAAGCATTGTACTTCATCCGTTGATCTGCACCCACCTCATCATACAGACTTCATTAACCTACATTACCCAGTATTGTACTTCATCCATTGACCTGCACCCACCTCATCATACAGACTTCATTATCCTACATAACCCAGCATTGTACTACATCCATTGATCTGCACCCACCTCATCATACAGACTTCATTATCCTATATTGCCCAGCATTGTACTTCATCCATTGATCTGCACCCACCTCATCATACAGACTTCATTATCCTACATTGCCCAGCATCGTACTACATCCATTGATCTGCACCCACCTCATCATACAGACTTCATTATCCTATATTGCCCAGCATTGTACTTCATCCATTGATCTGCACCCACCTCATTATACAGACTTCATTATCCGACATAACCCAGCATTTTACTGCATTCATTAATATGTCCTTGTCCAGTATTGCATTATATCGTCTGATTTGCAAGTGAATCAAATGTCACTCTATCTGTCTATTACATTCCCTTTGTATGTTGTTGTCACTACTTACAGTACCTTAAAACACTTAATAATTGGTACACTTAATCCCTTAAAAGCCCCGGGAAAACTGAAAACGTTTGCGAACGAATAGTTCAGGAACTTATATAGATGATTCTGGCGTATTCGTTAGCAAACGCTTAGCTTTTCTTATGATGCTGACACACCTTTGTGCCAAAAATGCCATGAAGATTCTACCTACAACTCTAAAAATCATGGGAGAGAAAAGAAAACACGTACATCCGGGGCTGCGTTTTTGAAGAGTTCCATCACATTGATTATATCTGTAATTTTCTACAAACTGAACCTGGGGGCCGTTGCTCGAAGAAATCGTTATCAACGAATCGTGACAAGAACAGGAAAATAAAAGCACCCACCACATCATAAAAATTCTTAGATGCTAACTCTGTTAGCAAAGTAAATATGCTCTTGCATGGTAACAGCGAACTTAGTAATGAAGATAATACACTTCTGCTGAAAGCAACTTTAAAATTCCTAAAAGCAACCAAGATTGACTAACATGTTATACACCATCCCATAATTTACACCACTGCACACCTTTTTTTGTAAAGCATTCCAATATCAGCTTTAATTGTACTTTTTCCTTTTTGTTTATATATGAATAGTTACGAATAATTGTAACAAATTTGTATTGCATATAAGTGTATGGTATATTTACCTTGTTGAATTTCCATTGTATGAAATTAAATGTTATAATATATGAACTTGAAATAAAAATGATTAATAAAAAACCACATCATACAGCTGAAGCGCTAAATTGAAAATGAAAATACATACAAAATACATGCCATGAATTGGTGTAGCCTAAATAGCGGGAAAGGTGTTTCACTTTTTGAAAATGTGCTAGCCCTTCAAAATAAAAAAAAACATTGTTGAACTACTCAAGTTGAAAAGAAGTATGTTTCTTGTTTTGAATGTCGTATTTCTTATTTTGGTTTCAATAAGAACTAAAACTTTAAAACATTGTTTCCCCTGCATCACTTTTTGCACTTACTTCTCAACAATTTTTGATTTTTCTAAATACAATTAAGGATTAGAATGTACACTATGCCATGTATGCATTGGTGTAGAGTATTACTTATCAGAACAGTTGTGCACACAACTGAAACGTGATTTTAAATAGTATCACAGAACTTTCTAACAAAAGTGACACATTTAACAAAATTGGGTCAGACTTTTGTGCGTGTTGCTTGTCAAGCTCAGCGACACTTTACATGCGTCACCTTAACATTTATAATGATTCAAAATAGACATTTAAATGAGTAATTATACGAGTATGAAAACTGATCGAAAAGATCAGTAAGTAGAAATGCATCAAGCGATACCATGGCTCACCTTTTTATTTTCATTCTTTGGACGCTTGAGTATCCTCCATTTCACATTGTTTATTGAAATAAGTTTAATGTTTTTAAATGGCAATTCTCTTTCATTTTGTTGTGTTGAAGCAGCTTACTCTATCGGTGTGTATATTGTTCGTAATTAGTTTAGAAATTGTATTGATTTGAAAGCAAATAGGATTTAAAACACTGCAACTGCACTGTGGATTTTGCAAGTGAAATCATGCCGACATTCAAACGGTAACAGATGTTTGTAACAAACAAATTAATAGGAAAAATCAGGCCAGTCAATAAGCAGCTCAATAGCTCCAGATGATGCTGTATCAAAGATATATGCAAATGTACTTTGTCAAGCATGGGCAACCTGTTGCTTGTATTTTTTTAAACGATGCACTTACAAGCGTGACTGTCTAATAAGATGATTTAATATTCAAATAAAATGCTAATATATTCCTATGTACAATGCAACCTAATTACTAAAATCCTGTCACACGCACCTTTACTTCTTTGTTTGTTTTATAAAAGTTCATATTTTCTGTTAAAATACTTTTTTAACTGAAACCACACAGGTATGATTGAATTTAATTGTGTTGTTAAAACATTTTCATACCAACAATTATTTTCCATTGCTTGAGCCAATGCAGTATTATATATTCGATAATTTTCTTTGAACTTCAAGCATGTGTACTGAACTAAAATACTCAAATCATCAAATTTCTCAACTCATTTTCGCGACTGGAAAGTAGGGTGGTCGGTAAACCATGTGATAAATCTATATTAAAACATTATTAATCTCACTTCAATATTGATCTTGACCTCCAATGACCTTGTAAAAAGTTCAATGAATATGACTCTCCATATTGAGACTTGTTTATTCATTCTCATATCTAATGAACAGCTACCTTGTGAACCAAGGGCCTCAATTGTGAACATATCCTTTTTATTTAAGGTGAATATTAAAAGTAAAGCATAAAAAGTACATAATGATGTTAAGAATTCAATGAAAAGTATACTTTAGTATCAAATAAAACTGTCTTACCATTGCATCCACTGACTTGTAAAAATACTTTTACAATGTACTCACAAGTGAAAATCCAGATGCGTGCACGAAATATATCCTTTGGTGTATTTGGCGACATTAACAGCGAAATTAAGGTTTATTTAATAATTGAGTTTACAATTAATTTACAACTGATATAATCATTTCTTGAGGGCTTTGCATAAAAAGTCACATCATATTCACGATCATGACTATTCCTATCTCGTCAAATTTAAGTGCTAATATCAAATCGATTGCATGTTCAAAACGGAACAGTTTAAATAAAAATATGCCCACCAAATAAGTAGTCATGAACGGTGTACACTTACATTATATAACGTTTCGGTCAAGCAAGTGACCACTTAGTATTATAATATCACCCGAAAAGAATAATTGCCCGTGGAGAATAAATTGCTTATGCTTAATAAAAGGCTTGCACCATGGCCTAAAGTATATCAATAATAGTTTTGCGAAGATTTGATAACAGATTATGATCATGATATAATAAACGATTATGAGATTATCAGTTGTTGGGTGTGGCACAAGACCAAAACTTGAGAAATTCCTTTTCAAGAAATTTCTTGTAAACGTATAATTAACTTGATGATTATATATAAATCTTATGAATAATGCCTATGAATAATATATAAATATAAAATGACACTTACCACTAAGAGACAAACGTTTCAGCAACAGAAGTTCTGTGATCGTGAGAACAGTAAGTACATATAAACCTACATGTAAATGACCATGTGACCTCAATGCTATTCAATTCAAAGCCGTACCTATGTTTAGGCATGTGCACACAATTTGTTTAAATATTAGATTAGTATGGGACTTTCTATAGAGGCGATAGAATGTATACAATGATCGAAGGACTTGATTCATTGACTAATACCGGGAACACATTTACTTGCAAATAGAAACTCAGTACTTGCGTTGGTGTAATCTTAGATTCTGCAATCATTTCCAAGGATGCCCCACAGAAGGAAATTCAAGTGTATATAAGGAAAGGAACGAAAAACTCATACGATTTTTGCCTATTTTAAAAATCGTGTTTATATTAAAGTAAAATTTTAAATGTTTGGAACTACTTTGAATTTAAAAAATAAGCAATCAAATAACTGACTATATGGCGAGAGCCGGCGAGAGTATATAAAGAAAAATAGAAACATATGTACTTGTCCTAACTTTTCAGATAGTTACACATAATGTGTAGTAAAGCAATGGCCTTTTGTAATTTAGGGAGTTTCAGCCATGTTAATTTTTCCGAAAATAACATGGCAGAGAAGCATCGAAATATAAGAGACCACAGATATGATCTGAGGCCCGGGAATACGTTAAAAAATGTTCAACCCCCTCCCCCCTCCCCCCCTCCCCCCCCCCCCTGGTGTACTGAGTTGGTAATGCGTGGTGTATACATGTATATTATACTTATATATATCTTTTACTTATAGATTACTTACATGTATTTTTTATTAATGACTATATACCCGAGCCTCAGGATATGAAAGCTAAACTACAAAACAAACTAAAATATACAAAATTTAGGACATGTATAAATGTTTCTATTTTTACATAAACTGTTTCAATATGATCCTTTGATTGCTTATTTTTTAAATTCAAATTAGTTCCCAACATTTAAAATTTTAATGTACTTTATTTTGCATCCGCTAATTTGACAATTAGCTGTGTATGTAGAACAAACAAAAGCATATTAGCTATCGTGCTTGTTTTATATTTGTAAGAAAAAAATCGCATCTAAAAACCAGTCTGTGTTTCGTTGATCTATGATGCAAGAGAGGGCCATGGTATTCCATGATGTCATAATCTTAATATAAATCAATGTGAAATGAAAGTACACTCCCCTCCATAAGTTTGGCAACCTTAGCTCCCCCATTAAACTACGTGTTAAAGCCTCTTTACCTTTGAATTTTTATTTACTTAACCGGAGATGAAAATATACTTATACCATTGATGGAAACGTAATTTGACTTTATTTCCAATACCTCCAAATTTTCTAAATTTTTTTCCTCAATCACAATAAGTCGAAAATTGATGATAAATTTGATGAATTTTTGAAAATCGACATTCCCATGTTAACCAATGGGAAATGGTAGGTTTGCCGCAAGTCATATGACAGAATATCCATCCATCCGAGTCCTTGCAAAAAAATACGATTAAGGCAGGAAATTGAAATTGCTAACTTTATTTAACAAAAAATTGATATGTTTCTTCAGTTCTTCAGAAGTTATAGGGCTTTAAAGTCAAAATTGTTTTTCAAAAAACCTCTCCCATTGAAATAACACAGGAGGCGAAAAATTATTTTCAAAAATGACTTTGAGGCGCTGTAACTAGTATTTATCAAATAAACCAAAAACTTAGTGTACATAAAAATTAGACAATTCAATTTTCTATATAAAAATATTTTTGCTGAATCTTTTACTGAAAAGCTATCCTGATATCTATTTTGCCCCGAACCCTCCTTTTCCCATTGGATTACATGGCAATGACGATTTTCAAAAATTCATCAAATTTATCATCAATTTTCGACCTATTGTTATTGAGGAAAAAAATTGAGAAAATTTGGAGGTATTGAAAATAAAGTCAAGTTACGTTTCCATCAGTATTATTATTTATTTCATCTCCGGTTAAGTAAATAAAAATTCAAACGTAAAAAGGCTTTAACACGTAGTTCAATGGGGGAGCTATGGTTGCCAAACTTATGGAGGGGAGTGTATCATCAAATCACGCCCGTTGATCGGGAAAATGGGACGGATGGGGGGAGTTGGGACTTTCTTCTAGAAAATTCAACAAATCTGGAAGATTTAATTTTTCAAGAGATATGATAAGGTTACTATTGAACTGCTGAATGGATAGGCGCACATTATGGTAAAATAAGAATGGGTCTTCTAGGATTTTTTGATTTTTTAATAGATTCCAGATTCCTTGAGATTTCTAGCAGAAATTGCCTGCCCCCCCCCCCCCCTCCGTCCCGTTTTTCCGATCACTGGGCGTGAAAATTAAAATATTAAATCTACTGTTGGGACATGTGGGGTGAGTGTTTCAGTTTCACGGTGATTTATTATATCGAAGCCAAAGCCACTGGACTGCAACTCGACCCTTCCTGACATAGACTGACAAATCCAGATAATTAGTTTCGGTGACGGAGAGATTACTTTGTATCCATATCCAATGGTATGCAAAAGTAGAATTGCTTGAACAGCTATAAAGGTGAAAATCAAAATGCTGCTACTGTTTCAACTAAATCTGGACAACTGGTCAATTTCCAGTTGCAAAAACTGTAATAGTGGATAGAGAGTAATCTCTTTGCCAAAGAATGGACACTATTCTAACATGTAATAAATATCTGAATTAGTCAATTTTGTGGACAATCGTGGTTAGCATGACCAATTGATCCTCAATTTTGGCGCTTGATCGCAGTCAAAAGTTAAGCGAGTCGCTGTCCGTTATGTACAGTAGCTTCGATATCATAAATCATCGTGAGATTCACATTTAACACAATCATGGGCATGGAATGTAACATGTGCACACATTCAGCACAATCATGGATAGACTATGCCGGCAAAAAGCACGTATAAAGCAAAATGATCAATCACGGGTGGACAGCAGATACAATACGCATGCACATAAGCACAATCATGAGCGGTATGGAACATTCATTTATGCGCACACATTTAGCACAATCATTGGAAGTAGTTGCAAAACGTGGATACAGAAACACAACCATAGTCAGAGGACACAACATGTGGCACATTTAGCACAATCCATGTCATAAATAGACCTACAAATACATTAAGCTCTATCGTTGTCGGAAGATGCAACTTGTACACACTTTAGCACAACCATTGGAGGAAATACACGTACATACATCACCATAGGCGGAAATGCAACGTGCATACATATTTAGCACAATCAGGGGAAGAAGATGCAATCCAGTGTCATCATAGTTCTAGTCTGTCAGAGATGTGTTTCAACAGACTAGAACTACTGGACAATACAGACAACACAACATGCTTATAATAATTGAAACAATGATTGAAAGGAAATGCAAAAGTAATGCACATTTATCACAAGCATGGGCATGAGTAAATGCAACATTTTTACACATTTAGCAAAATCATAGGCGTAGCCATGGGTTGTGATGGAAAACAAAACCAATAAAAATAAAACCATGCAACATATACCCACTAGGGTGTCTAGCGGCTTGTTTTTATAGTGTGTATTATATAAGAATTATGAAATAATAAAAAAATTGAATTGAAAAAAAGATAGAAGAAGAAAAGAGCTTTAAAATGCTTTTTATTTGAAATTTCTAGTTCAATTTTTTAAGAAGTTGCATCATTTTTTGTAAAATTCAAAACAAATCTTTAAAAAGATTTTTTGGCTGGCTTATGCCACGATTGCACCCCCCCCAGACTGAAAACTGGCTACGTCGCCCCTGAAAATCATTGGATACTGTATTAACTTTCTCCCATCATTGGTAGAAATTGTAACGTGTAAACACATTTAGCACAACCATGTGTAAAAATGCAACATCATGATTAGAAGGTGAAAGATGCATATTTAGCACAATCATAGGCAATAGACGCTACACAAAGCACAATCATGGGTAGAAAATGCAACATACTTAGAGGTTATGTCACTATCGTGGCATATATGCCCGAGGTCTCAGTGATATATGGCCCGACCTTGGGAGGGACATTGATCTCTGAGAACCGAGGGCATATGTGCCACGATAGTGACATAAACGATTTATAACATACCTATGATGATGTAGACTGGTCAGAGAGTACCGTTTTGTTATAGAATTGACAAACAAATGGTTTGAAAATGATTGAAATGAGTTTAGAAAAATTGCTCGCGCAGTTTCATCTTCGATTGATTGGTTATGACGTCAGCGCCTTGACCAATCAAAATGTTAGCGGGCGCGGGCTTTTCAAAACTTATATTGGCCCGCTGTCTTGTGTACACTTTGCACTATACATCATCATAGGTATGTTATAAATAGGCCTACAGTTCAGTAGCACAATCAGGGCAATACATTGAGCACAATCATGAGCGAAATATGCTAGAGCAATACATCAAACATGGAAACTGTGGGGTGGCACAGACTTAGTTTGCACAAAGCTCTCTCCTGGGAGATAGCATCTATCTAAAGATGGCTATGTGCACAGACTACGAATGCTTAATATTGGCTTATTAGCCTTTTGCAGATTATTGACATAGACATGCAGTTGAGAAACATGTTTCTTTGGGAGGTATTTCCTAATAAAAAAATTCTGATATTTGTGCTACAAGTGTTTGTAAAAACAAAACCACGTGATAGCAAACAGGCTAATGCAAAGATTCATGGCACTGGTAGCAGCTTATCTCGTTCCAAAACTATCTCTTAGTCTAGAAACGGGAAGAGGATTCAGTAGCAGCCATGATTCAAACTCGATGCGATCTTCCATTGTCTGCTGGCGTGGATCAATTTGGTAACACAACTACCCATATGTGGAAGCACTGCCATGGGAGTATAATCGTGCACAAATGTTCATCTCCCGACTAAATACTTGAAACTGAATTTCTTTGAAATATTATTACTGAATTGGTCAGTACCATTCAACGGAGGATCGAGCTTGAATCAATTCCCATTTTGTTATGTTATTGGTTTGACGTCATTGCCGCCATTCTTGAAGAAAAGTTTTTTCGCGGGTAAGTTTTAAAATCAACATTTTCGCCAATTTTATCCGAAATATGGTAAATCATCACACCTACAAATCTCACCATGCCCCATCGAGCCCGGACTATTAAGCCTAGGGACCATAGGCCAAGGGTAAAGTCTAATAGTAAGCCGTATATAGAAGAGACAGGTCCACAAGTAAGATTGAAAATTTTTCAAATTGGCACTAGGTGTTCTCCTTACTGGCACTAGTTCTCCTTACTGGTATCAAATTGTATTCCCAAATCTCTCCAAAATCTTCTTCAAAGTGTTTTTCAAACTTATATCATTGTTTTTTCAAATCTTTATCTAAAAACTGCATATAATACTGCATATAAAACAACAACTATGGATATCTGCAATTGCCTGGCAAGCTGAAACTGATTGTCACTGGTGGAGTTCAGGGAGGTCAGCAGTGACCAATCAGATCACTTGTTTACTAATGAACTTGCCAAGCAATTGCAGGTTTTCAGATACTGTACGCCCAGTATTATTCGCGAGCTTTAATTTCGCGAATTTTGCGAAAACACGGTTTCGCGGCTATTAAATTTCGTGAAACTGTCGATTCGGAGATTTTGAAGTGTTTAGCAGCGCTTGAATTGCCATTCAGTAATGCGTGCCGGGCTATGTTTGCCCTTTCTGCATCGTTATACACCTTACATGTCCCGGAATTGGACTTCATGTTATCTTTTGCAATTTGCACTTCATTTGCAATGATGTCATCGATATCATTATTAGGCCTACTGGTGGTACTGGGCCGAATCAGCCAACGTAAAATGGACATTACTGAAGTCCTGAAGATCGTGGATATCCAATTATCGCCCAATAACACTAGACGAAACGTTTACACAAAACGAAATGCATCAGAGCCCCGGGTAATAACAAATTCCCAGGGATTTAATTGGCAATTTCGCGACGATAATTTTTCGCAATTCTAACACCATCGCGAAAAGCGCGAAAGTTAATCGCACGCGAATAATACCGGGCGTACAGTATTCTCTCTTTTAGACAGCATTATTCACTCTATATCATCTGACTGAGTTTCAATCTTAGGTAAGAGCTACAAACTATCAATTTTCTATCAACTCCCCATGGCTTTGTGAAAATAATACACTAAATATTGTTGAAATCTCCATCTTAACAAGTGGTCTAAGTCAGAGTTGTTCAATTGTCTTTTCTATATACAGCTTACTATTACTTTTCCCTTGGCCTATGCTAGGGACGTAGCCGCTAGCCAGCAATTTCTCACTGGCAGATCCAGGGGGAACCCAGAAAAAAATTTTAGCCTCAAAAAATGGGCATCTTTTGGCATAATTTGGTCTATTTGGTCTTTTTTTAGGCCAAATTATCAAAAATGGGCCCAATTTTTTGTTTTAGGGCCCCCTCCTTGTTAGCTTCTGGATCCACCAGTACAGTGCTTCTAGTCTACTACTTGGTGAATGAAGTTCATCATTCTAGACCACGGACCTCTGCCAGATAAGCTCCTCTGTGTCTAGGCTCAATAAATATCTTATCTTCCCATTTATCCTTTGAGCCTACTACTGACCTGCCAACAGGGGCTGGATCTGGCTCCGGATCTGTGTTCTAGACTACTGCATGATGTTACGCCTGCTTTGGATAATTTTGATATTTTTACATATTTTAGATTTAAATGTCCTCTTTTGAATATTCATAACCAGGTGTTATTAATTTCTATATATTTTTCTTCGAAATGTTAATTCTTATGTTATAGAAAAAAAGAAAAACTTCCTGGCACTTCCTGGAAGTTCCTGGCACTCTAGATTAACATGGATCACACGAAAGCACAGCCATCAAAAAACACAACTCTACCTTTATCTGAAAAATCTAGTGTCATTCATACAAATGATGATACGGATCCCAATATAAATCTTGACGATGACATTGCCATTACACAACATGAGGCTGTTAACATGGTTCAAGATGATTGCGACATTGCAAATGCTGGTGATGGTGAACATGCTGAACAACTGAATTTAAGTTCTCAATGTATGGACATTGATAAAAAAGAAGGTACTTAATCATTAGTGTAACACCTGTTGAATTTTCCTAGAGTCCTTTGTTGTATCATTGAAGTCTCTAAGATATTTTTTGTTTCCTAGTTTGAGAGATAATTTAAGTTCATAAGAGCGTTAAATGCTAACTGTGATGATTAGGCTTAGGAAATAACTTGGCCTTGGATATTTTATTTCAGAAGGCCATACTGGGAACCAGGATCTTGAAGGACCAACATTGCGAGACATCATGTACTTTAGGGATCATCTTCTTGAAATGGTAGAGGAACTTCGCATAAGAAGGGTAAATGTTTTATGTGACACTATTAATTAAAATGCTTTATGTTAATCAACATTCAAAAAATCATTCTTTTTGTTTCACTAGGTGACAAGAGAAGGCTTCGTGGTTAAGGTCTTCACAATACAAAATTGATAAAAAAATGAATATGTGAATTGTTATTCTATTGCCAAGTTTGTAATTTTAAAAAATTCACCTTAACAATGGCATAATTGTGTGCTCTATTCCATTTAAAATCTCCTTTCCTGCCCCAAGTTTTTGTCAAATGAACTTTCACCCTCTACTCTTGATGTGTTACACTTGCAGGTTGCAGAGAGAGGATATGATGAGCAGATAACAGCTATGAGGAAAGATAATCAGGAACTACAAGAAATCAATGTGAGTGGTCTTGATCTTGTCTTATACTGAACATGTACAAAACATATATTTTGTCTATTCATCAATTAAATACTTCCAAGTTTCATACATGAGATGAATAGAGAATATCCTATGATTTTTGAGGGATATCATTTTTATCCATTTTTTCCATGAGTGGATATCATCCATCTCCACAAGTGAGCATAGCAAATAGAATAATTTATCCCATTATGAAACTTGGTAGTATTTTGTATGTATTTTCATTAATAAATAGACGAAATTTATGTATGAAAGTGTTGATGGATTTCTTGAAATTAATGAGAATGAGAACAAATCTAGATAAGGGTGTCCTGAATCTAACATGTGTTTTAGTTTTTTCATGTCCGTGTGAAATGGAAGTCCATCATCTGCTGGAGGTCCCAGAATTTCTGACACATTTCTTTATATAAACTTATCTTGATAAAACCTCTTTCCCAAGAGAGTAAATGAACATTTCATTATTTCAGGCTGGAATTCTGTCTCAACTTGCAGACATGGAGAGTACACATACAACAATTATAGCTGAGACTGAGAAATCTCACCAGGCAATGCTGACTGCTGCTAAGAAAATTGAGGTAAAGTAGTTTATTGGTTTTAATTATTTATTTCATGAAAGTCTTACTTCAAGCCTTTGAGCAGTCTGTAATTACCCCTGCACACTAGAAATGGGACAATGGTATACAATCTTTAAGTATGGAACATTTTCGGAAGTCAGGAAAACATTTATGAGACCAGTACTAATGTTAACACTAATTGTGATTTACTAGTATGTATTCATACTACTCTGGATACTATAGAACATCTAAATTTTTGAAGAGTATGAAACAAAATAGTTGATCAGTTTTCCAAAGGGTAAGGGATGATATGATTTCTGATCAAATATGGTGAGAAGAAAGGTGATATCATATCAGATTAAGGCTGTATAAAAAGTAAAAGCAATAAGTTAAACTCAAATAATATATATCCCTTTGATTGTACTGTTTTCATGAATTTTTCAAGAATTCTTTTTTAGCAGGAAATTTTATCCAAAGTAATAGTCTCCTCATAGGCAAAAGGACGATAGAAATAATTTTTTTAATAAAGAGGGCAGACTGATCATCTGTGTTAATAGTATATTAATAGGATTTTACTGCTGCTGCCATCTTTATATAGGCCCAAAACCATTGCTATTAGTTGCTATTATATGTGTAGTGTGATCAAAAGCCTGATGACCAAGCTCAAATTGTACAAATAGATTTATAATACATTCTTTTGCATTATATTATTGTTGTTTTTCTTTTATACATGTTAGAGTCAAAAGTCTTCTGTTTATCGGTTGTTAAAATTGATGTTACATTGAAGGTCCAAAAATAAAAGCTATTAAAAGTAAGAGGTGAAAATATAAAAGTATTTAAACTAAGGTAAGAAGGCAGTGTGCCTAGCTGATGGGGACTTGGGGTAATTGTCGTTCATATAAAAGATCTAATATAATCTTATATCATCTCTAGGAGAAGAAAGTGAATGTTGCAGAGAATCTGGAGAAAGAGAATGAAGCTTTGAAGATGGAAATACAAACATTCAAGGTATTTAATGTCTTATCCAGCTTTCATCTACCAAGGAGTTTATCTTATTTTTAGCTCACATGTTAGCTCACATGGTGAGCTATTGCAATCACTCACTTGTCCGTCTGTCTGTCTGTCCGTCAGTCCGTCCGTCCGTCTGTCCGTTCGTCCGTCCATTCCGTCCGTCTGTCTGTCTGTGAACAATTTGCCAGTTTTAAAAGCTCTGTCAATAGGATTCCTGTTTTAAGTTATTTTTGTTCAACATCAATATAGAAAACCTCCCTATGACTCCTGGTTCAAAAGCTCGCCTATTTTCAAAATGGCCACCATTTTTGTCTCGCGAAATTCACTTCTGGACCATTTGCTTTAAAACCTGTGTTGATAGGATTCCCGTTTTGAGTTATTTTTTTTAAACATCAATACAGAAAACTCCCTTATGACTCCAGGTTCTAAAGGTCGCCTATTTTCAAAATGGTCACCATTTTTGCCTCTCGAAATTCACTTTTGGCCCATTTCCTAGCTTTACAAATAATTTCAGGTGCCCTGCATTGTAAAAATCCATGTCACTGTAAAGAGTAGTTGTATTTGTTTTTTATATTCAGCCATTTTAGTTAACATTGATTTGTCCATCTATCTCAAGAAATCCACTTTTGGACCATTTGCCTTAAAACCTCTGTAGATAGGATTCCCGTTTTAAGTTATTTTTGTTCAACATCAATACAGAAAACTCCCCTATGACTCCTGGTTCAAAAGCTCGCCAGTATTTTCAAAATAGTCACCATTTTTGTCTTGCGAAATTCACCATGTGAGCCCAGTACCCAGGGTACTATTTATACAAAATTGCATGCTGCTCTACTTTTTCATCAGAATTCATAAAGTTTTAGATTTTGATCAAAATATGTAAATTTTACCCTTTCCATAAAACTTTTGAAGATTTTCCTCAGCAAAATCTTACAGGGTGCTTGCGTAAGCTCATCCAGATGATTATGTTGAAGTTGAAGTATAATCCATTATTATCCAATATTGTTATATTCCTTTTCATACAGAGCAGTAAATTATTTGATTTGAGTTTTTGTCAGGATTTTCGTAATCTTCTAAAACAAGGTAGCGTGACAAAAACCATGACACTATAAACATGAACTTAAAGGTTAAAGAGTATGAAAAAGAGAAACAAGTTACTGATTTAGAAAGGTCCCTACAACTACTGAGCAGCAACAAAGACTGGGGCATGAAACAGCTGGTTACAATAGAGGAGACTTGCCACCAATTGACCTCTAAGTTAGAACATATTGAGGAAAGGAGACTCAAGCTTGAAGCCAATGGTATGGTTTTTTTGGAATATTGTTTTCATAAATCTAATTTTGTATCAAGTCTGTAGTCCCCAATTATATATCCTGTGTATATGTATCTGAAAGGTAGCTGTATCTGAAAGGTAGCTAATTCACGGTGTTATAGCATGACAGATACGCCACCTCTGAAAACGAGGTTAGTCGAATACGATCACTGATTTATCCAATAAAATGGCCACAATGAAACAGAAAGCTAAGGTAGGTGCATTATGTTCTACTACTGCGTATCAATAAAAGCACGAAAGATTTATGTAAGCGTCGCATTCGGTGATGCATTCAGTAATGTTTATTTTGAACGTAGTCTTTGTAAATCGACGCCCATGGATAACATGAAATAAGCGAAAAACTGTCGAGTTTGAAATTCAAAACTTCATAAAATTTAGTAATTTGTTTCTTTTCCTCGTTAGAGCATGCTCTACATTGCGCAACAACCTTGGTGTATATAAATGTAACCTAAATAAGATCATACAAAGCCAATTAATCATTGTAAACCACTTAATATGTTCTACTCAAGCCATAATAATGTATTTTGAATTTGCGGATACGCCAAAAATTGATAGACAGTTACGCGAACCTCGTTCATGTATGTAAAACCGAATCATTTCATATCGCTTGTGATCCAAAATTGAAATGTTTTTCAACCGGATTTGAGTTTTGTAAGCTATAATAGATGAAATCGTATTATTACCACCTTGCAGGGCCTGTTCTAGGGGTTTTAGTACTAGTTGAGAAGGCATTTAAATTGCTATATTGACGTGAGCAATATTGTGTCAGGCGTTAATGACTTTAGTCGGGCAATAATGATATTATACGCCCGGCTATGTTTCCCGGGAAAAGTGATATCGTTCAGTGCGTAAGATTTTCTATTTCAAATTTGCTATTTCAGCCCTGGGCATTAACGGTGGTAAAATGGTAATAACGTCATTTCTGCGGGCAAAATAGTGAAATATTGGACCTTGGGCCTGCGGCCCTTGGTCCAATATTTCACTATATTGCCCGCAGAAATGACGTTATTGTACTATTATGAAGATGGTGACATAAACAGCTGAATATGATTTGTAATAATGGTAATATATGTCTAATGTCAATTATGACATCATCAATTCATTTGGAGTTGTTTTCTTCCGTCGCCTGTTCGTTGTTACTAATTTCTTCCTTTGCCTCCTCATTACAATCATTTTCACTTTCATTGGCTTTCGCTATTTTTTCCTTGCCCTATAGAGGCTCAAGCAAGAGCGTCTCTTGCGAGTCCTGAAAACAAATATAGGCAGTTCACACATAGAGAGCTATCCATCTAGGGACCTTGACTTGACAGGAACCTGCATGTACATGTAACCGTCCGCTAACATCTAATGTAAAACTAATACAATGCGTTGCTGTCCATAAAAAAGCATGCAATACATACGTATCTGTCTAACGACCTTGCGATTGAAACCTTATTATCTACAATATTTACCACATTTCTGTTCTGCATTTGTCATTTTATGGCTTGTTTATACACAGTTTACGTACAGTTAGTATTTTGAGTGGCTCTGAGGCACATATACTGAGAAAACACGAAAAAGGACTAAAAATTATGAACTTCGAAATCTCAGCTGGGTAGGTTTACAGCTTATATTCTGCTTCTTGTAGACCACACGACAGATTTAACTCAATCTTTATAAACATTCACATATGCATCACCGAATGGAACTAGTTGAAAAGGAAAGCTTATCTGTGAATCTTGCCTACAGGCGAAAAAGAGGACATGCTGTCTTTCCCGTCCGCCATTTTTTGTTATCGTTACCGCAAAATTTGGCCAATTGCCTTGTCGTATCTGTCATGCTATAACACCGTGTAATTGTTTTCCATATACAAAATGTACATGCAGGCATGTCAACTTGGGAACACCTAACATGAGTGACTTACAAATGTTGAACACCTTAGTTCCTTCAAATTGTGGACACCTTGGTCCAAGACTGGACACCTTGGTCAGAATATTGGACACCTCAATTTTTCCCGCTCGCTAATGATCGCGTTTAAAAACTCCGTCAATGGGGGGTATGTACAAAAGATATTGAAGCAAATATGTGGCATATTCACAAATTTCGAACCAAATGCGTGACATATAGAGAATTCGCGTGAATAGTCCAAACGGAATGCGTTCACTTTTTTTTCCTTGTTCGTTTTTTTATGTATCGGCATTCATTTTTGAAATTCTTCTACAGAAATGTTTTTGCATGACAATTATCAGGTAAAATGTGTATTTAGATATTGACTCTTTGGTAGAGCTCGATTTATTTTTGCCTAATCCTGAATTGGGTTTTCTGTTAGTTGAGGCTACACATGGGTATACATAAAGCAAGATTGATGGGACAAATAACAATATAGGGAAAATGAGTGTTAGACTTGAAGTGCAATTTATAGCCTCAAATAAAGTTTTCAGTCTTTCAGTTATCTGTTTCCCCTAGCTATGTATATATACACTGTAGTTATGTTACTACATGGGAAGACAATATACCATGATACATGTCTTTGTTGCGAAACTAAATCAGTCAGTATCTAACTCACTATTCACAGCAATTTCTCAAAACAGGCTAAATAAATGAAAACAACAGGCAAACTTAATGGAAATGGAATTTAACATGGAAAGTCCATAAAAACAACAGGCAATTTTGTGAAAACAACTAGTGAAAATGGCCTGTTGCCTGCTGCTAATGAAACCCCTGATCTCTCTATTTCAGTTGAGAAGGCAACAGAATTGAATAAAAGCCTAACATTGGTGAATCTCCACCAAGAATGTATGACAGAGGAACTGAGGCAGGAGAACAAGGAGCTACAGAGTCTCCTTAGGGAGACAAGAGTTCAGAAACATAAGGAACCAGTTGAAGATAACCAGAAACTAACACAGGCTGAGCTTACTGTAGAGAAGCTCAACCAACAACATAAACTGGTAAGGTTTACTATATTGCATATTATGTTGGGGAGGGTTGGGTCACTAATTATCGCACTCCACCTCTACCCCCAGCAGATTCCCCTGACTAAAGGGCAGAAACAAAACATAATGCAAATACATGTATTAATAGCTGGTAATCGAATTCTTGATTTGATGAACTAAATTTTTTCATATACATGTATATAAGAACTATTCCCAGCAAAAATATAGGCAGATAGTCATTTAATCATTCATTCATTCAATCATTTTACCATTCATTCAGAGGTTAATACATAGCTGACTTTGTAATTCTTTGTTTCAGCTTTGTACAGAAATTGGTGATTTAAAGCAAGATCTGGAAAAAGCAGATATTAAACATAAGGTGATTTGAACTTTCTATATACAGTAGTTGTACTTTGTTAAGCATAATTTTGTTCTTTATTACAATTTCTGAGTATAGGCTCTGTCAGTTGATTGGTTTATCAGTTTCTCCATCCAGGCATTAACTTAAAATTAATTGTTGTATGCAAAAAAGAAAACGTTTCAAGATGGCCGGAACTTGAAAGATTACAGAAAAAACTTAACCTGAGATACATGCACATCATTAACATATTTTACCATTCATAGGTTGATGCGAAGTTACTGGAAGAATGTCACATAGTGCTTAGTAAGCAGGTAGATTGCGGGGAGGGACAGACTGTACAAATCAAACAGCTTGAGGACAACCTGAATGCCCTACAAGACAAACATACTAGCCTAGAAGAGCTACATAGGGAGACTGACAACAAGCTGAAAGAGAAAGAAGAATTGTGTAACCAACTTAGAAAGACATTGGAAGTGAAAGTAAGCTGAATACATTTATTTTTGAAAAGTAATTTTGTAAGTAGTGAAAAGTTAACAAAACGTTTTACAAATTGTTATGCTTTTTGCAAAATTACAAATAGCAATGTAAAATCTTTGTAATGTAAAAACTATCTAATGTTTGAAGTAATGCTTGTATCCGTTTTATGTAGATTAATACTGGTATTTTGTCCTGGCTCTATTTGACGCAAAATGCTATAAGTTATTGAATGATTTTAAGTGCAATACAGGATATTATCGTATGATCTGTAAAATGAAACCTTCTCATTGGTCAGTTCTTGTGCTGTACCAATCTGTATTGCTACTGAGATTGTTCCCGTTGATCATCTCCGTCGCAATACAGAAAATATTGGTACGGAGGGGACAATCTCAGTAGCAATACAGAGGATTACACGATAAAAATGTTATGGAATGATTTGAAGTGCAATACAGGATATATTCTGTCTCGATATTCTGTATTGGCACTCGACTTCGTCTTGTACCAATACAGAATTTCTCGAGTAGAATATATATCCTGTATTGCACTTCAAATCATTCAATAACTTATATATTCTGCTCAAGAAATTCTGTATTGTCACAAGACAAAGCGGAGTGCCAATACAGAATATCAAGAGCACAATGTATCCTGATTTGCACTTCAAATCATTCTATAATGTTTTTATCGTGTGATCTTAGGTCAATACATTTTACTTATGAGAGAATCCCTAAGAAATATTCTGTATTCTGTATTGCTACTAAAATTGTGTCCTCCATACCAATATTTTCTGTATTGCTATGGAGATGATCAATGTGGACAATATCGGTATCAATGCAGATCGACAGCACAAGAACTGACCGATCAGAGGGCTTCATTTTACAGATCATACAATAAAGTCTGTATCATTTATAATGTTCCCAAATCTGTTGCAATTGATGTTGAGAAGTATCATTGTCACACAGTTTTGCAAAAAGGACATTTTAGCCATTTTTGCAATATGTTACTCTATATAATTTCATAAAGAGCTTTCTATTGATCTTTTTGTATTTTATTGATTATACTTATCTGTGACATATTTGTAACTTGACCTACTGTTACAAAATGTCATTTTATAATAAATATGTGATAATAATAAACTTTGTTTCCAGGAGAATGAACTGATTGATCGTTACACAAGACTTAATGAGGAGTACAAGCAACTTGTTATATCTCACACATCACTGGAAGATCACAACACAAAGTGGTCAGACACAAACCTGCAGTTAACCAATCAGATACAGCAATTAAAGGTTACTTTATTCTCCATATAATGTTGGTTAGCTTTGAATATTATATACTTTCAAAATGTGTTTTATATACAGGGTGTCCATAAAGTGTAACAATTTCAAGACAAACTCTGTATAGGGTAAGAGGAGGGAAAACCCCATGATTCAATTGATGACATACGATTTCCTCCTTCGCGCACCTCCTTTCCCGGAAGTATGTTTATTTGCTTACCCTCCATCTTGGTTTTCAAAGTTTTCAAATTGACCTAGTTTTAAACCAATCAACGATCGACTCGCTAAACCAATCAGCGACGATGTCATCTCAATACAGATTTACATTATAAGTGTATGTCATCTTTGAACTCTTGTATAGAGTGTAAAGAGACTTTATGGACACCAAGATGGAACTTTAACCTGCTTTCATACTATACAATGATTATCTTGATTTAGTAGAAAAAGACCAATTATACAATGTTCAAAACATATAAATGGTTTTGTTTAAAGGTTTTGTATTGTTCCAAACATTGCCTACTATGCTACCTCATGTTGAGTTACCTTAAAACTATCTTTGAATATTTTCAAAACTTCTATTTTTGTTATACTCGTATTTTCCTAACTTACTGGTCATTACAGGATGAAGCCAAAAAGGTGGATCAACTAGATGCTTTGGTCCAAACGGACATTACTCCGACAAACAACACTCTTGTTCAGACTGATACAGCACATAAGATGGAACACTCAACTCAAACATACATAGATATTGTCCCAAATAAGGAATCCCAGAAGGTATCTAGCACAACAGCTTCAACTCAGACTTACACAGACAGTTCCAGTTCCCCTCATCCTGAGAACCAGGAGGTTATCAATGAGTCATTGGTATCTCCAACAGCAAGTGTATCTGGAGAACTTGTCATAGAATCCACCATGGAAGTATTAAAATCTCAAGAATTAAGACAATCTACTAAATCGGTGGCAGGAGCTCCTAATAAACAGTCTCAAAAACTCTCAACAACTTTTCCAGTCTCAAATGAAATAAACAGTGAACCTGTAGGCATTCCTACAACTAAAGATACTACTACAATTGAAGGATCAACAAATAAGCCATTCATTTCAAGCAGCTATACTGATGCTGATCTATCTGCTAGTGTTGAAACACTTGGAACAGATGGAGCAGATGAACCTCAGTCTAAAATAGACATTTCTAATGTACATGATATAAGTAAAAAGGACAAAGCAAACAAAGTTATGGATACTGTTAATGAAGATGCAACCATAATACCAGCTACACCTATTGAAAGAATAAACAGGTGGCACAACAAGGAACACCAAAGAGAAGACATCGGGAAGTTCAACCTATGAAAATGCCATCCAATGTATCCATACTACTAAATAATGGCTGTCCCGTGCTGGGTAATGCTGATGATCAAGACATCCCATCTTCAAACTCCAAGAACTCTTACTCAAAAGCTGCATCCTTGAATCACCTTGAAATGCCATTACAGCCTCAGACCATTTCTCCAAAAGCACAAACTTCTCTTGTCATTGATGAAATCACAAGTTCAAATCCTAAAGCAATGTCTAAGAAACTTCTGTTCATAGGTTCCAACGTCACGAATGAAAATCTAAATGAACAGATTTCAGTTCCACAACCCATATCTTCCAAACCCCAGGGTGTTTGTTCAAATCCATTGCTCAAATCAGTGATCAAACCTCCTCAGCAGATCACCACTTGTCAACAAACGCCTACCAATGAGAGCAAGGGAAAACTACCGGAGAGATGCAAAGACAGTCCAATTGTAGCTCTTACTAAAACTCTCAGCGACCTGACCAATAGGCATAGCACTCCAACCATGTTCACCCCCAGGTTACCTTCTGAGCCATTATGTGAGAGCTCTTTCACACTAAAGACATTGTCATCTACTACACCCAAGCAGTCTAGACCTGCCCCTATGTTCAGTGTAGCCACAGGAGGTGTCAACTGCTCATCAACTGCAGCTACAATAAGGCCAAGTGCATCATCTGAGTTAGCAGGTACTTTCACATTTAAATTGTTTTAATAGTCTAGCTACGAGCTCTTGTGACCCTCCCCCCCCCCTTTATACACACTTTCATATACCTATACACATCTTTGTGGTGAAGTAGTTATGGGGAAGGGATCCAGAGATTTGAAGCAAGATTAAATTGTTTTGATTTTAACTGTTATTCATCTAAAAGTTCTTGTCTGCAATACCAGGCAAATTCCCATAAGGGGATTCATTTCAAATTTTTGGGAATTGTTCATTTTGTGTCTAGTTTAGTTTGTTGATGTCAGACAATTTACACTAAATGAGCACTGCTGATCTAACTAAAATTTCTCAATGAATTAAGAGGCTGTATATATGAGGCATTTCACACAATAAACATTTTTACTAAGTATTCACTCAGAACAAGTAAAATAGATGTCTCTTAAGTAGTCTATACATGTATGTTTAGGGAAGCCTGCAAAGAGAAGATGTATGGACATTGGATCTGTACCCACTGCAACCATATCTTCAACTGACAACATCTCAAAGGTTAGAGTACCTTGTTTTGAAATACTTCTTCTTATTCATTAATTAAAGAAAATTTCCTGTTCCCAGTTTAAGTGGTAGTAAATGAAAATTAAAGAAGAAATTGTTCAAAACCAGGAAAACACCATAATATAGGAATGGAATAAAAATTTAAATCCTTGCACTATGATAAGCCTGCAGTATTGTAATTATTAATGATATGCAACTTACACAATCTATGAACTAAGACATCAACCTTCATTTCTGTAAATATTGAAGCTTCTGTCGATTTTGAAAGTTATATATTTATCATATTTCTAAATTGAAATTAGATTTTCTTTGTATTCTTGTTCGAAGTTTGGTAGGGATATAGTAAAGCCTCACATCTATCCCAAATATTACTTTTTCTTTGGTAAGTCATGGGAGTTCATAATAAATTGGAGATCTCTAATAAAAATGAAACTGAAGGTATTGGTATTTTAAAGTAGATCATGTTTTGTATCTTCTTTCTGATTTGAGATCTTGGAATTCATAATTCAAAACCTGAGTGTCCTATATTGATTTCCAATGATTTTCTACGAGGTGTCTAATGTCAATTTGTATTCATGTTCTACAGGGTGTTCCATGTTAATTTGCATTCATGTTCTACAGAGTGTCCCATGTTAATTTGCATTCATGTTTTACAGGGTGTCCCATATTCATTTGCATTCATGTTCTACAGGCTGTCCCATGTTAATTTGCATTCATGTTTTATAGGGTGTTCCATGTTAATTAATTTAATTTGCATTCATGTTCTACAGGCTGTCCCATGTTAATTTGCATTCATGTTTTATAGGGTGTTCCATGTTAATTGATTTAATTTGCATTCATGTTCTACAGGGTGTCCCATGTTAATTTGCATTCATGTTCTACAGGGTGTCCCATGTTAATTTGAATTCATGTTTTACAGGGTGATCTATCAAGTGGTGAATTATTCTCTGATGATGAAGATGATCAAATAGAACTAGGCAGTCAACTAACCAGAATTGAGAAGTTCCTCAAACAGGATAAACTGAAGATTACTAAGAAACCGCTCACCAGATAGACTTTCATGTAAAATACAACCCCCTTCATAAGTTTGGTAACTGAAAGTGTCAATATTGGAGAGAGGACTGAAGTGTAACATTGAGAATACCAGGTGCTCAATATTGTCACCTCTTCCCATTTATAACAACATCATTTGGAAGATCAATAGTCAGATAGTGGTGGAATGGGTCTATTAAAAGTTAAGGAAATATTTCACCTAGTTAAACTTAATCTTTGTCTCCACATCATTTTGAAATTATTAAAACATTTGAAATATGTCAAGGCATTTTGAAAAATATTTAGATATTTTGCTTTGTTTATTTGTTGACTTTTAGTCAATTCTAATTTAACAAGGACGCATGATGGTTGATCTGACACCTGATAAATATGCCACTTCAAAATAATTTTGTTATTTACACATTATTCTATACATCAATCATATCAACACATTTCATGTATTTACTATTTACTACAATTTAAAATAAATCGTTGCTGACGTTGAAGATTAATTATTAAGTGTTTGTTTTTGAATAACAAAAAAGAGCCATTACTATATATTTTTATTATATTATTATTTACATTTATTTTCCATTAATTACATATTACTGACAAAATGTGCACTTAAAATGTTGAATAAAATCCTGCTACTTTAACTAATTATACAGACATCCCTTATAGTTGGCAAGATTTAAATTTGACTAAAACATGTTAATAAATCAATCCACATGTTTGTCTTATAAATGAAAACTTAAAATATGATGTCTATACAAGGCACTTAATAATTTAAACTTGTAAAAGTTTAAAGTACAAGTAATTAATTATAAAAATAATACAGTACTAAGTAGTTGCATGCATTTAAAAATTAAAGGAGTGTTGGTTGATTTGAGGCCATTCTCTCAGTTTTTCATGAAGTCATTGCACATTGCATTTAACATTGGTTTGGTAATGGGCATTCAATAGATTGTTTTCAGTTTTCCATGCTAGACTCTACCTCCAAAATGCAGAACTTTGATTTTTTAAATTATCCAGAATATTTTGATATATAAAAAACAGCAAAAATATTTTTCAGAATTTGCTATGCAGGATTAATGTATGACAACCAGCATGTACATTTAGTAAAAGTAATTTGAAGTCATTGACTCAAGGTCGTCCGTTAGTTCCAAATTGTATTGATTAAAGTGCAGATACAGTAGCAAAATATCTTTATATACACTTTTAGTGCAAATATCTAGAAAATGAGACATCTAATATAGATTACAGTATATTGCTAACTTGAAATGAGTCACTGCATGATGCACCAACAATGTCAACATTTTCCCCATAACCATTGTCTAATTAACATTTACATTTTAGATACTTCACTGGGACTAAGATGGTGAAATAAACCTGATTTTCTTGTATTAAGACCCTGGGCACTAAGATGAGAGCGAGGCATAATTTGGCATATAGGCTATTTAAAAAATTGAAAATATTATAGAATTCTTTTGAATGTGAATTATGTTTTTATGCTGTTTAAACAGCAAATAATGTTATAGAAAATGTTTCAGATGCTAAGTCATTTCACTCAAAATAAAGCCCATGGGGTTTATTTTGAAGAAAATCAATTAATGGACAATATAACAAAGGGAACTTATTACAAGAAAATCTGGTCATAAATTTTACATTCAGAATTTTACAAATCCATGTAAAATAGAATAATAATGAATAAGAATATCAATAAATGCATATGTCATGAAAATATGCAGGAATTCATTCATGGACTCGATCATAACCATTTACTAGATTCAATTACAGTACATGTATATATTCATATGTCAATGAATACAGACAATGTGAAGATACATGTATGTTCCACTTTCCCCTGATGATTTTAATGATAAATGAAATGCTTTATACATGGAAATTCATCTTGATTCACTATAAACGTTTGTGAACAGAGATGTGTGTGTACTGTAATACATATATGCAGAGATCAGTTAGGTGTGTGCTGATATATACAATGTTGAAATGATTTATCAATAACCTTATCTCATGTGACCCTCTTTTTAAACTGTCTGTTTAACTGATGTTTTTTGGTGAAAATGACCAGATGAAAAAAGTAAAATGTTACACGGACAATTAATTTGTAAAGCCCTCACTTTTGAATCACTTAAGCTTGGAATAATACTATCTGCAAAAGTGTTCACATTAGTCTCAATTCTGAGTTATTGCATAAGTTTCGTGAAGTTTTGAAAATGTCATTTTTCCAGTAAATCCTTGAGTCCTATATGACATTCATTAAGGATATCATTGTATTGCTTCTGTGTCTCTGGTCTAATAGGTGTTGCTTTGGTGGCAAGATATCTACACATTTCTACATTCTACCCTGATGTCTTTACATTGCAGTTGTGCTATTGCACTGTTCATTATCTTTCTACATGTGCAGGGTGCTACATAAGTTCTGGTCAAAATAAGACCACAATTAGTTATGATCTGAACTAGGAAAATAAGATCACAACTGATCTCTATTTCAGGTTTGTGAGTCTGAAATCTTTATGAGGCACCCTGTATGTGTGTAATACTGTTAACTAGTTGCCAACTCTTGGTGGACACCTGGTATTTTTGTATCCAGGCATCTGGTGTCCTCCCCCATATGCTCCTGTTTGATGTTTCCATGTTCTGGTGGCATCTCATTCTGATCCAGGTTAACAGGGACTGCCTTTGGGGGCGATGGCATGGGTACATTAGAGGCAAACATAACTTGGGATGTCATACTCCCAGGACTTTGAAGTCTGGGTGATCCTTCCCTAGCTGCTGCCTGGTAGTGGGCCATTGGACTCTGCTCCCTGTGCACTTGTGGCTGCTGATAGCCTGTTGGACTTGTTTCCCTTGGCTGGTAGTTCACCATGGGGCTTGTTTCTCGTTGCTGGTAATTCCCCATAGGGCTGTTCTCACGAGGCTGGTAGTTGGCCATAGGGCTTGTTTCTCTTGGTTGGTAATTAGGCATAGGGCTGGACTCTCTTTGCTGGTAATTTGGCACAGGGCTTGGATCTCTCTGTTGATAAGTGGGCATGTGGTTAGGACTGCTGTCGCCAGGAGTGTATACTCCCATAGATGTGATGATACCTCCACCATTGTAGCCCATAATGGTCTGGGGCATGTTGTAGCTAGAGCTGCGCTGGGAGAGCTGTGTCAGGGGTGGGGGAGGGGTCTGCTGCTGCTGCATAGATTTCACCTCTGGAATAGACATATACACTGACAGTTTACTATCTACTTTGGTGGACGCTTAAAAGTTGATCAATCAGAAAATTTAATATGCGACAGAAACTAATAATGGTACTATAAAACATGTGTATTTGCCATGTGTCACTTTGGAATATGTAGGGGTGTTCTCTTACCTTCTGAAACATGCCTTGGTGGAGACCTATGCCCTTTAGAGGGCCCACTCTTTGGCTTTCTCTTCCTGGTTTGTATGCCATCCTTCTTCATTGACATTGGCCTGTTCACCTGAAACAACAACATTTACAGTTATAAGCAAGCCCATCATTTACTGTATTGATAAACCGATAGTGTTGCTATAATTTGCTACCATGCAGCCAGGTTTAACAAAGACAAAGGTGCCATTTAAAGGCACAATGTTTAGTTCTACCACTGCCATATCTAAAATCTCCAACCTATCTTTGTTTTTAGCTAGACTACCTTTATTTTGTAATTAATAGTTTTTGCTGAAGAATCAGAAGTATTTTGTAGAACAGGTGATAGTTATGTTCTGAATTTTGTAATTTGTCTATTTCACTATTTGGTACTTCATCTAGAATACATTAACCACAATATATTTGTTTAATTTGCAAGCAATTCTAAGTGCATGGGGAAGAGAACTATGAAATAAATTGAAAAAACAATTACATTTTTCATTTCACTCTCTTAGATGTTATCTTTAGCTTGACAAAATTCATTAATTATTAAAATCGTGTTCCTGCCGTCCACCCCCACACATGTTTTGTTGTATTCTAGTCTACTCACTACTAAGATTTTATTACTAAGCCTGAAAGCCAATGATATAGTTTACTAAAATTAACTTAAGATTAAAGGAACGCATCAGGGCATATTACTTAAAAATAAGATTAGCATACCATTACATATACTTGTAAATTGAAGAAATACATGTACAATGGCATAAACGTAAAGATGGATGAATACTCTCTGCACATAACAGGACGTGGAGCATGGGGCCATCCCCAATATTTGACCAGGTCTCTTAAACTACATACGATATTTTCACACCTTTTATACAATATACCTGTACAATTATATTTTTCTGACCTCTTCTGCATAGCATATTTTTCACAAGTCATCTCATAAAGACATATGTTTACACCTCCAGCTATACAATAACCCTACCCCCCACCCTTTAGCATTTATATGGTCTTTCATTAATGATTACGTAAAATCTGAATGGCTTAATAGAGCTGAGCTGAGGTGAGAAAAAACAATGCCTTCAATTAAATGAATGCATTAGTACTTGATTGAATGTGAGCCAACATCACTTCAACTGCTGGCTGACGATTTCACGTTATTTTATGTCCAACTCATTTAAAAATGATTATTAATATTAGCAGATACTATTCATATTTAAATGAGATGGACATAAAATAGCGGCCAAATCGCATGAATTCGCAAATGCTATCTTAGAAACCGTTTTGAAAGGTCGGAAGTCAACGTAGCCTATTGTCAGATTGTCTGGTATGCCTATTTGAAAAGAATATTACCTGATGGAGTTTATAGTAGAGGCCGCAAGCATTGCAAACAGGCTCTCCTTCATTGTTTCTCCTCCATAGCGTAGTGGTGGACGTTCCACAGTTTGCACACTGCAGACCCATTCTCCTAGAACCGGACTGTAAGCAGATACAGTGAACATGTCAGAATTTCTATGAACATCCTAAAAGACTAGGTGAACGTACGTTTCATTTCAATTACATTATTTTGCCCTGTTATTTCCTGCCATGCCTATTTTCTAAAAGGTCCCACAATTATGACTTTATTCTAGGGACGTATGATAATGGTTATTGGATTTGGGCATTTCTTCATATTGCCTTCAATAACTTGATCAGATATCTTATTTCCTGTTTTTGACAAATAAAATTTTGTTATGCAAACATAAGCATGATTTCTGAAGATTGTCTTCCAACATTTTACCCCCTCTCTCCCCATTCATTTAATAGACGGAAAACTTCCCAATGAATAAAAACTTTGTTTGGAAATGTTCATGACGGAAGCCATAAGCCTGTGACATGCGATGACATTTCTTGTTCATATGTATCCATACACAAGTGGGTTGAGCCGGATGGGTTTCATCTTCTATCGACCATGAAGGGATCCATTTTCCCCTGTCGGAGTATGCAGACGGACCACCGTGACATAATGGGAGTGTTATTATATGCGGCGAGAAATTCAAAGCAAGAAAGGCATTGGTCCCACCAAGATAGAAGAAAGTGTGGAAGAAGCAAGCGTTAATACTAACCGTGCGTCCATGCGAGGAAGGCATACCAGGTAACCTCTGACCGGGACTGGAGGGCAAGAGTTTCAAGCGCTCGTACAGACTGTGCTCATACTGGACCGACGCCGCCATGGCTGAAAATAAAGCCAAAATGTATACTAACCAGTTGGGGCATTCTCAGGCTCTGATCACGGGGTTTCTGGGGCATTGGTGATGGCCGTCCGGAAGTGGACATCTTGGAATAGAGGCCACAGGCATTACAGAGATAATGTCCAGTCCCGTCCCTCCTCCACAGAGGAGTAGAGACGCAGCCACAATTCACACACTCACGACCTTCTACAAAATAATGTTATGTTTTAACTTATCCCCGGTCAATGACCATTATCCCCGGTCTTTTTGGACTTTCAGTGCAGGTAATTACATATCACCCACATTTTAATGTATGTCGCTAAAAGTTATTGTACTGTTGGCCAACTTACTAGTATATATCTAAAATGTGTATTAATGATACTTCTTTTTTATGAAAACAATTATTGTCATCTCTGATAAGATAAGGTACGTTCATGTAATTGTTCCGAGATAAAACACGGCAAAGGGGATAGCAATATTTATACGTATACACTATACAAGTACCACCTCTATGCATTGCGTCCTTTTATTTTAGCCTAATAGTCTGGATTTCTACATGAAATTAAAACATAAATGAACATAATGGTTTCGAATTTTCATTTGAATAAGAAAATAGTTTGCACCATTTTAAAATCCAGTCGAATTGCCTCATTCAATTGTTGAATGCTATTAGAGAAATTTCTTTATTAGGACACTGCAAGCATCGATGAGTGTGTTCTCAAAAATCGTGTTTTTAGATGGGTCGAGGGAACCCAAGTTTGGTTTTACCTGTTTGATTTCAAGTGAAGGTGCACATGATTAATTTGCGCTGTCTCAAAGGGTATCTGTTTCTAAGGCAGATGTACCTGTTTTAGTACAAGTACTAGCGGAACAAGCTTGTTTATTGGGCTCTTACATATACCAGCCACATTATTAACTATGGAAACACGGTGAATGATGAGGGCTTCTTCCCCAGAAAGGCGAAACTAGAGATAAGAGTTAGTGTTTTAACCATATGGAGTCTTATCAATTCGTGATGGAGTTACATTCGCTGTATTCAACCATTATACATATGGCCCTTTATTATTGCGATTGTGGAATCCTGCATTTTCTTAATTCATAATATCAATGTGCTTTTCTTGAACAAATCTGTTCAAAGATTCACGGCATACCCCTTACATGAAGAATATAATAGGTCAATATTTAGTATTGAAAAGAACCATATAAATAACTAATTCTATAAGTTCACCAACTGTAGTGGAACTTATTTCAAGATACAGAAATACTGTAAACGTCATCAGTGCAACAGAATTATAAATCGAGTTGAAAATTGTATAGAATGCCATGAAATCTCAATGAAAGGTACATAATTATATAGCAAACTTTGTCGTGTGTGATGAGTTGTACTTTGGTCATGTTGGATGCCAGCGTTGTTCTGTTAGCTTGTTAGTGATGTGTACTCATCCCATTGACCCCCTTAGTCAATATTAGAACAGGTACTTGCTGCCTATGTTCATGGTATAATGCTCCATTCCTCAACCAAAGCCACTATAGTCTTATACACAATTCTATTTGTCATTCTATCATGTCTGCCATAAAACAATACCTATATGATCATGACCCATAATGTTAACGACCCACATACTTCAATGTATCAATATTTGATTCAATAAATTTCAAAACTGCCCACTAACGTAGCCGTTTCGCGGATTTACAAGTATGATGAGTGCATTGGCATTTTAAAGCGCGTTTTATTGGATAGTATTTCAGTTGTAATTTGTTTTACAACTCTGCACTTTTTATTTTATTTCTTAAGAATATTCCTCTTAAAGTTACTTCAATAGGTAGAGTCTATTTTTTCTCAATTATTGTGTGTATTTTTAGCAATGGCAAGAGTTCACTCAATTTGTATTTTTATCATTTTTGAATAGCTTTGAATAAAGAGATAAAATACGTACATCAGTTTTACTTCATTAAAGTAATAACTCAGATGCGAGTAAGTAATTACCAGTTTCACCACCAGGTGGCTCGTTCGGGTCAAATAGCATGGCGGGTATAGTAGAAAGTTCCCTTATTAACTTAAATATTCATCTGTTTAGGAGTTAGATTTTCATATCACCCTTATGTATCTAATAGTTATGCAAATTAAAATATGTACAGTAAAAGAAGATGTTATTGTAATATGGAGGGGTGACAAAATCTATGAAAGATTATTGAATATAAAATTTTTGATTTCTTTGTAAAGAAAGGTAATTTAGGTAATATTACATGTCACATTACATGATTTCGAAACTGTTCGGAAAAGTTTTATTATTGTATTTTCACATTTTGTACACAATATAGCTATTTCGAATGGTATTTTGAAATTAAGGTATTTCACAGAATTAGTTGTTAATTTTAGTTTGAATGGAATACGCCTCCAACAATCTGTTTTAGTTTTAAATTGAAACTACTAAAACGTGGTTAAACCAAAACGTGGATATTTGAATGGTTACAGTAAATAGATCATTATGTCTTAATTCAAGTACCATAATACTCATTTTAATTTGCCCCTCGTAATAAATTTAAACCTTTGGCTCCAATCAAATAGTAAACCTCAGTATTCTATAAATTAACATATAGTTAAACTGAAAATAAAATATCGCATTCTCTCATTTGTATATCCTTTTCAAACAGTTCAAAATTTAAAAATTGTTTCAGTTTCATTTAAATAAGTTTGTCATCATTGTTGAAATGCAATACAAACGGCACAATGCTTATATAGGGATTGATGCATGTTGAACATTGGGTTTTTATTAATAAAACAGTGGTAAGACTGGATCCACATAAATTCGTAACTATTAATTATAGGCCTAATTGCTAAAATGAATCTGTTTCTACATGATTTATAAATTATGTGGAAATAGATCATTCAGCGACCATAATCAATTTAAAATGCGCACGTCACCGAGTGACTTGATAATAATTAATAATTATCAAAAAGAGAAGAATTGATCGGAGTATTTGGATGAAATATGGGGATCATTTTACAAGTTGAATTGCATATTATAAATGACAAGGAGTTGAGCTCGCCATGCAGAATACGGTAAAGTGGGGAGGATGGATTGGGGACGCAGTGCCAGGCTCAGGCGACTCACCCAACCAATATACTAATAATTAATCATTCAAGATTAAATACAACTTTACCAGCCAATTACATATTAAACCATTAGATATATAGCTACGTGAATTCTACATTCTATATCATTTGTAGAACTATCTAATAATTTCTGGCCAGTGTTATTACATTTCTTAATAATTGCTTGGATTACTGAGCCACATAATTACATATGTTTACTCATTACTTGGCAAATTGTAATATTGCTAAATATGTATGATATATTTATAAGGTTTATTAATCCAAATCGTATATCTGACCGTATGGTTTTATGTGGATTTTTATTGCTTTGTCTAATAGAATTACTAATCAAAATTTCGATTTATAATACATGGCGGTGACTAATATTTATTTGGAAGTAATTAGCACTTTCATTTGAATGACAATACTCATTTGTTGTTTATTAATCAGATGATATGCCTAATTTTACTTACCCGGGGAAACTGGGGAGGGTGGTCCCCGTCTGTCTTGTTGCTGAAGACCTATTGATGGCGCGTTATAGGGGCTCCAGGCCGTTCTATCTTGGGTTCCACTCATATAGCTTGTGTACGCACCGATACCATTGGCAAGACCTCCATTGTTGTAGGTTAGCGGCGGTCTTTGGCCCGGGGATGGTAGCTGCTCCCCCGCGGGATAATATGACCCTGGGCTAAATGAACTATTTCTACCATTTGTTGTGTACCCTGTATCTGGTTGCATAGCATGCGGCCACATCCCAGTAGCCGGGGCACCCTGTCCCGTATATTGAGCGTGCAATGGCAAGACTGGACGGGCATACACAGTGCCATTTACCCCTGATTGAAGATAGTTTGTATTAGCGTCCATATATGGAGTTATATGACTGGTTGTCCCTGTTCCAGTTTGGTACATGATTTGGCCTGCGCTGAGAGCGGGCGAGTTGGTGAGGGTAGCGAGAGTCGAGTTCGAGTCAGTGTGTATCAGTGTTGTGAGTGGCACACTAGTAGCGTGCGGACGATCAAGACTATGGAAGAAATTTTCTACGTCCTCATTCGGTAGGAGTTGACTAGATTCTGCAAAATTGAGCAATCCTTGACGACTGGAAGTAGTTGTCTGCACAGCCGTTTGATGTGAATCACCGCTGGTTGGAGGTGCTCCGGGAGATGTGTTTTGTTGTGAACCAGATTTATCCGGCCTATGTGCCGATAACTTTCCGTCTGTCTCTGATCGTGTTTCGCTGCTTTCAAATTGTCTTTCCGCGCGCTCTGATCCAGGAGGAGGCGAGTCTCTCCACTCTTCTTTAACAGTCACAAGCTTTGAATCTTCCCTTGACTCCATATGGTTTACAATACTCACGCGGGGTGTGAGTCCAACTCCTGTAATATAAAAGCAATAAATTGTTTAATTTATTCACTATTTTGAAATGGAAACATCTCATTCCAGTTGCACGGTACTTGCTTACTTACATGCTCCCAAGACAATATTTTAAGGACAAAGAAATACTTGACAATTTGAACATGATTTTAAGAGTGTCAATCTTGCTTGCTTGTTTACCTGTGGAGTGATCATTTGTTTCTTCTTAACCGACGATATAGGAGATCAGTATATATTTTTATGTTTAATCCTATGTTTGCAATGTAGAAGTGAGAATCAACGTTGTTGTGAAGGTTTCCTGTTTATGGCTTCTCGATAGTTTACACAGGACACGGAGCCAGGTGGCAGCCATAACTTTGTACACATTGAATATTCTCACACCTTTGAATATCGTCTTCATAAATCAAACCATACAATATTCAACGCCCGCCATTTCCAAAACGAGACCTACGTTCCGAAATAATTATTCCACCATCTTGGACAAGGGTGAACTCGATATTTACTCCTTTGCTGTTGCGTCATACGTGACCTCAATAGGAATCCACGTATTGGGGGCTTCCGAGCCAAACTGAAAATGCTCATGGTCCACTTATTCCGGAGTGTCGCATTTGAAATAAAATCCCCGTTGGTGTCCCCTAGTGTTCTTTACATAGAGTTTTGTGTATAAGAGATGGAGAATGATTCTGTTCCGAGCTTCACCAGTTTGTCTGAGGCACAAGTGCTTGTTAGGGATATCTATGTGCTCTAGTAACGCAATCTTATCTGGTTGTAAAAAAGAGGTGGGCAAAAAATTATCTGGGCTAACATGACATTCGTGGTATAAACTGTGATAAATCAGCATAAATGGAGTTTATGGCGATGATAGGGGACTGATAATGGAACAGGGTCCAACAACTACTGATAGCGAGGAGAGAGGTTCCTTGTGAGCGAGTTCCACCGCATGGCATAATCTTACCTACTCCGAGGGGCTCCGTAACTACTTACCCCGTACTGCGATCCAGTTTCGTCATGCATGGTAGCTATCCAAGGTGAAACACAGTTAGTTTTTGGTAACGCAAGATAGGCTAACTGTTTCAAAATGGAGGCCTAGCTGGTCTCGCTATCATAGTGATATACAGTTATTGAGATAAGAAGGTAGAAGTGCCTTACCCTAATAATGCCTGTTTCTGAGTACTTCACCGTGAATACATTCCTCTGATATCGTTGAAAAACATATCAAAACATTCCTTGAAATAAGTTTTCATATGAATGGTCTTAATGGTTGTCTTTCTAGCCGCCAACTGTTCCGGTTCCTATTATCCAATGAACGACATTCTTTGTGTGTGCACTTCGCATTAGTGGAGTCGCACATACGCTTCACTCCCACCGCTTCGGCGCCTTCTACATAGCACGTTTGGACCTTCTCTGAAGCTTTATTAATAGCGATTGATTCTTTAGTCTTATCGTTTATTTCTTTATGACAGATGTTAGGAGTGTGGGTCTAGATATGGGAATATTATTGACTAGGAATTGTAAAATATATTTGACATGTAAAATTGTGATGTTTTCTATATTTGTTCACACCTCGTGTTGAATGGTTAGATGACAAAGTCCACATATCATGGGCCACTCTCGGCAAACACTTATCTCGAAGCCATGCACACCATTGGACGAAGCAATCTCATCACCAGCCAAATTGTCTAATAATTGACTACCTTAGTTAATTATTGATATTTGTCATAGTGTTTTGTTCAAATGAACATATTTGTTCCTCAAAAACACAAACATACCAAACATATCATTCATCTTTTCAAATATATGAAAATGAAACATCCTTTCCGAAATAATGTTGCAATACTTGAGAATAGAGACAGATTTGTTAGTTTCATTTTTGTTATTCTTGTAAAATAAGGTCGCATCAAGAGTCTGCTTGATTTGACTAATGCGTTATCATTCATGACTGCTTTTTACTGATAGATAGTATGTAGATACAAAACTCCTTGTGAATTTTTTGTTATTTGTCAAATCTATCGAGATAATGTGCAAAGGTATAATTACCCCAATGTATGATATGTAGGAGCCCCTCAAAGAAAAAACATACTTTACCTTACATTTTGTTTAGTGTCAGAATTCAAAACTAAAAGCCTAAGTCACATTTGGTCTACAGCGGCCGTACGGCGACCGTAGCTTTACAAAATCGATTTACAACATCTACATCGTATGGGAGCTACGGTCGCCGTAGATCAAATATGACTGGTGTTTTACCCTCACTCGCATTATAGTGAAGATGAGTCAATCGCATACAATATGGAAAACCACCAAGAGTGAGGACCGTGTTATAGCATCTTTTTATTTGTGACTGCGTCGGCGTCTGTTCACTTTTGTAATCGCAACCAAGCGCTTGGTTGCGATTACATTGTATTGTATTGTATTAGTGATGTATTAGTGTTGTATTCGATTTTTTTGTATTAGTGTTGTATTAGTAAAGTATTCGAATTTCAAAGCCCATGGATAAACAAGTGGGGCAATATTTACCGTTTGGTTCTATTTTAGAAAACCTTCAAACCTGGATTAAGCCGAAAACAATTGACATAGATAACAGCTTTTGATGTCATAATGCTATTACAGCCCTTATCATCTTAATTAAACCATTGTTTGTTGCGCTGTTTACTTTTCAAATTTGAATTTGACAGAGGTCAAAGTTTGATGGGAACTTACACCATTCTGTAATATTTACACACGGCTTATTGTGTTCAAATGTGGGTTATGACCAAAGATCAGCAATCTTTCAAATTATTTTGAATTATATATTTCAGTAAAACCCCAAATGTGCTATAATTTCCTTATTGTTTTGTGACTGGGATAAAATATTGGTGCTATTGACATATGGTTTTGACAGAGAGGGGTCTATAAGCAGGGTGAGTGGACAAGCGTAAAACAAAGAGAGCTCGATGATGAGTATAAATCATCGAGTGGACATGAAGTGGTGTCAGATGACTAAAATCATAAACATCTACATGTAACTCACATAACTCATTTATTACATCCCACTTGTGTTTTATTTGTGGTATCTGGTTTTTGCTAACATTTTAGTATCTTCCAGGAAGGCGGATTGAACATCTTCATTTTCCCATTAAAAGCTTACCATCATAAACCTTCACAAGGATATCATTTCTCTACTCGACAGCTTTGTTTAACTTAGATTGCCATTACAGGAATAAATAAGGATATCTAAATAAGGCAGTCAATTAATAATTTTTATATCAGTTTTTGATATAGATCGTACTCTTAAGTAAACAGTGTGCTAACTTTCTTTGCGATAAAAAATACTGTTTAGGAATATGACTTGACATGTTGATGGTCAAAGATCATATTTACTCTGTCCACAAGACGATGGAATAGCAGGGGATGAGTAAGGTGTGTGCGTCCATCTCATAATCCACCTCAGACATTCCAACGCCTGTATGCCGTAGTCCAGGTATCTCTTGTTCTTGGCTCCAGTTTGACCAAGGACTATCTTAAGTCTTGTTCTTATGCTACTGTTACACTGCCCACAGCCATTGTCTTAACTCTAGGTCATCAAAATTAACATCACTTGAGAAAATACTTGGAGATGTGCCATTCATATTAATCTTGTATTTATAATTGTGACTGTATACGTTAGATTATTAATTACTTTGTTTTCATACTTACAGATAATCCAAGGAGTTTGATGACAATAGATGGCAGCACGAGATAATGCTCGTTTCTCTTCATTGTGAGATAATTTTGGAGAAGTCAGTAATATGTTCATATTTCTTTCTCTTTTACCATAAAACTGTTCTTCAGGCAAATTATAGGAGGTACCCGGGGACATGGATGTATCGTCACAACGGCTCGAACGACTTGATGTGAAGCTGTATTTCAATTTGCTTTTCAGCTCTGAAGAGATGTAAACTATACTCAAAATTTATGTTACGAAAATAATTGGACAAGTTGTGCCATGGTTTAAGTGGTGTCAAATTTGAAAAAAAGTTAAAAACGGCGTTCAAAGTTTGTAGGTTTGTTTCTTGTTGAGTTATTTCATGTCAATAGGTTATAAGTACTATCTCTTCGTGGCACAAATATTAACCCACTCATCCCTAAAACTTTACAATTATAAAATTACCAATACCCCTGACACCACTTATATTCAAGAAATGAATTAAATGGGTTAATAATTTGCTGATTTGGACTTTGTTAGGCCTTACCTGCAATTTGGTGAGAACTTGAGCAGTTGCTTGTTTACTTAGTTATGATAAATTAAACAAAGGTTTGGAACTTAACATCAGAACGGCCACACAGTCGCCATCTTGAAATTATGAATTTAAAATTATTTAAAAAATGTTTCTGATAAATATGCCAATATTTGTCGTTTAACTTGATAAAGGCTGTATTGGCTTGTAATTGGGGAACAGAATAAATGGAAAGATTAGCTTATAACTTGGCTTCCATTTTTGATTATTAAATCCATTTTATTTGCCGGACTGTAGAATACATCAAGCGGTCACGCTTGTAAGAAACCAGAAGCCAACCCATTAACAATTATGGCACCAATACAACTATCTCTTATCGTCAGTTAGACAAATTGCTGCACTTGCCCGATAAGATAGGGCACCTTCACAAACTTCATTCATAAAATGTATTTTATTCCCCTAGCATTAAAGTTTTACCAACTCAACAGTAATAATAAACACCATCAAAACCTAGTGCAAAATTAAGCTGTGTAATTACAAAGAGATAGTACCATCCCCGTACCTGGAAATACAATTTTGATTATTAACACGGTGCTCTGGTCGTTTACAATATCTGCTGTCCTTACAGTTATGCATGGATGCACATGTATTACATGCTCTATTTGCATGATTGGAGTCGTATGTGTGCTTTGTGCTAACACAGTATTGGCACCCGAATCTGGCTTTAAGACCCGCTGCTTTATTTCTCTTGCGGGTGGTAAGGTCTGAATCTCAACAACAGATGGCTGATAACAGCTAAAAATGGCTCGGGTCTAAAAGTTATTGTTTTAATGGGATCATTAAATAAACTGTGTTTTTAGTGATGTCAGTTGTAGATTAATGGGGTATAGGGTTAGGATGCGTGGCAGGGAGCTGTGTTTTCTCCACTCCTGTGTTCCGGTCGGCCTGATACAGTCCAGACCGTCCTTGATGGATCTCCTGTCACCCGACAATTACCCCCACCTCCTCGCCTGTATGGCTTCTTTGCCGGTCGTACCAGATGCTTCTAAGACTTCGCCTGCCAATACCTTATCAGGAATCGCACATAAAATGCACTAGCACTTTTAAACATATTATTTAACGCGAAATTTGTCAAACTGTTGGCCAATTTACATGGGTTTTGCTATCTAAATTAGGCACTCAGAATGGAGGATTTTTCTTCAATTACTATTCAGGCTAGATAAGGTTTGATTGATACGTTCCCGAGCAAGTTACAATGCTACAAAAACAACACCTGATTTATTTAACCCATTACACACAACCAGTCGTCCAAAACTTCTGAGGTTCCAAAATGCGATATGGCCAACATAAAAATGCTCCAAATTTATAGTAGTAATAAAGTGGTGTAATTAATCATATAACCAGGAAAGACCATAAATCTTAGTGTTAAACAAGACATGATAAGTCGTTGGACGCGAGTTTTAGAGACTGAACACATTGTGCGTTTTTCTGAGTGTATTACCAAAAAAATGTTGGTATTCAATCTTGCAATATTTTAGGCAATTAAATGCGCAGCTTGGATACACAATGTTTATGAGAAGGAAGGCAAATGGTTAAGAATGTATGTTATTGAAGAGATAAGGTCTAGCGAATGTACGATGTGTGAGTTACTAGTTATAGGTGTCGTTGTAATATAACTAGATGTTGTAAATATATGCTACTTAAAATTATCTCAATATGCAGTCTATATAATTATTCATGCTATATTATTACTAGTATACAAAATATTCCGGACGTAAATTGCGTTTTACACATTTTCAGATTACTTCTTTCTTACATCACACTTACCTAATATTCGAGTGTTGTATGAATGTACGCTTTGTGGGACAAAGATAATTTATATTTTTAGAAATTTAACAAAAATAGAAGTTTTATGGGGTCCTACACAAATATGGCAGCACTAATAAAATTGTCAGATTTTATGTGGTTACTTTAGCACTTGCCACTATGTCACACTGAAATTTATACCAAATGTTCGAAACTTGAGATGGAGTCATTAATCTACAGGGGAATACTGTTGTTTTGGACGAAATTGTAAATAAACAGTTCAGTTTGTTATAGGCTCTACAAAAAATAAAACAAGTTTGGAATTCATCTTGACTTACTCGCCGACCACAACAGTGCAAACTATGTACTCACACTTAGAAGCGACACTTTTTGTGGTATCATATTTATCTGACGCATTCCTCAAAGAAGATGCCTCGAGATTCATGAATAAAAAACTGTAGCAATCATCAGAAAAAACAAACAATTTGGCTTTTGTTATAAAAACGTGAAAAGTCAACAACCGAAGGGTCGTTAGGAACATTGGCTTCTCTTGACAAATATTCGGTGTTTTTGGCTTGCTCAAATTTTGATCAATCATCTTTGAAGCAAGCCCTAATCAACTAATTAAAATAAATTCTATAGCGATTAAAAATATTGCTCCATCTTTTAATTAACTGCACCGATCTTCTATTTACACTTCTGATTCCATTTTGCAACATTTATCTCAATTAGAAACAAATTGCATATTATCATATCTAATGATGTAGTTTTCACTCTTACGGGCTATCTGAGTATATCTCAAACTCTCTCTTATAGTAGATTCCAATAAAGTGTTGCATGATAAAATTGGTACATGAATTACACTTTGGCTGGTGACTTGTAGAGTACTAAGGCAGATACTGTGCAAGAGCCTGGTATCATTATGATATGATAAACCAACACAAAACTTTCACCACAGATTATCTTTTGCTATGCTTCAATTTAGTTATGCAACTGATTTCTTAGTTTTTGGTTTCTTTTAGTTTTAGACTTTTCTAGCTGCATTGATGGAAATTGAAAATGTATTTTGTTCTGTTTATGACATATTGTTATAATGATCTACGGTTGCTAATATTACTTATTTAAAGTTTTCATTGTTTTAAAATTGGAGAAAAAACTTGTGTGTCATATTTATAACAACAACCCCATATTTATTTGTTTGTCATCATATTTAGTATAGTGACCACAAATAGTTGAAATTTTTAAACAAAAGGGTCGGGTGATGACACAAAGTATTAATGATTATGATCAAAATCACTACTGATTTTGTATTTGTATTAAATCGGTGTTGGTTTGCATTCAAAGATAACAAGTTAGAATTCTCCACAATCTCTTGTTTATCTGGTAATGCGATTATACGGCGATATCATAAAAACGCTAGCTTGAACCAACATTCTCCGTTCCATATTTCAAGAAACTAAACATGTTAAAAGTCCTGGAAAGGAAGATAAAATTCGGAAAGAAAAGTTTGCTGAAGCAGAAGAAAGTGAAACCAAATTGCAGCGCATGATTGGCTACTGCTCGAGGAATTCTACTGATAAGGCATAAGTAGGCGGGATCTTGGAGAAGTTGGCACATCGGCGCCAGAAAGTCGGCAGCATCAGAATAATTAAGAGTGGCCTGCCTCTCTCGCAACCAATCTGAGAGTTCCGTTTGACAGGCTTAGGAAATAAATATAGAGATCGCTAGCACACGTGTTATTGGACGTATACCAGAAACAAGAAGAAACACTTGCTACTAAGGAAACCAGGGAACAAGTGTAACAACATTTCCAACAGGTATGTGTGCATCTTCACTTCGCTCTGTTTTAATTTTGAATTATTATCAATTTTATAGAATTGTGTAAATAAAGTAGAATTGATCTAGTGGTCCAAAGTCTATAGTGTTCTTGTCGACCATTGAGGTACTTGACAAATCTGTCGTGTTATCTACTGACTAATCTTCCTCTATACTAACAGGGCCGAGATCTCGCTCCAGCGCAAATCTACGCGACAACTATTACAACAGAATTAAAAATCTAAGGAGCTAACACGATTACCGAGAAGAATAAAGAGGCTGAGTAGGTAAGTTTGTATTCTTTCTATTAGTTTATAGTAAGTCTGAAGAACACTACAGATACTTCAATTACTTTATCAGGAAATTGGCTGAGTTCTGGATAAGGCGTTGATACAAAATCTGTGTGTCTAAGGTATTCGATGTCCTCTTGTTTATAAGATTTTTGGGGGTTATTGTGGCGCAATGTTAACATTATCGCCTGGCTTGATAATTATGAAATGGTCAACAAAATGAGAGCAAAATCTCTGAATTTGATGGTTAAGAAGTTGAGATTAAGCCGATGCTGTATATTAATTTCATGGGGGTTTATCTTGAGTTATCATAAGTTGTGCCAATACTGATATGTGCTACAAGTAGTACCCAAGCTCAATCTTTTACTACATCAATGAATGAACACTACTAAAACACATAGCGATTAGATAATACATTTTTTAATTTATTTATAAATGATCTTGTTCACACCAAGAGATATTGTATCAGAAATGGATAGAACATTTACAAATTAAGAGATACCCCTTGATAAGGCGCTTGGTCTTGACTCTGGTTCGCCATAAGCAGGTTCAAGTTGAAGCAGCCAACCAAAGCCACTGTCATCTAGCATAGCCTAAAGAAAACATAACTTTTTAGTAAATGTTTAATCCTTCATCAAGTTTATAAATTATTCAATGGAATTTATCAACTAAATACTTGATTCTCACGGTATTTATCAAACGGTTACCTCCGACTGATTTGCTCCTTAAATATTGTTATAGTATTGATTATCGAGTTAGAGACATTGTTTTTCTAACAACTTTGAAAAGAAACATCAAAAGGCACTGTGTCTGAAAGATACATCCTGTATCATCCTGTGTGAATTAATTATGAAATCAATTAATCCTTTAATTACTGTTTGATTACAGTCGCTTCAATAATTAAGGATACTATGTGCCCTGCACCCGAAACGTACTTTCACAGCTTTGAAACTTGATATAAATAAAACGTAAGCATTAACAATGTTTACGTGCAATTGTCAATAGCATTCCCGCAAAGTTAGAAAACAAATTGAAAACAAATTAAATATGGTTTAAAAACTCCTAAATAAGATTAGGAATTCATAATTTATGAGTTGATTATGCGTGGGGTATGAGTAATGAATATATTTATTTGTTTATTTGGAAGCCATTACTCTGGCTTCTTCATACAGTACCTCATTAGCCGGATATGAAAACTAATTATTTATTCTACGCTCAGACTGGATATCCTTGCTAAATTAATAAATTATGCTTACTTTTAAACAAACACTGGGCTTCTGTCTGATACAAGTCTAACGGGCTAATGTAACATGTGGATGTTCTCCGAGTTAATTAAGCCATAGGATTATAAGGTCCAATCGTCAGCGTGGAACACAGTGCATAAATTGCTACATGAGGCCTTGGCATCCTTCCTCTTCAGATATGATCTACCAACTTCAAAGGGAAGCTTAGAACCGTGAAATATTTTGGCAACTTTTACATCCCATTTCATTGAAATAATTTATATTCAGTGCGCAAATCCTTTGTCATTATAAACGGATGAAAAGAAATCTACTTAGAATCAATTGCAATGAACATTATATGAATATTTATTCAATATTCATTATGCAAGCATAAGTATATGATAATTATATGATATAGCTTATGTTCACTCTGTTGCAGAAAAAGTAATATAAATATATTGTATAATACTATATAAATATAATTATATTGAATACTAAACAAGAAATTTTACAAAAAACTTCAATATGTTTTAAGCATTTTTTGGCATATTGTAAATGCACATATGTTATGGAGGGCTAATTCACCAGTGACATTACGCTGAATTGAAAAATTGTATGTATTTAAATTCCTAAGATTAATTGTAAAAGACAAATATTAATGATAGTAGATTCATAACTACATTTTAGCAGATTCTTACTTACATTAATAACACTTCAATAGGATGAAAATCGTTGTAATTTATATGAAATGGCCACATTTGAGCTGCTGTTGCGGCTGATCTTTGATCCGGGCATGGCACTTCAACTTCCCCATATTTCAGGAAAATTATTGGGAAATATCAATGTTATATCATTGTTTAAATATAATTAATAATTGGACATGTCTTAGAAGTCATTACTGTTTTATTTCCTTTAAATATGCGATTATACAAATGTCCAAGTTGTTGTTACTGATAACGCTGATTGCTGGCTTGATATATTTAAAACATTTCAATCAAATAGCATATGAGATCACAAATTCAAAATTTTAATTGCCTCCATCCTTCCGCTTGATTCTATTTTATCTTGATTTTAATATGATAATTATTTCCTTTTGGGAGTCAAGCACATCTTGCTATATTAGCTGGACAATGGTCTGTCAGTTCGAGCTGAAATTATAACATATTCAAGATTTTATATTTCCCTAAATGAATTGCATCTGTGAAACTAATATATTCAAAGGGAATCTTGGTATAATTAGGCTACAATACAATTATCATATGGAATCGCTCCAACCTTAACTCTTTATAATGGTATCATGGTACAGCTCTTGCGGCGAAAGCGTGCGCAACAGATTCCGCTATCTTCGATCTACTTCCATAATCCCTGCCCCCTGGGGTATCCAACTTTCATCCCCAGCGCATGTTTAGTTCATTAGGAGGATCATATGGTCAGATTTATTAAATAGATAAATATATCAACATAATCTGGCATGTAGTTATTGTAGACACCGGTGATTATTAATTTAGAATGTTGCCATATGTGTGGGGCAGTGCCACTCTGATTGTAAATAGATATAGCAAGTGTTAAACCTTTTTATCTATTAGAAAAATTGTTCTATATTTTATATCTGTACAATTATTAACAACTAACTTCCTTGACATTGGGGATAGGGAGTCTAACCTCATATCTAGGATTACCCCAGAAGTAATGCTTACAGTTTTCTTGAACTGGAAGAAGAAGAGTGATGTTAAACACAGATATAAATTAGATGGTTTTTTTAATATTATTTGTTATTCATTTATTTCTGGTTTGTTGGCATCAAAAACAGTTTTATGTTAAAATAATTCAATAGTTTGTTGCATTAGGGTTACGTAACCCTTCTTGTTTATGTTTCCCTCTTTATTTTCCGTAGCTAGCATTTTTATTTCTGCTTCGGATCATGTCACCGATTTCTTCATATTTTATGGTCGTTCTTTCGTACCATTGGTATTGTTCATAATGTGTTTTTGTTTGTTCCTTGCACTAATCATTTTGGTTACAGTACAGTAAATTGTTACACAATAGGTATGATGGAGCAATTTGAAGGCAATGTTATTTTAAAATAAATACTTGGAACAGATCAACTCCATAAAACTGCATTTGTGAAATATTTACCTGTAATTTCGGGACTAAAAGTTTTATTATACTTGATTTATTTTTGGCTATTTAGAATTTTACTTGATAATAAAATGATATCACTTTGACTGAATTTTTCGACATGAAATTGGAGATTCATTCTACTGGAATCTAGTCAATATATGTAATATTGTTTTTCGTTTTCTAATATAAGTACTTCTAATTTCACATGATCAATTTGTGTTCTCAATTTTTTTTATTACTTTGGAAAAAAACAAAAATTCCGGTTGCTGCGTCTATTTGACTTGGTTCTTTCCACTGATATTACTCGTGGCAAAGGACTAGGAAGTGTCCATCATTTATTCATTATATCTTGGATCAATTTTTTCTATAGTCCTACGATGCTCCAAAATCCTGGTATCATAAAACCAAGATCTGGATTTCGGAGACATCAGTTTCTTTGTGGCATGCATAGATTTCATCAAAACAAACGTGAGCCTCAGAAGATTCTCGTTTCTCTTTCATCCCAGCGTGTACTACTTAGAATAGTTCTCTCCCAGTGGGTTACTGAAAGAGTAACTCTGACAACATTCATCCAAATATCTTATTCCCCAATCTAATAACACCAGCTGGAAGGTGGAGTAACGTGATGGTGAAGAAATATTCCAAGATCTCGAAATAATAGGTACATTTACCCTCAAAGATTTCATGGTGGCAATTGAATTTCACGCTCAGATTATTGCATTGCAATAATATTTAATTTAATCATCTTGGATTTCTATACTGAACTTCTCTGCTATTGTATTAAGGAATGAGCATTTCCTCACGTTTTTCCGTAATTATTTAAGAAAAATAGCTCATGATAGACAGATAGAATGTGGATTCTGTAGGGAGCTCGTGTAGGATGGCAGGATACCAGCGGGACTACAGTAACAGAAGGAAACAGTAGCCGATGTGTGTAGAGGGAGGTTCCCCGTGTTTGTCTTGTCCCATACCGGGCATAGACATCCAATATCACCACACCGGTCACCATGGGCCGCTTACGTCCAACACAAACAAACAGCACTGTAACGGAACACTAAAAAACAAGAACACCTCTCGTTCATACCGGCTCACTTACATTTCTAAGTCAATATTTGGAAATTGAAACAAATTCTTAAAATTCATTTAATCCAATAAAAACATAGCTAAGCCTGTTGGTTGTCTTCTACCTCATTTGATTTAAGGTTGAAGATTCTGAAACTGATTGCTATTCGATCTATCTGTTGTTTTAGCGAAAGGAAAAGTCTACTATCCAAACAAATTCGGACTTTTTTCAAATGTTAATGAGTATAATGACTTTAATTACAGACTTGATTTGTTAAAAAAATCGGAAATTCTAGAGGAAAACTTTCGTGATTTGATCGAAGTTAAATGATACTATTGACACAACGTATGCACTGGGAGTTGTGTCATTTGAAATATACAATTTGGTTAACAATAAATACATTATAATTTACTGCTTTAATTTCTCTTTCAGTTTACAATATCAAATGGTATCACTATGTGATATGTGAATATAAGACGTGTAGCGTAGAATGTTAAGAGCGTTGTATGAGATATGAGGGTCTCGGTCCAAAGTGTAGGACTTGGTACCATTTGTCACAATATTAGCGATAAGAGATAAAACTGACACGTTGATATCCTCTCATCCAACTTTATACAACCTAAAACAATAATTTTGAATTAAATCAATCCACATTTTAATTGCACAAATCTTGATTCGAGCGTTGATAAAATGCGCTTGCATTACCGTAAAATAACTTTAGTATCGCATTGTCGTTTGAGTAAACTAGGAAATATTTTATTAATTGATCGACAAATTACAAATTACCATTAGAACACAGTTGTGGTTATGTTGTTTAATAATAAAATGCTTTCTTTCAAAATTGAGGGACTTATGATCGCATACATACATTAGCATACATGCATGTAGCTCACTGCTGAGTGTGATTGTATTTGCTGGCTACATTTGGAAAAGCTCCGTAGATTCTAGATGCACAGTTTCTGACAATATGGTGTGTATCATTTCCCGTGTTAGTTACAATCCAAACATTTGCCAGACACTTGTCCTACTCCTGCAATAACTCGTCTAATTAATGAGTTGATTCTACATTAAATAATGTTTAGACAATCTTGCTTCAGGCACTGCAAAAGGAGCAGCAAAAGTTACATTCATCTCTGATATTTTCTCATGCGGATTTTGTTGAAGTCTAAACCAAATGTATTTGTTCCTGGGAAATTGTTCTTGGGTTGTTTGCCTGGCAGGCATGAACTCTCGCTTCATTGCCTCCAGGGAGAGCTTCTTTCCTCTATATGCACTGTGTCAGAGGGGGTCATGAGTTATGGCAGAGAGGGGAGCTCATAACTCAAAGTTGGCACAAGGAAGCGCCGTCGTGTCTGGCCCTTTACCACACACTTATGGCCTCACGGTAATCCGAGAAAATGCTTCAATTAATAATCACTCGACACCCAAACTTGCATCCACCCTTATACCAAGGTTTATACCTTAATGAGATGCCAAATGAAACCCTGTTTACTTTTACTAAGTGCAGCTTTAATTGTACACGTTAGTTACCAAGAACTGTTATACTTTGGGGAAATTGAAAATTATGTTCAGTTCAGAAGTAAGTAATAGAAACTAGAGACGGTATAGAGTAACAAACCACCCTGGGCTACTCCTTTATTCTGACAAAAACCAGATCTATACAATTTGTCTGTTTGGAAAGTCTATACAACATTTATTTTTTCAAATTTAATTTAAAGTTTGTTTAAAAAATAGATTTTTATATCGCGTTCGGTAATTAATTTTTTGGTTTCAGGTTTGGAGAAGATCTCACCTTGTTTTGTTTGGATGTGTATATATCTGGTTGCGCTATCTCCATTAGTTTTCATCATCAACTTTAGCTGTATGCGATAAAGCTACACAATCTCTTCAATAACGACCTTATCTTCCTTTGAGAAAGATAACTTACTTAAAATATAACGTTTTCCATGTCGTTTCCCTCCAACTACAAATTGCTGTTAAATAATACATACTGATAGTTTTCCGGCGACTATTTTCAACTAATCGTGTGGTATATTTAGAATCTGAAGTGCTATATAAAAGTGAGATCGGTTCATTTCAATCATTTCACTTTAAATTCCAGTAATAAACAATTACTTTGTTCGAAATTCATTTGTTCTCATATGTTTTCTATTTTTGGTATTCTTTTAATAGTCCGTATTCTGTAACTGACACGGTGCCACTTATGTACAGCTTTGTGCATATTTTTCATTGTTCCCACGGACCTATTATACAAATCTAATTGTAAAATTATTGGAGTTTAACAATTTTTCTGACTTCTTGTTAAATAAATTTGATTCTAAATCATATCTTACTTTGAAAGATAAACGAATCGAAGAGAATAACATTAACGCTATTTTGACTGAATAAAACCATATCTTACTTAGTAATTATCATTTAAATTTTCTTTCAAAATTTCAGAGAAACAACTCGATGGCAATTAAGTTCAATAGCTTATTATTCAAACTTTATTTTGAAAAAGGAAATGTTCTCGTAAGTCTCTGCAACAAAACAAGAAACACTCCTGGCTTGGGCCGTTAACACCAACTCACTAACAACTTGAATACTGAATATAAGTTTTCTTGGCGCAATGTGCAACATATAGTTTAAATGCATCCTGGGTATGTAAAACAATCGATTAAGAAATCATAATTTGGAACCCAATACTCAATATGAACATCGGCATATGTGAGGTTCATTGGTATTTGAGTTGGTCCTAAATTCGTCTAGGCTTTATAAAAGAGGCTTCATGTGGTAAGTGTTTAAAGTGTCCATACCCCAGCATCCGTGAACTAAAAAGATAAACTTTTATGCAAAATATTTACCTCGGTCAGAATTTATCTGGTTATGTGTCAGAATGTCTTGACAAATTGATCAGTGTATTTGTAAATCTCGTTCATTTTCTGACTGAACTTTAATTGTTGAAATGTTTTAATTAATTGTAGTTTATCTTCAAGCTGTATTGACTTTGAATGCATAATATCTTTTTGGTTGTGTTAAATTCAGAATGTTATCAATGGGAGTGACGGAATCATTTTCAATGGACTACATTCTCTCGTGGAAGTACAACAGTCTGCTTATGAAAATTTGACCGAAAATTAAGCATGTATGAAATGTTTTCTTGTTCTAAATGAGATGTTTTCTCTAGACGGGTTGTATAAATCAGCAGGTAGAGGTTTGGGCATGTAACGGCACATAGATCATTGCAGGTTTTCACCAGCTCTAATTTGTCAGCCTACACCTGTCGCCTGGATGTTTCGCTTCCTTTCGCTTTGCTATTCTACAGAAGAAACTAAATTTCAATTTGGTTTTACATGTTCGCAAAATCTTGAGAAACTTATCAAAGAGGAATAGAAACATTACGAGCATTGCATTTATTTCTCCATAAGTCTTTTTTACAATTTTATTAATATAATGGATATGAGAGCAAAGTTTAATCCCATGCAAGTAAGGATCTTTGCTATTAATGGCTATTCGAACTATTATTTGAACTGGCATATTATTAATACTTGATGATGTAACTGTTTAGCCGCCATATACAGCTACCAAGTAACAGTGGATTTTGGCCAGGGTACTTGGTTTGACCACCATGGTCTTTGTTTGTATGAGATAAGGTTACCTAGCAAATACACTAAATCAGCACACACATCAATTTACACAATGAATGACAACCTTTATTAAAATAAACAAAACAATTTATTAATTTTTGAATTTATGAAATCTCCTTATGAGTATAATTTATTTTATTTGTATAAGCTAGGATCCATAATGAATAATGGTCTGATATGACGCCATGGGCCCACAGTGACATTAACAAGGGTTAGAAGTCAAAATGTTTAGAGTAAACATCTGTTAGTTCGCACAAAACATAAAATGCGCATTTAGTAAAATCGTGGACATGTTGGCTTCCCTCTTGAGTTGGAAAGTGGACCGTTATGGTCATCGGGATAGCCAACAAAGGATGTATAGTCTAAATCTTTGCTGCGTATCATATGATGGCCATTGGAATGGTAATACGATTCACATGGCCTTTAATAACCCCATTTGGATGGGTTATGTTTTGGTTATTTTGGTTTCTCTTTGAAACAGATTGACGCAAATTTCCGTCAGTTCTGCTATCGTATCCACTTTCCTGGCTGACATGTTCAATTAACAGTGATACACGTTTAACTAATGTTGCCTTATTGTTATCATATTATGGTAGTCCGACATAAACGGCTCTTATTATCTTATAAACATTTTGATATGACAAGATAGCCGAATGGTCAAACTTGGTGGATTTGAGATTATTTTGAACTGTATGGAAACATATAATTTACTAAGACCTCTCTATATTGATTCTATGTAGTAAACATTCTGCCTGTATTTACATCTTGAGTTTCTAAGTGTTAATTCAAAACAGAGTTAGCTTCCCATGTTAAAACTTGAACGCTTAGTTCCGAATATACTTGAAATAAATGTTTCCAGAACTCATATAATAATCTTAGTCGTGTGTATAAAATCTTGGATGAGTGACTCAACCCATAAGCCATCATCCTCACCATATGCTAGCCAAAAGAGTAGAACTATACTCATTTATTTATTGCAGAGCATTTTATGACTACATACTTACGTCAGAATTGACTCATCAATGGAGATCAAGTCTGATAAACTACGTAGATGGTCAAAACAGCAATCTTAGCTGATCTCTAAAGTGGTAAATGAGGATGAATACTTCAAACGGGGGATTCTGGCTTTTTTCTGTTGCCTACTCTACTGTTTCAATTCCCACTTTCAGGTTGTTTTATAAACAAAAAGGCTATATGCTCGATCATAAAACTCTGGTGGCACTTTAATAATTTGCTTGGTCTTGGGTGGAGTGCATTTCCAGACTTGTTCCAAATATTTAGATTCCTCAAATTATACAGTAGTTAAATACATTAAATTCATAGATTTGTCTTCCTTCCCACTCAGGGTGTAACTAACTTTCTGGATTTGCCATTCTCTATTCCCCCAGAGAGTATCGAGTATCCTTTACAGCACCCAAGTGGAAAACAATGTGGTTCTGGTAGCTATTTGCCAGTAAAGACCACCTCCGTATCATGCAGCACATATGCCATCATAAATCTTTTACTATGACGCCCCATTACTCACCGACACACGCAAAAATAACAGTAAATTCCTGATATTCCACAGTGACACTGATGTTGTCCCATGAAATAATTAATATCTGACAAAATTTAATGGATTTAATGAATGTTGATGAAAGCGTTGCTTCAGTGGATCGTTTGTTAACAGTAGTTTGAATATTTGTGTTTCAGGATTAGTTCTACTGCCATTACTGCATGGTTGAAGGTTGATGGACAGTGACACCAACTGGTCGGCAGCCACTAGCTCGCACGCTCAATCAGAGATTCAGCCAGCTCGATACGAAAGACCAGGGTCCTCACCGCGGGACCAACTTGTTATGCAGGAGAGACCTACTGCACAGAACGCATTGTATCCACTACCCAAAGAAGAAGTTCAGTGTTTCTTTGATCAGCTTAGTGAACCAAATCAGCCCATCCCCGCAAGCACCCTGGCTACCCTAGAAGACCGCAGTATGTTCCAGCAGCCAATGACGGTGGCTAGTCACGCCCCGCCTACCTACCACCACGAAGGTAGCAGCTATTTGCATTCAGCAGCAACCAACCCTGTCTACGTACCAACAACACGGGCTACATTGGGATCCATGCTACCAATGCAATATATGAGCAATGGAACGGGACAAGGATCGCCACAGGGTTGGCCAACACAGGACAATGGCTATTCAACTGCCAGTACCCATCCTTCCATGTCACCTAGATTTACGTTCCCTCCAACCCCAAGTCCCCCTGTCAGTTCTCCAAGCAGTCGCACTGACCCCAGTTACAGTGCACTTACACGGCCTACAGGAATCAGCCCCTATGGTTACCCTGACATCTCTGCCTGGAGCAGCTACAACAACATGGCGTTGTCACCGCAGCAAGGTCTTCCAAGACGCCCCAGTGCAGGTAACAGAATCTTTGTTATAAAAAACTCACCATAAATATTAGTTTTGTAACCAGATAACATATTTTGAAATTCGTAATACGTTTTTGTGAACAAACCTTACATTCTTTAACACTGTTAGTATTGGTGTTAGTTTCATATATCTGAACAAATACAATCGCTTTTATCTTTGCACGTGTGTAATGCTATGTTTTGCTCGGTAAGTGTGCATGCTTGGGGCAGTTGTCAGCCGACACAATACAGAGGCTGTGTTAGGGCTCCATGTCAAGCGGCAATATCCTGACTTCAGAGCGTACTTATCTTTCTAATATCTATACAAGATCTCCGCAATTAAGCTACACTTTCCTCTATCTCTCCCCTACAACAGCCTGGATTGTGTAAATGCCTTGTCCAGACGCGAGAGCCTACTTAAAATAAAAGTTCTTGCTATTTCAACTTGTTGCACCTCACAGATGAATGGCAGTTTTCCCATGATATATACATCAACTTCACGCTTACTTTGTGGAGTAACATGTTAAACGTTGCATCTCTGTTAGTCTGTATTCTGTTCCATCAGGTGATACATAAGTCAGGTGAATGCTTTTCTCATCATAAACGATTCTAGAATTTCATCTGTGGTTTGGTGTTCACTGTTCAGGTGTATCGAGTTAATGTTGAGTCATTTACTTTTCTCTTTGGACCTTGCTTCAAGAGATTGCAAATTGTTGAAGTCATTTATTTTATTCTTTAAATCGCACACATTGAGAGTTGTAACCTCGGGGACTATTTATTTTGTTTCTCGTAAAGCATTTACCAAATGTACTTCTCTTTGGTTTTGAGTTTTTACAGATGATGCTGTTGTGAGAAATAAGGCCTCCATTGTAAAGGTATATAATATGGCTATTAATATGGCATAAATGAATAGTTCGCCAGCAGGATACTCTTGAGTAAAGTGACTCCAGATTTCAATCCGACCTCACTTTACTGAAACTCGACATAACCATTTGCATTCAAACCATCCACAATTTAATATTTATTAAAAGCAGTTGTTTTTCAACTTCTCATATTGCGATCTTCTGTGTTACAGAAGAGTGTAAGATAATTTTTATTTATCATCGAGCACGTGTTTTTCCCTAACGTTTTGTATATGTGAATTACACTTGATGGGCTCCGTTTCCGTCTGCATAATTTCTCTCTTAAGTTCCTGACACCTTTCCTTGCTTTGTTTGCCCTAAAACAATTGTTGTTTTTAACATATATCTTGTCGGCGGGTTTTAAGGAGGGACAATGTGAAACAAAGCTCCATTGTTTCCTGTTAACCAAGTAGTTGTTGATTGAATGTTCACGTATGCAGCCATTCCACTTGACTCTAATGCCTGCCAAAATAACGAAAATCATACGTACTTTATACACTGGCAATAAAAAATGTTATGGTTGAAATTCTAAAACTTAACAAAGCTAATGAGATGGATGTTTTGGTAGCCATATGTAAAACGGCGTCAGTCAACGCTAGGGAGTCTAAATATGGCCCCGCCCATAGACCTGGATGGTTTTATAATTGAATACCATGCTGGTTTGAGCACCAGTCGAAGTCTTAGAAGCATGCAACACTGCATAATGATATGTTCATGATCCAAAATAATATAATATTATAGTCCCAGAAGCTTCAAGAATAACCTTATAGAAACTGCACTCGGAAAAAATCCATTGGTCTTCTTTACTTTTTGTAGTTTGCCTTATTCTAGTTTTGCATTTGAGGTGGAATATTTAGCGGAATTTATACTAAAACCTTCATTCTGGGTTTTTCACTTCTGCTGTCAGATTCCTGATTCGACTGGCATTAATTCCGAGTGAGCTATGTTTTCGGAATATGATATAAAGGAGAGTGTTCATTGATGATGACGTTAGTGACGGGACAGGTGAATCTAAGGAGTGAGCTATGGCTACGCAACTACGTTAATGTGCATGCTAGAAATTGTTTGTTGGTAAACTATTTTAATTGGTACTGGATGTAATTAGTTATTGCGAGCCTGTCTTATCTCTTTGTGTTGATGGAGCGTTTGAGAGTATATCTGCAAATGCTCCAACGAAAACAGCACACTTCACTGCAGACGGGTTCCTATTGAAAATGTATCATGACAAATCACTCTCTTCGGGATGTTAGTAAGGATTTTGGACTGAAGATATGGAAGGTGCATCCTTTGAACACTGATACGCTTCAGGAAGTGAAATTACATTTCTCAATGAAAATTTGGACATGGCGGATATGGTGTCTTCCAAGGATACATTTTTATTTTGTAATAGTGACAAAGGAAACAGAATTAATTGCTCATATAATCAAATAAACCAGATATGAGAAAATTTCAATTCTGTGACGATTAAGAAAAATGAGAGAGGGTATGGTTGTCACTAATGAGAGACCATTACTGCCACCCTTGATGCACTTTGATGACAGGCTCACAGCAAGTTCTCTCTGGTGTTGAGTGGCTTACACCATGTCTATCAAACGCACAATCTCAGCTAGAGAAACCTCCATACTGATATGTAATGTTTGTAAGTGTATATAAACATCTAATGAAATTGGTAAATAGGAAATATTTTAAGTTTCACAAGCTGTAAAGGACCGTCCATGACAAGTAAAATGACATTGAACATGTCAGGCGCATGATGATTGTTGATGTCAAAGTAAAACATACTGATTTATACTGGTCAGCTGTGATGCCCTGGACAAACAAGGGTAGAAATAATGGCCCGCGAAAAATGTTCTTCGGGAATGTTAACGTATTTGGTTATGAAGATTCGAGCCAGGTCAATAACAAAACATGCGCCTCCTCCAGTTTTAGAGAGCTCGTGGTGAGAGGGGATTTGGTTGCTATGGGAGGGGGTTACGGTGCGTATTTCAGTGTTTCAGCATCTGGCAATACTAGATGATAACCACACTAAACAAACACATGCTTGTAGTTTGTTTAAGCAATGTTGATGTTAGTAAGAAGCCAGCAATGTAGCTTGATATTCAAAGCGCGTGCCCATTATCAACTCTCACAGCGGCTTTATCAAAACGTTGATAACAAAGTGTGAAAGTTGCAATGGAGTTGTATGACTCGACATCCCAGGACACTTTCTTTTTTATTGCTACAGAATGTGGCTTGTTGTTGGAGAGCATACTGGTGTCAGATGTATGGTTTATGTCGTGGTCTGGGGGATATAGGTTTCAGTTCATCGCTGTAGAGCACAGTGTCTCGACCACTAGAGTGTGATTGATGGGGTTGTTAAGAAACAAGTGTAGCAGCTTTATTCCGAGATTACATTTCCTAAACTGAAACCACACTGGACCAAACCTTTGAGCATACTTCAACATGACTCGTTTGCAGCTTCTCTGCTTACATCGTATATACTTTCATGGTCTTTCTTATTTACAAACCTACAAAGTTTTGTCTAAGCGTGTTTTGCATTTTCAAATCTGGGAAGTTATCTTTGAAAGTCAATCCTAGTTCAAATTGTCTTTGTAATTAATGTTCAATTTTCTTAGACTAATCATCAACAATGGACTTTTTGTTGATATCAACATCTGACAAATAGCTTGTGGTAAAACATAATTTATGTCCTTTGACTTTCTGCTTAACTAAAGGCGTCAACGAGACTGTGTTAGTAGAAGTTTGATTATGCTGTAAACCTTAGCAAAATACACAGGAGGAAACTGCTTACACCAACCTTAATTAGACCGCTATGCCACTAACCTATATGTTTAATTACAATCTAATTAATGAATATAGCTGTTACACAAGACTCAGAAACACTTGAGAAATTCTCAGCAAGTTTCCGCAAGACTTGGAGGTATTCTGAAACCTGGTACCCAAATTAACAATGGGTTATTTAAACAAAGAGGTTGATGGGAATAAACTCAAACCTCTCCACTGGAATGAGTAATTAACTTCAGAAGGCATTCTGGACAAAATACATTTAACTTACTATTGATATTAATCAACAAGTATACATCGTGAATTTAATCATACTTTTGTTAAAACATAAATTTTCAAATTCATCTATTTTATGTTTTGATTCAGTAACTTCATTTGGAATGGAATTATCGATTTCCAAATCAAATCTGATCTCCAAAAAATATTCTGCAGGTAGTATATTTTTATGTTAGTTTAGTTGATGTCATAAGCTGTTTATTTTATGCTTCAAACATAACACAAGAATTCCAGAATCGTAAATGTTGCTTGTAGTGGTTAGAGTGAGTATAAACAAGACCAGTTGAGATATGTTACACTCGATCCTCTAGACCATACCTTAGACCTACTTATATCCATGGACCTTAGAGAAAGATACACTGAGGAAATGTCTGGTTAAATGTTAGATCAGCATGAGATGAACTGTTCATAGGAGGCTAAGTAAACATACAGCAGGTCTCTCTCTAGGCTTCACTTACATATGAGATCCTTTTACACCTGTACCTGCATCAGCAGCAGCGTCTTGAAACGCATACCGACATCTTCCATTTTTACACATAAATCATACACCTTAGTTATGCAGACAGAATCCAAGGTCATGAGAAAATCAAGAAAAGTCAAAATTGTCAGATAAGGCATCTATTCACCTGATCGGTATCTCTTGAGCACCTTGGCAACATCCGCCAATATGAAATACACAACTCCTTCCTCGTTTTGATCACAAGAGTAAACCCATGGCTCATCGAATGTGCAACATTTCAAAAATAAATTTAATCTAAACAAACTTGCAAGTTTCTGATACATGTTTCTTTAAAGTATGATCCCTTTGATGATTGTTGCTTCTCTTAGCGTATGTTGCTTTTCAGGTGTCTTATTTCACGTGGCAACATCACTGTGGAGATCGCCCATGCTGATAGAAGCACTGATATAGAAAGCAATAACACCTTAGATCTGCATGGGAAATATTCCTTTTGGTTGAACTACAAACACTATGTTTTTAGGTGCAATGGTGGTCTTTATACTTTCATCATGATTTATATGTTCTTTTTTACAGACTTTGACATGCGATCATCGTTCATCTTTAGATTGATCACTGCTGTTAAATATATTGACTGAAGTCTGGTCATCTCCTTCAATTTTTACTTTTACGATGACTCCTTTGTCATGAAGTATTGAAAGTGATAATTTGTTTTCATATATTATACTTTCTGTTGATTAGAAGAGTCTGATTATTTCGCTGAGGGTCGGGAGTGTGTCAACTGTGGGGCTATCTCCACTCCTCTATGGCGACGAGATGGAACTGGGCATTATTTGTGCAACGCATGTGGCCTTTATAACAAGATGAATGGCATCAACCGACCCCTTATCAAACCCCAACGCCGTTTGGTAAGTGGTTTTATTACTAACCAGGCTGTATCCCTTTCTGCATTCAGACCCTGTTGTAGACCCATACGCCAGCAAACACTTGGAGTGTGTCAGATGTCGGAGCGTCTTGTCATCAGCGTGGCCCCAAGAAGGAATGGAGTACATCCAATGTACTATGTGCGGACTCTACCAGCGCCTCAATGGCTTCAACCACGCCATGGCCAAGACCGGCCCCATCAGGAGCTCTAGGCTGGTCAGTCACAGTTTCTATCTTAGTAATAATCTTGCATGCAGAAAGGGAACGGCTTGGTCCTTATTTAATTAACGTCTATAATTGCATAGTCTGAAAAATGTACAAATGATAAGCTTAGTAAAATACTAAAATAATAGATAAACTGTAACCTTATTTATCAGTTATCCGTACTTAATAATTACTATCAATTTTATATTCATAATTGTAATAACGTTCAACTTTATTGTTACAGTCTGCATCAAGAAGAGTCGGACTTTCCTGTGCAAACTGCCATACTTCACAAACCACATTATGGAGGCGAAACAATGAGGGAGAACCTGTATGCAATGCATGTGGCCTCTATTATAAACTGCATGGGGTAAGTTAGTTAGTCACGTTAAAACGGCGTCCAGCTCATAGAAATCTAAGAGTTTGAAATATCATACATATCCTTACCAAGTATAAGACAGTATTTATTTCTAATGGTCGACTGAAAAAGATTATATCAATATTTTGAAAATACTTTCAGCTTACAAACCAAGACAATGTTAAGAACACTATGTTCAGTATTATATTAGTACATACATGCATAATTAATCTATAATGTATATGATATTGCAGGTCAATAGGCCATTGGCAATGAAGAAGGAAGGAATCCAAACGAGAAAGAGGAAACCAAAGAACATGGGAAAAGTCAGAAGCCCAATGAAGTCAGAACCGTCTTCAGGTATACTATTTAATAATACAAAGTCCTCCACGTCTTTAGCTATTTTAATATGATAATTTGTGTTATGATCTTTAAGAGTAATATGTACGGATCTAGATTTTTAGGCTTTTATATTTTCTAAAATGGGAATAGTTGGAATAGTTTTTGGCATAGTTTTGATATCAGAGTACTTGTGGATTGATTCTTGCGTTATTCTTTGCTTTCTTAGTTTTGCTCTTGTGTTTTAGTCAAATTAAATGCATTGTTTTGAATGTTATATTGCATTAGACCAAACTTAGAAATGAAATGCTATTTTAACCTTTACAATCATAATTTTAATTTGAACATGTCAGACAAAGTACACATTTTCAAAACGTGATTATTTTTGTTTTCAGATTTGAAGACCTCCGTTAGCTCACCATCAATGGGATCTCTGCACCAGGTCCATAATTCCCAGCAGAGTGCTGCATCAGCCATGTCCGTCATCCATAACACCGGCAACCACGGTCTCTCCGTTAACAACATGATGCTACCAGGCAATACTAACATAAGCACTCCAGATCATAGCCCTAATATAGGCAGTCCAGGTGCTGGTCTCAATCCGGCATCTCAAACTCAAAGTGTCTTCCCTACTCCCTCGCCTCCTAAAGCAGTTCCTGTCAAAATGGAGCCTGGAACTATTATGACACCCTCGCATCATGAAACTACCACCCTAAGCTCAGTCTCTGTGGGAGGAAATTGACAGACATGGTAGCTATAGACGTGTGAGTAATGAACAGTGACTGAAATTCTGCATCTCTATGGTGCCATAAAATGATAGTCTTTATGGACAACATGACAATGTTGAAAGGGTCTTGGGGACAATATGGCGCTATCAAAAAGAAGGAATGTCAACTGAGACTATGGTCCGGCAGAGAAAACGTTATGCACCATCATGACAGTGACTACCTCGGGCTAGCATAAGACAGGGTGCAGTAATATATCATGAACTATGCCTGCAGATCTTGCCATTTTTATGTCACATTGGTGCCGATAACAAACGTGAATACAGTGATGTCAAGGCAGACATTGCATGACGAAATATGTCATGTTAATTCACTGTGATAACATTGTGTCTTGATTTTCTTGATTTCTAGCATCATGCTGAACAAGGAAAATGTGTGATAGAGTGTGATAATATAGTCTTAGGAAAATTAAAATAGTACAATTGTGTGGTAACACCACCGCACAATACATACCATGAATAACTTCACAATTATTCACTAATGATAATATCATAATGATGTTGTATTATAAACAATATTGGGATAGATTGAGTTCCGTTTAATTCATATTGTTTATAAAATCACATTATTTTGGGTTAAGGACATTTATATCAAAGTAGACTACATGACACTTAATTTTCATTCATTGTATTGTCTAATGGCCTAGTCACATAGCCCGGCCGATGAGGTTCCGATGAGCCAGCGATGCAATTTTCACCGAACTCGGCCGAACACCGGCCGGACACCGGCCGGACATCCGTGGCGTTTGTTGCTTAAAACCGCATCGGTGGCAGCTCGGTGAAATTTTAACTTCGGAGTTAAATTTCACCGGGCTCTCACCGAGCTCCCTCATCGCAGCCCCATCGTAACCACATCAGAACACACGTCGGCCGGTGCACTTCCGAGTATCGGTCGGTGTCCCGTGCATCTGAGACAACCAGAGGACGAGGTTTTTTTAACGGACACCGGCCGAGCTCCGACCGAGCTCCGGCCGATGTGGGACAGAGCCTTGGAAAGTATAGTACCTGAAGATGTCCGGACGGAGTCCGTTCACGTCACCGAGCTCTGCTTCCGATGAGGAGAGCTCGGTGGCACCAAAAAAATCCACCGAGCTCTACCGATGCCGGACATCGGCCGGGCTATGTGACTAGGCCATAACCAACTTCAAGTGCAATTTATCAAATCCAATATAATCCTAGTCTATACTGCTGATTAAATTAAGTGCTGAAGTTCATAAGAGATGTTATTTCCATTTTACCTGTGATTTATTGGATATTATACAAGTTATATCCACTTAATCGTACAAAATATGACAGTGGTCACACTTAAATGAGTTGGATACCAATGGACTTGGTCTCCATAACATCAGTAAGATGAAAGTGGTTACCCTGTAGCTGACTTGTGTTCAAAACAGTGGTATTGGAATCCACAAAATTTCAACAAGATGAAAGTGGTCACCCAGTAAATGATTTGTGTTCAAATTACAGTAGTCTTGGCATCCACAAAATTTCAACAGGATGAAAGTGGTCACCCAGTAAAATTACAGTGGTCTTATTATCTACAAAATTTCAACAAGATGAAAGTGGTCACCCAGTAAATGATTTGTGTTCAAATTACAGTGGTCTTGGTATCCAAAAAATTGAAGGCTGAAAGTGGTTACCCTGTAAATGATTTGTGTTCAAAACCAGTGGTCTTCTACTGCTGTTTTAGGTCCAAGTGGCCCACAAGGCTCGGGACATTATAGCAATATGCATAAGCAATCAAATACGCATTAATTATGTAAATAGTTTATACTTCAAATATTGGAAGGAACGTACCAATACAATATTTACTACAATATTTTAGAGAGAATAAATGCATTCACCATAGGTGCCTTTTGAAAATGTAAATTGAAAGACTTCACATAATGACCTGTATTTACAAATATATTTTGGATATCTCAAATATTGCATTGTGATTTTCTCCATCCTATGAATAAACTGACGATAATATAAAAACATACCTATATATATTTAATTTAATTTTGCATAATCATAAGTGCATTAGTACTACATGCTGTACATATCAAAAGGATACATTTTATTGATAATTTATAGTTGCATTTCTCTATAAACCTGTATATATAGTTAGTGTATAGATAGTATAAGTCGAAAGTACACCAAGAGCATTGATTCCAATGTGCCAAAACTAACAGGCTGCTGCTGTTATATTTACTCAACAGAATATTTTATAACATAAGTCATATCGAAAAATGTAAAAAGCACGCAAAATGTGAGTTTATAGCTGATGAAATGCATTAAAGAAAATACATGTAAAATATCACTATTTTGTGCATAATTGTGTTTATATAAAATTCATATTGGATGATCATATTGTTTTAGTGCATGCGATGTATAGATTAACCCTAAATTATGACAGGTGTAAATTGTAATTAATTTATTACAATAAATGTAAATATAAAATTTACGTCCATTGTTCAGTTTTATTATCAGGGTAACAAGTATTATTTTCACCAATGGCTGTCTCAGATTCCATATTCACCAAATAATATAATTTTGATCGAAGCTCATCCAATGGGAGTATGTAATATAGCGTAATTGTCAGTGGATATTGTCATCATGATCTATGATGCAATTTGAGCTGAAATAAAAAGGCCTAGAATGAAAAGAAAAAACTCGAGAGAAGCATTGCTAGGCAAACAACTACACTCCCAAAAAAAGTTTATGTTTATGTTTGACCCACCCTCATATCAGGAAAGTCTGCAACGTGTGCGGGGAAATGAACGCTTTTTACAGTGTCATGTGTCTCAACCTCTATGACCTAAACTATCCTATGTCACATTTGCTCCAGCCCTTATACTGCCTGCCTAGCCACTACAGCATCCACGTGCCCCCTTACATTCTTAAATAATAACTTTGACGACTTGAAAGAATATTGTATGTCCATTAATTATCTGTATATGTGAACTAACAAATGAATAAAAACACGTGTCAAAAATCGATGTGTAAAGTTTTTTTTAATTTTATTTCCTTAGAAGGAATTTCCAAAATTTCCTAAGTTTGTTGATGAATATTTAGTGCAGGAGAGGGTGTCAGTCTCTTAATAAAGAATACGTTTCATAACATCTGACCATGGGTGTGAACGGAACATTGCACGAAATGTATTTTTGTATCGAGTTCTAAGTCTTGTGACACTAAAGCCAGAATCAGATATATTAGGGTGAGAAAAATTACAAACAACACAATTGACATATTGATCTATTCCTTAAAAATCTCTAATACAATATCAGATAATCTCCAAAAAGATTCACGATATTTTATAAATTGGTGTGGTTATTTAGGATTCAAAGTTCAAAAATAGCCATTCTTACAGAAAAATAATACATTATTGTAAAAATCTTTTCAAAAACATTTTCCTGAAATAAAGTGTGCACTGGGGATTTTTAGAAAATAGACATGAATTTCCAAAATTTCTTAAGTTCTCAAAGGAAACGTTTCATAACATCTGTTCCGTGTGAACGGAACATTGCACGAAATGTATTTTTGTATAGAGTTCTAAGTCATTAGATATATTAGGGTGAGAAAAATTACAGACAACACAATTGACATATTAATCTATTCCTTACAATCTCTAATACAATATCTCCCAAAGGATCACGCTATTTTATAAATTGGTGTGGTTATTAAGGATTCACAGTTCAAAAATAACCATTCTTATAGAAAATAATACATTATTGTAAAAATCTTTTTAAAAATCGTTTTCCTGAAATAAAGTGTGCACTGGGGATTTTTAGAAAATAGACATGAATTTCCAAAATTTCTTAAGTTCTTAAAGAAAACGTTTCATAACATTGCACGAAATGTAGAGTTCTAAGTCATTTTGTGACATTAAAGCCAGAATCAGATATATTAGGGTAAGAAAAATTACAGACAACACAATTGACATATTGATCTATTCCTTAAAAATCTCTAATACAATATCACCCAAAAGTTCATGATATTTTATAAATTGGTGTGGTTATTCATGTTATTAAGGATTCAAAGTTCAAAAATGACCATTCTTATAGAAAAATAATACATTATTGTAAAAATCTTTAGAAATCGTTTTCCTGAAATAAAGTGTGGACTGGGGATTTTTAAAAAATAGACATGACAAGGAATAACACGAGTGAGGAATATTTTCAAGATCTGATTCTCTCTTTAAAGTTTGGACGCATTTAACGCAGTTGTTAAATTGTAGATTTTAGAGTAATAAGGAGTATTTACAGATACCAAACCAAAGAACATAACATTTAAGCTCCTATTGATTCATTTATTTTCCTCATTCATTTTAATTTCAGTGATATTCTTCAAATAAACTATATTTTCTTCTTTTGAACATTCTCAACAAAGCCACGGAATAATTCTTATTTGTCATTTTTATTTCCACATAACATGGTTAAAAAATAAAAAAGACATTTACACACTTTCTTTCCTGCTCCTTCTACATGATAATCCTCCTCACCTGACATCTATATTCAAAGTCGTGAATTTTAACTTAACATGTAAAAGTATCAGTGAAAAGTTCACATAGCTCTCCTGTAATTTTTGTGTCATTCTGATTGGTTTACCTGCATTATAGGCCTTAACAATTGTCAATATTCTTAGAGAATGTCTCTATATGATTGCTTCAAATTTTTCCTAAGAATTAAGACATTTTCAATATATATGTTCCCATGGCAACCATTTAATAATAATAACATTAAAATAATAACATTTCAAATATGGCAAAACAATGTTTCAACATGACCTTTGGAAATTGAAAGATAAAGCCACAATTTGTGTATTCTGGGTAGAGGGTAACGTGAACCTACATGTTTAAAATTAAATAAAAAATAATGCAATACAATACAATATCAGAGAGCACATGTGCCATACAATGTTGGAGACACACGTGCCATCCCATGTCTAAGACACAGTTCCTACAGAATGTCTAAGATACAATGTCATTTACGATAAAATAATTACAACTAAGACCCATAAGCCATGAAATACAAGATACGACATAACAACATTTCTATGACATGATGCTTGAGCCATACAATGTCTCAGACATATGTGAACATGCAAAATGGCCCAGATATCAGTGATCTTCCCAGCATTAAAGCAAGTTGACCAGCACCCTCCTGAAATTTTGAAAATAGGCTTGCACCCACCTGAAAGTCCATTTGCACCCACTTGAAAATGCTAAAAATCATGAAAAATAGGCATATTTTGAGTAATTTTGATCTGAATTGTGAAAATGAGAATTTTGCACCCATTTGAGAACAAATCCTGTGGAGATCACTGGATATACATACAATATGATGTCTGAGAGTGAGATACAAATAGCATAATACCTAGACAATTGTTCACTATCCAATACCTGATCAAAATATTAATCAATAATTCAGTATGATTTTCTAAGAAATCATGGCATTAAGAGGCTGTGGTTCTAAGGCAGCCATGTCATCAAATTGTTCGGTAACAGTCTTGTTGGTGTCCTCTTTTTTGTCACCAGGGGCTTTAGCATTATCTTTGGATATAGCGTTATCATTAGAATCCTGCTTATTGTCCCCAGATGATGTTTTATTTTGGTCACTTTTTGAATCATCAGTTTTTGTGTCTTTACTTTCTTTATCCTCTGATTTGGACCGGGTTTTCTTCTTCTTGTGGCTTTTGTGTTTATGCTCCTTCTTACTCTGTTTATCGGCTTTGTCAGTAACAGACTTCTCCTCTTTGTTATCTTCAGTTGTGCTAGAGGGTTCGTCTTCAACATCCTGGAACTTATCGTGTCTCCATGTACTATCTGCTGCAGCTGGAAGTGTATGTATACTTGTGTGATACGTTTGTAGACAATTAATTCAATTTCAGATCAATTCCATCCTCTCTTAGAATGTACTTTAACTTTATCATTTCTTTCTTTTTCAAATTAATTTGTTGTTCCATTTTATAAATGCATGCATACAAACAAATAGTAATAATGGACATCTACCACTATAACAATGATATACGAGTTCATGGACATAAAAATTAACTTTGTTTCTTATCCTTACTTATTCAACACAACTAAAGTACAACTTACAGCGTATACTGCGCCCTCTTCCCCTTCCCCTGTATGACCTAGGAGATGCAGATCTAGACCTAGATCTAGTAAAGTTGCTGGAGCTTCTAGACCAGTATCCGCCTCCACGTCTCACAAGGCCAAATGACCTTCCACGGCCCCTGAATCCACCTCTGAAGCCACCACGACCTCCTCTGCTTTCTCTATTATCATGCTAAAAAGAAGTACTAGTATATTGCAATTTTTAAAATCCTTTGCTTGAGCTTGACTTCATCTTATTTTCTCTGCAAATGATTCTACCTGTATATAATCAGATTATTTAGTTAGAAAATCATAAACCAAAATACAAAAGAGCATTTGAGACTATTGAGATCTTGAGATTATTGAGATCTCATAAGCTACAACACAGTAAAATAATCTAAAACAGAAAGATGGCAATGTGGCTAGCCAGTGAGGATTTTAATCATTTTAAATAACTTGTTCAATCAAATAAACAGACAGAACAGAAATCCAGTAGTTTCTTGATATTAGACTACTATGCAGTTTGAAAAAATCAAATTCCTTCATGTTTTGGTATAGCAAAGGGTGACAGGGTCTACCTGCAAAGTCCATTGTTTAATCTGTTAGGCAAATCTAGACTTCCTATCAGTAAATGAAGTTTTATATTTCAATCTAAATTTACCTAGCATGCTCAAAATCTTATCAGATGTTGGTAAAAGTGTACCTGATGAAATATCAGCATGAATAAGATCTTGCGTCTGTAAAAATCCAAGTTGAAAGGATACGATTTATTCAAAATTGAAAAAGGTCATCAATGAATTTATGCAGCATGCCCAAAACCTTATCAGATCTTGCAAGTTAGCATTTCCCTAGAATTAGACAAGATTTATTGAGCCCCAGACTCCCCACCTGGACAAGGGCACATATATCAGTACAATACAATACATGTATTTAGCACTTTGAAAAAGAGTGATAAAAACTTACCTCATAATATTGGTCCTTTTTTGGGACCATCTCAGGGTTTGTCAGCCATGGTTCGTATGGCTTGTCTTTGTTTGGTCTCTGTGAGAAATCTGGTGGTGACGAACCCCTGCGGATGCCAACTGAAAAAAGGGGTTCATGAATTATTTGAAATTGCGTCAAGATATAGATGAGCACACCCTGTAATGAAAGAGCAGAACAATGGAAAAAATTCAATTTTTCTGCTCTTTCAAAAAAGGGTTTAAAAGATGACAATTTTTCATGTACATGTACTATTTTATGAAATTTCCTAAGATCTAATTGTCTTTTACAATATACCAATTTTTCAAGTTAACTGAAATTCAAAAATCCTATTCATAAGCAATAATAGCCTCCTGTCTATTGACAACAGAGAGCAGATGTTTAAGGAATTTTAAAGATGTCATGTATAATGAAAAAGTCAGAATCAAATATTCCATTTAAAATAAAAATTTGATATTACAGTAACACATAATTGGTAACTGGAACATAAGTAGAACGTAGAAACATAACCCAGATAAAATATTCTTCTTTTTTCTGCCTTGTTCAGCTTTCTCCCTCAATTGAATCAAGACCAGAAGGCCCACATAGTCTAATCTATGGACATTACAATGTCATACAATAATGTCATAATGAAAGAAACAAAATCCACTGTAGTCTCCCCTGGCAAAATGTATCATGATCAAGAATAAAACAAATTTAACAAATTAGGCCCCAATCAGTTCAATAAGCAAATATTTAATTTAGAAGGGATACATTTTGTATTTTGCAGAGTTCAGAACAGAGTTGCAAAAATACTGAATAGACTACTATTTTTCAACCACATACATTAATTCAGTTATTTGAACAATTATTAACTTTTTGAGGCCTACAACATATAAACATAATGATTGGTCTATTATTAATAGGCTACTTAACAATTTACAGATGCAACACAATATCAAACTAATAGTATAAAATATACTAGCCTGCTAAAATAGACACTTCATGTATTGTAAACTCAGTGTACAAAATCCCAAATTAAAATTCTCAGTTCAGTCCATCCAACAGATGTAATTTTGTACTTTATTTTCACAAGGAAGTTTACATCCAGCATTTTATATTATTCTATAAATCTAGTATCATATCCAAGCTTGGGCTAAGAGTAGTCATTTTATGAATTGAACAGTGCGGTTGTTTATAATTTTTACCATTTTCTGGTTCATTTGCAGAGTGTTATCTTCAACATTGAGGTGTCATTTATTTTTACAGTAAACTGGTGTTTCACAGGTTTTGCAGAGCAGATTTCTTTTTAAGCCTGCATGTATTCACACAGGTTGTTTCCTTTCCTTCTTTTTATTTCATCCTTTGATGAAACTTTCGAGATTTATTTTGTGTTATTAGCATTCCAGCATATCTCTTTAGATATGCATAGTCTAGTATGACATTTTCCTCTTTAGACTTCCAACAACTTCATAATCTCAAGGCTTTGTTTTATCATTAAAATTTAATCACTAAAATCACTATTTCCATCTTCACTTTTTATTCCAAAATCATATTATAGTTTTTATATACTTAGCTTTAAAAACATTTATCAAAATGAAAGTTTTACGCTCAAAGATTTCCAACTATGTCCGTGATAATATATACTAGTGATGATGAATATGTTCACTCATTAATAGTATCACTACATAAAATAGCACCCTTTAGTGTTTTATGTATCATTTGCATGATCACGTGATAATGAGAATCAAATTAAATGTCATTGGAAACTAAAATATTACACATCAATTAAAAATAACAGCCTTAACTTTCATAAACTTTGAATTAAAACATTGGCACTGTACGATTGTGTCCTTTAATTATTTAGAGTCATCATGATCAACTGATTTAGCATCAAAGCTCATGATTGGTTATGGTGTTCCAAATTGAAAACATCTAATATTAAACATCGCCATATAAATCAACATCTCCCTCATCTCCTTTAGAATCATTCAGGGCAGTTTTATCTGCTTTATTATCTTGAACATTGTCAGTTGATGATACCACATTTGGCTCTTTGCCATCTTTATTTGAGTCATTTTTTTCTTTAGGTTCTTCAGTGTTTGTCAGTGGGCTTGGTGATCTGCTAAGAGGATGGTCACCTCCAGGAGAATCTGTGCTAACCAGTGGGTCCAAGAACTGCAATATAACACCCGATTTCAAAATATCAATCAATGTAAAAAAAATCACTCAATTTCAAGAAAATGCTAAGTACCAAGAAATTGCTCAATACAAAAGTGTTTTGTTCTAAACTTAGTAATAGTAGATTCAATATACAATTGTATTATTGAAAATCATATTTGTTGTAGAGAAAGAAAATGAAAATTATTATCTCAAAATATGATAGAACTGCACTTCTTTTCCATAGTGACTTACAGTGACTGTGGTTTCCAAAGTGCTGACTGCTGAGTATCTATTCCACTTCTTCAGTTTCCAAAGGTCTATCACCATATTCCTCAGTAAGACCAGCTTGCCTGCATCACTCTGTACAATTAATTCTGATTTGCTGTTCCACATTTTCACCTTGAGCACATCACCTTTTTGCTCAAGCATGAATTCAGATTTTTCAGATTTTTTACCTCCTGTGCTTCTTACTAGCTGGTACTGAAACAGATTTGCAAAACCCTTACAATCATGTAACAAGTTTGCCAAAGAGCAGTACTTCAATCTCTATAAATTATCATGGAAACTTCATATTACAAGTAATTCAATGGGTCTCTATCAACTTTGATATACATCCAAACCATGTGCTAGCCTTCTGCAAGCAATGGCTTCATCTCTACTATCACTAAATTGCAAGAGGAAGTTTGAGGATTTTAAACAGAATCAACATTTCCCCTTGGAGATCCTCAAACCACCAGTTCTTGATTACAAATGACTGTCTTGAGGTGTCTAGGTGAGTGACAAATATGAGATGAGATGGTTGACTGTAAAAATAATTTTCTTAGCGAAAAATTTTGAAAATCCCAAATTCTGCAGTTTTTCTGCGCCAACGCTCATAGATTTGTCATTCAAGAAACCCTTACATAAAGCCTTTTATAACATACCTATGATGATGTATAGCGCAAAGTGTACACAAGACAGCGGGCCAATATAAGTTTTGAAAACCCCGCGCCCGCTAACTTTCTTAACTTTCTGATTGGTCAAGGCGCTGACGTCATAACCAATCAATCGAAGATAAAACTGCGCGAGCAATTTTTCTAAACTCATTTCAATCATTTTCAAACCATTTGTTTGTCAATTCTATGAGAAAACGGTACTCTCTGACCAGTCTACTTCATCATAGGTATGTTATAAATCGTTTATGTCACTATCGTGGCACATATGCCCTCGGTTCTCAGAGATCAATGTCCCTCCCAAGGTCAGGCCATATATCACTGAGACCTCGGGCATATATGCCACGATAGTGACATAACCTCTAAATATAACTTAATGCAATGGGAAATACTTACAGAAGTGACTCTTCCACGTAACGAGCAGCGAACCCATCTCTCACTTTTGAGAACCTCCTTCAAAGATATCTCAGGAGCATCAAAGTATGAATCTAGGAGGTTTTGTTTCACCCTGAAACACCCTGTCATGAATATCTGGAAAATATAACATTACAGTTGTACATCTTTTAGATAACTTTTATGTTGAATATGGTATTTTTCCTAATTTTTTGGATACCTATATGCGCTTATTGGAATCTCTCAATATCTTACCTTTTGAAATTATAATTTGGAAATTACACTGTGCGCTCATTAGAGAGAATACGGTATGTCATTTCCATAGCAATAAGCTTCGATCAAGAAAGAATCTAACCTTTGTTGAAATACTAAAAAATCTAGATGACAAAACTAACATGGGATTTAGTATTACACTTGGTATCAAAATGGTGTGTTACAAAAGTGGACTCTGAGTGTGCATTATTGGATGAATGTTGTGGTTATTCTTTTTGGCTTAGACATTGGTGGAATAAATCCAAAGAAATAAAACGCTTGATACTTACCATGCTATTGTGGCTGATTCTGTATCCAGGCACACCACACGCAACATTTGGCCCAAAGCAATTTCCAACCACAACATAATTATCTTTTCGTAGAAGCTTGTGGTACTCTGGGGACAGCTCCTTTGTTTTATACTTGAGTAAGAAAAACTGGCCACCATCTGTGAGAATCTGTACATAGGTGTAGTCCTCATAGCGTTCGGGATTACTTAGCACCAATCCAACTAATGAAGCAACTGAGGGGTGATCGAAATCAGGCTCCTCTACAAAGACAGCCCATCAGTTATACAGGGACTGGATAGCTCTGTGGTACTTACATGACCACACTTTTGCACTTTGTGTATTTTTTACAGTAGGTCTAGATTGTTCTGTTTTTCTTATTTTGCTCTGTTTTTGATTTCCTTATACTGTACTCACTTTTGAGTAACTTGTTGTCTAGTTCCAAATGTTTTGATTGTATTTCTTTTTCCAAACAAATATCTCATTATTAGTTACTTTTTGGCATGTTCATATTCTAATTAGTGGAAGTATTTAAAGTCACTTAAACTATAATACCAAACATTTCTCACTTGACATTATATTTTAGAAGGTTTTTGAGCATTATTCCAAACTCTTCAAAATATTATATCAATTACAAGCAATTAGCTTTAAGTTTTTCTTTTGAATTTCTAAATGTTCAAAAACAAATATAATGTGATGTACTGCTTCCATGTAAACAAAAAAATATGAATATTAATACCATACTTACAAAAAAATGAGGTTCCTTGTTCATGAACTGCAGCAATTTAGTGATCAATAACTACATGAACAGTACAATGTATAGTTTATCTACATGTAAAGCGGTTCGATTTTGGAACCATTTTCATTTATTTTTCATTAACATTCTCATTTAAGATGTTTACTAAACAGGCAATAAAACGTATCTCAATTGCTGCAATAGCAAGTATGTACAGAGTGAATACATGAAAGTACCACAGAGCTATCAACACTGTACGTATTACAGGTTCTGGATCCTCGTCAGCACTTAAATCTGCAGCCTTCCAACCTGTACAGCAAATTCAGCCCCTACATCGAGTATACAAAGACAAGATTAAATACCTCTTGATTTGATGTCCTTACGCTTAGGATCATCATCTTTGTGGTCATCTCTTCTATCATCTTTACGATCATATCTATCATCTCGTCGGTCATCTCTACGGTTATATCTATCATCTGTTTTGTCATATCTGTCATCTCTATATGGATTCTTCATGGAAGGTTCATCTCTCTCAGATGCACGTCGTCTCTGGTTTAGAGTAGATCTACAACACATATCAATAAACATGAATTAATTCAGTGACTTACAGAAATAGCTGAAAAAGTCACCAAAAATTGAGAAATACAATAATCTAAATTTCATTTTGATGCAGGACTACCTTCTTACATGTATTAAGTTATGTATAATGATATTAGGTTTGGGTCCAGGATTTGAGTTCATTATTGCAAACTAATTGAACAAGAGGTCAATGACCATTCACCTGTCTAACAGAGCAAAGCATTCAACGAACCAACATCATTCATCATTCATACAACGTTTATTTATCTTATGTTAATCAAAGGGGTTAACTCAAAAGTTTCAGACTCCACTTTTGAGAAAAATGGTACACCAAAAACAAAAACCAAAACAGCTTTTTACCTTTCAAATAATTTGGAATGAAATATGAGACAGTGCTATGAGGTCTCACCTGGCATCCATTGGGTCTACATGTCTAGGTGTCTCATATCTGCTACTGCCAGGGCTAGATCTGCGACTGCCCAGTCTTGACCTTAGATCATTCGGATCCCGCCTGTCATCATCCCTCCTCACACGATCCCTCTCCCTAGAATTCTCTCTATCTGGACTCCGTCTACAAGGAATGTTGGGAAAAACTACATAAGGCAACACCAAAGAGTATCAAGTTTTAATAATAAAATAAGTTTTTTTTGTTTTCCTACAACTACAATGATGATTATTTCATTCAAAGAACTGGACCAAACTCATTATGAAAATAATAACCTTTTATTAAGACCCCACAATCCAAATTCTGGACATAAATAAAACAGACACAGAAATTCAAAGATTGAGATTGATGCTTGGATTTATCAGAATATCACAGGGAAATACAAGAACACAAATGTGTACAAAATGTCCCCACCTATGGGTGATCCCGTCAAATGGTTATCCTGAAAATGAGTAGACAAGACTTTACCGACACAATTTGAGGATGGAAAATCCAAAATGGCCACCTTAAAATTTACCCAGAATGCAAAAAAATTAGTCAGTTCTAGATTTTCATACTAAGAACCACCCCTGAAAATGTGAAATTGATCCGTCATACAGTTAACCATAAAACATGTTAACAAAACTTTATAGACAAGATTTGAAGACAGAAAATCCAAAATGGCTGCCTTGACATTTACCCAGAATGCCCAAAAACTAATCAGATCTAGATTTTCATACTAAGAATCATCCCTGAAAATTTGAAATTGATCCACCATACGGTTCACCTGAAAACGCGTAGACAAGACTTTACAGACAAGATTTTAGGACGGAAAATCCAAAATGGCTGCCTTGACATTTACACAGAATGCCCAAAAACTAATCAGATCTAGATTTTCAGACTAAGAATCATCCCTGAAAATTTGAAATTGATCTATCAAACGATTCACCTGAAAACGAGTAGACAAGACTTTACTGACAAGATTTTAGGACGGAAAAATCCAAAATGGCCGACAATAAAAAAGTGATTATGAGTTTTTGCTGATTTCTTTTTACAAAATTATCACATATAACTATTGTTAACAATAACATAGGCTTTTACAACAAAGTACACCTGAAATTATTTATAAAGCTACTAAATAGTTAAAGTATGAAAACTGAACAAGGCACAGCCGTGAACAATATCGTACCTAAAACACAGCATTGTGGTCTTGTTGACCAAGAAAGCAAGATGGCCGCAGAAAAGTTAATCAGCTCTGGAACTTATCACTGTGTAACATATGTAAAAATTTGAACGGTTTGGCTGGAAACCTGTAGACAAGTCTTGAAAGTGAAGATTTTAGGACGGAAAATCCAAAATGGCCACCTTAAAATTTACCCAGAATGCCCAAAAACCAATCAGTTCTTGACGTTGATATGTAGAAACATCCCTGAAAATTTCAGATGAATCCCTCAAATGGTTTGGCTGGAAACCTGTAGACAAGTCTTGAAAGTGACGATTTTAGGAAGGAAAATCCAAAATGGCCACCTTAAGATTTACCCAGAATGCCCAAAAACTAATCAGTTCTTGACGTTGATATGTAGAAACATCCCTGAAAATTTCAGATGAATCCCTTAAAGGAATATTCCTTGCCAAACAATCTCTCTCCTCATATGGTAGCTATAACCATATATATGCTTGCCATGTTTAGCAAAACACGCAAAAATGTTTTGATATGGTCAAATTTGATCACTTAGAAATGTGATGCTCAATTCCAGTAAGCTGCCATCTTTTAAAATTTCACACAGGAAGTGATGTCATCGACTCTCAACTTTGCATATAGCATTAGGTGAGGAGCTATTAAGAATTACAAAACCAGCTAAATATTCTTTTTCAACTTTGTATCTTATTTAATCCTTCTGAAAATCTCTTCTTTTATTCTAAGTTGACATGCCCTGAAAATATTTTTGCATAGAAAGTAATGATCACTTGTCTAGAAGTGATTTTGTGCTACTTTCCTATACTGTTATGGGCAAGGTTATAGAAGTTGAGAGTTGATGACATCACTTCCTGCAAGAAATCTTAAAAGATGGCAGCTCACTGGAAATAAGCACTAGATTTTTAAATGATCAATATTGACCATATTAAAACATTACCCCATGTTTTGCTATATATGGAAACTATATATATGATTATAGCTACCATATCAAGAGAGAAAGGGTCTGGCAAGGAATATTCCTTTAAATGGTTTGGCTGGAAACCTGTAGACAAGTCTTGAAAGTGAAGATTTTAGAACGGAAAATCCAAAATGGCCACCTTAAGATTTATCCAGAATGCCCAAAAACTAATCAGTTCTTGACGTTGATATGTAGAAACATCCCTGAAAATTTCAGATGAATCCCTCAAATGGTTTGGCTGGAAACCTGTAGACAAGTCTTGAAAGTGAAGATTTTAGGACGGAAAATCCAAAACGGCCATCTTAAGATTTACCCAGAATGCCCAAAAACTAATCAGTTCTTGACGTTGATATGTAGAAACATCCCTGAAAATTTCAGATGAATCCCTCAAATGGTTTGGCTGGAAACCTGTAGACAAGTCTTGAAAGTGAAGATTTAAGGACGGAAAATCCAAAATGGCCACCTTAAGATTTACCCAGAATGCCAAAAACTAATCAGTTCTTGACGTTGATATGTAGAAACATCCCTGAAAATTTCAGATGAATCCCTCTAATGGTTTGGCTGGAAACCTGTAGACAAGCTGAAAAGTGAGACGCCGCCCGCCGCCCGCCAAGCTGACTACAATATCGTACCTTTTGTTAGGTACGATAAAAACACCATTCAATATGATACAAAGTATTATCGCTCGCTAACTTTTCTTTAAACATTCAAAATGGCTGACATGACTGAGCTAACAGGTCCAAAACCTAATCAGATCTAGAATAAAGTGAGCTGAACAAGATTTTAAAGTTTTAAAAGCAACTGTGAAGCCGTTTTTCTTAAAGTTTGCAGACAAGGATTTTAGCATTTGACTTCAAAATGGGTGACAGGAAGTAGGTATCGAGCTAATTTTTTTTCATCCACATCTATATGCACTCATGAGTTATCCCTGGAAATTTGAAGGTGATATCTGTAGCGGTTTTGGAGAAAACTGCCGGACGTACGGACAAGCGGACAGACGCGCCTAGGCCGACAATATGGCCCCACACTATGTGGTGGGGACATAAAAAAACTTACCTGGATACTGCCTTTTCTCCTCTTTCTTTTGCTTTCTCTCGTTGAAATTGCTGTTCATATTTATCAAATCTGTCGATGTTTTCAGGTTTGAGGACTGCTACTATACGCCTCTCTACAACCTCTTCCTGTGGATCCAGGAGTTCATCTCTATCAAATATAGGTTCAGATCCCTCATCTTTACGTCTTGGTACAACAACATCTGCAGCATACAGGTGCTTGGGTATAACAGCAGGAGAGTTCCCTCGTATGTTGCGCTGTATACCAATCGTAATGTTCTCATCAGCTTTGAAAGGTCTATCATAGGGAGTTGTGAAACGTTCATTCAAAGTTAGTTTATCTTCAACCTCTTTGATGACTTTCTCAACATGTAATTCTTCTTCTGGGCTGCTTCGTCTTCTTCCTCTCTGTATATCTGGTTCTTTCTGTCTGTCTCGTTCTTTACTTCTACTCCGATCTCTCCTGTAATCTCTGTCTTCACGTCTATCTCGTCTTTCATCTTTATCTTCTCGTCTGTCATCTCTTCGGGAATCTTGCCTCTTGGGAGATGGTCTTCTTCCTCTCTTGGGTGAAGGAGATCTGCGCCTTGGGGACCTCTCCTCACGTTTCCCTCTGCTTCTGTCTCTACAATATGATGAATAGGATTCTCAATGAATAAGTAAAGACATGCTGATTGCAGATGCATATTACATGTAGCTATGTGGGGTTTTACCCTTGGTTCTATGGAGCAACATCAATAATGTTAATTTATACAATTCATGTAATTCAGTTAAAAACATCTTGTAATAAAAGAAACAAATGTGAACTAATTGTTATAGGAAAGCACCCCAATATGTTTAATCCAAGTATAGCTTATACACCCCATGTCTTAATTCCCATTTATACATTCCCAATGATTGCTAATGTGACTGGCATAAAATGCTGTTTGAGTTATACAAGAAATACACTATGGTTCTTGAATCTAGCTACATGATCTAAAGAAATACACTAAATATGTAAAAGGAATCAGCATTATTGTGTAAGTTGAGTCTACTCACTCATGCCTACTGTCTCTTCTCTGCACTCGTTGAGGAGATCTAGAATAGCGTCTTTTTCTCTCAGGGGTTCTAGATCTTCTACGGGGTGGTGGACTGGGAGATCTTTTAAAAGAATTAGAGCCCCTGAAATCATCAACTCTAGGTGTGAACACATGAATCGATATAACAATGATGTAAGACACGTCATACAGTTGCTTTGTAATTGTTGTTCTTGTTGTTTTGAACTGATTCTATAAATTATTTATAGACTTTTGGATGTTCTGTGTATTTTATCTAATAATTTACCTTTTCAGAACTTGCTCCAAAATTGCAACAAGAAAATGAAAATCATCACACTCACTGGCGGATCTGGGAGGGGGCCTAGGGTGGGCCCAAAAAAATGAAAGAAAATGGGCCTCAAATTTTCAAAAGTTGGGCCCACTTTAGGGTTTTAGGGGCCCAACATTTTTTTGATATGGATCAATAGATCTGGATACCAATGAGTTAATGAATTAAACAGATGACATGGCTCTGTATGCCATTCTGTGTCTATCTCTCACCTAGGACCTGTTCTCTTTTCTTTGGGAGACCTTGATCTTGACCTATAAAAAAAGAATGATAAACATGCATTTCTCATTTCATAGATTCTTAATTATCGTATCATTATGCAAGTGTACCAACATGTCTACATTGGAAAAAAGAAATAGAAAACTAAAACGTTTAATGAAAGTTCTTTAGACTATAAGGCTGAACTGAAACTGAATTGCAACATTATTTTAAAATGCAGAACTGATGCGTGGGAAATTAAGACTTTATTTGGTCCGTTGGGTCAACTGAGCAAAATTCCAATATACATACCTTATAATGGATGACATCAACTACATCTTAAAGTAATAGAATTTTGAATGAGATGAGATTAAGTGTTTACCTATAAAAAAATTCCCATAAGGAATGATATTTTCAGAACAATATTTCAAGAGGAAATTGATAAGAACATTACTGGTACTAACCAGACCATGTTAGCATTTCGAGCACTAAAAGTAGATTATTCTTCTGAGATCACACATAGTCTTAACTTATTAGTTCCTTCAAATTAATACCCTGTCTTGAAAGAACCACATTCTTTTTTGCATTTTTGCATACAGTTCAACTGAGTTTTGTTCTGTATAATATGTTTCTCGTGTATCTTACTGGGAAATATTAAAGATCATGTGAGAGTTCTGCTGCTTTTGCCATATGAATGAAACTGAAGAATTTTTCCTGAGAATATGCAGTATGTCAAGTTTTTATGGGTTGGTTTTCAGCCCATTTCTTCAAGGTATATACTGTACGCCCGGTATTATTCGCGTGCGATTTAGTTTTGCGCTTTTCGCAAGGGTGTTAAAATCGCGAAAAATTATCGTCGCGAAATTGCCAATTAAATCCCCGGGAATTTGTTTTTACCCAGGGCTCTGATGCATTTCGTTTTGTATAAAACGTTTCGTCTAGTGTTATTGGGCGATAATTGAATGATTTCCACCAACATGTCTATTTTACGTTGGCTAGTCAGGCCAACTACTACCAACAATGCCAGGTCTCATTTGATTTTCGTGGCCAATTGATGATGTTTCCCTCTGTCTGAGTAAATGATTTCAGTGGCTTGTTAAATATACTAGTAGTGCATTATGGGTAGGGACTGCTGTGAAATGATGAACGTTAATGACATCTACTAGTGTCTAAGTTCCAATTACTAGTACAAGTAAGTGAAATTCGCGAAATTTAATAGCTGCGAAATCGTGTTTTCGAAAATTCGCGAAATTAAATCTCGCAAATAATACCGGCCGTACAGTAGATGGGAGGATTTGTCTATCTGCAGTGTCAATTGCGTCTATGGGGTTTGAAGAGAAAGCCTGGACTACAGTCTATCATCAAACAGTGGCACACGTTTCCATTGGCTTTCAAAAAAAGACCATGGACATGGGCATAGTCAGGTGAGGGTGAGGCATTTCAATTTTACAGAAACATATTTTTTAAACATTATATGAACTAAAACTAGATGGAAGTCCATTTGGTAAATATTATGCCTCCTTTAGTTCAAATTTGCTTAACTAACAAATATTTTACAAAAACTATTTTTTCAGACATTAAACTTTAACTCTTTAAATGAAGTTCAAAGGTAAGCATTATGCCTCATTTTAACCAAATTTGCCTCGCTTAAGTTATGAATTTTTGCCTCAGCAGTATTGATTGTTTCATGGGCTTTCAAGAGAAAGCCTGTGATAGTTTCTCTGGCTACATCAAATCATGTTCTCCACAGGATATGTTCAAGGGAACAAACAGTGATTCATATCTCAATATCGATTCCAAAAAAGACCATGGGGGAGCCAGTCATAAAGCAGGTGAGGTAACTCCTCATCACAATTTAAAAGAAACATTTTTTTAAACAATTTTTTTGACTACACCCGATTTCCTGGCCTGACTTCGTCGATAGAAATTGAAATATAAGAGATACCTGAAGATTATAGGAGTCTTACTTACCCTCTAGAGGTTAGAACACACATTTCAATGAAACCCTATCACCTTTGTTGTGTCAACCATAGAGCATTTAGCACAATATCCAAGAGGTAAAATATGGACCGTGAAAATGAATGATTTCCTTGTAAGTTCTGGAAGTTTCAATACAATAAATTATCAAACGTTTGTGAAAATTGAATGTTTGTACGTTGATTCTATAATTTACAATTTGTATATTCTTCTATACTTTACATTGGTCTAAATTATAAAGCATCACAAACAGGTCCTACTGTATAGACTAATACAACGGACGACCCATTCATACTTTCTGCGCAACTGTAGATCAAGCAGTTTCTTGTATCTTAGAACAGGCCATTCTCCTCTGCCCTATCCTAAACTCATCTGCAAGCGACCACAAAACATTCTTTCCTAATATTCTAATAATTATTTTCACATCATACATGATTGGATGACATATGACAAAATTAAAGTTCAAGGTCAATACATTATTTTGTGATAGGGGCAACACCTTCCCGGAAGTGAACACGAGGAAAATGGAAAAGTCCCAAAAGCATTTACACAAATATTAATCAAGTACAGTGCTTATACTTCATCATGAACAAAACAAAGTTGATATGGTTTCATTGAAATGTGTGTTCTAACCTCTAGAGGGTAAGTAAGACTCCTAATCTTCAGGTAACTCTCATATTTAAAGTTCTACCGACGGAGGCAGGCCGGGAAATCGGGTTTAGAACTAGTCTTCTGTGGAAATGAAGTCCAAACCATAACTTAACGAATTCCTGGAAGTCCTTGTCAAAAAGCCTTCAAAGGTAGCAACAATATGCCACGCAATATGCTTCTTCTTATCCAAATTTACCTCGCCTATTAATTTTTGACTCGCTGCACCCGGCCCGATTGCCTAGATTCTTGAAAAATCATCATTCAGAAACTGTAGGAAAATTTGCCATAACTTTGTGGAAAATACAATATGGCATTCTTCATTCTATGATATTGTTCCAAGTTGACAAAATAAATTAGATCTACTTGCAAAAGTAATTCTAAAAAAATGAATAGTCTATAATTGCTGATTGAGAATGAGGCTGCACTTACCGCGACCAAGAGAGGCCTCTATAACCCTTCGGCATTCTAAAATTCGAGCTCTATCGGCGTGCAAAAACGAATACACGTTACCCCTGCATCCAAGGCAATTCTGGAATGGTGAGAAGAAACGAATAAAGACACCGATGTTTGCAAAATCTGATATTTATTGAAAACAATTTTCACGTTTCTAAATTGGATTTGGGATTGAGACATCACTGAAATGCAACTTTGAAACAGAATAGGAAAACTGAAATAAGTCTTTATAAATCTTGTGATAGACCTATATATATTAAGATTAAAAATGACAATATTCAAAGTAGTATTTGGTGGTCATAATATATAAATCAATACTTAATCACTTTATATATTTTTATTTTCGCTTAGAATATGTTAATTTGGATTTTGCTTTTAGACCTACCAGATCAGGCGCATGCGTACAATAGCCAGCCCTCAAGCCTGATAAGAAATCACGGTAGGTATTTCTCTTTTTTTACAGACAATACTCATCATTATACTCTGAAAATACAATATGTGACTCATCATGAATGTGTCCACGTTTTCTATTAGTTCGAACGCTTAATTTCTCATAAAAATACTTCAAATTGAAAGAACACGCAGGCAGTCAAAATTATGTTGTACAGTTCGGGACATAAATAAATGACAGGTGGATTTGCTGAAGTGAGAATTTCCCATGTTAAAAATAAGAGAATTTTCAAGAGGCCATACATCAGTGGATGAGATTATACAAAATGTGAAATATACAAATTTTAAGGGATATGTATCTAGACAATATTGGAAATTATGGGCTTTCAGACGACCATAATTAGGAAACGGTGATCGAAAATCGACCTGTCATTTATTTTTGTCCCCAACTGTATAGGCTAAAGGCTGTATGTTACACTGGTGATCCGCTCGATTACGCTGATAACCGAAACGAACCGTTATGTACTTGTGGTGGTTCGATAAATCGGCAACTCATATAATCATTTCCTACCACCCGAATCATGGTTCACACTACGTGAATATTGATCCTTTAGTCGCAAACCACCACGTCCTCTCTGCTGAACATATTTCTCCATTCCTGCACTGATTTCCCACATCGCGAACTGCACAATTTTGTGGTTCACGATGTGGGATCTCTGTTTTTGAGTCGAGAAATATGTTTGGGAGAAAAGTATTGGTTGTTCTCAATTAGCATCAATATTCGCGTTGTGAGAACTGTGGTGGTCAGTTTTAGAAATTTTTTGAGGAAAATAATATGGGGATATAGTTATCGTATCCTACCGACCACTTAAGATTGTGGTCGTACGCCCGATTCATTGGTAAGCCTGTCTTTCTACAATGTCGGAGAATGAACTACGCATTGCACTATTAAATGACCTACCTCGATACATTCCAGAGTACTTTAGAATTTTTTTTATGTTGTTAGATCGCCAATTGTATGGGTTTATCGGCAGAATGAATAGATTTTAGTTTTTACTTCGAAAATATGTCAGCAATTTTCAATATGTCGGAAGGGGAATTCCCCAGGGATTTCCCTTATGACTGGTTCATGCCGGGAACTGAATGGAGGAATTTGACGGTTGAAATAAGTTAAATATTACACGCAAATATTGCTATCAAAAATGAAAATATTTTCGTTCTGCCGATAAACCCATACAATTGGCGATCTAACAACATAAAAAGAATTCTAATATACTCTGGAATGTATCGAGGTAGGTCATTTAATAGTGCAATGCGTAGTTCATTCTCCGACATTGTAGAAAGACAGGCTTACCAATGAATCGGGCGTACGACCACAATCTAAAGGGGTCGTAGGATGCGATAAGGGATATAGTAAAATTTTAAATGTTTGTGAGTACTTTGAATTTAAAAAATAAGCAATCAAATGACCAAATTGAATCAGTTTATGTAAAAATAGAAACATTTATATTTATCCTAACTTTTGTATATTTCAGATAGTAATGTATAATGTGCAGCAAAGCTGTGGCCTTTTGTAATTTAACATCTATTAAGTTGTGTAATTTAGGAAGTTTCAGCCATGTTAATTTTTCCGAAAATAACATGGCAAAGTAGCAAAATATAAGAGGACACAGATATGATAGCTAAACTACAAAACAAACTAAAATATAAGTTCGTAAAATTCATATTATAGGAAAATATTTTTTCTGTGATTTTTCTTAATATTTGATACTTGTATATTTCTATTTCACTATTTTCCAATTTTAAGTTTCATATTTTAAAGTAATGTCAAATGTTTTCACTTGGATTAATTTGCGAGGGAATATTTTGTGTGCTCTTTGTGGTCATAGTCATTAGTCTTTGTCTAGTTCAGTGTTTTCAGTAGGTTTGTCCAAGATTGCGTCCCTGGGACGTAACAATTTTCAAAAAATGCATCTCCCCTCAAAAAACTGCGTCCCTTGAAATAATGTTCCCGGGAATTCAAAATCACGCTTTTGCACTGGACGAAATAAAATTGATGAAATTTTGTATTGCTTTTGGAGTATTGGATAACTATTTGTCTTATCACATGTCTTGTACTATTTCGATCAGAAATCAACTTCCGGGAAGGAAACTTCGAAAGAAAATTTTATTTCTTTTAGAAATAGAATTTCCTTCAATTATTTAGTGGATTCTGACGAAATAAAGAGACTGAAGGTAAATGGATTCACGAAGTGATTTACGAAATTCAAATTGCGTCCCAAAAACGTAATTATTTTTTTAATTTACGTCCACCCAATCTTGATTTACGTCCTCTCCATTGAAGGACGCAGTTAATGAAACTACAGCTAGTTATACATATATGTATAGCCCCTTCCACTGGAGGAAATGCCTTCCCATCATACTCATGGTCAATACACATCTGATTGATATTTGATTGGTCCATAGATATTTTGGTAAAAGAAAAGAAATCTTATTGCAGTCAATCTCCCACAGTCAGTATTCCAAAGGATAATACACTGTACTTGCCTATGTGGATCCAACAATGGATTAAGATCTCTCTAAATATCTATTGAAATTCAAGTGGTCATTTGTATTGTAGAATGTAACCAGAAATGTAAATACAGTGAATTTAATTTGGTGTCTGAGAGACCAGCTGGCTTGTATTGTTGGGCAGAGAAGGATGTCTTACTAGGCTATAAAGGATTAATTTCTCATGATCAATGTACATCCCACATCACATGTGGCATACTTCTAACCAAGTGTCATTAGACAGAGCAAACTTCTTGTAATTTTAGAAGTGAAAATGTCTGTCTGGCATGTGAATCCCGACCCAGAGGAACTGGTGCCATGCCCATACCAGAATAGCCACATGGTGAGGCAGAAGAGGTTCCCCTATCATCTCATGAAATGCAGAAAGGTATATCTTCATTCTAATAATACTCATCAAAACTTCTTTCTTGTAATAGAAGGAAGGAAATGAAGAAACGTGTGGCTTACCACAGTGGGATGTAATGACCATGTTATTTGTCTCTGTTACTTTTTATATTTTTTGTGGATAAGAAACAATTGATTTTGTCAGGGAATTGCATATTTGAATTAGGTAAAGTCAGGGAATTTTGATATGGAAATGCTCTGGCAACTCTATCTTTAATTTTGAAAATTCTGATTTTCTAACAATCAACAACACCCTATGCAGACAGAGCCTGTGGGAAATATTGGGTGCGGAGCAAATGAGCGGAGGGTGCGGAGCTAACGGTTATTTTTGAATTTAAATTTGGGATATTTCTGAAACTAAGCCGTTTTGGGACTTCAAATATACCAAGATATGTGTATTTGACACCAAATATCAATACAATTGTGAAAATAGTAGCGCAATTCATTCTATAGTGACGCAGTGTGCCTTAAACCTTTCCCAGACCTATATATTCTGAAATTATCCTTTTAATACTGAGTCCCCAGCATTCATAAAAAATGGTGTTCAAGGTGCACTATCTATACAAATTATTTTTGCATCTTGGAAGCCAGGCAGTATCTGTGTGATTTTATAAAAGTTCGGAAATTTTTTCAGATATGAGCCCCCTCTAAATATTGGGTGCGGAGCAGCTCCATAAACGTGGATCTTGAACACCATTTTTTATGAATGCTGGGGACGCAGTATTAAAAGGATAGTCTCAAAATATATAGGTCTGGGAAATGTTTAAGGCATACTGCGTCGCTATAAAATGAATTGCACTACTATTTTCACAATTTTATTGATATTTGGTGTCAAATACACATATCTTGGTATATTTGAAGTCCCAAAACGGCTTAGTTTCAGAAATATCCCAATTTTAAATTCAAAAATGACCGTTAGCTCCGCACCCTCCGCTCATTTGCGCCGCACCCAATATTTCCCACAGGCTCTGTCTGCATAGGGTGAACAATGTCATAAAAAAATATATTGACTCTTTGAAGATGGTAAAAAACAGATTTTAGTATTGTTTATTTATTTTCTAGCAATACACAGGCAATGACTTTGCTACATGTCCCTTCAATGCCAGACATGAGATGCCAAGACCAGAGCTTAGGTACCATGTCATCAATTGCCCAGATAAAGCAGTCCTTGAGCAAGAGATCCTCTATAGTAAGTGATTATACTGCAAACAGATTACTATTTTAAGTACAACAGAAAAGGTAAATCAAATGTTAGATTGAAAAATGGTTGCATTACAACAATATTCTGATCTCCTGTGTCAAAAGGCTCTGATTTCAGATACAGATTTTTTACCTCCCAGTTCTTTCCCATTGATCTATACATTGCAGGGGCATCAGAAGGATTTGCCTAGGGAGGGGGCAATTTTTGTAATACTGGTTAATGGCCATGTTTTTGTCTATCACGTATTAGTCTATTGAGTTTTCCATTCCTAATTTTTGCAGTATATTGAATTTAATCCATTATTCCTTCATATCAGTCATATCAACAAAACCAGTCAGCTATGAATCAAAAATGTCATGTAGAACACTATTTCACATAAATGGTTTGGAGTTTGTATTTGAATAACAAAGTTAATTTGTTGGGGTTTTTTTCATGCAGAAAAATGGAATGTGCATAAACTTAACGTTGTTCTGTATGACTATGTTGTTGTCATTTCAGACCAGAGCAAGAATGAAGAGGGTACCTACTTCAAGGGCAATACTGCCGTACCTTCATACTTCCCTGACTGGCAACCCCCAGCCTCCTCTGAGGATTGGGACAGTGGTAAGTAAAATGTTAAGATTGGTTACTTGGGTTTTTGGCTAATATGAATTACATCAAATTCCCTCCGGAGAATTATGTAATTTCCAGTGATTTCACCTGGATATTTTTGTCTAAATATGTTAATATTTCATCCTTTTGATGGGGTTTACAAAGATCCTTCCTTCAAATGGAGTGGCATATAACATTAGAATTTTCAACAGTTTCTTTGCACTAAGATAGTCCACTGACTATTTACTATCATTTGTAATAAATAGATTATGTTATGTTATAGTTTTTTATTGCAGATATTAATTTGTTAGAATGTTGTTATGATTTTTTGTTTTATTTTAAGTTAAAACAACTCCCTAGCCTATAATGTTATTTGTTTTATTATCCCATCGAATGAAGTTCGGAGGGATATAGGGAACGCCTCCGTCCGTCCGTACGTACGTCGTACGGACGTCCGTCCGTCTGTCCGGGCAATAACTCAAATACCGTTGGCCCGATTTTGTTCATATTTTGTACACATATACCCTATGGGGGTAGAAGTTCTGCTCGAAAGCCGATTTTCAAAATGGCCGCTCATTTCAAAATGGCGGCCGTTTTAGTGCCGAATTTACAGTAATTTAGGTGCAATATGTAAAACTGTAATAGCAATATGTTTTAGATGTAAAAAAATTATATAGGACATTAATAAAGCTAGAAATGTAGATATTAAAGAAGCACATGGCAGCCATCTTGAAAAATGGTGGTCTTTACTCGTTATTTTACGATTTTTGCTGTAACTCCAAAAGTAGTGGAGCGATTTTGTTCATATTTGGTATGTGAATACTATAAACATTGCACACTGTCTAAAGACAATTTTAGTAGAAGGCGGCCATTTTTCAAAATGGCCGCCATTTTAACGTATTTTACTATAACTTGAAAAGTAGTGGAGCGATTTTGTTCATATTTGGTATCTGAATACTATAAGCATGACACACTGTCCTATGACACTTTTGGTAGAAGGTGGCCATTTTGGAAAAGATTTTGAAAAATGGCCGCCATTTTAACGTATTTTACTAATCGCTTCGAAAGTAGTGAAGCGATTTTGTTCATATTTGGTATGTGAATACTATAAGCATGGCACATGGTCTAATGACACGTTTGGTAGAAGGCAGCCATTTTTGCTATATCCTTTGTTTGTAAAAATGCCATCCATGGCTGTTCGATGGGATTCGCTACGCTTTGGCGTTGCCGTTGTTCTGGTTTCAAGTTAAAACAGCTCCCTAGCCTATAATGTTATGACAATTAAATTAAATATTTTCTGTTATTGAAAACCAATGTTGTTTTGTTTCAGAGACGCCATCTGTTGTGAGGATTGGAGTTGACCCAAAACAAATTAATCCAAATGGACTAATGTTTAAAGACACTTCAGGGTAAGTATGATATAAAAAATTTACTAAAAATATTTTCTTGATTCATGAAAACTGTGAAAACAATTTAGGCTCCGAGTGACAGTAGCTTTTTGTCAAAATACTTTGTAATGAAAGATTTTTGAGGTGTTACACAATACAGGCACCTTAGTTACGGAGCTTTTTGTCAGAATTTGAATCATTTCAAAATAGTTAAGTAAAATATTTTGTTACTCTGATACTGAGGTGCAGTATGTTGCCATTTGCTGGGCAGGTAGAAATAGAAGTACAAAATGAATTGATACACTTTTACAGTTATAGTTATTATAAAAGTGATCGCCACAATCATGAACATTGAATTTTCTCAGGTTTAGAATCAATGCACTTTCCAGTTGCAGTCACCAGTACAAAATCATGAATGACTTTTACACATCATCATTTTAGATATACAATCGACCAGTAGATTAATAAAAAGAAAACCTAGTACATATAATGATAGAAATATCATACAATTCTCTTTGTGATTGCCATGAAAAGATATAGAATCAAGCATTGCAACCATCCTCTGTCCACTGGGCTTCAAAGTATGTCACCATTGTTATAGTGGGAAGTGTCCAACATTTTTGCGTACAGTGTTAAGCATTTGGCTGTCAGTGGTTAGTGTTAGGTGTCTGTAAAAATAGCAGGTGCATGTTAATACCCAGACATAGAAGCCATTGATGAAATACCAAGTTTTCTGGTAACGGTATCACGCGGTAGTATCTCTTCGGGACGTATCGAAACCACTCCGTCCCGAAAAAACCGTTAATTTGAATTTAAAACCTACCCCAGTGTTTGAAAATCAAGGATTGTGAGTCTCACACTTCACCGTTTTTCTTCAAACTTGTTCCGTACAAAGCTTCACAGAAATACCTTTCAGTCGATACATTGTTTTCGTGTACAATGTACCTCGTTTTAGCGGCGTTTTGGTCCCCAGCTGCGAGATAATGCAAATTTTCATAACTTTCAACTGTAAGTCAAGTTATCTCGCCAGTCTTTTACCCATTCTCGCCCATAATTTCAGAATGGACTCCCATTACAACCTTCCATCGCTACGTCTTGATTTTTGGGCATCAAACGCAGCAGTTTCTAAATCATCCACACATTTCTTCAAATTTGACCAATACGTCCCGTCATCTTCCACTACGCCCCGCCGAGTCTATCACTATACACGTAGAGTTGCATTCTAAAACAATTTGTCCATCGATGTGTCCGTTTGTAGGTTGCCATTGTCGATTCTAAATACCAATCGGATTGTGTTTTAAGATTTACCCATTCTTGTCCATTTTCAATATACCTATAATAGGGTGGTCCAAAATCTCCCTAAAATTTAGATTTCCCGATATTGCAATATAAAGATTTTAATTACTGAACAATTGAAAATATTTTTAAGAAACGTTTAAAGTGCCCTATCCTTGAAAAAATGTTAAAATGCGAAAGGATGGGTGATGTCAATTATATTATTTTCAACATAACGTTAGAAACCTGTATCATTTTATATGGTACACGTTTCATAATGTAATCCAATGGAATCATACAGAAGAAAGGTTGACACACAACAGTTAAAACCTTTATATTACATTATCAGACCAAGTCAGTAGAGTTGTTTATATACCAATTAGTGTTGTATGATGATGCATTCTTTATATGAATCTTGAAACGTTTTTGTGCCAATATTGCTCAATTTTGATAACATCTCCGTTATTTTGAAATTAAGCGTGGTACCGGTGTAAAAGCGTAGGTGGTCCTATCAAATTATGGTCCTAGTCTCTATTGATTTATATGGTGACCTGATTACAATTATTTTCCTTATTATTTATACACAATCAGGGCCAGAAAGGGCCGTTAGGAAAGGGGACCATAATCCCCAGGGGACCATAATTTCTTTCACACCGGCTTTGTTAGTACTTTGCCTTGGATGTCATACAGTACATTTACACTGTGGCATGATGATGAACTTAGAAAATATGTAAAGTCATGACAAAATGTTCTTTGTGATATAATATTGTATAGTATCATTCTGATACGTATTACATGTTTATGTTTAGTGCATAAAATTCATAGCCAGATTAATAATTCGGAGAGAATACGCTGGACGATAGAATATTAAAAACTATAAAAACATTCTTCATAGAATTAAGCAAATAGTGTTATTATCATTTAAGTAGTAACTGCATATGTTTAAAACCACTCTGTTTAAATACAGGTAAATAAATAAATATGATGCAATGAAAATTGAAGCTTTCTGTCGAGAGCAATAGTCATCACAATAGTATAGCGTTTTTTCTTTTACATGTTACTTTTTGTACATCATTGATTGATCCGCTCTAATCTGCCCTCGGCCGATAATTTATAAATTATTTATGTTGAACATTAGCAAAACAAGACACAATTAGCAAACCAGACACTTGGTTTCCTCACAAAATCAAATACAGGACAATTACATATAATTAAAGTTAAAAAGCAACATCTTCACAAACATTTAAATTATGAATTTCATGCAATCAGTTATAGTTATACTCCGTATGTATGCTAAACTTAAGACTGGTGTTTAGAATCGACCAAGGCAAACCTATGTAAAATTACACAACGATGAACAAAATGTTTTTGAATACAACTCCACGTTTGTAGTCATAGACTCGGCGGGGCGTAGTGGAAGGTGACGGGACGTATTAGTCAAATTTTAAGAGATGTGTGGATGATTTAATAACTGCTGCGTTTGATGCCCAAAAATCAAGACGTAGCGATGGAAGGTTGTAAGGGGAGTCCATTCTGAAATTATGAGCGAGAATGGGTAAAAGACTGGCGAGATAACTTGACTTACAGTTGAAAGTTATGAAAATTTGCTTTATCTCGCAGCTGGGGACAAAAACGCCGCTAAAACGAGGTACTTTGTACACAAAAACAATGTATCGACTGAAAGGTATTTCTGTGAAGCTTTGTACGGAACAAGTTTGAAGAAAAACGGTGAAGTGTGAGACTCACAATCCTTGATTTTCAAACACTGGGGTAGGTTTTAAATTCAAATTAACGGTTTTTCGGGACGGAGTGGTTTCGATACGTCCCGAAGAGATACTACCGCGTGGGTATTATTGATAGCTAATTGCTGCCTATATTTATAGAATGACTCCAGCGCAAAAGAAGAACTTCAAGAGAATCCTTGCCAAGAGAGCAGAAAGAACAGCAAATGGGCTGTAAGTATATGGGTTTAATGTGTTAATTAAAGTACTGTATATTGCATAGTACATGTTGTGGGCCTATTCCAAGAGAAGGGTAGTTGGGTACTTTCATATTTAGGAAAGAGAATAACATTATTGAAGGTCATGTTATGTGAATGTGACTACAAATCATTCTATCAGTGTGGTTACAAATCATTCTACCAGTGTGGTTACAAATCATTATGTATCTGTTGGATAATGCATTTATTAAACCAAGCTATCAGAGGATGATCAAAGACTGACCAATTTCAAACATCTGTTACTATATCCATCATTTTTTTGCAACCAAGAAGCCATATTACCTTATTAAATCCTGCATTTTCTGGCCCACTGATGAGCCCCTCCAATGCTTGTTTCAGACCCACAGATGACTTAGATGAAGATCTCATGAATGTAGGTTCATGTGAGGAGAATGTTCCTCCAGGTTTGCCACCCAAAGAGGAACCTGCTACTAAGGAACAGCAGTTGAGACTCCCCAAACAAGCCCCTCAGGTGCTTACCATGCAGCAGAGGCAGCAAAAACAGCAAGCCACTCAACAGCCAGCAGCTCCACCATCTGTATTTGCTTACTCTCTAGGTAAGCATGTATCCAAACTTCTCTCCTGCATTGAGGTGCTCCACTCAAAAGTTATGCAAGCGTGTAAATTTTGAAGATTATAAATTACGGGTTAAAATGAATTCTAAAGATGTTAAAAACAAATGATATTTAGATAATAGCCATGGCATAGATAGCTTGTTTTTATACAACAACTGGTGACATATTTTTACAGTCACCAACTTTTTTGTGGACGGTATTTGGCAGTTGGTGTTCGCCATTCAGCAGTTGGCATTTGTAACAAATGGCGGGTGGTGACATTTTCCATATAAATTCCTTGTTATTTGGTTTGGTCTCATCAAAATGAATCACACATCTTAACTCCAAATTGATGTGTTTTTTAGGAATGGCTGGTATTGGACGTGGCATGAACAGAGCTTTGATGCAACAGGCACCAGGAGGGCTTCAGATGAATGGTGCTCCTGGGACAACACAGAATCTTAGCACACCAGTTGCCTTACAGAATGGAACTGTACCACCTGCTCAACAAAATGGCCTACGTTATCCAGAAGTTGGAGCTCAACCCCCTGGCTCCTACCCTACTTCAGAAGTGGGATCTCAGAATGGAGGTATGTAGTAAATACGAAATGTTTGCCTGTTTTTCAAAAATATTGTGAATAATGATAAAGAGAAATTAACCCCCTACAGATGAAAATGTTTGAGATTAATTTTTGAAATCATCTTTTTAATAACGTAATTAATGAATATTTAATTAGATTATATAGTAGGTTGAGTTGAGATATTAATTTAAATGTCTTACTTCAGAGCGCAAATCTCGTATGGCTGCCAACATATTTCCATCTGGCCCAGCAAAAAGTGGTACAGGAGCGCCACCTGGAATCGCCCCTAGAAATGTCACTGCAGCACCCATACCACAAGCCCAGACACAGAAGCCAATGATGAATGGTGTTCAGGGAACCTCAACATCAGATGTCAATGCTGCCTCTATGCTTGCATCGCTCTCCAGGGGCAGAGGAATTGGGCGTGGTGCGGTGATGAAACAACCTGGGGCTCCAGTATTCTCTATGGGGCGTGGGATGGGTGCCAACCCAACACCAAGCTTTGTGGTTCCAAAGACAGAGGTACCCGCTGAAACTTCTGCACAGAAAACTATGAAAAAATTGCAGAAAAAGCTGCGAGAGGTGAGTTTGTCCAAAAATTTATGTTCCTGAAAAAATTCCTTATCATGATTATAATCAATACTGTCAAGTCTCGTATTGTCATACCATGTTCTATGTAAATACCATGATTAGACAATACCAAATAAGTGGAGCATAATATATTCTCTTTAGTCATCATAGTCAATGTGCCATTAAAAGTCATCTAGATTGCTCTCTATATAGTGAAGCACAGGGTCCCTCCAATATGGGAGTCACTTCTGTTGTAGTAACATGAGTAGTTTTCTGAGGTTATGGGTGAAATTGCTACCACCAAGAAGTCGTGGGATGTTGTTTGAACCTGTTCTTGTTGTAATTGGCATTCACAGTTAAGCAGTTATCACTCAACTTTCCATGACTGTTACTCCTTTGTAGTCATCTGCAATAATTTACATGGTGTTGCATTTTGTCATGTTAATGCCTTGTATAATAATCCAGTGTGCAAAAGGCTATTATGATAATTAAATAATATTTTTTCTTAATAAATATCTCCAGATTGATAACTTGCTGGAGCGAGAGAGAGATGGAGAAAAGCTGAACCCAGAGGAGGTATAGTAGCATATTGTTATTATGTATTGTTGACTTACTGTTATAGTCTCTAACTTTATTTGTGGATGATGTTTGTCAGTTGGCATCTGTAACAAATGGCAAGTGGTGACATTATGCATGTTAATGCCGTTTTACCTCTACTGGACATAATATTCTCTTTGTCATACACGTCATAGAGAAAAATGTGAGTAATCTTGCTGGGTAGGAGATTGCAGATCTAGTTAACTTATCTAAACCTAAGAAGCTCTAATTTCACCTCACCTGTGCAAACCTATACAATTAACTCTAGATACACTGACATATTGAGTGCTATTCCTTTGCATAGATTATAAATATAATGCATTTTACAAATTGTTTTTTGTGTTCACGTTTGAGTGTAGGAGGTTAAACATGAAATTAAAGTTGATTTCATTTCTAACGTATCTGTATGGAAAACCAGAATAATATTGTCCCCTAATATAGTTTTTGCTGTTTTATTTTATTTGCCAGTTGGAAAAAGTACACAAAAAGACAGAACTGGAAGTACAACTGCAACAGCTCAGGCAAGTAACATCACTGGACACTATACAAAACATACAGCTATGAATTCACTTTCAAATGAATTAAATCAGATGCATATTTTCAATTGTTTGTATCTGATGTGCATGAATATGAAACTAGTAAAAGTTATGTTAAAAGTGAAAACTTCATTTAAAATTCTGTCATTCCAACCGTTAGTGTATCTGAGTTATAACTCAAGTGCCAGTTGACAGATTTGGTACAAATTTTGTAGGCATTTTGTGGGCAATATTAAGACTCAATTAAAAATGGCTGTCACTTTTCATAAAAAGTACTGCTTAAACGATTTTTTATATCTGTTCGTGAGAGTATGTCCAAAATGGCCAAAATCAAAGCAAATTGTTTTAAAATTGTCAAAAAGAGATATTTCTACCGGATTGTCATTTCTATCATGAAAAGTTTAAAATGTGGAGTGGTTTGAAAAAAATATGTTTTGTTCAATGAGATTTGCATCTCTATGGAGTTGCTGTTTCCAGTTTAAAATATAATTTAATCCATTCATTTTCAGGATTGACTAACTGCAGGCAAGAAACAAGTCAAGATACTTATGTGGATTGCTTTCTTCCATGAGATGTACAATGGATGCCACAACATTTTACAGTTGACCTTGGATTTTAGTTCAACCTGGATTTTTAGTTCTTAATTAAAAATTATAAGAGATAATTATAAGATTGCTCTATCACTATTAGTAGTACAGATGGCAGTCATTTCTGGATAAAAGAAAACTATTTTAAAGATATTCAGCTGATTTTAATTCATAAGGGAGGTACAGTACATCGATATATTGATTTAGAGGCATATTGGAACTAATTTGGTTGAGAAGCATCCAAGAAAATATATGTTGGGTCTGGGATATATCTACAGCATGCACTTAATTGTTGTATATTTATATGGCTTGATGTTGTGTACATGTTGTCCATTGAATATACAGAGTGTCATGTTATGGTGTATGTTGGGTCTGGTGTGTATTTGAAGTATGGAACGTTAACGTTCAAAAGGTGAGGAGGATAGTAGTAGTATGAAATGTGATCAGTCATATTTTGTATTTAATGACACTATACACATTTTCTTGTATAATATTACATAATTATATAAGCATAATGTTGACTTGATCTAAACTTATATTTTGGTACAGTATGTTGGATTTGGGATATTGGTTCCAGTTAGGCTGGCCAGTATGTTGAATCTGGGGTGCTGTAACTGAAAATGCACTTGCGATGGGTGTAGTAATTTCTGACATTTTGATGTCAAAATGAAACGTTCCTTCATCATAATTCTGTATAGGTCCTTCATTATGTGGATTAGCGAATGATGTGCACTATACGTTTGTATATGGGTATCGTAGTGTTGTATGTTGTATAGCTTGCATTGGAGAGCATCACAAGTCCATATAAGGAGGGTCCTATACGTGGGGCATATGTAGCCTCATGGCCGTTATATAGGCCACCTGATGTGCCTTTATATGTCGTGGCACCTTGATTATAGATTAGCTTACTTTTCCTGTTTATGTGTATTAAGGTTCATAATTTGACTGTCAATAAGTGTTTTATTGTATAATTTTTCGAGGAACTATGGATAGCATATTTTCATATAAAATTTGTCGAGGGCCTTTCTAATGTTGGATAAATATTGCACTAATTTGCTGTTGGTGTATATCATATTTTTGAGCTATCTGTTATGTGTACATTAAACAGACTGTATTTGGATTTTTATCAGAATATCTTGAATGCCCCTTGTATACGTGCATAAATGTACATTTATATATGGCATATTTTGTATGATATATTTGGATACAACTCTTAGTGATATTTTGTAATATATTGTACAATATCAAATGCAGGCTCATAGTCAGGATTTTCCAGAAAGGTTCACTGAAAAAAGGGCTGGGGGTTGTTACAAACCTAACAAATGCCAAATAAGTTTGAGCCATTTTTTTAAAAATTTGAGGCCCACAAATTCTTGCAAAAATGAGGTTTATTTTAGAAAATGAGATGAAAAAGATAAATTTTTATAGGGGGGATTACCCTTCAAATTCCATTGGCAATGGACCTGCAGTAGCATATTTTGCTTAATGGCAAGACAAAGTTTTAAAATACAAATTAAAAAAAGAAAATATTGTTATACAATGTATTTTATACAGATGTGATTCTTAATAATGTTTTCTCAACTGTATGCTGATTATGTAATATTTTATCCAACAATAAGAGGCTCCGACCTTCTAACATTAACCAAAAACCAATTAGACCACTTTGTACAATATATTTATAATAATGTTGAGTCAAATGCATCAAGTCTATTTTTCCCAGCTCTAAAAGGAAATTTAATAATACTACAAGTCCAGACAATGTCTTAAACAAATGACCCTGGCCATAGGAAAACCGGTCTTATCACAAAAATTAAAATTATGCTACAGAGTCAAAAATGTGCCCAAGATTAAGAGCAAAATGTGCTAAATTCAAATCCGACTTTTTGGTCTATATATGCAAGAAAAAAGTGTTTAGACATAAGCAATGGCTCATTTGAAAGGTCTCTTTGTGCTTTTCAAGTTAAAGAAAAATCAGAATATTGAAAAAATCTGTGATAAAACCCCTTTTCCTGTGGCCTGGCTCAAATATACATGCCCTTAATGTATGGGGTCAACTATATTTTGGTAAGGTAGTGTATTATTCTCAACATGTTTAAATAGTAGTTAGCTCCAAATAGAAAGTGTCATACAGTTTATTTATTGATAGCATCACTATGTTATAACTGGGGCTACACACAATGAACAATATCATGGATCAGTTTATGTACTAATTTTGAGTTTTTAATCTAAGTATTTTGACTGAATATGTGAGAGCTGCAGTGTTTTTAGGAAATCACTGTATGTATCTTGTGCCTCTAGTATTTTTCAATTTTTCTTTATGCAAGAGATTTTTATGATTGTCATGTAGTTGTGTGTAAGTGAATTGCAAAATCTTTGGTTTAATCAATCAACTGACACATAGATGGCAGGATATGTTACATGTACAAGGAGCACATGAAAACATGATGCAAGTAATGTGTTCCATTTTACAGAATGAAAATAATAGAGTAGCAAATATAACATCCAGCGATAGCATGACTAATCCCTTGGTTATTAGAATTACCAAGTCACGATAACTTTTAAAGGAAATCTGATACTTGATACAATGCACAGCCACGGTATATGTATAAAACATTTTTCATAGAACTCTGACTCGATTTTTATGTCATATTTTTTTGTGACGCTAGTTACTGTAGTTAGCGATTGGCGGTTGGCGTCTGTGACAAATGGTGGTGACATTTTGCATGTTATCGCCTTGTTTTATACATGTTCCCCGGGCCTATGGTACAATGTCATCTGGTGATTTCTAGGAATTTTCTTAGATCATACTTCCTTGTACTGTATAGGAGTATTACAATAAAAAACTTTAGTTAAAAATGAGTATGTATGTTTTGTAAGAACATTTAAGATGTGATATAAAAATAGATGCAAGAAATGAATCACTGGTTTGATCCATTGAGCTGAAAACTTTCCATTAAACTGGTAAAACTGTTAAGCACAATGAAATACATACAATAAGCCTCAGTCTAATGTTTTAAAGATATCTATTTAATGAAAAACTCTAAATTTTTATTGTTTACAACTCTCCATTGTTCATTTGGGCTTGACAAAATAGCAAGTTTCTAGGGCTGTATTCATCATAAAGTGAAGAAAATCAATTTTCCCTCCCATTTTCTTACTACCTTGATTTTTGCTCAACCAAGTTGTCATTTTCATTATTTTGTGCAGCTTTTTAGGTTGAAGATAGCATATTGTCTAATGTTAAAATGGGAATGTGTGGTCTGACAATACTCCCAGTAAAATCTGTCCAAAATTTTTTTCAATACACAATGTGATACACAAACAGCCTACTGTATTTGCATGGTTTTTCACAAATTGATTTTAGTGTGGTTGACATAATGTCTTAGTATATCTGTATATCAAGGGAACGATGATTCAGTTTATATTGCTTCATAACAGCATTATAATAGTGTGGGAGCAAAAGTCCAAATAAGAGGTTCCGTGTCCTTTTTAGAGGCGAGCTAAGCGACATATGTTTTCATGAACTATACATGATACTGATCAAGAAAAATGATGTTGGCAATTCTGAATCCGCGACGGCGTTGCTATGGTAACCAAGTTAATATGCCACGCCCACTTTAAGGGGCTCTTTTCAGTGTATGGCCCCTATCTCTGTCATTATTGCTCAGATTTAAATGAAATTCACACCAAATGGAAGGTAATGGATAATGCAATCAGGAAATATTAAGTTGACAATTCTGAATCCGATATTGCGTTGCTATGGTAACAAAGTAAATGTCCCACATCCACTTTTAGGGGCTCTTTTCAGTTTGGTCCCTATCTTTGTCAATATTGCTCAGATTTAGGTGAAATTTGTACCAAATGAAAGGTGATGGAAAGTGCAATTCAAACAGGTTACAAAATATGCAAATAAGGTGATTTGCATATTAATTATGACGTCATAACCATTTGTTCTTGCACATTTTATTTTAATCATGATGTATAAATCTGGGAAATTATCGTCTTTAAAATGGTCAGTAATGCTTTTAACTAGTTAATTAGTTTATTTATTTTCGTTAAGTTTATTAGTTTATTTCATTCATACATGTATGGTCATAAAAAATGAAAAATTGTAATGAAAATATCCAATTCAAGTTGTTGCTATGGTAACAGTATGTTGCAAAACTATTTGCTGTAAAAATAATTCTTTGGGAAATGTTTCATTTTCACCAGTTGACTGACATGTATTCCTTCTAAGATTTGATTGCAGAGAATAACCTAATAACGATAGAAACGTATCTTATTTAAATTGTGTTATATTATGATGTCATAATGGCAATTATGAATCAGGGGCGTAGCCAGCTTTCAATCAGGGACGCAATCAGCTTTCAATTAGGGGCGCATCTTGCTTTCAATCAGGGGGTGTGATCTCGGCATAAGAAACTATAAAATGTTTAATTAGTCTTAAATTTTACAAAAATTCCTTCAAAATTGAGCTAGAAGCTTCAAGTCAAAAGCATTTTAAATCTCTTCTTTTCTCTAATGGTTCTATTTTTATATTTTTATTGGTTAATGGGGGGTAGGCTATGCCTATGTTAGCTATGCTATTCAGGCGAATATGCCGTCCCCAATTTCAGGTCTTTTCCAAAGTTTTGATTCTATCGGTTGGCATGATGATAGCTCTGGTGTATAAGAAATTTTCATCAAATGGAAACTAAAGAATCAGACAATGCATGGGGAATGCAATTTGACAGACTGGCATACCTGTTATGGTATGACTATCATAGCTGTTTTCGTGATTATTTTCTTGAAATAAGATAAAATTGCTCAAGATGATTCCAAATTAGTACCTTGTCCTTTGACATTCACCATAAAAGTAGGTCAAAGCTGAAAACTATGGTTGATTTTCATTATATTTCTTGATAGGTATAAAGTATGATCAAGAAATATTATGTGCAATTCTGAATCTGCGATGACGTTGCTATAGTAACCAAGTAAATATGCCATGCCCATTTTTAGGGGCTATTTTCAGTGTTTGGCCCCCATCTCCACCATTATTGCTCAGATTTTGATGAAATTCAGATCAAATTGAAGGTAATAGATAATGCAATCAGGAGGTATTAAGTTGACAATTCTGAATCAACGATGGCGTTGCTATGGTAACAAAGTGAATATGCCCCACCCAATTTTAGGGGCTCTTTTCAGTGTTTCGCCCTTATCTTCTTCATTATTGCTCAGATTTAGATGAAATTTGCACCAAATTAAAGGTAATAGATAGAGCAACCAGACAGTTAGTAAACTATGCAAAAAGGATGATTTACATATTGATTATGACGTCATAACTGTTTGTTCTTGCATATTTTATCTTAATCATGATGTATTAATCTGTGAAATTATTGTCTTTAAAATACACTGTAGTCAGTAATGCTTTTAACTAGTTAATTAGTTTATTTCTTTTAGTTGAGTTTATAATTTTATTGCATTCATACTTGCATGGTCATTAAAACTGAATAAATCTAAAAATGTAATGAAAATCTCTAATTTATACTGTTGCTATGGTTACAGCACGTAGCAAAACTATCTGATGTAAAAATAATTTTACATTTTGACTAGTTGACTGACACATGTATTCTTTTTAAAATATGATGACAGAAAATAATCTTATGACTATAAAAAATTATTTAATTTAAATTATGTTATATTATGATGCCATAATGGCAATTAATAATCAGGGGTGCAGCCAGCGTTCAGTCAGGAGAGGGGGGGGGGTTACGATCGTGGCATAAGCAACCCAAAAATGTTTTTAAGATTTGTTTTGAATTCTACAAAAATTGATGCAACTTCCTTCAAAACTGAGCAAGAAGCTTCAAGTCAAAATGATTTTAAAGCTCTTCTCCTATTTAATGGTTCTATTTTTTTGTTTATGGGGGCGCACCCATCGCACTCCCTGGCAATGCATATGTTAATCCAATATGATGTTGCTATGGTAACTAGGTGAATATGCCATTCCCACTGTTCAGGGCTTTTCCAAAGTTTTGCTTCTATCTTTGTCATGATTACAGCTTGAGTGTATATGAAATATTCACCAAATTGAAGCTAAAGATTCAGACAATGCATGGATTATGTTGATTGACTGACTGGCATACCCATTGTAGCATTAATAGCTGCTAATGGTTTTGAAATCTATAATAATATGTTCAATGTCAATTTACATAAAAATAATATCATTTTATGGTATAGGTCAATACTTTAGCCTATTTCATCTTTTTAGGTCATGTAGACAGAGCCTATTTCATCTTTTTAGGTCATGTAGACTGCTAATTAGTTTCGTGCTTGGTAAAATTAATCTTAGCAAAATTGTCAATTAAATCCCAGGGATTTGTGAAATTTATTATTACATTTTGCATTTTGTTAAATGTTTGTCAAGTGTTTTTAGGCGATTAATGGAATAGTTAGTACCAATGTCTATTACAGTGGAATCATTTTGACCAATTTTACCTTATTTCAAGAAAATAATCACAAAAAGCAGCTATGATATCATAACAGGTACTTAGTATGTCAGTCAGCCAATCTACATTATTCATGTATTGTCTGATTCACTTAGCATATTCACCTAATGATTACCATAGCAACATTGTATAGAATTAACATAGGCAGTGCTTAGGGGGATGGGGGTGCGCTGGGTTCACCCACCCTCTAATAACCAATAAAAATAGAACCAATAGATAAAAGAATACTTTCAACTTGAAGCTTTTTGCTAAATTTTGAAGGAAGTTGCATCAATTTTTGTAATATTCAAAACCTATCCTTCTGGGTTGCCTGTGCCATGATCGCAGGCCCCCTTCTGACTGAAAGCTGGCTGTGCCCCTGATTAAAAATTGCAATTATGACATCATAATATAACACAATCCAAATTTAATAACTATGGGTATTGTTAGATTATTTTCTGTCACCAAATTTTAAAAAGAATACATGTCCGTCAACTGGTCAAAATGTAACATTTCCTAAAGAATTCTTGTTTACAGCAGATAGTTTTGTTACATGCTGTCACCAAAGCAACAGTGTGAATTGGACACTTTCATTATATTTATTCAATTCTTATGATCATACATGTATGAATGAAATAAACTAATAAACTCAACTAAAATAAATAAACTAAACTAGTCAAAAGCATTATACTGACCATTTTAAAGACAATGATTTCCCAGATTTATACATTATGATTGTAATAATATATGCAAGAACAAACAGTTATGACGTCATAGTTGAAATGCAAATCACAATATTTGCATATTTTAAAAATTGTTTGATTGCTCTATTTATTACCTTTAATTTGGTGCAAATTTCATCTAAATCTGAGCAATAATGACAAAGTTAGGGACCAAACACTGAAAATAGCTCCGAAAAGTGGGCGTGGCATATTTATTTTGTTACCATAGCAACGCCATATCGGATTCAAAATTGCCAAATTAATATTTCCTGATTGCATTATCCATTACCTTCCATTTTGGTGTGAATTTCATCTAAATCTGAGCAATAATGACAGAGATAGGGACCATACACTGAAAAGAGACCCTAAAAGTGGGCGTGGCATATTTACTTGGTTACCATAGCAACGCCGTCGCGGATTCAAAATTGCCAACATCATTTTTCTTGGTAAGTATCACGTATAGTTCATGAAAATATATGTCGCTTAGCTCGCCTCTAAAAAGGACACGGAATGACCCTTGCTCCCATACTATAAGAGAAGATCATACATATCAATTGATCAATCAGTGTTTATTAGGTTTATGGAGTCAGATGCGAGTAGGTAGTTACCAGTTTCACCACCAGGTGACCAATTCGGGTCAGTTAACATGGCAGCTCTAGAAAATCCCAAATGGAACAAATGGAAATATTTCCAATAAAACAAAATATCATCTGTCCAATTAAAGAATATTTCACATTATGTGATTTCATAACATGGGGACTTCTCTAGAAGTCACAAATCAAATTTTCAAAGTTGATAAACAATGTTTGAAACCACATTGGTAGATGTTTATGTGTCTTTATTTCCACCTTAAAGATGAGTACGAAAATTAGTTTAAATTTAAAAAATTACAACATGTATATACAGAATGAAATTCTACAAGTAGATTTCAAATATGATATCACTTTGACTGAATTTTGAATATTTAATGATGTAAATCAAGATTATTTCTACTCCCATGGGCTTGAAACAATACCAAGTTTCTAGGGTTGTATTCATCATGAAGTGGTGAAAACCAATCTTCTCTCTCGATTTCTTGCTCTACCACATTGTCATTTTCATTGATTTGTGCACCAATATTTTGTTCAGCCCCCTGCAGTTCTAGTTCATCATCATTTTGTTCAACATCACTCTCCGCTTCTATCACCATAGTTTCAGAAATAATAATATCTTCAACGTCCTCTTGTAATCGAGTGTACAATGGCACAGGCAACACCCTCTTTAGCTTACGATAGAAATCTGGCTCATGTATATCTAAGAATGTGTGAGACTTGAGATGCATTGCAAGATCCGTATCAATGGGAACACCTTTCAAGTCTTCACACTTAATTATGATCACCTTTACCCCCTTCCGACTGAGGGCATTATTGTGGGCAGTTCGGAATTCGTACTTACACCAGTTGCTCTGTAGAAAGTTCTTGCTAAGGACCAAAAGGGTGACTCGACTATCCGATATACAGTTTGCAATGTTCTGGGTGATCTGCAAACCGTGCACAAAGTCTTTATCTGCAAACGCTACGTAATACCAATGACGTGGTTCGTGCCCCTGCTCGTCATTTTCTGCCTCATTGTACATCAGCCGGTCAATCAAATCTTTCTTCACCCAGTCCTTATCCTTCTCAGAAAATGATATAAAAACATCGAATTGTAAACGCAAGTCGTAATCAACTTGAATTGGGGTCTTTCGCTTATCATCTATTATCACAAAAACGACACCAACAAATCCGATGAGCACTAACAAATTCACGACGCCAATCTGAATGAAGACAAATATCCAGTTTACACAAACGAAATCGGAATCGGCCACATCTTTCAATGACCTCCCCAATAGATACTGGTTGTGACATTGGATAGCATTGGCATCTGGAACAATCCGTCCATTCTTTTGCAACCAATATTTCAGCCAAAGGCTATGGCAATCGCATCTTAATAGATTTTTACTGAGTGTCAATTCTTCTAGATTTGTTACATTCAAACGTTGCCATTCTTTCTTTGGTAAATACGTCAGATTGTTTGATTCAAGCAGAATTGATGTTTGTGGTGTTTGTGTCAGTATTTGAATCAAAGTTCCATCAATGGAAATCATGTTGTTATTAGTGACATCAAAAACTGTGACATTCCGCAGATACGCTTTAGATGAGGTCGGGGATTGGATCGCGTTGTTTGCCAATCGAAGTTCAATATGATGTCCGCTAGGAACATTGTCTGGAAGTTCACTGAGTCGGTCACATTTAACAACAATTGTATCATTAGCGGGACGTCTGATACAATGACAATTCGCGGGACAATCCGTTTTGACCTCACACTGGAATTTGTCCTCTTCAGCGTGAAATATGTCGACTCCACGTAGGGCTTTGGGGTAAAAACAGTTTATTGATACGTCGATTTGAATTCCATGTACAACATTTTTCAAATAATGTACGACTTCAAACATATCACAATCACAGTAAAACTTGTTTCCAAAGTAAAAGCGCATATCTATTAATTTCATTAATTCAAGCACACTAGTAAAGTGATACATTTTCACCATGTCCTGAAATGTTTGGATGCGTCCAAAACTATTAAACTGAAAATCGATTTTTACACAATCTCCCCATGGCGACCGTTCTTCAGCTATGCTCCAGTTGATTTTGTTCGTGAACCTTTGCAAGTCGTTATAAGAGACGTTGAGCGTAATACATCGATTCGGATCTCTAGCATTGGGCAACCTAAATACCCAAGGGTCGAACTCTTCAAGTTTATTATGATTCAGGTCAATAAGCGAGAGGCTTTCAAGATCCTTGTTGAATGCAAATACATCAATTCTCTGTATACTATTGTGCCCTATGTAAAGTTCTTTCAATGTTGTAAGTCCACTAAATGTATTATTCACCAGCTTTTTGATTCTATTATTTGTTAAGTTTAACACCGAGAGAGTGCTGAGGCAACCAATCGACGTATTTTTTATATCACTGATGTGGTTTTGTGATAAATCAAGAACGACTAACTTCCTTAATATACACACTGATTTCGGAATTTCTCTCAATTGACTACTAGTGAACCTAAGTTGAGTAATATTGTCTTTCAGATTATAAAATAATCTTTCCAGCTCGTTTGTGCTAAATCCTTCCCGACACCGTATTTGAAACAACTTGTTCTTTTCAACTAAGCACGTACATCTCTCTGGACATGAGTTGTCATAGAAGTCAGTCATCACGACGCATAAACCAAGATTCACTGCTATCATCAGGGTCAAAATGCTCATACGAAGCGACTCCATATTTCTTCATCGTTATTAGAGTTTACCTTTAATCTTTTAGGTGCAGGTCTTATACATGTATACAGTCAGGTGACGTGTAACTAGGTTATTTACTTCCCGGTACTTAGAAAAGCCTGGTGTTATACCATAGACCTCTATAAACTGCCCTAAAATAGTACACAAAACGAGGCACATTCATTCGATTTAAAGGTCACGTTTAGAATTCAGACCTACATTAAAGAATTAAGAAAAGCACAAGATTTCTTTTTTATATCGAACATACCGTGCGTGAATCTAGGGATGATCTTTTTTATACTAAGATCGCTTCAATATTCATATTTGATTTGAGTGCATTGCTTTATATTATCCCATGATACTACTACTTCACGGTGAAAAACACGGGAATATTTTTTTTATTGAAAAGAATCGTATTGTCCCGTTATGAAAATCATATTCACAATGGTATTCATATCCCGGAAATTTTTGCCAAACAAAGCTTCGTATTTCGTTCAGTTGGGTCGATTTTTGTCAAACAAAGTTGAAGATAGAGATCATAAAGTTATATTCTTAGACTAAATACATAGTCTGGTTTTGTTTCATACAAAAATCAGATTGGATTTTGAACTGATGATTTTTAAGAGAGTTATGAATATCATGGGATAAAAAGCTTATTTAATGGTCGAGATTAAATATAGGTTTATTCTTCATGGTAATATGATATTTCCATCGCATGTATCCTATTTAGCCCATCTCAGTGATCACGATTTAAAGCCATTAAGACTCTACTAACCAGGGTATTTTATCACAGTTTTTAAAATGGCATATACTAACAAAACTCTTCATAAGCTACATAAATGTATGGTTTTATGGTAGAGAAAATTAACTAAACGTTGACTTTAAGAAGTCTCATTTCAATTTGGAATTTATTTATTTGTCTGAACTGTATCTGGTACAATGACTAATTTTCACATGGGAATTTTAATATTACCCACACATGTATCAACTTGGTGTCTCATAAGCCGGCATCGGCTAGAAGCAATGTTTTTTAAAAAAAGTGTTTTAAATGTATTTTAATATTATTGCTTGTGACACAAAAATAAACTATATTAAACTTTTAAACTGATTTGTTAATTCATTGTTAACATTTCTCTTTTGACTAGTAGAGTTTCGATTAGTTGGATTAAATTATTGTTTTAAAGCTAGACGCTGTCTCCATGATTAATTGATAAACGTTGCATAGCGTTCCTAGGGTTGTAATCACACAATAATGGGGAGTAGCAATTGTCTTTATGGGCCTCGGGGACGTCCTTCGCTCCATAGTCATATACACGTCTATTCTCATCGCCTCTAAGTAACGGGCATCCATCGATTGATTCGGCAATGTCCTCCACGTCTTCTTGTAATCGCTTGTATAGAGGTTCAGGGAGCGCCCTCTTTAGCTTGCCGTAAAAATCAGGTTCGTTTGTGTCCAGGTACGTGTGCGATTGAAGATGCATCTCGAGGTCAGTATCAATAGGGACACCCCGCAGGTCACCGTACTTGATCGCGATCAACTTCACGCCCTTCCGACTCAATGCATTATTGTGGGCAGTTCGGAATTCATACTTACACCAGTTGCTCTGCAGAAAGTTCTTACTGATAACCATCAGGGTTACACGACTAGTAGCGATGAAGTTAGCGATGTTCTGTGTTATCTGTTGGCCGTGGACAAAGTCTTTGTCGGCAAACGCTATGTAGTACCATTTACCAGGTTCATGTCCCGGTGCTGGACCACACGCGCCGTAATCTAGATCTTGGCCTGTTAAGCCATCTTCATACATCAACGTATCGATCAAATATCTTTTGACCCACTGTTTATCCTTGTCACAAAACGAAAGAAATATATCGAAGTTCAAGTTAATATCAAAATAAGATTGAATTGGTGTCATTCTTCTGTCATCAGCCAACGCAAAGGCGACACCGATAAAGCCAATGAGAACGAGGCCACACATAATGCTCAACTGTAGCGTGACCAGAGCCCAGTTGACGCAAAAGAAATCAGAGTCAGCAATATCAATTATGCGTTTACCCCTTACAGGTTCATTGTCACATTGTACAGTCATGATATCAGAAACGACATCCCTGTTCTTTATCAGCCAATGTTTCAACCAAAGGCTTTTGCAATCACATTGCAACGGGTTTTGTCCTAACCTTATCTCACGTACATTTGTGGGATTGATTTGTTTCCATGCTGTTTCGGGAAGATATTCTATGCGGTTCAATTCAAGTAGTAGACTGGTTTTCTTTGATTTTACTATTTTGTTGACCAGAGAGGGTTTAATGGAAGATATTTTATTGTTTGCGACATCCAAGACTGACACATTTCTGGTATATGACTTTGGTTTTAATGTTTCGATTGCATTGTTTGCAAGTCTCAGTTCAATGTTGTCTTCACACGGAATCCTATCTGGGAGACGTTTGATGTCGTGACATTCTACCCGAGTTGTTCTATTTGCAGGAGTATGAACACATGAACATGACTCTGGGCAGTCTTTCTTGACTGAACACTGGAACATGTTATCTGGAACTGTATAGAATATCATGCCACGTAGATTCTTAGGATAATAGCAAGGAATGTTGATATAATACTCGACCACGGTTCTGTTAAACATCGGTATGAAATTTTTTATGAGCTTTGTTATTTTAAACATATCACAATCACAATATAGTTTATTGTATCTAAAGTCAAATCCCATGTCCCAAAGTCGTCTTAGTTGCAAAAACATCACGATCGGATTATCTATGTCAACATGAATAAGTTTAAATACTTTGATCAATTCTCCTAGTCGTCCGAAGTTGTTGTATTGGAAATTGATAAGAACTTCATGACCCAATTTTGCCTCATTAATGCTCCAATTGATATGGTTTGTGAAGGTTTCTAATTTGTTGAAAGTCAAATTGAGAAACACTTTATGACCACTTTGGAGAGCATTGGGCAAGCGGAACACCCAGAAGTCAATTTCTCGGAGTTTGTTGCGCTGCATATCGATTAAAGACAGACTTTTGAGATCTTTGTTAAAAACAGCCGTATCAATGAAATCTATCTTATTGAAACCGAGATAAAGTTCTCGTAACTGTTCCAATCCACTGAATGTAAAGTTTTCAAGACGACGTACTTCATTGTTTGAAAGGTCCAATACGGAAATATGGTTTAGACATCCGATTGATTTTCTTGACAAATGCTGGATATTATTCCCGGACAAATCGAGTGAGGTCAAGCGTTTTAGAATGCACAGTTGTCTCGGTACTTCTTTCAAATAACTGTTTCTAAATTGCACATGTGTTATATTCCCTTTCATACTAACGAACAATTCCTCGAGAGCACTGTTGTTAAATTCTTTTTGGCACTTAATGATTAAAGTTACACGAGGCGGATTGTCATCAATTGAGCACGAACAATTTGTTGGCGCATTCGTACATGTATCGGATACAGTAATCGCATTGTCGTCATCTTCATGCACATCTCCAGCCATGCTAAGGTTCACCACCAGTGTCAGCGTCGCTATGATTGTCAAACGTGTCATTGTAATATGCTATAATAATAATTACATTATATGAACCCTGTCAATGCATAAAGTTCAGCTTATTATGTTCTGTAAAATATATATTCTCAACATCATCACAGTGCGTTAATACTTCTTTGACAAATCGTCCAACTCAATACTTGATCAGATCGTGTGAATGGCCAAGACGCACCAGCTTTCTTCTCTTCTCTCTCTTCACTGTTCATTTTAGTTCTTTATTTTTTACCATCGCTCATAAATCTCAATAAAAATGCCTCTTGTTTGAAAGTACAAATAGAAGTCCCTCACATGACATGCATGACGCTTATAAGGAGCGAATCAGGAAGTAAATAAAAGAGCCCACTGGAATATCAAGGCCAAAGTGACCTGGAATACAGCCAATATTCTTGAAATGCTACTGAATGAGATCTCATTTTACATGTTTTATTCACTTCTAACATAATGTCCATATAAAACAAGGAGCTGTAGATAGACTAAGGGTGAAATCAGTATTTTCTATAAAGCTGATAACATTTGCAGTATGAATCAAAAAGGTGTCTGCTATTTTGAATTGTGAGATTGAATGGACGTTTATTATTCAAACACTGATCAAAAACTCTGCCATTCATGTTCTATGAACAATAAAAGTCCCATTGCATTCACGATGAGTCAGATGCAGCTTTACATCTGACCTTGGATAATCCTATATTTACTAGGTACCATATATAGACTAAATATTAAAAGTGATTAGACACACATTGCAAAACCCATAAATTATCATTAGAAAGTGAGATCATTTTTAGGTGTGTTTCATTTGTATTAGTAAGGTCAACAATATCCCAATGCTGTCTCAAAATGCAAATAATTACTTTTCAGATTGCCCTTCCCTCCTGTAATTGTACATTCATCATAAGATTAAATGTTTCTTCATTTCAATATTTCCTAACTACATGCAATGGTATTTTGACCCCTACCTGAGCACATTTCATTATGTTAACAGGCATCAATATAATGATCTGGTCTCAAAAGTAACAATGATACTTTAAAATTCCAACTTTGTCATAAAGTAGAAATAAATAATTGATAAACATAATAAAATGTACTTCATTACATTACTTTTTATTGCATTCCTATATGATATAATGGCCATGTATAAAATAAATCTGTTAAACGTGAAAATGTAACATTAAAATCAAATAACAATTTCAAGTAAATGTAGTCACAATAATGATATGACAAATATGTCCTAAAGTCAACACCATTAATTCTAAAAAGTGTAAAACAGAGTATGTTTACATGAAAAGGATCAGCTGATAATTTTGAACAGACAAGCCAATAACTGGTCAATTTGAACAACTTGTCAATTTTGATAACAGGTCAATTTTGACCAGGCTGAATTCTTCTGACATACCCTGGATATTAACAAACATTTGAACAAACAAGAACATCTTCTGTTAACATTAACAGAACAGGGACTGTTAACTATACATTGAACACACTTACAATATACATTACAAATATGTAAATCTTTAACATAGATTACACCCAATAATTCAATCAAAGATAACCTGGCTGGTGAAGTAAGCCTGGCAGGTCATATTGTACTTGTATTCAGTTTTGGTATTTTCCACCTTAAAATCATTTCACAACTTGAACCAGCAAGGAAGTGTTAAGTTCATTTTTTGATACAGTAATTAATTTCACACACACACAAATATTAGTTTTTAATATTTCAATTAATACAACAACATGTATTGATATTGTTATTTACAATTTCTTAGATTCTAATTACTGTACATTTTTTCTATATTTGACAACAATACTGCTTTTGAACATTCTGCAAAGCCCTAAAAATAATGTTCAGAACTATCACTTTGAACGGTACCACTTCTTATCAACTACACTGCATAGTTTTATGTTAATCAAAATATCTAATCTGTTATCCACAACTGTCCTATGAAAATGAGCAATTACATAGGTTTTAGATTCAATTGATAAAGCATCATTATAATGAAAGATATGTTTAATAGCAATTTAATGTTATTTATGTCTGATTACTCTTTGGTTTGGCAGCTTATTTGAGTAACAGTTTTGAAAAGATTGGATATTTCTGATTTTTTATGATAACTCTAATATCCCCCTAATGTTATCATGCAATAGTAAAATCATGTGAAAACTTAAAATGCTCAATAAATTTTTGTTCTTATCACAAAAAATATGTACAATATGACTATTGCATCTAGCCCAAACATCTAATATCATCACCCAGTTACATGGAGCTGTCTTTGTGTTTAGTACAGAATTTTCGATCAAGTCATAGCTCATAATTCATACACAAGCATTCATAAATTATTTTTGAATTGATGACATTTTTGAGATATGATCATACCAACAAGACCCTAAGGTTGACAAACCTTAAAATTTCCATTTACTTTCTGGGCCAATGAGTATCAAATGAATATCTATGGTTCGTGTATCTATTTGCGTTGCACAGTCCCATAGAGATATTATGGCCAGTTTAATATTAGTCCCAACTTCTGAATTCCTTCTTCAAGGCATATCCAAAAGTATATATGTATCCTGGAGGTCCACTGGTTTATTTCTACTAAGATTCATTATAAAGGTCACCCTCTTGTTTAGTTTGTATATATTCTTTCCATCTTGTCTAGCTACGATTGATTATAGAGTTAATATGTTTTAATCTATGTATGCTGTGATATCTGATTTGGAGTTATCCCACAATCTTCCCTCGGTTGACCACAGCATATGGGGATTCAGTCTGTAAGTAAGAAAGCAAGTATGAATCTTTTTATTTCAATGAGATAACTGACCAACAACATAAAGAATAATGCCCTCACATGGAGAAGTAGACTTTATTGAATGATCAACATTTTCAGAAATATCTCCTTTAATTCAGTAGTAACATTAAAATTTGAGGACATATTGTGACTGTTCTTTGCACAGATACATATTTCCAACTGTGAAATGTAGATTTCTCACAATTGAACAGAACAGTACAGAAATACATTAAAATATCACAAATCATCAAGTAATACATCCAATACAGTGTTTTGACCTAGTTTTTAAATAACAAGCACCACCGTGGGATTTAACAAAACAAGATCAAATCTGATATCTTAGAATTATCAAAAAGAAAATGAAAGCGATTTTCAAGGAAGTTTCTGATAAAAATGTTTAGAATGTTCCGAGTGTATAGAATTTCAGTTAATAAGATAAAAAATGGCAACGGAGAATATATATCATTCTTGTAAACCGGAAATAAAATTCAGAAAATGAAACAGAACACAAATAAAACATAACAGATGCCAAAGTATGTAGGCCTCATAGGAACATTTGATTTTCACACAAAACATGTAATTTCTCACAAAACATCAAGTAATCTTCACACAAAATACATACATGTAGTTTTCACACAGATTATGCAATTTCAAGCAGAGCAAGTAATTTTCACACAAAACACAGTTTTCACCTGTTCACACAAAAGTAATTTTACACATAACACAAGATTTTCACACAAAACAAACAATTTTCACACAAACCATAGTTTTCACTCAAAAGTAATTTTACACACAACACATGATTTTGACACAAAACAAACATACAGAACAGTTGATTTTCACACAAAACATATAATTTCACACAAAACATCAAGCAATTTTCACACAAAATATATACATGTTGTTTTCACACGGATCATGCAATATCAAGCAGAACAAGTAATTTCCCCACAAAACATATAATTTTCACACAAAAGTAATTTTACACACAACACATGATTTTCACACGAAACAATTTTCACACAAAACATAGTCATTTTATAGAACAAGTGATTTTCACAGTTAACAAACGAGTAGCAATCACACACTCACCATTATGTGAAGGTTCCATTAAAATGGGTTCCCAAGGCTCTGTTGCTGCAAATATAGCAAACATTACAATCACACTTGGCTTATTTGGTCAAACATGTCATACTTGCGTCATAATTTGCGTACATTTGGCTTTTTGGGCCACACTTCATTAATTTTGAAATTAAGCAATGATTTGATTAATTATCCTTATTTTTGTCTGGAGACTAAAATATCAATATTTCTGTACTTTTCTGTTCAACTTTGAAAATCAACAAACAGTTTGGAAAACAATTTATTTGAATGACTATGTGTATAGATGTAGATGTACACTTCATCAATCCACAAGTCCACATTATCTTATCACTGAAACATAATCCTATGAAAAAGAATTAATCAGCTGTGATATACTTTTCACATTTTATTATTTTATATCAACTTTCTTAACCAAATAACTAACATTTCAACACAAATCCTTATATAAATGGTTTAAATGAATGATCATGTCAATACATACATGCATGTTATATAAAACTGTCAATATTATGGAGATGAGGTAATGCTATGTAAAAGGACAAAAAATAGAGAAAAGTTAGTAGGTTTTCACAAGTGTAACCACACCTTGCCAGCAAATATATACATTCTCACATTTTTACATGGATCTTTGGGCTTCATTTATCACATCAATTTTAAGATGCTGGCTTGGCACTGGTTTCCACAAAAGATGTTACAAACATACATGTTTTCCAGGACATTTTACTTCCTGGATTAAGGTGCATGAACTGATTGAAGTATGGTCTAGCTATAGGAGATTTAGAGAAAATTGATCAAAATCTTTTTTATTTATAATTTAATTAAAGGAGAAACAAAGATTAGAGATGACAAAGGACTTTTTTCTAAATAAATGTCATAATTTTACAATGTTTGTTGCGCTCACAACATCCCATCGCCATGTCTCTGTTCTGACTCAATTACTCAGATGCGAGTAGGTAGTTACCAGTTTCGCCACCAGGTGGCTGATTCGGGGGGATTAACATGGCAGGGTATTACAAAATTCCCTTAAACTTGAATATGCATGAGTTATATTGGTTCACTTTTCATATTACCTTTATGTATCTGATAGTTATACAAATTAAAATATGTCCAGTAAAAGAAAATATTATCTGCTCAACACAAGAAAAGATATTTCACTTTTTGTGGTTTTACAACATGGGCTCTATAGGGAATCTCCCCGACCTAGAAGTCACATTTTCAAAGAAAATTAAATTTTCAAAGTTGATAAACTCTTTTCAAAACCACATTCCTAAATGTAATTTTACATGTAGATTCCAAATATGACATCAGTTTGACTGAATTGTGAATTTTTAATGACGTAAATCAAGATTATTTCTACTCGCATCTGGGATATTTCATGGTAATCCTTTTATATTCTATGGCTTTCTAAAATACAAATGAATGGATATTTCTGGATCTTTTGAATGTCAATGTCCATATTGACCAGTAGATTCTATTCATTTTTCAGATAACGATAAGATTGTAAATGAAAATTTTTATAAAGGTGATTGCTTTCAACACTTTAGAGTTTCAATTCTTTGCCACTCCTTTAATACAGGGCTACAGTAACATTTCAGTATTCCTGGCTTCTGTTTTCTAGTTGCCAATTACAAAATACCATTTCAATTAGTTAAAGCACCTTAAGTGCAAAAATATACAGGGTGTCCAGGAAGTAAAGAATTTGATAATACATGTATGCTCAACAATTGCTACACATAAGATTGTAAATTCATACCATGACAATATATCCCTTAACTTTCATGATATATTGAAACAAGTTTTTTTAATATTTCATACAAAGATACATTTAAGGCATGCTTCACACAATTGCAGCCCTTTGCTGTAATAATGTAGCACATGCTATGCAAGCGTTACCTCGTAATCGGGCCTACTTTTTCCTTTCCATTTATTGAATGGAATTTTAAAATAATGCCCAGCGGTTTCACTCTACGGTCTTTTTAGATTTCAGGACATTATCACTTGACAAAGCTTGTTTAGTTAAAGTTGGAAAATGAGTAGGATCAAAACACATGTCCTCAAATTATTGAGCAAAGGGGCACCTACGAGTATAAGGGAAAACTATTAGGTTTAGGGCACTACAACTGTTACACAAGGCATTAGCATGCAAAATGTCACCACCTGCCATTTGTTACAGACACTAAATGCCGACTGCTACCTACCAAATGCCAAACACCGTCCATAAAAAAGTTAGAGACTTTAACAATATGTCACCACTTGTGGAAGTGACATAAAAACAGCAATCTACAAATGAATGACATTGAAATACCATAACAAATCTGCAAATACCAGCCTTAAAGCAAACAGAATTCTAATGCACAAATTAGGGTTCTAATTCCTGTATGAAGTCAAATGCAGAAATGAAATGGCATGAGAATTTGAATTTTAGAATCAAAAGTACCTTTATAGAGATCACACTCATTTGAAATGGGAACAGAATAATTTGTAACTGGTTTTCACATGGAAAATCAGAAATAACCAGGGTTATTTAAGCTAGCAAACAGCAACTTCACTGAATAGCAAATCCCACCAAACAAATGTTTTTTTTATGAAAAATGGCAGCCATTTTGAAATTCAGGTAACATCTTGTAAATTTCTTCTCTAGCAGAGCTTCTTCATTTCTAGAAATTAGCATATAAAATTGAGTCTGTCCACTGGTTATCAAAGCTTACGTTTTTTATTGGTGGTCATTTTAAAATTCAGCTTGAAAATCCCTTCTCAAGCAGAGCTCCTTTGTCCCTAGGTGTCAGCATAGGCCTATATTAAAATTTGAACCAAATTCGTCCACAGGTATTTGAGTTATCAAAGATTACTTTTTCTTACAAAGAATGGTGGCCATTTTGAAATTCAGTCGCGATCTTAAAAATTCATGCTTGACCAGAGCTCCTGTGTCCCTAGGTATCAGCACATAAGATTTGAGCCACATCCATGGAACTCATACTGGTACTTGAGTTCCTTTGCCTTTAGGCATCAGCACATAAAATTTGAACCAAATCCATCAACTAGAATTTGAGTCATCAAAGATAAAAAAATTTATGAAAAATGGTGGCCATTTTGAATTGAGCACCCATATTGAAAACTGCTTCTTGATCATAGGTCCTACACCCATAAGGCATAAGCCTATATAATTTGAACCGAATCTGTTGACTGGTATTTAAGTTATCACCAGGACACACAAACGAATGGACGGACAAATGGATGGCTTTCCTATATCCCCCCCTCGAACTTCGTTCAGTGGGATAAAAATGATTTCGTTCTAAATAATATTCCAAAATTCACATTTTATGTTTCAAACATCTTATAATGATTATGTGAGAGCCAATCAATAACTATTCTGCCTTTGATAAGTAAATGCTACATGACCATAAAGAATGATGAGGTTTTTGACAGTGCAATTAACAAGGCTACTACTTCAGCTAAAAATGGTTTAAACACTATAGGGACTATGTCTACAACTGTAACAACATGATTGTTAACAAGGGAAAAATGATTGTATACAGGAACTATTGACTAAATGATCTTAACATGAGGAACTATACTGCTCCCAACCTACAACTAATACCTGTTGATTCTGGGGGACACCTGTATTAAAAGCCCCAAATCCACCACCTCCAAATGGGTTTGCATTGTTTACAGGGGGCACTGGATTGAATCCTGTGTTTGTGTTGAATGGATCATTGTTAAACTGCACAAAAATAAAATAAAGAAGAAATCACTTTAGCAAACTGCAAATATGAAGTAAGTTTCAAAGAAGATTTACAATAATATTATCTTGAATCATTGAACTGGAATCTTCTTTCAAAATTTTACAATCAATCAATCAATCAAAGTCAAAACATCTGTTTCATCAAATTAGCTTGCAATAATTGGTTGAAAACTGAGAACAAAAAATATATAGAGTGATTGCTAAAATGGGCAGTTCTGCAGCTATAAGCAACAATAATGCTAAAACAATACACAAGAAATATTCAAATCATATTGTACTAAGTAAGAAAAGTTGTAAACCTAAAAGCAAGAGCGAAATAAAGCAAACACTGACATTATGAAAGTAGTCTACAAAATATAGAAATAAAGTACATTACATAAACAACAAACATTGTACTTACTAAATAAAGTACCTAAAATAAATGTAAAGCGGCACAAAATCAAGAAAAAAACACAACATAAAAAATTAATCATAATCGCAAAACCACTCAAATCATACTAAACACAAGTAAAGACACAGAAATTGTAAGAATTGTGAAATAACAAACCTAAGATAAACAAAGAATTACATGATATGCAACAAATTAAGCATAAGCTCAAGAGAAACTATGAACTACATAAATCTAAAGCAAGGTAAAGGGATTACTCTAAGGGTAGGATAAACTAAACATCATAAGAACACAAGCCTACATGCAAACATCAAATATTTTACAGCTCTTACCTGCTGATGCATGCTGCCATCTATACCACCTGTGGTAAAGGGATCAGCGCTATGTCGTCCAGAATCTTGTAAAACATTCTGATTGGTTGGTGTAGTTAATGATGCTTTCTCATTGGCTGACATGCTAAATGGCGCATTTTGATTGGCTGCAGTGTTAAATGAATCAGGTTGTGATTGGGTAGTGCTGAACAAATCAGTCTGAGGCATGGTATTAGAGAGAGTGGAGGTTTCAATGGAGTGCTTAACTACAAAGGGATCATCTTGCATGGTGTCAGAGTTGTCCTTAATGGCATTAGTGGGTGCAGTTACAGTTGCAGGTATTGTTGCAAGATTTTGGTGTAAATCATATCCAGTGTCTGAGAGCCTATCCTGACCATCAGGGGCAGTCCTTAATTGAATATCAATATCTCTTGACACAACAAATGGGTCATCTATCACACCAGACTTAGATGTTGAATCAAAACTGAAATTTGCAAAATTGTCCATTTCAGTAGGTTTCGCAACAGTAGAATGAGGTGATTCAGACTGAGTGTTCCCCAAATGCTTTTGATCAGAGTCAGGATTACTTATATCTTCACTGTTTAAACCTCCTTCACTACTTAATTTAATATCTTGTGTTCCACTTATTGGTGGTTTACTAGAGTTGATCTCACTAGACTGCACTTTTATAAAAGGATCATTAACAACATGTGATGTATCAAATGGGTCAGCTACATCCTCTAAAATACCTATGGGTGTATGTCTATGAATAGCAGCCATTTTCTTTGAGCTATAATTGTCTCTAGAAACTTCTACCAAATCATTGCTTGAACTAAACAGATCTTCATTTCCAGGGTTTTTAGGTGTTTGCCCAATGTCAGTCTGTATATTTCCTGAACCTACAGATATATCTGACTTCCTGTCAACACTACCGACTGAGTCTGTGGTTCTATTCAAATTATTTAAGTTCCGAGATTCACTTTTGAGTATGTCTATTATTTCTGGAGTATGCGATCTAGTAGACTCCTTTCTCAATCTCTCCAGTCTAGGGCTAGTGGAGTCAGAGTCCACTGAATATATACTAGATATGTCTTTGGAAATATGGAAAGGATCAACCGTATCAGTCTGAGATGATCCCTGCCAATCCTCTATACTCTTTTCACTAGATTGCGTGGGAAGCTCAACAAATGGCTGACTTGTGTCTGCTTCAAATTCCATTTGTACTGGATCACTTATGTCAGGATTGTCAGGGAATACAGCAAGGTTGTTAAGAGAACTTGCTGAACCACTTTGTGTTTGTGTTGACTTGAAGGGGTCCACTTTTTCCATGGAATCATTATCACTTTCTCCTAATGAAGCTTCAGCAAGTTGCACACACTGTATTGGAGATTGGCTTTTCAAAACAGTAGTAAAAGAATCAGCTTGTTGAGGAACTTGAAAGGGATCTAGATCAGATCTGGATGTATTAACTCCAAATGCATCAAACTTATCACTTGATGGTGGGTTCAAATTGCTTCCAAAAGGGTCATTAATAACAGTAGATTTAGTTTTTGTCATTAGTCCAAATGGATCAAAGTCTGTGCTAAAACTGCTGACTCCTTTCTCTGGACTTGTGGTTGCAAATGGGTCTGCAGTTTTATCACTCTGTACCACATTATTTACATCAACACCTGGGGCCTTTTCCATGGGAGTGGACTCTTTTGATAATTTAGAGAAACTGTCATTAAAAGGATCAGGGGTTTTACTCCTTGGTCTTGGGACACTTATACCTGTGATAACATTCTTTTTATTAAGATCTTTGGGAACTCTAGGTACATTTGTTACATCTTTTGGACTAGCATTGTCAATTTGATCAGGTTTTTTAATGTCTGCTGAAAATGTGGCAAATGCTTTAATAGACTGAGATTCTTTGAGATTAGATGAAGGGAATTCAGCCCAATTTGTTTTAAATGGGTCGGAGATTTCACCCTTTTGGCTCTCACTTTTAATTTGGTCTGTGATTACAGGTTTAGTAGTGTCTTCTGGAAATGAGGCAAATGCTTCAAAAGGCTGAGATTCTTCAGGTTTAGCTGTAGGGGCATGTTCTACTGGTTCTGGGGATTGTGGTTCATTTACTGCAAAGGGATCACTAGCAATTGTCAATGGTAAAAATGGGTCAGGGGTCCGACAACCTCTGTTAGTTGCGAATGGGTCTTTTCCACTCTTTAATTTGACTTCTGGGAATGGGTCCCAGCTTGAATAATTGTCCTTTGATCCAGATCTCTTATGTTTTTTCTCCTTCCTGGATGACTCCCTCTTTAGGGAGACTGCTTTTGGTTTAGGGGCAGTGAAAAAAGGATCTGAGAATGGATCTTCGATGGTTTTAGAACGATTATACACTGGCTTTTGTTTATTTTTATTGAATGGGTCTTGTTTAGTATCAGTTAGTGCTGTACGTGCAGGCAATTTAAGAGTTTGAGATGAAGCGTTTGGGTTTGCGGCTGCACTAGGGGGTCTTGGAGGTAATGCAGGGGGTGCGCCTGAAGGGAACTCAAGTTTACCAGGTTGACTCATACTTGAATGTGCTCTTGGGCGAGGAGGAGGGGGAGGTGGGGGATTATCAAGTGAAATATCAATAGATGCCCACGACAGAGCACTTCCAGGCCGTGGCACTGTTCCTCTACTCGGTGGCCTTGGTGGAGGAACTGGGGGTTTGTCTGTTATATCTGGGGGAAGAGGAGGGGGAGGTGCACTGGGTGGGGCAATGAAATCATCCTCAACTATATCTCCCAAACTACTATGAACACTTCGCTCTTCAGATTTTCTTAGAATGCTCTTGAGTTTGGGAGTAGCTGTATTTGAATTGTCACTGCTATGTGAAGGGGAATCAAAGGATGCAAATGAGGCAAAGTCACTGTCTGAGACATTACTCTGGCTGCCACATGGGACAGATGTGTCACTCCATATAGAACTTGGAGCATCAGATTTAGAACTTATCATAGAATCATTGGCTAAATCACTGTGTAAGTGCTGATCAGATTTTGATTGTTCTGTTGTGCTTTCATTGCTAGATTCAGGAAGGGATTCTCGCAAACTTAATTCAGTGAAGCTATCTTCACCACTCACATTGTTTCCAAACATTTGTGGTTGTCGTTGTTGCATTGGTTGGCCAAAGCCTCCTCCCATTCCACCCATGGGAGCTGGAGCAGGGGCATCAAAGGCCCCAGCAAAGGGAGCAGCTGGGTTCACCTGTGGGGCAGCTGGTGGAGCCATAGATTGACCACCCAACGAACCCAGACCAAACGGGTCTGTAGCACCAAGATCTAGTGGAGGGGCTGTTTCCGATTTCATTTCATTCATGGATCTTTTTGGCGGAGCCTTTGCTGCAAATGGATCATTCTTTACTCCAGGGTTTGACAAATCCAAGCTAACAAGACCACCGAAACCATCTTCTTTCTTGGGCTCTGCGGGGGCTTTCTCTCCTCCAACAGGCAAGAGAGGATTACTATCAAACAAGCCTGGTGGTGCACCACTTTGTTGAGCAGCTGTGACTGGGGCAGGTGCTCCAAATGCAGAATCAAAGCTTGCCCCAAATCCATTGGTTGCTGCAGGCTGAGGTGCATTGTTGATAGCAAATGGATCACCACCAAGAGCACTGGCTATGTTTGTAGCTGCTGGTTGGGTGTTGAAAGGATCGCTGGCTGCAGCTGCTGGAGCTGCAACGTTCACTGTGAATGGATCGTTCTGAAAATTGAAGAACATTGTGTTAAAGTCACTTGACTTGTAGGCCATGTAGGGGTTTGGAGAATAAGCAATGTTGACACCAATCATATACGATGCTATTTGAATTTACTTTGCATGTTTCAATTTTGTGTCATATCATCTTGTTGAAGTATTTGCTTTTTAACATTTTTTCATACCAAAAATGTTTACATTAGAAAACCCCAAAATATCTAAAGGATACTGTTTTGATGCACTTTGTATGGTTTTCTCCATTGTTTGAATTTCAAAGCTTGCTTGTCACACTTGCTTATATTTCAATGCGAAGATACGAGAGTATGTGATGTATCAAATTGATAGGAAGTCTCACCTGGGCGGTGGCAGCAGGTTTGTTTGCAGCAGGGGGTGGAGCCAGAGCTGTAGTGAATGGATCATTCTGGAACACAGAGATCATATACATGCATGTACTGTATATAGTATTACAAAAATAAGGCCATTAAAACCACAAATAGAAATCATATACACTTGTGTGCAGATATCATTGCATTGGTTACTATAGCAATGTTTAGTAAAAGACGTATGTACATGAAACCTTGACAGTGTAAGGGAGTAAGATGGGGGCACATACCTACCAACTTTGAACAAGATTGGTTCATTATTTTCATAATTAGATATATTTGTGCAAAACTTTTTGAACAACCCTTGTATTTGGAAACAACTACATGACTTAGATGATATTGCATCGGACAAAACAGCACTGCAAAAATGCAATAAACAATCCTACAGAATATTTCATATTGCTACTGCATACCTGAGCAGGCTGTTGTTGAGTTGCACTTCCTCCCCATGGGTCTGCAGCGGCTGCGGCTGGAGCTGCAGCACTTGGGCTAAAGGCATCAAATGTTTCCGCAAATGATGTCTTTTGTACTCCCTGTGGATCAAACATATAAGGATTTGATTTATAAATGAGGTGTAATTGATAAATGACACATCAGATCAGTATATATTTACCTGCTTTGCTATTAGAATCAGTGTTTATACATAACTGGCCACTTCACTAAATCAATGCATTATAAGATTCATGCGCAGTATATGTACTTCAAAATTATAATATTCAAAAGTGAGATCTAAGCATGTAAGATTTAAGGGCCATGGTCAAAAACCCTTCATTTAAGTTAGTGATGAATGTAACTCCAATGTTTTTAAAATAAAAATTTCTGTTTTATATTTCTTTTTAAAATGAATTCTGGCCCCAAAAGAAAGGAGATAAGCACCTGTGTAATGTCATCAACTCCAATAAGTCCCCCTGTAGCGGGTTCTTCAACTCTGACTGGTTTCTCTGGAGCTTCTGTTGTATCAACAGCTGTAGTAGTTCCACTTACTATGGTCAACCCACCATCATCATTCTGGTCCTACAATAAAGAATACACAAATTTTGTTTAATAATTAATTTGGAATATAAAGAATGAATCTGACTCATAGCTTTAACAGTAGATCAGTTACCCAAGGGACTTCAATTTCATCTATTCATGTTTTAATATATCGATATATCATAATACATTACACATATGATAAATACTGTGTACATTTTATCATATTATAACATTACATGACAATATACCTAAGAGCATTGAGTTCCATACGTTTATTTCCAAACATTCAAAATATTGATTTACCAAATTAATAACTGTTTGAAGATGTGGACATTTGAATCATCTAATTCAAATTTGATATGATAATAACTCTTTATCAATCTGCTGAGGAATTCATCGTTATCCTTATAACTTACTTTAATTTTTCACTTTTTTTCATGTATAATCAACTTTTTTTTTCATAATATACATATTTGTGAAGATATGATTGGAACATTATGTAGCATAGAGAACATACATACATACTCCAAAGAAATTGTACTGGAATTTATAAATATGACAGACCAATGCAGAACATCTAGCTTATCAAGGTCTATAGGTCAACATGAGAAACATGTACCTGTACATGTAAAACAAATTCGAGCAAATCTTAAACCAGTTTCGGCCAACCACAATACACCATGAAATGTAATGATACAAGCGATAAGGTCAATATATCAAACTACGCCTTCAATGTTTTTTATTATGTTCTGGAGAGGGTAGGATGATTTTTATAAAAGGAAGTAATTTTTGAAAAAAATCAACATTCATTTTTTGGTAATAAGTAGGGAAGAGGCAATCTTATATGTGATTGATTATATCTATAGGTGTACATCAATATACTGATCTTTTCCCCACAATAGAAAATATACTACAGAGGTAGTCTACTAGTGAAGCAGCCCTCCTGTAAATGATCCAACCTTGTACAGTATTGACACATCAAGATTTTCAACATTTCCACAACATTTTCCGCAATAAATCATGCACCTGAAGAATAAAATATTTTCTAGAGATATATTTTTATGACGGGTCATGTCAGAGCTGTCCAGAATGGTTAAGAATGGTTGACTGAAATATTAGTACAGATCTAATAAGGGAAATGCCCTGTTTTGTATGAAATAAGCCCAAAGTATTATCAAAGCCAAGACAAACTTTTTAAAGTTTATATTTACTATGTCTAAATGATATTTAGACATGCTGATATACCAAATTAGTACACAATTGAAAATTTTGAGTCAACAGATTATGCTTAATTGTTACAAATTCACTTCTAAGAGAAGAAAAACATCCAAACAATAATAAAGTTAGCATGCCCATGTACAACACATTTACCACAACTAGGCTAAAGTAAGTAAATACGAGGGGTGATCAATAAGTAATGGACGCTTTTTTACACATATGCTTTTTTTAGACCAATCCCTTCGATTTTCTTACCAGTGATACATCATTCAATTATCTATCAACTCTGAAGATTTGAAAACAAAACATGTAATATCTTTTGATATATCTTTATTTCTGTGAAGGATGTATGGGTACCCCAGGACCGACATTTACGTCAAACATTCTGAAGCTATTTTAGCTTGTTTTACATGCAATGCAGTTGAATGCAGGCTGAACAAAACAAACCATTATGGTCATGAATTACCCCATTTTGTTATGCCATAGTTGATTTTGAATATTTTATCATCACTATGTGGTATTCATGCCACATTCATTCCACAGAGCCCTCTACATAGGTTCCATCAAGTGCTACATGTACACAATTCCTCATCCTCTTAATTCAAGATTGTGAGACAAGGCTGAATCCATTCTCTGACATGGTAGCAAGATGCAGTTGCACGGGTTGTTTTATTTCATCAATATCAAGAAACATGCATCCTTTCTTTATAGAAATAAGTAGTATAGAAATAAATAAGTCACATGTGAGCAGATCTGGACAATATGGTGCATTGGCCAAGGGCTCAATTTTGAGGTCCAGGGATATTGTTTTCTGAACATTTTGACATTTGTGGGCAGGTGCAATGTCCATATGGAGTAGGGTGTTCCCTTCTCTCACCACCCCTTTCTTCCACAATGCTTTCTCAAATTGACCTGCAAACCCCTTCCATACAACACTCTGACATCACAAAACTTTCTGTTTATGTGTTGACCAGTCAGCAAGTATTTCAAACAACATAACACATGTTGCATATGAAAAGTTTAAATTTAACTGAAATTTGCCAAACTGGCTTAAAACTGAATATGTGACGTAAATGTCGGTCCCGTGGTACCTGTACCTCCTTCAAGGAAATGAAGATATATCAACATGTATTTTATATTTTGTCCTCAAATCCTCAGAAATGATAGATAATTGAATGATGTATCACTGGTAGGAAAATCAAAGGGATTGGTCTATAAAAAAGTATCTGCGTAAAAAAGCGTCCATTACTTATTGATCACCCCTCGTAATATGTTTAGCATTATTCGGATTTTAATTAGCTAATGGTGAATAATAAACATTATTACCACCTTGCCGGGCCAGTTCTAGGGGTTTTAGTGCTAGTTTAGAAGGCGTTCATTTTACTATATCGACCTGAGAAATGTGTGACGTCATAGTGGTGGTCCATATGGACCGGTCTAGAATATATTCTGGACCGGCAATTTTCCCCGGGAAATTAGATATAGTTCAATGCGTAAGATTTTCTTGCTGTTTCAGTCCTGGTCATTAACGGTGGTAATAATACTAATAACGTCATTTCTGCGAGCAATGTAGTGAAATATTGGACCTTGGGCCTTCGGCCCTCGGTCCAATATTTCACTATATTGCCCTTAGAAATGACGTTATTGTACTATTATATTTATTTACTTCTAGCCTAATACAACGATAAGCTAATAAGAATTAGTACAACACCACAGAAAATACACAGCACGAGCCAATGAATAAGTTGACATGTTTACATAGATGTCAAAAACATTACATATAGATGCCAATTGTAAATTACACTGTATAGTGAATCTATGCAACAATCTTTACAAATCTTAAAAACATTAATCTTATTGATTTTGCATATAAGATTTCATCTATAAATATGATGAGTAGTTGCATTCCAAATGACATCCTATGACATCATATGTCTTCTAGCATAGTCTCAGATAAGCAGGCTACACAGAAGAGATACTCAGAAGAACTTTGAAATTCCACTAAGAGTGAATACAAGTGATCAACTGTTTTTTAGTTGCTGTTACTTTGGGTAATTTGATCCCCGGTTCATGATGGCGAATGTAGCAATTTGAAACAATTTGGAATTGGTCTTTACATGTAACAGTTTATGAGAAGCAGGTCTATTGTATATTGATGAGGAAAACCGGGAGGAAAACACAGCAACCCCAAGAAGGAACATAATGCTAACATGGCTGGAATTAATTTGAAATCAATGTTGTTAGACATTTTAACTCTCATGAACATATTCAATAGTGAACAGTCTAATTCTAAATAATAACAAGGCATTAACATGCAAAATGTCACCACCTCTCATTTGTTACATGTGCCAAATGCCAACCACCAAAAAGTTGGAGACTATAACAATATGTCACCACTTCTGGTGGTGACATAACAATATGTCTGGTGGTGACATAAAAATTGAAATTAGCCTATATCAGCCAAATTAAATATTGTTCGAATAATCCAAGTTACAAAAAAAGCATTGAACTGTTAGTAGAATTTTAGAGGTAATTTTACCCAAAGTAAAGTGAAGAGAGTGTAAGGAAAGAATAGTGTACCTCCACAACTATCTAAAAACAACAGTACACCAAGTAAACACCATTCAGAACATGCCATCATCATCATGCTTTATATATTCAATAAAAAGGTTCACATATTTGTCTTTAAGTTCACCTGTTCGTTTATTGGAATTCCTCATAGAATTCTTGATTAATGAAAACATTTTTTTTATAGATTAACAAAAAAAAAATGAAAACATCAAAACGCATATTTAACCAAATTTCTTTTGAATTAATCAGACTAGTACTTTTTGAGTTATAAGCATGATTGTAATGGCATGTAATGCATGGACAGTTACACTTACTGCTTTTGGTGTTTTACTCCTAAATCTGAACATTAATGATCTAGATTTTGGAGACTTTTCCTTTGGAGATTCAGTTTTGGATGATTTGGAACTTTTTGTTGATTGCACTTTGGTTTTTGGTGATTTAACTTTAGGGGAAGGTCGGGAAGCTTTGGTTGGGGAGGTTTTTGTGTATGAACCGACAGGAATAGGGAAATTAGGGACCTAGAATAAAAAATCAATAAAGATTATTTATTTCATGCTTTAATTTACTAAGAATTATTTTTATTTCAGTTAGTTCTGAGTAAACACTCCACACTGGGGTTCAGCACAAACTTAGCTTTTAGTATTCATGTTCTTATTCAAAACTTAAGCAAGCAGGGAAAGGAGGGGGATAGAAATCATTGATATCATACCTGGTAGTGTGATTCATCTTCCTTACTTTCACCACCTTCCTCTTCAGCTTTCTTCTTTTTTAATTCAAATATCGTTTGGAAAAGTTCTTGTAATGTAAGCACCAGATTTTCAGCCTAAAGATATAAGATATGAAAAATGTGAGGTGCAAGATTTGAATAAAAGTTGGGCTTCAATTTCTAAAAGGAAATGACTTTTAATTTGAAATAGCCAATCATTTTTTTCATAACTAATGGAAAGTACACGTTTACCAGAAAATGTGTTAGTGGGGTTACATATGCGAGGTTTGCGTTAGAATGTGGCATGATTTAAGATTGTTCACAGTCTGACTTTTCATAAAGGCAACGTTTTGCGATTGAATAACAGAGTGTATAATCAATTTTTCAGAGGAAGAGGGTCAGTCTACTGATACATAATTACTAATATAATATACATTAATGTACATGTTGGTACAACATTGGACATTGATGTGGTACTAAAACTCAATAAAACTATGAAAACTATCTTGAATGTAACTTGTATAATATATAACCTTGTACATACAGTGCTCCTCATGTACATGTACTGGTGATGTCACATATATAAATAGCTGATTGTTAAGCATTACTCAGATAATAGGTACTCTGTGAGATAACAGATAGTTAATATCAACAACTACAGTTATACCTGTGAATTCAAATACATGTATATCAGATCTGTACACACTTACATGTAAAGAGAAAATTTTTGGTCCTACTTCTAATATATCCATGGAAAATGAATACTGCTGAAAACATTCACATCTGAACAACTATACAAATTTGACTGTACCCACTGTATCAAAACCCATATCCTCAAGACCACACATACAGTAAAACGTGTAAAATCCAAACACCAATGAAACTAGCCAAAAGTGTTCCCATTGTCATATAGGTGCTCAAGGTTTTTTACTTCGAAGTCTTTAGTCCAATTTTTGATTAAAAAAGCATCCACATTCAGATTTGAGAGGTGTTCAGATATAAAGGTATCACTCTATCTTGCAATGTATCACCAGCGGATCTAGACGGGGGCGCACACCCCCCCCCCCCCCAAAAAAAAATTTGGAAAATTTGTGTTTTGCCTCATTGCTTTTAACAAAATTTGAATCCTCTTTTTAATTCGCTCACAGTTATCATTCACACGCCCTCCCCCCTAACACAAAATCCTGGATCCGCCCCTGTGTATAACTTACATAGTTCTATGAAATGCACAAGATATGATAGATAATTCAAAATTACACTTACAGCTTGTTGTGTTTTTATTGCAATAAATTGATATTTCTTATCGGGGCCCTTCTCATAGACATAGCCAAACGCTCGCGCATCTGTCATATCCCTGGAGATGAAGGAGATTTTTGAAACCTCATGTGTGTGCAGCATTGACTGAAACATAATAATTTGCATTCTATATTCATCTACAGAATTAGTTTTCATCAATATACAGTATGCATTGTACTATAATATAGATATATCATAATATTATAAAACATTTAGTTAGAGGTATAGCTAGAACTGAAACACCTGGTGATCACTTAACATTATGCCTGTTGTCCCAGGGTCTGATTCTTTAAAACATTATAGTACACATGTACACTTTGTAAATTACAGTCTTTCAGGATGTCAGCATTGCTATTTTGAAAATGACAATTAAATTAGTCTGATCAAAAACCATGAAATGTTCTAAGAAAATGCCTCTGTGTAATTCTACAAGTGCTTACCCCCGTGGCCTCATCAGCAATCTTAATTCCCTCCAGTGATACATTTATTGTGAGCTTCTGTTTATGTTCTCCCCTGATCTTCACTGACTGCTTCAACTTGGCCATAGAGTCTTGGCACATAAGGTCACCTCTAGCATTAGATACATCATCTACACCTATCAACTTGCCTTTAAAGTTTACGCCAGCACCTTGGAATTTGAAGGGATCAGCTGAAACAGAGTAACAATACATTAACATTAAAATGTTAACAACTAAAAACTATAATGATTACAGATAGAGCAAGGTGCCAAGATAGATCAAAGTACCAAGATAGAGCAAGGTGCCAAGATAGATCAAGGTACCAAGATAGATCAAGGTACCACGATAGATCAAGGTACCAATATAAATCAAGGTACCAATATAGATCAAGGTGCCAGTATAGACCAAGGCACCAATGTAGACCAAGGTACCTTGACACCCATCAATAACCAATATATTTTAAATGAGCTCTCATTTAGAGGCTCATGTCAAACTTTTGCAAAGGGTTGAACCAATTCCCTTCAGCAATTACAGCAGAGTTTTCAAATTAGTATATTTCTGTCATGATCACACGCCTCTATAAGTATCTCATCAGTATCCTCTTTCTTTGATATTAGAGCATAATACTTGAAAGTAATACTGCTTACAAAGCCACAAGAACCTAGAATAGAGTCACTAACTGCCTCATTAAGTAATTGATCCATGTAAAATACAATCACAAACACCCACTTCTTCTCTTTAAGAATACCATCTTCCTTTAAGTTCCTTCAAGTTCCTTTATGTTGTTAAAATACAAATGCTCATATTAAATGTGTGGTTTTCTCGTCTCAGTGCTATTATGTTGACAGTATATTGAGTCAAAGGTCTCTTCAGAGGTGACAGACATTGAACAAACAATCAAACAAAAACATAATTGAATTCCCACCAATAATATCAGTTGAAATTAAACATTTACGATTTTAACAAGATTTTCAAGGATGTGGTCGAATCTTGTCAATAATGAATCATAAATAATTATCATCAGATCAGGTCTTTGGTCAATATGGCTCTAAAAATCTAATGTAAAAATATATTTTTGGTAAAAGCTAGAAATAGCAGGCCCGTAGCCAGGATTTGCCAAGGGGGGGGGGGGTTCAATTTTCAAAAATTTCCAGGGGGGTTCACATTTGACAATTTTGGCCAAAATATGGCTAAAATCACTCGAGAAGTGCTGAAAATGGTGAAAAACTGCATGATTTTGAAAGAATTTTTGGCCAGGGGGGGGGGGGTTCGTCCGAACCCTGCGAACCCCCCTGGCTACGGGCCTGAATAGCATAATAAAAATGGCAACCTAACACATAGGGGGTTAACTACAGATGCAAGAAATATAAAATACAACATTTATTATGAAACTGACATCTGGTGTTTTCAAAATGCCTGTAGCTGACCAATGGTGGCAAAGAGGGTCATATTTATAAGTGAGCAGGGTCCCACTTTTCTACCTAGCAGGAACATCAACCTTGGGGAAGATGTCTTATCCTTGACGTCAACTTCTTTTACAGTGTTCTACTATATCATTTTATATTTTCTAATTAAATACTATTATTACCACCTTGCCGGGCCAGTTCTAGGGGTTTTAGTGCTAGTTTAGAAGGCATTCATTTTACAATATCGACCTGAGCAATATGTGACGTCATAGTGGTGGTCAATATAGCTGGTCAGGAATGCATTTAACGACCAGCAATTTTCCCCCGGAAATTAGATATCATTCAGTGCGTAAGATTTTCTTGCTGTTTCAGTCCTGGTCATTAATGGTGGTAATAATACTAATAACATCATTTCTGCGGGCACTATAGTGAAATATTTGACCTTGGGCCTTCGGCTCTTGAACCAATATTCGGCCTAAGGTCCAATATTTCACTATATTGCCCGCAGAAATGACGTTATTGTATTATTTGTATTACATATACAGCAATGTATTATTTAGCAATGTATTATTTATCCCCAAAATAGAGAGAATAAAGGGGAATACCATGAGCTCTTATAATCAGCTAGCCACACTTTACCTCTGATTAAAGCAAATGATTTTACAGTTAAGATTAGATGTAAACAAGATCTCGATAATCTCAAATGCAGCTTTGAATGTTAATAAAAGACATAAATTACAGTGTTGTGATCTCTTGACTACATAGTTTGATTGGATACAGGTCAGTGTTAGCTCAAATTAAATATAAAGAGACAAAAATAAAGATCTTCTGAAGGGTGGTTTATGAAAGGAATCAACAGAAAAATTAAAACACATCTGACGAATAAAGTAAATGAGACAAACTTTGAAGCACTCGATTTGATCATATTTCCCTCATTATCAGGGAAACATATCAAATAATTGGGATCCAAGGAATTAGGTTTATGAATTATTCTAAATTGTGCCTTCTATTATGACAGAAGACAAGATATTACAGTAACAGCCTCAGGCAGAGGGCCGAATACTAAGTAGTCTTGCTCCCATTCCTGGCCTATCATAAAGGTTTGTATGCTACTAGGTTGGCCCGTAGCGGGATTTGCCAAGGGGGGTTCACATTTGACAATTTTGGCCCAAATATGGCTAAAATAACTTGAGAAGTGCTCAAAATGGTGAAAAACTGTATGATTTTGAAAGAACGAACCCTGCGAACCCGCCTGGCTACAGGCTTGCTAGGTTCACAAAGGCTTGATGTACAGATGTAAGACTTTATGCTGAAGTGGTAACTGGTCCCAATGCTTCCTTGAGAAAGAAGACTCTATTTGCCCTTTGCAACTGACTCCAGCCCTACAGAAGAGACCATACCATAAAGCCATCTGATACAGAGCATATTGGTCTTTATAGAATACAAGTTTTGTCAGTATCAAATGGGCATTATAAAAAAAGTTTCAAAAATCTTGTTACATAACATATATTTCATTTTATTTACTTATATTCCACTCCTACTACTATTAATTCAAATATTACATCACAATATTTCATTAAAGAGAGAATCAGAGATAGCAAGCAGCCTAACAAAAAATTGTTTCATTTTTAGAATATTTCTGGCTTATGTCATTCCTTTTCATGTCTATTTTCTAAAAATCCCCAAAGTGAACACTTTATTTCAGGAAAAGTAAAGATTATTACAATAATGTGTCATTTTTCTATAAGAATGGTTACCATTCTTATTGTTTGGGAGAATTTAAACATTTTTCACCCATTTTTGCACCTTGAATCCATTATAACTTCACCAATTTATAATATATCGAAGATCTTTCGGGAGATATTGTATTTGAGATTGTAAGGAATAGATTGGTAGGTCAATTGAACATGCTGCTTGTAATTTTGTCAACCACATAGATCTGATTCTGCCTTTAAAATATAATTTGTGCAATATTCAAGATTTAATATACTATACTGATATTTTCATGTAATATAACCTACCTGACATTTTAATGAAACTATTTATCAAGCCAACAAAATTGATTTAAGATTGAGAATTATTAATCTATGCTATATCCAATATCGAACCAGGGTATATCCAATGGCTTATTCGAGAGATGTAACTCCAATATGACAAATCATAAAATGGCGTTCTATTATTACACCTCATAGAATTGTGCATAGTATGAAATAAGGGTCTAAAGTCTGAGTTATGAGAGTGCTTCAAGCAAAGATGGGTTAATATAGACAAGGTATAGAATAAGATATAATATCTAGTACATACATACCAAGTGCATTGTTCTAGGTTCAAGATAATTTTGGTCGTAAAGATGAGTTAGGGCATTGAAAATTGTTTGTGTGTTTAATGGTACATGTGCTTCCTGGTCATAAAACAACCACGTGTCAAATCTTTTTTGCTCTTTGAGGATTGTGACATGATTTCACAATTTTGGAGTAAGTAAATCCTGGGCATCTAGTCGTTTTTTTTCATAACATGTTAAACAGACAATTAACCAATAGGGGCCTTATATATGTGAGTACCTGGTACTAAATGTACTTATATGAGTGATAAGGTGCTGCAGTGCTGATGCCATTGTAAAAATAGTATAGGGGCTAAACAATGTGCGAACACTATTTTGTATTGTCAAATATTTGGATATGAGCCCATCAAAACATATACAACCTATGACAGGCCTTCTAGACTTCCACTATACGCGATCATCAGTTCCGGCCTTGCGAACTATGTTCTTTCCACCCGGACCATGGTTCTCACATCATGAACATCGATTTTTTATTTGCAAAACACCAGTTCCTCTCTCACGAATATATTTCTGCACTTGCGCACAGTTTCCACATAGGGAACAATTTGTATATAGTACAATCGGTGCTTGGGATCGATCCCAAGCAAATCATATGGACATAATAAAACATTTTCTGTTATATGAGTATGAAATATCAAACAATCCAATTTTGAGAGCTGGTTGCAAACATATTTTATTAAAAAGTTGGAAATTATCAAGGCACATGATATATTATTTGTTATGTTGTCTGAGTTTATATTAGCAAACTTTATCTAAAAAATCATTATTTAAAGCTGTTTAAGAATTAATAAGCAATATTTTTTAGTATATATCGCATGGTCATGATAACCAGTTGTGTTGACATTAAAATGGCACACATTAAATGTCATTGATATTAACACACATGGTGCAAGCTTTGGTAGAATAACAGAATTTGAATATATTTGAAAATATCAGTTATGGTAAACTTGCCTATATCTAGTACATTTACACTGTTTTAAAGGCTGTAGGTTTAAATGTTATCACGAGCGAAACTTAAAATGTTCAATTGATAACTGATCATTTAACTGTATATTGTAGTCTGTGTAATATACTGCATGTAGATATTTATTTTGCCAAAAAAAATAAATAAAAAATTTGTGTTTTAAAGGTACAGTATATGTACTTTCTAGCCTGTTTAAATTTTGACCAGAAAATGCCACAGTTTTAGCTTTAGTATAGATCATTTATCTCATTTGTTAGTGTTTATTTTTAAGTATGTAATAATAAACACATACTGTTGTTATCCTACTTATAGGAATAATGACCTGAAGTTGATAACTATATGTAAAAATTGACCTCCTAAAGATCAGTCATTTAGTGCAATAACCCCTGAGAGACAACCCTCAAGTCCTTTATAATAAAGTAACCTGTAAATATTACCTTTCCAAGTTCTTGATAGACCTTTCCGTCCCAACTTTCTCCT